CAGGAGTCCGCCATCAGGTACTGCTATGCCCAACGGAGTAAGGCGCTCCTTCAGTTTTTCTCTGTGTAGGAAATATGCCGGACACTCATTCAGGGCATGCTGCTTGTCTTCCACAACTTCGCAAAAGTTGCATAGCCGCCCCTCTTGTGGCACTCCGCTCCATCGTCCTGTCTCTACAGCAAGATGATGGTTTAAGGTCAGCATCTTCATCCACTTTTCACTGATTCTTACAGGCATGGCTTTTAGCACGTGAATTTCTTCGCTTTCCGGTAGACACTGAAACATAAATAACAACTTGGCAGCATTAGCTTGGATCGACATTAGTAAATTCGTCCGGAACTTTATCTCAATTGCGGCCTCACGCCGGTCGAATTTAATTTCGATAATTGCTCTCGAATTTCATGTTCGCTGTTCTTAAAGTTTATTTCGATCTCCTCCGGTAATTCTTTAAGCGCATTTTTTAACCAACATCGCGATCTGGTTTTACTGACTATAATACTTTCATCGAATGCCGCTCGTAGAAGAGTGCCTTGATTAGCGCGACAAAGCTTTTCAAGAAAACGCATTTGTTGTCTTATCTGTCGGAAACCAAAAGGTGTCAAGTTTAAAAGGTACAAAATCGCCTCGGTACTCGTGATACTCCTCAGATTGAAAACCCGTTTGACAAAAGTCATTTGCACATTTTCTGTCTGATAGTTTCTTCCACATAATTCTGCTCCGTATACCGCTAGGCTTCCCACAACAGCCTCGAAAATCGTCTGCGCTGTTTCCCATGTGTAACCATTTTTTAACCCAACTAACTTCTGAACCGCCATGTTATGTCCCTGTTTTACTCGCTCTTCTAAATGTTTTGCTGTCTTTCTGAGGTCACACTGTTCGTTTAGTACAAGTCCCAGATATTTAAACTCTCGAACCTGTTCCAGCTTTCGCCCATCGATTTCTATATTACAGATGATTTGTTTTCGCATAGCGCCTTTATATACAAGGTATGCCTCGCGCTCCGCGCTCGGCACTACCCTCTTGGAAGGATTCAAATATCTGACTGCTCTACGATTCTTTTACTTGCTTCCTATGACCATTTACGTCTTACGGGTTGGACGGCAAAAAAACACAGCCGTACTTTGCGATCGTTTTATTCGGCTAATTCTTTCAAAATCTTACTTACATACTTATTTACTAATAAACACATATCCATGGTTACAGTACAGTACGTACTCTTTACTTATGAATGCTTAAGTATTTTTAAGTACTCCTTACGTTTTCCTATACTTAAGAACCGTTTGAAAAATTTTCTGACCAGAACGTTTAAAAAAAAGCAAAATTCAGGATGACACCCTACGAAAAATATGGAGTTTTTCAAGACCAGGCTTGACTTAAACTGACCACGCGTTGACGAATCCATAAAAAACAAAATTAATTACGTTTTGGACGGTAAGATTGTATGAATATAAAGATATGAATACTGTAGTTATATGAACACTAAACATCTCTAGCAGGTGTTCGGCTTCTCCTCGTTGTCCCGACCATTTAAGCTCCTACTAATCCGATTTTCCTGCTTCAAAATATTTTTGAATCCTCTCAGGGCGGCGGGTGTTGTGCAACAAATAACCTTTTGCTGTCTTAAGAGTCCTGTGGCTAGTGGTCACTCAAAAACTTGTTACCATGGATGCCATAAGGCTAACATGGGCTGGTCTGTTACCACGGTCACACTGTACTTACTATACTCTCTCGTACTCTCTCGTAACAAGACACAGCTTTACTGGGGTGGTAGACTGGGAGTAAACACCAAAAACACTCAAATTTGACAGTTAAGAAATTAGAAGGGCGGAAAACAATTCCTTGAGAAAGCTGCGAAATACCATTTCCGTTTAAAATTAAACTTTTCTCCAAAATCACAAATTGATCCGGCACAGAGGCACAGATGATACTACGCAATATGCATTAAATATTGCGTAGTAATATTTAATGCATAAGAAAACGCATAATAATGCATAAGAAAGCGCAAAAGCAAACCAAATGCAATAAGTACTTCTAGTCGTAAGCCAATATTCATCCGTACTCAGCTTGTTATATGAATACTAAACATCTCTTGCAGACCTTCGGCCTCTCCTGATTGTAACGCGTGATCTCCGCTTCTACTCAATCGATTTTTTTGCTTTAAATTGCATAAAAATCCTTCCAGTGCGGGGAGTGTTCTTAGACTCTTGTCCTTTCGCCATTGCGATCGCCGTAGGCCCAGTGGTCACTGAAAAGCTTGTTACCATGGATGCCATAGGGCTAAGATGGGCAGCTCTGTTGCCACGAGCTTTACAAATTTGAACAAGAAAAATTTTCGGCTTCGCCTCTGCGTTTCTTGTGCTCCCCTGGCTGAGTGAACACTTAACCAATCACTTCGCCCACTGATAAACCACTACAACAGCTTCTCAGATTCAGTAGAATTCAGCAGAATAAGCAGAAACTTAGCAGCCGAACCATGAACCAAAAAACTTTAGGGCAAAAGGTCAACACCCACAATTCTCACCGCCGGCAATTAACCATCCTGAATAAGTAGCTGTAGCCTGTCTGGCTTTGCCATTCTGACTTTGCAACACAATCCAACACACGAAGATACGACGTAATTTTAAATAGTCGTAAGCCAATTTCATCCGTGCTCAGCTTGTTATCTACATCCGTAACCACGTATACACTATTGATAATGTAGCCAATGTTTGGGCGAACGGCTAAACCGATTTCGACGCGGCCAAGTGCGTTAAATTCGTCTTAACGGCGCGAATGTTCTTAAGCTATGGCGCCATCGATACGCCCCAAAAGGGAAGGAGTAGCCCCAAAAAACAAATTGTTGCCATGGGCCCCCATAGACATACATGGTAAATACATTGTCTGTTTGCGGATCGTTCAGAAAAACCGAGACAGACCGCGGCCTTCGGCATCGGCACGTTACAAAGTATTGAAAATTTAAGAAACATGTGCAAAAAAACATGTGCAAAAATTAATCGGAGTCAATCCCACCAGCGTGATCGGTATACCTCGTATTCTTTCATATACGACATTTCTTAGATATCTTACGTTTCTTAGGTTTTCTTAAGTTTCTTAGATTTCTTAGGTTTCTTAGGTTTCTTAGGTTTCTTAGGTTTCTAAGGTTTCTTAGGTTTCTTAAGTTTCTTAGGTTTTTTAGGTATTCTCAGGTTTCTTAGGTATTCTTAGGTATTCTTAGATTTCTTGGGTTTCTTTGTTTTCTTAGGTTTCTTAGGTTTTCTTAGGCTTTCTTAGGGTTTCTCAAGTTTTCTTAGATTTTCTCTTTTTAGTTTTCGTAGTTTTCTTAGCGGCTGGGACCAATGCAATCAACCGTTGCGAAGTGTGCATTGCGTAACAAACTTGCGCCGCAAAAGTTTGTGTACGGATGTAGATCCCGTAAGCTGGTTATATGAATACTATACATCTCTTGCAGGTTTTCTGCTTCTCCTCTTTGTTCGCTATGATCTCAGCTCCCACTCATCCAATTTTCTCGCTTTAAAATGTTCTGGGAACCGCTCGGCCTGGCGGGTGATCTAAGACTAATCGTTGTTTGCTATATGCAGAACCTCAAGCCCAGTGCCCACTTGAAAGCTTGTTACCATGGATGCCATAGGGCTAACATGGGCTAGTCTGTTACCACGGTCACAGTACACTGCATGTACTACTCAATTAGCTCAAACATGAAACAGCTTTGGCTTCGCCTCTGCGTTTCTTGCAGTATTTCACTTGATCACTGTCGCACCTTGCGGCCCAATGCACTGAGCTGTATCAACAGTTCGGTCAATCTCGCAGCCCAGTTCGCTAAACACTAAACAGTAATACTACGACGTAATTCTGCGACTACTAGTTACAACAAATCCTAACTCACTTATTTACAGTACCTAGTCGTAAGCCAATATTCATCCGTGCTCAGCTTGTAACTGTACATCTCTTGCAGGGCTTCAGCCCTTCTCCTTCCTTCCTTGCCTAATCTCAAGTTCTACTCATTCGATTTGACTGCTTCAAATTACAGCTGAATCCTCTCAGTTTGCGGGGTAATCCCCTAGACAATGAGCTGGACTTTGCGAGGTCCAGTGGTCACTCAAACCATAGGGCTAACATGGGCTGGTCTGTTACCACGGGCATATTATTCTGTACTGAAGTGCTCTAATCAGCAAGAAAAAAGCTTGGGCTTCACCTAGCAGACTCAAAATGTCATAAATTTCGAGTGGTCTGTCGGCATAGAGGCACTCGTACTGAAGTAAGACTGCCCATTAATTTATTCTGCTCTATCCTCATCATTATTACTGTGTAATCCAGTGGTGCAGCTTTAATACTACTACATCAGACTTCAGCAGATATTTTTATGCAGTAAGTACGTAAGTACTTTAATTTTATTAGAACGCTGCGTGCTTATGGTCAGTGCACGACGTGCACTACACGTGCTGGCGTCTGTCCAGTGTGCAGGTGGCTGATATTATTAGCCTGATAATAATGAAAGTTATGTTCTCGTTACTTATTCTCTTTATGTTCTTACTCCTACTTCTTTAGGTTATACGGTAAAAAGTCTTTTCAACCGGCAATCCGCCTTTTTACTTACAAGTATTGTTTGCACCGAGCGCGAAGCGCGAGGTGCTGCAACAAGTCTTCGTCAAGAGCATAAAATTTGTCTGACGCCACGAAGAGCTTACGTCACGCTTTTCCAATTCCACAATCCAATACCATTTCCCAGTGGTATTGGCGCTCGCGCTCGTGCATTAATGTGGTTCGCAACCACCGCTAGTACTGTAAATGTCAGTTTTGAGTAACAGCTCACAATTAGTGTGACGCATATATACATACGTCATGGTACGTGCAGTCTGTGGGACGCCGATGCCGGTTATGAGATCATCGAAACCTATTAAATTATTGGAGTATTTGTGTATGATGTCATTCTGCCGGTTCAACTGACATCGCTCGTCGTTAGGAGTGTTACCACGGAGCACGGATAGCCTCTCTAGTCCAGATTCGTGTCTTATTACTGTACGAGTATATAGTTTACATGCAGAAATACCAGACATATCCATCCGCCCGTCGCATGTTAGCATGGTATCAAAGCACTGCTGTCGAAATCTCGTCTCAATTTATCTGCTGTGTCTGGAGTCTGCACAGTGACTGCGACATTTAATAATTTAACGTAGCCGTTTGTCTTGCAAAAAAGGCAGCGTATTCTTTCTATATTAACAGTAAGCGTTAGTTCAAATTCACGGTAAACAGTAGTGATAAAAAAATAATTTTGCTTCGAACAACTGCACACGACCTGTTTCTCGCTGCTAGCTGTGCTGCTTGTGCACATTTCTAGGATTTGCCGTTTGTCTGCAGCGATATACAGGTATGGAGTGCATGGGTAGGTTTGTTTCCGTCGGTTCTTATGTATCTGCGTTTCCTGAAAGCTAACAATTAGCGTATCTGCCTAATTTGTTGCAGTTTAACTTTAATGAGTGGTCGGAAGTCAGCGACAGAGAAGAGCAAAGCAAAGCAGAAGCAGTGCCCCGTATGCAGCAAATGGTATGCCAGCCAGAAAACTTTTAATATTCACAACAGGATTCATACAGGATTTAAACCTCACTGGTAAGTGATCGGAGTTTACGAAATGCTTTGTTAGGGTTACCCAACCCAAATGTGAGGATGTTGTTCACTGTTAGTTGTGGACTTTGTCCAAAGAAATTCGCTCAAGGAAATGCCTTAAAAGCCCACATTGATGCTCACAAGGGCAACCGCAATTGGATCTGCGACATCTGTAGCAAAGCTTTCATCCAGTCAGCTCACTTACGAACCCATCAGCGGGTACACTCAAGGATCAGAAAACATCAGTGCGGTGTTTCCCATCCAGAGTTCTCTTCGAACGGTACGCATAAACAGACGCACATTAATATTCCGCATTATTATTTATATTATACAGTGCATCATAGTAATCTGTTCCGCCGTTTCATTGGTAAATGGCAACAGGCTCAGTACTCGATACTCTACATTCTACAGTCGATACTGGTGATTCGCCTTTATTATGTAAAATCTTATGAAGGACATTTCCGAACACGTCCGCGTTATATTAGCATACACTTGCTAACATTAGAATCCTTAAATCAGAACACCCCCAGTCTGGGGGTGTTAGAACTCAGGTTTAGAAAACTCTGAAAACCAACACAGATATGATGGCTGAATTCCATCGAAACGTCAGCAGGCGCCACACGCAATGTCCAGCATAGCTGCGCCATGAATTACGAATAGTCTGGCTGCAATCTGTAGATTCTGTATTGGTGTTTTTGACAGCTGTCTCATCTATTTTGCCCTATCGCGCGCACCAGCATTTGCGGTTGCATTGATCTCTATGTAGCCTAGCCCAGTCCGCATCCGATCATTTCGGCCGCATGCGATCACTTCGGCCAACGTTCATTTCGGCCGAGGTTCACTTCGGCCAGCACCCATTTCGGCCACCGCTCATTTCGGCAACAGCGCATTTGGCCATCTTCAATTTGCCAAGCTTTCCTAGTTTTTGTTATGTTGCTTAGGTTTTCTTTGGTTTCTTACCAGGGCACCGTTAAACCATTAAATTAGCGTTTGGCCACGCCCACTGGACCATTGCCGATGAAAGTATTTTTTTAAGTGTTCCCCATACCTATTCTGTCTTCAAACAAAAAATCAATTTTTTCTGAGGATAAAGGCGGTGACCGTGCCCTGGTTAGGTTTCTTAGATTTTATTATAGTTTATTTTGTTTTCTTAAGTTATTCTTGGGTAATTCTTAGGTTTCTTAGGTTTTTCTTGAGTTACTCTTAAGTTATTCTTAGGTTATTCGAAAGGTTATGGTACCATCGAAACACTTACATCAAAAGTATCGTTTTCTTGGCCAAATTAGTCCAAAATAAGCGTCAGCCGAAATAAACTGCAGCCGAAGTAAATGGCGGCCGAAAAAGTTGGGCCGAAATGAAAACGTCCGAAGTGATCGGTAGCCCATGTACCGGTCCACTTCCCTTAGCGCAACAGCTTCGACTGGCTGAGATCTTCATGGTAATTTGCGTTTTCATGCAAATTTTGAAGGGAATCGGTTTATAATGAGACTTTTGGTAAACCTCCGCGCGTCTAAACTTTTGGAATTTTATTTCGCCGATAAATTCCCAATCGGATGTTGCGCGCACAAACTGCTTTCTCGCCAATATATACAAATCACTTGGCTAAAGAATGTCTTAAAACAATGCGAAAACGTGTTTGGGAATGCGCGAAAGCGAAAGTTTTAGCGCATGTACCCAGATTTGATACGATGTACCATGTAAGTGTATGCTGCTCTGACGCGGACGTGTTCGGGAATGTCCCTCGTTAGTTTTTCGGAAATCAGAAAAACAATCTGACCGATGTCTGCACCTGCCGCGGCCAAGTTTATAATAGAAGGATTGCAATCTCCCAGCATTGCAATCCTTCTATTGCAATCCCAGAAGAATTGCAATCTCCCAGATACAGTAGAGTCCATGATTTTTGTGGTGCACTTTTCCCACTATTTACGGCTTCCCATTACAGATATCCACGATGGTGGTTTTAAAATACCTGATGCAAAATACGATCGCCATACTTCTGCAAGTGTTGCTAGAAGGTCGCGACGCACTGAAAAGAAATATTCATGCGCGACCTGCTTATCTGGGCGGAAGACTCTGTTAGTAAATGAACATCAGCAGCGCAGCAGAAAGGTCGCTCGTGAACGGCAGCTAAACGGCACAAACCTGTTGTGTGCGGCCGCTCCGGAGCCGATTGTCACTATCAAGCGTGAACCTGGCCGGAAAATGCGCAGTAATTACCTGCTTCCGAATGGGTTGCCAGTATATTCGGCAGATGCTGTGAAAGTGCATTTGGATGAGGTTGAGAATCCGTCTGCCGCAGTAAAGGAAGAACCGGCAGAGGATATTGCAAAGGAGGCTGCGTTGTGTGAGGAGAATAACAGTTCAACGAGTTTTGGAGAATTTGCCAAGCAGATGTTTCAGGTAATTTTCAGAATTATTATCACATGTTTCAATTATATGCGCCAGGACTTATTGGAGGGGACTTATGAAAACTTTAACTGGGAATAGCTGTTGTTGCCCCTCCATCTCTTTTGAACAACAGTAAGATTCATGAGGTATTCTGTCACCTTCTTAAATTCTTTCACTGTTAATTACGAACCGTATTTACTTTTGTATGGCTGTCCAAAGGCTGTGTATTTAGCTGATAACAATAAGCTGGCCTTTTGCATTGGGAATACGTAGTATTACTACCCATTATATAAACTGTTTTTATTGATAACGACTGCAAAAGGACTCAATCTAATGGCCAAACAGTTTGGTTTCACTGGGCATTTTCTGTGGGTTTTTTGCTTGGCCGCTCCGGCCGCCAGACCGTGCTAGTGGTGGTATCACTACAAAATTGCCTTTTTGGACAATCATCCGATTATATTAGGATATCCGAGTGTCGGATAAGGATAGGGTAAGTATAAAGAAAAAGAAAAATTTCGGATAAGGATAATTTTAAAAAGCGTCGGATAAAGAAACTTTATCCGATGCCCATCTCTAATTTATGGACAAATTTCATGTTTCGAGCGGTGCAAACGACAGCTTCGCTGCACATCCAGTATTGACAGTAATCGGGGTGTCCGACACCCGGAATATGGTTTGCACTGACAACATTAGTCATTACGTTGATCGACTGGGAACCGTAAAACAGTGGTTCCGACCGGGTGGCGGACACCTACACTACCGAACACACAGGTGAGCATCAAGCCCTTATTCCAGCGCCGTAAATTTATTACGTACATACTTACCTTACATACCGGTCAGCACATAACTTTCAAACATACAGAGGGTTATTCAGCCAAGTGTGTTCACTTTCGAAAAAAAATTCTTATAAATCGGCTTTTGGTTGGAGTGTCGCCATAAACATTTTACTAAAACGACAAAATAGTTTGACTATTTTTTGCAAATTTTGGTGAGAATCCAGCTTCATATGCATTCCTTATCGGCTGTTGACCAGAAGACTTCGACTTCAAATCCTTGACCAGTCGAAATTTCGCTTTTATTTGGCTGGATTCAAAAGGCAAGTGCGTTTCTCGAATCTACACGTTTACAACTTGAAAAAACGATGATCCGGATTATTTTATGGGGATATCGATGTAATGCTTTCCCGGTTGAGTGTGTAGGAACGGTTGGAAAAAACGCGAAAAAGGGAACAAACCCGCGGGAACCATGCCCGTTGTGCGAATCCTTACACACCTAAATGCAGCAATCCTTTTCGTCCTCCCACAAACCAGAGCTGTAGCGGAGGTTTTCATTGATCGCTTTAAGGGTCTATTGTTTGCGAAAAACGTTCCGTGACTCCAGCCAGGCGGGGAAGAAACCTTCATCCCGAACCAGGATGGTGCTCCCGGGACGCAGTGCCGACCCGACCGGGGCTGCTTCCCAATCGTAAAAAAAACTAGTTGATCGAACAGAAAAATGTTTGCTGAATACCCCTGACACGTTTTCGATCGAATCGTTTATGAACCCACATTTTAAGGGATTTTTTATTCAAAGGCACGGCAGTTGCTGTACCTGAACTGGTCGACTGTTGGCAACATGTCTGTCAAGCATTTAATTTTTTCTTGTGTCAAAGGGTAATGAAATCTAAACTTAATCATATTTTTATTACGGCTGAATGTTGTGGCTTTCCGATAAAATATCTAGAAAAGCAATATGATCATGTGGGGACTAAATATAAATTTTTCAAAAAGTGAACACACTTGGCTGAATAACCCTCTGTAATTGTACAACAAACACTAACTTAGACTACCAGGTGGCGGACACCCGCTTAATCAAACAGCCGACATTCGCCGTACTAATTCTTAGTTCTGTTCAATAAATTTAGTACGACTGCAACAATCGTAGTCGTAGTTTCCAGGATGTTGTAGCAATGTTGTTCAATTTTTACTTTCTGCAACACTTCCCGGCCATACTTCAACCGCAACAAAAATTTAAGCCGACCCAGCAGAGATACGATTGGCGGAGATAATCCCGCTGTTTACATTTATTAACAAGCGGAAGCAACATTTTTATTTATTACAAAGGACACTCCAAAAGTGGGTTTCTCTATTATGTATCTCCCGACGTCTTTAGCTCTTATGAACCATGTTTTTAGAAACGTCCTTCATTAACGAACCAAAGTAAAATACAACTCTACCTGACTACAATCAAATGGAGAAGAACTGCCGAGAAAACTGTCAAAGGTTTTACGCACTTTGCCACGTGTTTTACCCAGACAGTTTTTACTAATTTTCTTAACTTTTTTCTTTTCCTTTTCCCAGTTTTTCATTGAATCTTTTGATTCTTATTTCCCTAGTTAGTTTACATAATTACTTATACAACAAAAAATATATCACATGTTTATTACTTCAAATGGCAGCGAGGCAAAATAGGGAAACTTAGTTTTTGGAGCCTCCTTTGTAATATCACACGAAAATGTACAGAAGTACAGCATGCCAATCATGGTCGCTATCATACCCAAAAAACCAGTCCAATATATACTCAGACTTATGCAGTTGCTATAGGTCGCAGGATATCGAGTTTTCTAAAAATTTGTCGGTGCAGTTATATAATACAGAGTAAGAAACATGTATTTTATGTTACTAAACAGTTTGAACTTTGAAGTATTGTGCAGTACAATGCAGTTTCTGGTTATGGTAATCAGTTCATAGGTGACATCATAATGATAACAAGTAATTAAGGAGTAGTAATGTTTTAAATAAGTATGCATGTAGAGCTGCACACATATACACATATGGTAATTCTGACAAAACTGCCCATTGGCCAGTTTGCTACGATTGTTGTAGAAAGGAAGAAAAGCCCTCCCTCCTACAACATCAATCTACAACAAATTTTTCGTCGTGCAACTTTTTTTCTGCAACTTTCGCGTCCATACTTTCGAGAATTACAACAAAAATTGATACAACAAAAGTGGCTCGCGTACATACTTTTTCTACGATTGTTGCAAGATTTCTAATGTTTTCCGAATTACAACTGAGGTATGGACCTAGCATTACAGTACTCATATCATCGCAAGAGCTAATTTACACAGAAACAAGACCTATGAACAGAAACTCTGCACCAGAGCCGGTGATTGATGTTTTAAACCGTATACGGTACTCAACCTCAACGTACTGTAACTCAAGGTGGTCGGTCTTCGAGGTCCTTATAATATTCACACATCTGCTTTGCCGTCGGTGTTCTAACTTCGAGCAGTAGAATAGGAATTCTTATTAGATATATTTTGCACTAGTTTTATACATATAATTATGCAATGATACGATTTATTCTTTCGATGTGGATCGGAATTTGGCAATAAAGTTTTTATCAGCCCGAAAACCCTACCGTCAATAAACGTTAACAGTTTATGGTCATCACAGGGAGTTCCAGGCAGCAAATATTCCCCCAACGTTGGCATGGGTGATTGGTTGGATGACGATGCAACAACAAAGTGCGCCGATGAAACTGAGCAACAAAAATCGGATCTTGTTGAAGAATTGTCTCCGGTCACGCTTGAAGCCGGTCTTGATGTGGATTCGGAAGTGCTGGTGGAGATAATGGAAGAATGCATGACTTTGTTAGACGATAGCAATTTTTTGAGTACTGTGGAAATGGTATTGGAATATTCAATTCCGATTAACTAGGGTAGGAGTTTGGTGCTTATACACAGTAAACACGATTTTCGCTGATTGATAAGTTAAAAATGCAGTTGCAAGTTACAACTGACATCTCTGAGGGAATTACACGCTGTTATCACTTTATCGCTGTTAATTGTGAGTGCACTATTTTGTGCATGATTTGATCAGTGACAGTACTTCTATGGCAGCGAAAAGTTAAGACTGTTGAGAAAAATATTAATCGGATAAACACACTAGTGCGTGACAGCGTGCCGTTTGAATCGGTTTGATTACGACCTGGATCCTCATTCCTCACACTGATCTTCACGCTAATACCTTACCATTAACTGTACCATTGTAGTGATTGTACAGTATAGTAAGTTTACGTAAGTGCATGTTGAATAGGACAGGACCGACAGGTTTCCGTCATGGCAGTATCGAGACCTGCCCATAGGCGAATTTAACTCGCTTGGGCGGGAGGGGCACTGAGAACCCAAGAACCCAAAGACTGCAAGATAACTCACTGCAAAACTTATAAAAAATTTTATATAAAGTACGAATCGAATCAAAATTGTTGGTACAGCAAGATCTGAATTCTCAAGTAAACAATTATATGATAACGGCCATTTTCGCGCGGAGCGCGAAGCCGACGAACGTTTTCACTGCAGAAATTACTAGAAATTTTATAAAAAAAAAGCAGAAATAATTTGAATTATTTTCAGCGGAATTCAAAAGGCAAAAAGCATTGCAATATTTTATGTACAGAGTCAGAAAACCAGTGAACCTTCGCGCGAAGCGCGAAGCCGGCGCACGATTTCATCGCAGAAACTGCCAGAAATTATATAAAAATTTGTAAAAATAAGTAAGATACAGATACGTCATTGAATTTTTCTGCAGCGGATGTTAAACGGAACAACAGCAATGCGGTATGATGTACAGAGTTGAGAAAAACAGTAAATTTTCGCGCGAAGCGTGAAGCCGATGCACGCTTTTAAACCTGAGATTGCTAGAAATTCGATAAAAAATTGTAAAATATTACGAGTTTCTGATAAAACTCCTTTAGGAACATGGTTTATTTCCAAAGCCGGTAAATTTTTTCAAGCAATAGTCCCCCTTTGCTTTTTTGAAGTACCCACTTTTCCAAAAATTTCGGAGGGGGCACGTGCCCCCGTGCCCCCTTCCTAAATTCGCCCCTGGACCTGCCTTGATAACATCAATTTTTTGTCATAGCTCATAAGGTCATATCAAACACCGCTGTCGGGTTCCGTTGCTTCCGTATTGCGGAAAAGAGAAAATTAATAAGGATGCGTAATTAAAAACAAAACTTCAATTTAAATCTGAAATTTCTGAGCGTAAAACAAAACGGTATTGTAGTTCCAGCGTAACTGCAATTTAATGAATTAAGATTAGTGACACCTATTTATACTGACATTAGCTTTGAACCTATTTGCATGCTATGATTCGTCTGCATTAATTTGAGACAATTCAAGTAGATCGGATCGTGAGTCTTGTGACTGATGACTGATACATTGATAGCAATCTCCACAATGTTTATAATGTTGGTAATCAACTTTTGCATTGATTGCAGAAATCCGAGCAATTGATATTCTACTGGTTCTTCCCTTAATGATGGAAAAAGCGGCACTTTAGTGTGGCGCTTTGTAAGCACTTTGTACGTTCGTATATATGTATGGTAAGGCACCGATCGCGACTGCCGGAAAAATACTTACTGCTTTCGTGGTCCTGCCTTCCAGGTACCTTATCACGCAGCAGGAGTGCCGGTACCGCTGGACTGTACTCACTTTGTTAAATGGAACAATGTACCGTATAATCGTAAGCATGCAACGATTTGTTGTTTTCGCAAAACTATCTCGACCTTGCGCTACGGACAGAGTATTGCTCCGAACGTGTGCGGAACTTAAAAGCGGATTTAATAATAAACGAATAAGCTTTTGGAGAAGTTATCCAAATAAGTAAAAAGGCACACCCTTTTTCAGTTTCGTCGTCATAGCTTCCTGTGTAAATGTAATCGCATGAAATCCATCCAGGCACTTTTACCGGGTAATTGTTTTACGGCAGTTTTTGCCGTTTACCGCACATATGGACTCGGATTGTATGCAGTTCCAGGATCGCAAATATTGACACTACTTTTTGATGGGATACCTACTTTCTCAAGTTCACTGTAGCAGATAATGTTTACGTATATACCTTCAAGTGGTATGTACTGTAAAATATTGAACTACCTTAGTCAGTAAAGGTAACCAGTTGTCCTTATTGAAGTCTCGACAACTGCCGACGGAACCACTCGACAAGGTTATGTTTTATTGCTAGGCTGGATGACTCAGACCGCCAGACAAACTAAAACAGCAGAAAAAATCAGACTATATGCATGAAAGCTGCTATTGATTATTGCACGTTCAACTATTTCCACACATCCGCGTACAAAATATCCTTCCACGCCTTACATTCCATCCGGCATTTTCCGTACATTCCGGAAGGCTTCCAAACCACGGAAAGACGCCGTTCCCACCATAAGGCCACCCTTCTAATCATTGGTTCATGCAGCGCACGTTCCCTTCCGTTCCCTCGGATCCGATCCATCAAACGTTACAAAAATCACGGTACAAATTGCGCACATGCTGGCTTTTCGATCGCCTCAAACAGGACGTACAAAGCATCACAACAGACAATTAATGGAAGCAACTCGCTAATCAACACGCGGAACACGGACAGCCGACTGCACTAACCATCCTGTTAGCGCGTCGAGCCAATCCATCACCATTCGGAGCATCACACCTTCGCTTTCCACAACAAACACTAACCTCGATCCAGTAAGCAAGCGTTAAATCAGCTAAATATACAATACGACATACAAGTTAGCGTAATATTAAGCGGGACAAATGTTACATGCGGATGCGGCTGTAAAGACAACTAAACAACTGACTTTCAACAGTATCCAGCAATTTGTAGCCGACAGGAAAGATTTGTCAACGGCTGATATCATGTGAAAAGCAGGAGACAAATTCAAATGGCAGTGAAGATATTCGAGACTGAATCGAAGTGGAAAAAACTGAATGCTCAGGACGGGAGAAATGACACCGATGTACTGTTAGTCTGTAAGGGATAACCACAACAACCATAGTAAAGCAGATGCGCGTTCAATATTTCACGTTGTAACCATGGCCGGGCATTCCGTAGCCATAGTTTGGCAGATGACTTTGCATGTTGTTGCAGTCCAGCCCGTTAAACCCATAGGGATCGTTAAAGGCGCCGAAACCGTTACGACAATTGGCATCGACATTAAACATCATGCAGGAATTGCCGTAGTACGGTCCTTGTAGCCAATTTTCTTGTTGACTGGAAGTCGGGAAAACCGGAAACGAAAAGTCTGGTTCGAATTTGGCCTCCAGCTTCGCCAAACTGAAGTCGTCACCTGCAGTTTAAGTGTCTCTTCAGCATTTGTGAGATCCAGCAGGCTCGTAATAGATCAATGTTGATAATATGAACATGGCGTAGCCTCATAATTTAGTAGTAGTTAAACCACCTAAGAACTTCGTTAATATTTTAGATATTAAAAGCTTATTAAAAGAACTGCACTGTATGCATTTGCAGCACAAAAGCTGTCGTGAAGTTGTTACTTATGGTAACGTTTTGCAGTGACGTTACCGGAGGTGCTGTGTTTGTAGTATTCGTATCGTTGCATAGCTTCCTCCGCATGCTTGGACATATGTTTCTCCAAGTAACTGGACTGTGTATACGATTTTCCACAAAAGCGACAAATATGCGTCTTCAGGTGTTTGGAATCCTTGTGCTTCGGGATATGCGCCTGCAGACTGTGCTTATCTGCGAAGCAGCGGTAGCAGCTGTTGCAACGGTACGGTTTGTCGGTCTGATGGACTCGGCTGTGGCTCTGCAGATTGCTGAGCTGGGAAAAGGCTTTAATGCAGCCTAAGTACGGGCATTTGTACGGCTTATCGCCGGTGTGAGTGCTACAAGCATTCGCAAAAGCATTAAGAGGATCAGAAGACAATTGCTCCGCGAGGAATAATTTGCGCAGTCGTCGTGGAAAATGCACTGATGCGCTAATCAAGTGGCACTTACCGAACATGTTGTTGTAAGTGTGATAGTTGCGTGAACTTTCGCTGACATATATCGCAGCGATGAGGTTTAATGCCCAAATGAATGCGCATATGTTGGGAGAGGTAGGAATTGTTGGCGAAAGTCTTTGGACACTGCGAACACCGATACGGCTTGGCTTCCCTGGCATGGACTTGTAAATGGATTTGGTGTTCCGTTTTTGTATCGAAGATCTGAGCAGGAAATATGTCTTATGTTTCAGAAAACAACCTAGAGGCTAGATGTACGTTTCTGTGACACTGATCATAAGATTAATCGAATACATACACTGAGTGCACACATAATACCTAACACTATACAGATACCTAATTTACAAAGCAGACCTTCGCTAATAATAACAATACGACATATAGCAAACTTGGAGATATATTAATATTCTTGCGTGCATAGTAAAGAGGAAAGGTTTTGCTTGTGGCATTATGCGTCAATATTTTTTTGTTTCAGAGATTTGCTAGAAAGGAAAAACTATCCGAATTTTAAATCAGTTTACTAAATATTGCTAAAAGTCCGAAAGATACCGAACAAATGAATGAAACAAAGAATAACCTCTTGTCCCACCAAAGACCGATACGATATTCAATTATTGTGAACGCGAATTGATTTAATCTGATAACTCGGCCCACATTCCGCGAGTCCTGTTGCGGCATCTTTTTGATGCGTGCGTATGCCAAAGTGAACTACGTGGCGTATCTGGTCTAGAAGTATGCTAACGTCGTTCGGTTTCATGGCAAACAAGTAATGCAATTATCAGATCATAATCAGGTTTTTGCAAGTAATCTAATTTTGAAACATACGGTACCTATCTAACAGAAAAATTGCACCGGACCTGATAGCACATTTTGCACGAAAAGTGTCGGGAATGCAGGGATTTGGGAGCGGGCAATGGCGCGGTCGGCCAGTACGTTGCTGATGTGTTCCCGCCAATCGTTGAGTACTGTGGCATTGCACAACGTCCGTACATATCCGTACCGCCCATACCAAAGAAATCATCGTCGCAATGCATTGAAGCTGACTGCCTAACAATCAAAACTAGCATATTACTACCATCGTTAATATACAAAGGAAGCAAAGAAAATATCTGCTTACCGTGACCACCGCTGTTCTTACGAGGCGCGGTCAGGATTCGTTGTGTACAATACCAGAGAAATCCAGAGGGCCAGAGTAGAGTTACGGAAAATGGCACACATACAACGGCTGGCACGCACCGGAAGTATGCAGCTATGCTTAGGGCACCGGGTGGTCGGGTTCCGTTTAGGTGATCACCTTCCCTTCTGCTCTAATCCCGTATTGTCATAGCGTCGTCAAAGACTCCTAAACGACCAGAAAATTGGGCTCATTTTATGCTAGTTTGGGCGGTAAGTAGAAAGACTCCCTGAGAGGTTTTTCTTATACCGAAAAACGGACGGTATGTCTATCAATGAGTTGCAGCTACCTAACAATAACATTCATTAATTTTTAACGCTGTACAGAATGTTTTTCTTCCTTCGAAGAAACTGTATCATGTACAGCAGACGTAGCATTATTTGTTTAATTTTTTTGCGCGTAAAGTGTCAAACGAAAATTTTACTTATACTTTGGTATTTCTACAAAGTGCAACTGAAATATGCGTCGGAAGTTTGCTTAACTGATCCAATGAAGTTTTTCTGCGTCGGGGATGAAATTTTCATAGTTTCTATTATCGTTCGTAACACCAAAAGCACCCAGCAGAAAACTAGAGCAGAAGTCGGGAACAACGGGTACAACAACACTATAATGTCGGAAACAACAACCCTATAATGTCCGTTTTTTGTGTACGTGCAAATGCTCATTATCATTAAAGTACCTTAAACGCGTTGCCGGTAATCGAAATTAAAACCTGCCAAGTGCCGATTGCATTGTCGTATATTGTACGAATCTGATTGGTCGGTATCATCGTTTTAGAGTGCGGGGTGGCTATAACTAACTCATAGTCATTGATCAAGTTGTTCTTCCCGGCATTAATATTGTTGTTATTCGTAAACTTTTAGCCTTAAAAATTAAATACTAATGGTTACGATTATTTTCGAATTGACGTGATCTGGACACAACCCTGTGCTTATCAATCACAGCGCTATCTGATCCTCCTGCATCTTTGCATCTTAACAGCAAGCCCTTTTCATTTCGAACTGCATGCAGTGTGGGTCAAATCGAGCGAAGAAATGCTTATGATTGTGCCACAAAGACACCTTTCCTTGTTATAAATATCTAATCATTACACTGTTGTTGTGACAAATCCTTTGAATATTAACGCAAGCCAGCTGCCAACAATTGGTATTCGCTGTTTGAGCTTGCAGAAAAAACTATTGTGAAATTTTTACTTAATGTTAAAGTGGCAAGCATTAAAAAAATCATTATTTACAAGAATTTGTAATCTCATACATCTACGAAACAGAGTCTACAGTTATCACTGATCGAACTGACGACTTACCGCAACCACGTTGTACACGCTAACTGATACGATGGACCTGGAAAAACAGACTATATCCCACGCTCACCACGCATGAACATCGGTTATTTAGTTAAGAAAAGGTGAATCTTGCAACCATGAACAACTGTACATACAGTATCTGACGTTAATAGTAAAAATGCCGCTATTTGTACCAAAACATTGCTTACCTAATTTGATCAATAGCCAGCGCCAGGATTGACGCAGCGGCCGGCGGGAATTGATCTAATCTGCTCCCGTTTTACATTGTATTGTCTGGATATTGATATACTGTCTCGTGAAATATAACCACAATGTTATGAAGAAAAGTTTCTCCGTGCCGCTGTTCTTCCAGGCATATACCAATACTGCAGGGCGAACCAATAGGGATAGGGATGCGGATACGACGTAACTGGATTTGTACGAAGTATGTAGTATGTACTAACAACTACCCGCGGTATAATTGCACCAGATTACGGATTGCTGCCCATTTCTCCCTGAAACGTTGACGACAGATGGGTACAAGTACTTACACATCTTATCCGTTTATGTATACACCACACATAGATTCTACAATGCTAATGTTGGAGTGTCACTAATCCACGTATAAGTACTCTGTAGAATAGACCCCCGTCTCCCGACCTTATGAACCGGTGTTAGGATGGTTTGCTACCCGGAAGTCCAAGGTCAAAATACCAAATCAAACATTTGATAGTTTTAAAAGAACTAAGAATCAGCATTAGGCAAATTCTCAAAAATGGTAAAGTAGCACCTGAGTACGGTGTCTTCATAAATTTCTGCAGCATTATTTTTAGTTTACTTAATTAGTGAATCAGAATTAATACTGTCAGAAATTTCAGTTTTTTAGGGTTCGCTGGTTTATGTGTGGATTAATTATAACGTTCTAATCAGAACAAGCCTATTCAAAAAAAGTATAATGATTAATGCGACACAGCCTATAAGAGTACTGGAGCATTCATTTTTACTATATTATTAGCGTAAGCCTAATAACAAAAATCCTTACGTATCTCCCTTTTTCAAACGACACACAGAACCAAATTGGTGTCTACAGATCATTCAATAGCGCCGAGATCACAATTTGCAGAAACCGGTTAGTTTTTTCAAAAAATTTATTACTCAAAAGAAAATTTCAGAAAGCTTAACATGCTACAAAACCAGCGCCACGCCACCGCTTATTATACTATCTCCAATTCGACGGGACGACACATGGCCTTTCCGCCGGATACGCTCAGCCTGATGCCGCAATCGACGGTTAGCTTTGGAAACAACTTCCGGTGTTCGAACATCACGCTGGACTGTACCTGCTGTGCGGCGTTCGGATGATCGGCTGGGCGTACGAGATGGCGCGGCGAGTGGAGCACGGCAAGCTTTGGCTGCGCTTCAGCTGCGGGACGGTACCGTTCGGCCATGAGTGGTCTGTTGGCGGTCCGGGAAGACCAAGAGACTATGATTCTAAATAATGATGGCAGATGTGTTCATGCCTAAAAACCTCCTCCAGGTAGTAGGTAATCTACAAGAAAGTCATACAGTAATTGTAGACATATATACGGGTGCATCGTGATCACCGTATCGTTGGAATCACACAATCCCTTTGACGATCAACCACAAGTACAACCGGTCCAACCGGAAGCGGCGTACGCAGCGCGGTGAACCATGCTGCGCTCGTACTTTCTATCTTGCAATTTTTCCATACACTCCTTATTTCTGCTAAACCTTGAAAGCAGCTGCTACAAACCAGCGGTTTTCGCGGTACCAGCGGTTTTTTTAGTACTTGCAGTAACGCCGTTAAAGAACAAATGATACAAACAGCCAAAACTTCTTCCCCAAATGCGGTCCACAGATATGCCGCTTGGTCCGAATCTGGTTCAGGTAACGCAGCCGTGTGCATACTGCGGGATAAATCGCGCACAAAATATTCACCGCTGCCGCGTAATTGCCGGCGATTCTTTTTCGTTTCCAGTAGCGCCGCTTGTTTTCTCGATTGAATGGTAGTAGTGCCTGTTGCTTGGGTTAGAAGACTACCAAAGCATCAAGAGCTAGAACCACAAGCTGCAAGAGCAACCAGGAATGCCAGCACTCATCTCCAGGCTAAAGAAGGCGGTCGGATTGATTCCAGCCTAACATGTTCCGCATCCCCTTGGAATCGGAGTGCGCAAACTCCTCTGGCATAATAAATTTTTTTTCATCATTGCGCAGGTTTGCCTGTCGCCGCTGCAAAGCTTCTCAACGTACCAATGCAGTGCCAGTGCCAGTGGCAGTTTCGGGAAGATTGCGGGAAACTCAACGATTAATCATCATTACTGCACCCTAGCACCGCGTTAGCGGCCGTAATGACTAAAAGACACGATTCACCATCTCACGACGATGAATTGGCTAGAATGTCTCCAGTCTCCAGGTGCTGCCGTGCACTAATAACTCCGCTACAATGTGCCGAGACGCAGTATCACAAACACAGCTCCAACTTCTTCCAGATGACAGACGAATTCTTCGTTATATACGACAGTATGAGAGGCTTAACACAGCTAACGTACATTCCTACGATCTGATGGTGATGCGGTAAAGAAACGTCTCTCCGAGACAGTCTACTTGTAACTTGGTTTACAAGCCCAAAGCCGTTAAAGTGGGAAACGGAAAGGACGCCAAATGACGGGGTTTAGATTAATTTTACTGAGTGAAACATTGACAACTCGGATCAAACCCACGGGCCTCCTCAACGTTCATCATACAACCGCTACTCTGAATGAACGTTAACGCAACAAGGAATCGGTCCCTTTGACAATTTATGGAGTGCTTTATGGACTGCGCGACGCTACGCCGCTGAGCTGGGGCACTGGCGTCAGGCAGTAAGTGGGCGTTGCCAGCCCAAAAGGCGTCTGCAGATCGGTGAACCGTGCCGCGTTCATACTTCCGGACAAGCGCTGAACGCTTTACATCCTTTTTCGGCGATTGACAGTGGCGTCGATCCTAACTGTGGTCGTCATAACGTGGACATCTTAAAGGTCATATCGATTTGGAAAGCATGATGTCCAACAATATGAAACTTCATTTTATTTTTTAAAATTAGTGACATCCAGAAATAATTGGGTATCCTTAACCGACTTAATAAGATACAGGCTAAGATACCTTCAGTATACCTCTGACTGTTGACACTCAGGCCACAGAGGTATTTGTATAAACTGATAATTATTCTGTAGATATAAAATCACATTGCATCAGTATCGTACTTATAGCAAGTGACGTTTTTCTAACCATAAGTGATCGTGAGCATTACAAAATACAAACTTCTACGTCGTCGTCTGCAGAAATTCATTTTCGGTTATTTTGTTTCCATCCACCATTTTAGTCTTTCGAAATCAGGTCAAATGCCTTCCTGGCTCTAGTAGCCAGGAAGTAGCCTGCAGATCAAGTCGAACAGCAGAATGACGGGTGCCGTGAAACAATAGCGGCACTTTGTTAGTTCCGGATGTTTCTGGCATATCCGGGAAATTTAGAGCGGTGAGGACATCTGGAATTGGCGCCTGCGTTCGAAATAATGTATATCCTTGACTGCAAAGTGCAAGGTAATTGTGACAATCAAATTCGAGGTCACCGAAAAGGCAAAGGTACGCTTGGCCCGTTGGCCGACCCAGCAGTGTGATGCTGAGCGTAAAAACGTGCGGCTTACATGTTAGGTGGAGCTGCTCTCACTTTTAAATAACTATGATAATACTTATCAATACAATGTCATACTTCTAAATTCTTTCAAAAATGTTATTTTCTGCTCTGTGAGGAGAGAAGCGGCTCACGTTCAGCGACAAAATCTTTCAAATGATTTCAACGTATTGCGCCGTGGTGCAGTGGTACTGCCTACGCGGATCTAACGACGTAGCCGGGGTTCGATTCCCCCATCGGCGCCTTTTTCAGCCGTTTCTCAGTTTCCAGTGGATAGCGCCCTGCTTATTTGGTAGCAGAGCGTGGTTGAGTTGGGCCTAGTGCGTTAGTGTGCCTCTACATCCCTGCGGACGAAAGCCGCACTGGAAACGAGGAACGAGCCGGGAGCGGTTATCGGGAAGCCGCCTAAACGAATAAAAGAAAAAACGAATAAAAGGATGCGGTAATTGCAACCGCTTAGGAGGATGCGGTGAGCCGGAGCCGCCGCTTAAAAGGATCGCTTAGTCTCGCTACGAGGACGTAGCGAAAGCTGCAAAGGGGGTGTGAGGAGAGAAGCGGCTCACGTTCAGCGACAAAATCTTTCAAATGATTTCAACGTATTGCGCCGTGGTGCAGTGGTACTGCCTACGCGGATCTAACGACGTAGCCGGGGTTCGATTCCCCCATCGGCGCCTTTTTCAGCCGTTTCTCAGTTTCCAGTGGATAGCGCCCTGCTTATTGCTCGCATGCAGTCAGTAGCTAAGTACTTAGTTAATAGCTTGGTACAATGTACCATTTCCCTTCGTCAATTTTATGTACAGATATGGTTGTTACCGTTTCGTTCATGCAACAGAACCAGAAAACGTAATATCTGTATTTGATATACAACTGTTATTTGCTAACCAGAAATAAGGGCTACTCCTGAACGCTTCCATCTTCTGACGTGGTACGCGCTACTGCCTATAAATACCGGCACTGACAATGAAGTATGTGTCGGCATTTACCGATTACCTACTAGTACTTAATTTCTAACTGCATGTATTTTTAGAATTTAATGCTGCTCGTAGCGTTTAAAAACAAAGCCACTAGTAAAGTTAAGAAGTATTCCACAAAAACAGATCAGCTTTAAACCACAGAAAGCACAGAAAGCCAAATACATAACTACCGAATATCAGATCCAACGTTCCCATCACAGTGCATTTCCAGTGAGATAATCACAGAATGTAATTAATTCACCAATCCTTCTCTGACTCCTTCCCACTAACTTCTGAACTATCGTTTCATAAGGTCAAGAGCATTAAAAGGAAAACAGTCACACAATAATTAGGTAAATATTAATCGAAGTACTCAAACATGCAGCACCCGGCATAATGCATTACTCACGCCTCACGAACTGCATTGAATTCCACGCCTCAACGCCATAAGTTCCAAACTCCGCGAACGGATCCTGCACGTAAATTCTGTCTTGTCCGCTGGTGTACGAGGCCCAGGCCTCCGGTTTGGTGCACATCATTCTATATCTTTGGCAGTCGATGGGTGCAGGTAACGTTTCCATACGATGTGCCATGTCACTACCGCCCAGGTAGCCGTAATAGCCAGGAAAATATTCCGGCTCAAATTCCTCCATCTTTGGTGCTATCTCTGCGTGCACGTGCGGAATGTGGCAAGTAACAGCAGCACTTGACGAAGCCCCTAGACCTGGCAGTCGAATGGCAAAATCCGCACTTAGCTGAACTCCCGGCGGCCGCTCTGCTGCCACAGAGGAAGTTGAATGGCAAGTAGTAACATGGCGTTTTAAACTGGACTGTTTTGTAAAGGTAGACTGACATCCAGTGTGCTGACAGTGATAAGGACGAATGCCTTTGTGAGCATTCTCGTGGAACTTCAAGGATTCCCCCCTTGTAAACGATTTTGGGCATTGGCTACACTTATATGGCTTTTCGCCTGTGTGCTGACGAATATGACGGTCGCGGACACCTGTAAAAAGCCGAATTAACAACCTGAAAAATCCAATTGTCAAAAATAATAAAATGCGAATAGTGGTATCGAGCAGTATTGCAGTGAGTACTAACCCATTTACAGGTACAGTGAAGTAAGTATCACGTACACATGATAACACATCTAACGCTATTACGGCAATCACAAGTTGTAATGATTTCAGTAGTTTCAAAAAAATAATTTATAAGATCATGATTAGGGCTCTCGCCTATGTGCATTCGTAATTTATAAAGAATTAAAGACACACTGGCAGTCGGATATTACCTAGCCTGGGTCCCTCCGGAAATTTGTTTCCATTTTCCATTTAATCCGCTTAAACATTTTGTGCGAAAATTTAGAAAATGGTAAACCTACGAACCACCGCTTCCGGCGAATGGCAGCCTCCCGAGGGTGGCAGCGTGTTTTGGCTTTGGCACAAATCTGTCTACTTTTTACTTTATAAAATTCGTTTTCCCAAACAGAAGCAACTCTTTCTGCTTGATTTTTAAATTTTAATGAAAAGCAGTAAAGTGAAAAAATCGTTTTTTTATCGTAAGCAATCAGACCGTTTTGTTGGGTAAACGAAGCGAACCTGTGGAAGCTGCCTCGCGGTGCGCGGTAAGTGGCAAACTCCTCGTAAATATTAATTATAAACCCCGTGCGAGTGTTATAGTCGTATTATGTGCCTTAAACACGGGTTACACCGGTTCTAATAATTATTGTAAGTAGCCTGCTTGAAGTCAAGTAAATGCAACCCTTATACTTTGTAATTACTGAATTCAAAATCGCCAGTAAACAATGAATTGCTATTTTACGCGATCATGATGTTGACTGACTGCAGGGTGTTGTTTCTGTTAGCTTTCATGCTGGTGTTAGCAAATTGTTAAAATTTTTTTAGTTATCCATCGTGCCCTTCACCGTGTAATTCTTGGTCATTGTCCACTGCCTTGAAACGGGCGCGGTTCCGTTGCACGAAGACAATAAATTCACCATTATTGTTATTGCGAAAATTATGTTTAGAAAAGTGATAATAAAATCATGGTACTGACTTGTGAGTACAGAGTTCGGATGCTGAGTCGTAGACTAAAGGTAATAATTGTTGTATAATTTTTCGAAATGGCTGTGCGCCCCGACAATCGGGGTGCAAAGTAAAATGGCTGTGCGCCCGGTCAGGACGCGAAGTAATTTGGCTGTGCGCCCCGAATTTTATGTGGAAACGAAACCTTCCAGGCCCCGAATTTAATGGGTTTGCAAAATACAGGTAGATACTAATTACACAATTTACTGAAATCTTCTAATAAGGTACTAAAATGGTACACCGTCCTAACCGGGCGCATAGCCAATTTACTTCGCGCCCCGATCGGGGCGCACAGCCGTTTTGCTTTGCGCCCCGATTGTCGGGGCGCATAGCACTGACCATAATTTTTATCATTTACTTGCGATTTTAATTTCAGATTATTTTATTAGCGTTTCGCTTAATGTACAATATGTGCGTGTATGTGCGTGTTCCCTCTATGTAGGGATTTGCACATACACGTAACTGTAACGAGTTGACAATGGGCTAAACGAACAGTTTGCCATAAACATTAATTATTTTGTCGAAGGTGTAGAGTACGACCGCGCTCGACATGAAAGGACGATTATTAATTTCATATTATGGAACATGAGCTATGAAATTAATAGTCGTCCTAACTATAATTCTATACCGTATTATTAATTCTATAGAAGTACCGTAAAAAATTATAATGCGTAAGACACTACATGTTAACATGTTACTTACATGTCACAGATGTCAGTGCTTCGTGTAGCAAAATCAGTGCGTTTATTGTTTTGTTGCCCCTTAGAATGAAGATTCTTTCGTCGCCTTTTGTTGCTGTTGCACGTTGTATGTTTTTGAAGTCGATTATTATTTAAAATTTCAGAGGTTCGCCTGCAGTAGCAGGTTCATGACTCTCGGCAGATTTTCGCTTTTCGGTTTATGTTCAATAAGAGGCAGACTAGCTGCACATTTACCTCGTGACTCGTTCGGATTTGAATAAACTACCGAGTATAGTTCATAAAAATTTTTAGGTTTATAGGTAGTCGCTAGTTTCTTGTGCCGGTAGCTAGGTATATAAAAATTTTAGGTAAAGGCTCAGCATATCATTTCTCGTTTCATAACCGTTGGCTCCTTGTGCCACCCTTGACTTCTAATCTAACCCTTGATTGCAAAACCTCCTTCGGCTTCGTACATCACCATAAATTACGCTCTTCTATTTGAGTTCAGTTTAAAGAAGCTGCTATGATATATTGAAAAATAACTAAACTAAAAAATAAAAACTTTATTAAGTTTAATCACTTACGTAATAGTGCTACAAGTTAAAATTTCCGGTAATCAATTTTGAGCAATTAATCAATCAATTTATTAATTTTGAGCGTTCAAATTTCCATCTATTTACTTAAGTATTCGCCGCGAAAAGATGAGATACAGAGTACATATGCCGGCGATCGCAACGCGTGAGAAAACATTTGTTAACGCACCAAATTAGCACGTTTGCCACGTTCCGCATGTTGCATGAAGCGCTCACACGCTACCAGAAAGAATCCAATCCAACAGAGACTATTAAATATTACGAATTTAATTATAGCATACAAACATTATAAAATTCAAAAAATTATAAATTTTAGAATTAATAAGTTATGAAATTTATAAAAAATTGTAATATAAAATAGAAGAAGTGTGTGGAAACTTAACCAGTTATATATACATATGCGGAGCTTTCATCAAAATTAATCCAGTTCGGCTTTTCTTGGTGATTTTTAAAACATAATAGGAAGTTGTGAACACCGGTTAACAACATCCAAAGAAAAATGGCTGTGGTTGAATGAATGTGGTTTCAACTTACTGACAGTTGCCAATGGAGTGCATGTATCACTGGCTGTATGGCTGTGCGGTCTGTGCATGATCCGGCGGCGGCACAAGCACTTTTAAGCAGACGTTCGGCTCTTACATTTTCGTAGCAAAGAGAAACTTACCTTTGGAACCAAAACTTTGTTGGCAGTAACTGCAGTAGTAATCCCTTCTATGAAGATGGATTTTCTCGTGGGTGCGAAGATGAGCAGACTGTGTAAACGCTTTGCTGCAGTATTTGCATATCCAGTCACGGCGGCCAGTGTGTGCATTGATATGCGCTTTCAAAACATTTGTTTGGGCGAACCGCTTGGGACACATGTGACACCTATACGAAAGGTGTTTTCCAGGGATAACTGGGCAGTTTAATTGTTTTTAAATCAGTGTACGGGTCAGACTTACGCATAAGGCTTGTATCCGGTATGCGTGCGCATGTGGATCTTCAGACTCTTCTTACTTGCGTACGTTTTAAAACAGGTATCGCAGGTGACCTTCTCGGAAAGGCGCCCATTTCGGGATCCCGTGTACTACATTTACAGGAACCAGGAAAATAAGACCACTTTAAAAGAGATTTGGCATTGTTAACTTCTTACCAAACAACCAGTGGCAGTAACCCCAGGGCCGACTTCTTTCTCATCCGTCAAGCGGTCATCGCACTGGGCGTCAACAGGCTCGTATCCATGCATCATTTTTCCATCCAGATGGTGATCCGGTAGCGTGAATTATGTAATAAAAACCTGCATTCTATGTATTTGATCCTTCGGCGGTCACTCAGCAATTCTCTGAGACTGAATTTTCAACCACGATTTTGCAGCTTCCAAATGACGAGCAGTATGTCAACGGCAACGCTGGGCGAGTAAGACCCGGGCATCTTTGGTATGAACTAATCAAGTAGCAATCAGTACAACCATTGTTTGGGAAGACTATGGGCATTTAAACTCAAAGAGCGCGAATTACCATTTCCCCATATCGTCATATATACATTTTTCAGCTGAACACTTATCGTTCCAAATACAACAAAAACATTCTTTATCTCATAACTCAGATCCTTACTCACACCGATTATAGACACGCTGCGATTTTCTACATTGATAAATTAGGACATTAGCGCTGCTTATGGTGTGCAATCCTGATCACGGCAGAAATTATGACAGAACCCGAACAAGGAACTTCCTGTGCAGCCGGTAGCAGTCGACGGCTAATGCACCTAGTCAACTAATGGTCACATCCCCATGCAAATGGACTTGCAGCGATAAACTGTCGTTTTTTTCCTGTATTTGAAAATGTGCATATTCAAAAACGGCGCGCTCAGATTGTGTTCCGCATCAGCGGTAGTCTAATAAAAATAAATTGCGGGTCATATATTTGGCCTTGTTATTATTTATGCAGTGGCACAACCGTATACGTAGAAGTTTGCGTAATGGCTTAATGGAATCGGGATAGAAGAACACAATATTCTACAAAGTGAACGAAGTTACCATTGTTGCTTATAGACGCAGCTACCGGGTATACCTGAGCTGGTAATGCCGTAACGTTACGATTTGTACTTAACTACAGCGATAACTCCATTTTTCAACCAAAATTACACAAAATGACACTGTTTTTCGATGTTTATCACACTTAGCATCAATTTAATATTTTCTAAAGATAAATTCCTTCAGGAAAAACTTCACGTGAAATTATCACTGGTCAGTATATCCCTACAATGAATGCATCCAAGCCTGATGTTACGGGGTAAAGCTGTACATGCGTAGCATGAATGAGAGCTTTCCTCAATAAAGAATAATTTGCAGTTTTCAAACTTATTTTATAATTTGATGCTCTGTAGGTTTGAATTTACTAGAGCAATTGATTTATTCAACAGCTGTTTAGTAATATTACATTGAGTAATTTTGTTATCTGTCCAAAACGGAAGATGCGGCCAAGTAATCTGGTAATGACTGTTCGCGTGTTTTGTCTTCTAAAACCCGTCCTTAGCCAGTCACCTTCCGCACTGATCTTCCATGAGATGTTATCTATTAGAACTTGTTAGCATACCATGACAGGCTGCGACAGAGCTATATTTTGATTTCCGGTACCGGCCGGCGCTCACAATCTGTGCTGCAGTTGGGAAGAGACAGCTGTAAGAAAGTACTCGCACTGACCATGGGTACAAGCATCAAACGTGATTACGTACTGCTTGCTAACTCATACATGTATGCTGCAGTCGTTTAAAAAAACAGTCATCAATAAAGTTTATCAATAAAAAGACACCATTAATATTACGCACAGAAACCACATGTGCATTGCATGCTCCCCGAAGATGACACAACATTCTAAATCGAAAAATGCAGAAACCTACTGCTGTTTATAATTCTTTGATATATAGATATATATACGAGTACCCAACTTATCTAGTATACACAGCACTGTGCCGTTGTACTAAAATGGCCTTTATTGTATCGTGCTAACCCCTAGAGTAGAGTACTATAGTACTAGAGTACTTGTAGGCCTTTCCCAATTCGCGTGGGATCTGTATACGCCATAACTGTATGTCCCAATAAAAAACCATAAGGCTAACTTTATGTTGTACTGACGCTTGAAAGCGAAATTTCCTTTCCAAATCGAATGATTGTAAGATTGCGTAACAATACTAGACTACTAGAACTTTTACCTTTCAAATCAACCGACAACCCTAATTCCTTGCAGTAGCTTAAGTTTTTTCTTGACTTTGAACGCTTTTTTATGATAATCGTAAGGAATTTAATGTTTTCGTGTTACGCGTACGGGTTTTCCCCTTTACAGCAGTGAACACTGGACAATACACCAACTAATGAATACTGACAAGCATGGTGGAGAAGCGAACTGAAATTTTAATGAAATTTGCTAGTTATTAGAAATGGACATCAGTTAAAGACACTAAAAACCAAGGACAGAATCCGAAGTCAAGTTGGATCGTTTTGGCGGGCTACCACAACAGCACGCTTTTAAGCAGCTTCAACTGAAACGAAACGATATTATCAGTTACTGTCCCGTACAACGTAATATTCTGTTAAATCGCTGTATACTTACCTTCTGGCCAGGTCAAAAATCGTAGAATATCCGTGCTTACCAATGGGCCGCCGTATGACAATTCTCTCGTACCGAGATGGCTGTTCCGCGGTCCACCAGACGACAGTTCTGTCCGTCCGGGTGGTATGTAATCTAGTTCACTTTCAAAACACTTGCCGCCAAGTCAAGTTCATAATTATTTCATCAACAAAATTCATGCATCAACAAAATTCTTTTACTTCAAAATTAATAATAATTAACAATTTAATTAGTTCATGCACGATTACGGTGACTTAGTGATAGATTATATACTGGTCGTATTGACTACGAGCGCGGACCACACCAGGGATTACTTAGATCGAAAGGGTTCATGACCTTAAAATTCCGTACGATATACGGTAAGCTAGTATGTTTGAGCGTTTGTTATTACCGCTGTTGTTACACCTAGTATCGACCGCACAGTGAACAACCTAGCTCCAGTGTTTTAGGTCTTTGATGCGAAATTGATGGCGCCCTATCGAACGTGATTATAAATAGTATTTTTGTCCCCCGCTCTGTTTTCATTGCATTCCCGTATAAGTTCTGGTTGAATCGGTAGCACACAATTTTTAATTATCATACAAATTTAGCAGAACGGTGTCGGCATACTAGATCTAGAGAGGATTCGAATTCTATTTAGGTATAGAAGCATATAAAAAGAAATCATCAAGTATAAACAACAAAAATCCTTGCTAAATAAATCCATTCCTCGGGTTATAGTTACACAGTAACAAAACTTTTAATAGAAGTAGTCAACTCTCCTTGATGCGCTACGGCTCCAGCATACCAAGAAATTTAATGAGTTCTGCAAACATGAAACAGAGCTTAGCGGTAGCTGGCAGCACTCAGTCACTACTGATATCAAATAAACCAAACCAACTGACACCGCACGCGACAATTAGGATCAAGTGATTTAACAAACAGAATCCAACAAACCTACTTAACTATCCTGCACCACACAGGTCGAGTGAAATCCAATAAGGCATTGAAAACCAGGTTCCACATTCTCCTTTGCGCACTTCATGAACTTATTAACCTTACCGTTTAATTTCATGCACACAAGTATATATCGAAATCAGCGGTGACCTTCGTTGTTGGGTATGCAGCTGTATACTTAACAACAGAGGTCAAAAACGGCAGATAGATGTATGATAACGCGTGGTGGAATGAAAATGCGTTCCCATTACGGCTAGTCATTAAGATGCAGGCCAGAATTGCCTTCATCAAACTTCTTGGAGAATTCCACCGGACGTGGTTTGGGCATGCCCAGATGAGCATCATATTTCCATTTTCTGTTGTGGCGTTGGGCATTGTACATCCTTGATGCGGCGATAAAATGAACGTTTGGAAGGCGTTAAGGCTTTCCGGTTTGCTTGCGAGGTTGCTCATCGGCAAGTGAACGGACAGTTACAGACTGGACAAAATACGTATTCCGTCGAGTGAGGACACAACCACAAAACAGTAGCGTGCTGTGCCTAATCATTAATATTATAATGAGCATTAATATATACGGTATGTCAGTACATCTCGTCCCCCTACAAAAACGAATATTTATTGTAATAAATAATTTTAGTGCAATATAAAGTACATAAGTACTGAAAAGCTGTCCTATTATTCATTAAAAGGCATATCGAATTGTTTCGCTTCCTTCGTACATGATAAACATCGACTTACAAATAAAAAAATTAATACAGCTCAAACTTTTATTTGTCAAAGCAAAAGCGTTAAAATTACAGATTGGGTTTTCAAGTGCATTTGTGCAGTAATCATACGTGTAAGTTATTTCGCAAGGCATGCACCACCGCTTTCACTGATGTACATACCTTTCATCATTTAACTTTCGGTATGCAATTATTACTGGTGACTTGGTTTCTTTACTTTGAAGATGCGCTTGATATTAATTTATTATGCAGTGCCTGTATTATTGCCTGGATTGGAGCTGAAACAATAAAAATATGTATCTTTTGCTGCTTACATTATTCTTTCTGGGTGACCTTTGCATACAGTGAGCTTTGCAAAACGTTTCCCTTGCTGATTTCCATTTAAGCTACAACATGTTTTCTGGGAACTACACTGAGTAATTGTAATTTTCGGTTCTAATTTTTTTATAAATGTTTTATTATTATTTTAATTTTGGGTATTAAGTACAGCAGTTCTTAATTTTTTAAATCCATAGCTAGCACCACTTTTTGCTGCATGTTGAAACAAAGAGAGCTGCAAAAGCTTTTATAAAGGCTATAAAAAAACCGAGTATCCGAAGAAATTCCATAGTACACGGAGGTGAAAACGCGCGGTAAAGCGTGAGGTGAAAACGGCAGAAAACCGTAAAAATGCAGACTGAGGTCACGGAACTGGTGTTTCTTCCTACATACTTAATACGGGTTTCTTTGGGCTGAAATAATGTACTTTATCGATATAAAATTGAACAGAAGGTGAAAAATAAAACGATTTGAGCCGTTTCTGTTCGGCACGGCAACTCCGTGTTGGATAAATTGGAACTGGGAAGGTTCCAGCCTAAAATCAGACGCACCGCGGATGCTTATTTCCGTATTTTGATTCCGTAATACTTTGATAACTATGTAAATTATACTTTAATACTTCCTCGACTGTGCCCAGTTTCCGTTGTGCATGAGTATAAGTTGATGCAGTGCACAGTGGTAATATGCAGCCAAAAACCAATTCCGCCATGTTAAGTGAGAATATTTTAGGGATCACCTGTAGTCATCCAAGTCTGACGGATGTCCAGCTATGCAGCAGTGCATGCACCCTTTTTCAGAGTAATAGTGCTCTTCCAAGTCACAACTACAGTTACTGTAATGAGTGGTTTTGGACGCAAAATATCGCTTTGACAACTGACGAACAAGAACCGATGTTAAATCCTGATTGAAAGCCACTGCACATCGAAAGGCGATCGGGCTTTTCTACTATCCGTACACTGATACCCGTACTTTCTTCGAAGATTATAAGGAATTTGGACACAAAAGTACGGCAGCAGTTCAAGATAAACAAATCATGTAATGTAGTCCTCCGTCGACGTGTCATAACTGTTTACCACGGATTTTGCAATCATTGGTACATACAGTACTGGAGAAAAACCAATTCCGTGCAGCACAACAAAAAAATGCAAAGCCAACAAGTAAAAGTTTCTACCGTAGAAAAGGGAGCAACGTATAACAAAATCAAATAATACCATCAACTGCGTACAAAAAGCAAAACCTTTCTCTATCACATTCCTCGAATCATAATTACAACCACCTTCAGCATTGTGCGAACAACACTTCCGGCGTTGTGATTCCAACATTTCAGTCACTCCATTGCGATCCGCAAACAATGCACGTGCACAACAACGCACAAGCGCAACTGACCATGCCTAATACAGCAGGTCCAGCATGTTCAAAAAGCCTTGCTCATCCCAAACAAAATCCATTGGATCGCCAGCCTCAAACGGCTCGAAATCATTCTGCTCCTGCTTAATCAGGCCATTTAGAACCTACAGTAGAAAACCAGGAAATCGTGTAATATTAATTTTGCTAATTGCACCGAAATTATCGGCCAGCACCTGTTCGGTGACATTCTCGTCGTATTCAGTGGTTACCTCTTCCTCTTCCTGTTTCACAGGATTTGCAATAACCGCCTCGTTGGCCTGATCATCTTCAGGCGGACAAACCACCGGAAGTGGTCCGGGCATTTCGGGGTCGCCGGGCTCAATTTCAGTTTTAATTTGGCATCCAACTGCAGCTGTGTGGCAACGCACCCCTCCACTATTAGATTGCAAAAAGCTTCGCCTATTCTTCGATTTCGTACGCTTACGCGCAGTACTCCCAATATTTCGGCGTTGCAGACATCTGTGTTGTATTTGACTTTCCCGACGGGAGAAAGACTTCTGACAGAACTGACAAGGATACGGTTTGACGCCGGTATGCCTATGCTCATGACGATCCCGAGCAGCTATGCAAAATAAAATATTTTCTAATTTCGACAACCAACTTAATGGTATACGTGACGGCCGTTTATAATGTATGCCAGTTTCGTTATTATATGACTGCTACAGCAATAGTATTGTTTTGGTTGTTAAAAAATTGAAGTAAGTACGCTAAGAGCTCTGGTTCTGTTTGAATACAAGATATCTCCATTCGATATTCAAAAACGTCGGCTACAGACTCTAAACAAGAATTAGCCTCTAATTCACGAATTCTATATCAAAATTTACGCATGCAAAGCCGCGCAAACCGCAAAGCATTCTGTAATAAATCCAAAAATTTGATTGTGCGGAACCTTGATTTCTTCGACTATTCAAGAAAAGGCATTTTTTATCTTGATAATACCACTGATGTTATTAATTTATTAATGTAAACAAATAGTGTTAGAGACCGGTCATACTAGGTACGACGACTCTCTTCTACGTAGATCTTTCGTCATCACACACTAATTATTAAATGTATTCGCGTGTCATCTCACCTTTCGAGGAAAACTTGCTCAAGCATTGTGAGCATTGGTGATTTTTGTTCTTCAAATGCGTATTTTGATGAGTCCGCAAATGGGCGGACTGAACGAACGCTTTTGAGCAGACCGGACAGACGTAATCGCGGCGTCCAAGATGCGCGTTTATGTGGGCCTTCAGGACGTTAGCCTGGGAAAATTTCTTGGGGCATAAAAAACAACTGCAAGACAACGCCTTATAAAGCATCCTTAACTGACACCCGGTTGTTTGAAAACACTACATGCAATATCGGCCGCTTCTTGCTTTACTGACCAGTGTGGCTTATAGCCAGTGTGGATACGATCATGAATCTTTAATGACTTCTTGCTGGAATACATTTTGAGACACGTTGGACACTGTACTGCACGTCGGGCCGACGAGGCCGTTTCCTTGTGCCTTTTATTTTTTCGTCCAGTCATTGGTTCTAAAAGTACTTTGTATTTAGTGCAACTAGTAGCAAACTGAAAGTTAACACGAAGGATTAATTTGGGTTCGGCAGTACTGCCCGATACTAGCGCGGGAAAGTAAAATGCTGACAAATTCTTTACATTTTTGCAACATTATAATATTGTTGCTGCGCTTATCGGGAAGGGATAGAATTTCCATTGTGGTTTATGTTCTGTTCACAATTACATGTAGACTATTGCGAAGTTGTTCGCTGATTTCAGTAATAAGAACAGATGCTGTGATCTGATGCTATCATACGGATGTTTACTTGCACGTGGGTGTTTTCAATTATACACTATCACTTTTGGTCGTGCGTCATATTACGTATTTTATTAAAAAGGATTTATATTCCATAAATATCACTTTTCTAAATTGGGAGCAACCGGGCTCTTGGCAATGGAGGAGTATGATGGGAAACTGCGTCAGTTAATACCTAGGTATGTATAGAACTATATAACATATGTGCTTCTGCTATATATTACTATATATAATAAGTATTATACGAACCTATATCCCTATATATAAAACGGATGCGGACCTCAGACGCCGATCAGAAGGAATGCCGCAGCAGCAGGGAAAAACTCATAAATCATATTCCTCGAAGCTACGAGTAATTATGTACCTGTGTGTGCATCCTTAATTGTTGGATAAGTTCAAATTAGACACTCGTAAAATACCGGAAATCATAGCTCCCTAGTCAGGCTACGCATAATTGCCGAATAGGGATGGTAAAAAAACTTCCGCTAGGTATCTCAGATAATATGTAGATTGGGATATATAGATATAACTACATATAGTGGTTTTCCCGTTAATTTACGTGAATGTTTTACTGTGTTTTTCCAATTCTTTCTTATTGCACGCATTACTGTACAGCATACAGACTGTTGTGGACACCAAATAGTACTCGTAATACATTTACGAATTGCTGTAATGGTCTGTATACAGTCCTTAAACTTGGAATCTCTAATTTGCGTATTCCAAGTCTGGGTAAGCTTCCGATAATAAGAATATCATAAAGGCAATGTGATCAGGTGGTAAAGCGGCATGTGTGAACAGTACTGTAAGGCTTGGAATTAGCGGATATAATACTGCTTTAAGCGTGTCCTAATTTTATTAAAACGTTTTCAAAGGCTTTGTTTAAGGAATTCCCGCTAGGTCTGCCGTGATGCAGATCCAAAGACATCCAGCCAATCTATAGCCGGCACACAAACGCAACATCCATAGGGAGGTCTAAAAACTTTGCAAGCAGGTAATCTTATAATAGAGGCAAGTGCTGTAAACGAGTGTACCCCCACATCAAACGTGTCAAATGGATTAAACCACCAATTTTCCGGTATGAAATCAATTCCCACAGGCCAGGTAATGAAGCAGACTTGCAAAGGTCCATTTCAAAAACCGCTTGTGCATAAAACCCAATTTCACAATTTCAATTGTATTATACAGCTTCCGAAAGAGTGCAGCTGACCAATTGCAAATTTATGAATTTTATGGAGATGATTTGTGAAAATGCTCTCAAAAACAGTCGTTCGCATGGCGGCAACTTTCGCTGCCCTGAAGTAGTTTTTTTCATTAAACACCTGCTTTGCACGCTTTAGTAGCTGGCGAACGACACCTTTATCGTTCCCACATGAGACATTTTGGCTCGTCAACGATAACTATAGAGTCCAGTTGCAACTGCCATAAATATGACTGCAGTGAATCTTTCGAATAGTTTGGAGACCACTCTGACATGGGTCAGTCAAATTATGAAGCAGGTGAAATGAAAGATAACATTATCCTGATGAATATCTATAAGATGTGCGGCGTCGCTTGATCTATATTGTGAACACATTATCTTAAGACTTAATGGCAAAATTTTATGATTAAATAATTGTTATACTGAAAAAGTATTGTATCATTAATACTAGTACGAGTAAATGTAAGTATGTAACAAACGAGTAGCTAGCTGTACTACTACGGGAAATCCATGATGATTTGTTCAATGGTCCGACATTGTTGTGTAAACGCAGTAATGCACAGCAGTCAGCAGTAGGTGTTTTGTGGGAACATGCACCGCTGCTCCAGTTTTAGAATGACACGACTTAGGTCTAAACTCTGGAAAACTACCACTGCCGTTCTGATCAGTGCCAACAAATACAGTAGCATAAAATCACAGTGTCTCGATCAATTAACATTTATGTATTTGTAACAACGCTGAGTTTGCATTATTAATTTTCCAGTTTTGTCTTACCAGCGACGGTTAGCGGTATATGGTGCTTACTTCAAGTCTCAAGGTGATATCGTATTACAATTACATTGGAATATAACACTTTAACTTGGCTGATACAGTAAATAAACATATGCATAGTTAGCATTTTAATTGCACGATTTATCTCCACTAGAGCGCTACCGAGTATGCGGTGCAGGTACATAAGTATGTATAGTACACGTAGCGCACAAGTCATCGGTATTGTACCGGGCACGTGTTAACGTATGCAGAGACTTGTAGATGGTGCAATAACATGCATGAGATTTGCACCAAGTTCCTAATTTCTGTCACATATTTAGAAACAATTTTAATAATTTTATAGCCTAAACTTAAAAGTATGCTATTAACCTGCTTTCAGCGCCTTAAGGACAGATTCCGTGATATTTTGCTGATAGATTGATAATTTCAGATATCGCCGCAAGTCGTTTTATACATCCTCGCAGCAACGCAACAAATTTGTTCAAAGTGTTTTTATGTTACACTTACGCGCAAGATAGGTCCCACAATCTTTTTAAGCTAGCAGCGCCGGTCGTCCAACGTTCGCACAACACTCTCCGTCCAGACGACAGCTCTATCACATCAGGCCACTTGAGTCGGCCGGTGGACGTCGGCATTCGAAGTGTGAATACTCGTATCCCAGTCAATCCCAGATTCCCCAAGCGTGCTACAACACAGTTTCCTCTTATTTAAGTCACGGGATAAACAACAAATCATGAGTGAGAGTAAATAACTTTGATAAAATAACACTGTTACAGCGCTTATGTTGTACTACAAAACTGTTTCTGATATGACACCATGTTAAGGTAGCGAAATGGTACAAAAAAACATGATCACACAATTGTATGAGTATAATAATTGTTATAGCTGCTCGACGCACATTAAACGGTTAAAGTGTAAATTCTCAAAGCTTACTAGAAAACGCACGCGGCTGTTGATTCCTGAGGAGCTGCCAGCAACAGCGGATGCCGGCGAAATGGTATACTGAACGGCCAATGCGCACAATAAATACAACTGCCGCTAGTAAATGGGAATTGGTGCGGCCGCGTACAACCAAGGACCCAATGATTACAGCACTGTTTTTTACTGGCTGGAATCGTAGCCGGCTTTTCTGATCGTTATTGGCGCGTAATATGCCGCATGTATACCAGTGCATGCGTTAGTCTAGACAGAGTGGCTTTGGATGACAGTAAGGTCAATTGAATTTTCCGTGTGTTCGCATTTTCATCGATTTTCGTGGTTTCTACGCACTTGCAAGTTGCAGCTAGCACTTGCTAATACGATTGCATGGATTGAATCAGTTCAAAAATCGCTACACCTACCTTTATATATATACACAGTCTACAAGAAAAAAGCCCATATTTTTTACAGCTGTTAATTTGCTTCTATACTAGTATTACAGTGCGTATTTCTATGGAATGATCGGGATCGACGCAAACGTGATTTTGCATCTCACAGTCAAAGTTACATAAATTAAATGTAGCGGGTATAAAGGTGTTTTCCTGCACCAGGCAAGTATATTTAAATTTCTAGCATACATCGTAAATCCTTAGCAGTTTATACTATTTAAATTTTTTAGTTTCGTTCACAGTTTTTCGAGGTGCAATTTGTTCCACCGTTTTATGTTTGTGAAATCGTTTGGTTAAACCGCATAAAAATCTTAGTTTATGCAACTGCTATAGATTATATCAGATTCTGTAGTATGCAAATTTACTGTACGAATACATTCTTTTGTTGCGTATTGCGTATTTTTGTACGAACACTACGGGTAAGCAGCAACTACAGTATAAGCTGTCAGTAGGGCATTTTTCCCTAAGTTTGATATTGGTGTGGCAGTTTATTTGTTTCAACTCACTTCCAAGGCCTCGGTACCTGTACTTGCACATGCTGGCGAGCAAACTCCGGCTCTGTGTTTTTCGATATCTATAGAAAAGGTGATCACAGAATTTTCTGGAGCTACTTTAGACTTTGGGTATTGATGTTTGTCTATGATCGCCGGAGCCGAGTGCTTGTCAAATGCTTACTTACCAAATCAAAACAAGCACCAAGCCATTTGGTGTCAATTACTTAACAAAACTACAGTATCTATGTCAGTCTTATGATACCATGGTAACAAGCTTATGATTGACCACTGGATCTCACAAAATCAAGTTGGCAAAAAGTCAACCAACAGCTGCAGATCACCGGTAACATTGATAGCATTAAGTTACTATTAAAACATCAAAACTGGGTAGTTAGAAGTTGAGATCATCGGCCGGGAAGGAGAGGGACCGAAATCCTGGCACCGATATTTAGTACCAGCATTTATATTACTACCCTAGTACTTACTACAGTACATGGAATATCACGTTGTTTAGTAGTGGCGGTACGTTGTTAACCAGTATTATGAACATTTTCTTGAATTGTTTCTGTCCTTTCTGTGTTTTCTCTTCAATGTTTAAACCATAATATCTCTTCTTTAAACCAATAACATTCCGTATGTTCTGAGATAATGTCATCTTCAAACTTCTTGGAAGGTTTGTACGCGTAGTAGGTAGCGATCTACAAACTGTCTGCCACCTGTGTTTATGTTATTACGAATCTCGTGAAAGAGTTGTACTCGATGTCCGCAGACAGCAGTCAGTTAGACTCCTGACTCCTTACTGTCAGTTCACATCGTTACACTATTGTCAGGATAGGTCAAAGAGGCTTAATACAGATACAATAAGCTAATTGGTCTTGTTTGTTATTTTTGCAGTAATTTGCTTCGACTGCTAGATATTACACTGACATTGGAAGAAAATATATGCGACAGGTTGAGTAATGCGATTCTGAAGGTCAACAGAGATGATTGCATTGATGGGGCGCCCGGCGCGGGTATGAATGAGATAAGCATTCGACCCACACCACGTGCATACCTCCAAGGGATCGAAGCTAACCACAGCAACACGGGACCATCAGAAAAACGTCCTGCTACAATCCTCGGGTTGGATGATCAGGTGAATCGGCTGAAGATGAGAATCAGGACATCCCAGGTGGATGGTGGTGATCTATATGTTCTTGCAATCTTTGCAACGCTATGAAGCGCAGCTGAGCTGTGTTCTGGATTCTACTTTGTCACAGTCTCGTGATACCTATATGAAATTCTACATTGTCAATCTAATGCGTTAGGCGTGGATTATTAAGTGCAGTCGGTATGGCTTTACCACTGCCGCAAACGAAACCATTATGTCCACAATAAAAAGCTAACCCGTGGCACGATCTCGATTACAACCGTCTGGCGAGCGTTATCTAACAATTAAATGCACCGATATATCGGATTTCGCACACCATACTAACATCAGATTTGGTAATGTTAGCAACGACGACATTTGGAAATATAGTGCAGGACACACAAAAACATCACAATATACAGTAATGAAACAATTGCAAATTTCTGAATTTTGGCAGGCTATGTTCTGTTTTCGATATCATCCATAATTGAGCTGATCATCCTACAGTAATAATAATTACAGTACTTTTGCAGATTTTAGTGCCAGTTTATCTCTTCACAAAAAATTTCACAACAGCTTCGGAAACAATCACTCATTAAGCATCAATCGACAGAGGCGGCGAATAAAATTATTGTATATAGTACTTAATCGAGTGCACCTCATCAGAAGTCAGTAGTCTCGGTACGTAGATATCAGTATGAGTAGTGCGAAATAGATACATATTTGTATTATATTTACAGAATGGTCATAAGAAGATAAATTTATATTCAGAAACACAGACTTTGGGTTTTGATTCTTGTAGTTTTTTGTCTGTCGCAACATAATACGCGAATCGATACTAACCATGTTGAGTTATTGTTGGTCTTGGATGCTCGGTTTCCTAAACAATGGTAGCGAACAAAAACAACAAACAAACAACTTCTCTGCACTTCCTGTCGCTCTGCTCTTTTAGTCATTTAGTGCGCCGCAGGTGATTTGACATTAATATTGTGTCTGTTTCGTGCTCACGCTTGCAACAAAGTGGCGCATTTGACATTCCTACATTGATTCAATCCGAAGCTATTCGGTGACTAAACAGCACAGAGATGTACAAATTTTATTAAAATAAAAGTGGTTTATACAATATGTACATAGCTCATAGCTGTATTGTACGGAGGGCGTCGATGTCGGGATGGGTCATAATGAACTACGAATAGGTACTTATTGTGACGTCATTGTACTTTGAAATTTCAATGAAATTACTGTAGTAGTATGCAAGTGACGCGTTTCGAAGGATGATGGATTAAATGGCTTTGTCACTTTGTCGATATTCTAGTAGATTGTGACTTTGTCGAAAATAGGGCTTTCTCAGGAAAATAGGAATTGTTTGGGCCTTGGTGCAAGAAACCGAATGCAGTGCAGCATACGGACCGTGAAAAAGTGAAAAATTCTTGAAAATAATTAATTTTATTGTCGTCGGTGTATTTAGAAGTTATTCGGTTTCTACGGTGGGCAGCAATTGTCATAGAAAGTGTTTTTTATGGGCGCAACGGATACCGCGCGCATTCACAGATTCGGAAAGACTGGTAAAGGAAGAAATCAGTGTTTTGTAAACGAATCAAGTTTTCATAAATCTGTTAGCTTTTCGAAATGTTTTGCAATCACTGTAAGTAATATTACGGACACTATTTGCAGTTGACACTAGCGACAAAAGCAATTCCGGAGTGGAAGTGAGAAAAAAACCATGTTAAAAAAAGGCTACGAGTAGTGTAAGCTCTGCAAAAGTGGCACAGCCATTCCATTTTTCGGTTATTCTCTTCCTCATCGAAACTTATGATTCTTTTTTTTCCTGATTAGTTTACATAATGCCTAACAATAAAAAATAGTTCACATGTGTGTTAGTTCAAATGGTCGGGAGGCAAAGCAGGAAAACTTACTTATGGAATGTCCTTTGTATATCTGTAAAAGTCAAACACCTATTCTGTTTTCACGATATTGGAGTCTAACGCTTGTAACTAGTGAATCTGAATCTAGATTAAAATTCATTTGTACGAAATACTGCGAATCTCTGTCACGTCATTTTGTTAAGGAACTTACAAATCTTGTGCAGACACACAACGGAAATCAACATTTTATGCACATTTTCATCGCCATAATACTGTACAGAAACCACAAAGGTAAGTCTAATAATCACAATGCACAAAGAAGGCAACATGAGGCCGAAAACCAACAACACCAACTTGCATAAATCTCCCACACCCAACGATCTATAACCCAAGCCAAAGCGGTACCAATATTAAACGCAACAAGCGCTACTCCGTGTTAGCAGATGGCAAACTTACAAACACGAATGTGCAATGTGCATTATCACATTAAAAACAAAACTGTGCAAAAAAATTAAAAGCAGTACCTCTGGTACAAAAAATAATGTCAGAAGAAAACATAAACTAGAAGAATACATACAACGCATCTCTATGATCCAGGCACGCTACGCGACGTGACGTTGCGCAGCGCGCTTCTGGTGGCAGTTGCTTGTCGCTCGTCGCTTTTATCCAGTCTGCGCTCTATCTCTGATAGACAGAGCACAGACTGGATAAAAGCGACGAGCGACCAGCAACTGCCACCAGAAGCGCGTTTGCGCAACGTCACTAATAATGTGTCTGCACGATCGCTCTCGATAACGTTCGTCATATTCAACCACTGGTGCTCCAGGATCATGGCACACGTTGGTCGACGAGCTGCTTTGACATGCAACAGAACTCGCAGTAAATTCTTCAGATCTGACGAAAAACTACTTGGTAATGGTCCAAAATCTGCCGAATTAACGCGCTGTATCAAACGTCGTACATCCGTGTCATAGAACGGATACCGTCCGGCCACCATGGCAAACAAAATTATTCCTAGCGCCCAAATATCCTTCTTGAGAACATTCGTGTTTCGGCTGGCACGCCCTGTGTCTGTTTGATCACCACTGGGAAGCACCATACAATTGTCCAAGCTCATCAGGAATATCTGAGTACTATAAGGAAAGCCACAAATTACTGGATGTGGTTCACCTTAATACATAGTACATACTCGAGCAGTTTAGCAAAGCGTCAAACAGAAAATGCGACTAAAGCAATATTCCACTTCTTCTTGATCATCCCTTTTACTTGAATGCATCCATATGGGATGCAACAAAAGCAGGAAGAATGCGAACCATAATATCATTTCCTTCGTAACCTACTTATCACGCATAGGATCCACAAAAACCCGCCGCAGTTTCATATCCTTAAGGAAAATACCCTTATTGTGACACTGAAGCAGCAGATTGACCACTTGACGGAAAAGATGCCGTGCTTCCGGTTCACTCAAGTGTGCCTTGGACTGAATGTAATCCTGAAGACGCATCCGATCAACATCACGATAGATAAAGCAATCCAGGAGCACAGAGCTCGAATAATCGGCGGGCACGGGCGAGCATAATTTGGCTGCTGGGAGTGCGCTTGATAGCGCAACGCGGACCACATCAACGATACCATTAATACTGCTAACATCCCTCATGAGGGTGTGCGCTAACATTAAATCCCCACTGCGAGATGATCCACTGGGCATGATCTGCAAAAGGAACAGGTGTCCTCGATACCTGACCGATGTTCAGAATAAACCGCGCGGTACAGTAATAAAACAGCATCAATACAGCAAGGTTCCATACATTAGTGAATAAATCACAGCATGCCATCTCACCTTGCAGATAATTCTCCGGTTATTTTCGGTATCTTTCCCCGCAAACCAATCCGTCTCGTTTAGGAGCACATCTGTGAACACGTATTTACCGACTGTCCACGGTAGAACGACCTGATCTCTGTCCAGGCAGGATGCCGGGCCAGTCGACATGGACAGATCTACCGCTGCATGAGCGCCCGATGCGCCGAGATGAGCTTGCAGGAGCTGTCGCATACCAGGATCCCGACGAGCCGGATACGGCTGAAATCGAGTGGGGATGGGAGAGGCTGGTGCATTTGAGGCTATCTGATTCTGATTAACTTCGGACAAAGGTACGACGCCGCTACGAGATCGCTGTTGCAGAGATGACAGTTCCAGTTGAGGAGTCATACTGGTATGCGTTTAGGCTGTGCGTTTACTGGGAACACCAACTGTAATCGACAATTTCTCAAGCAAATCGGTGCCTTGAGAATGAACCTGTAAAAACAGCCTCTGTAGCACGAGTACAGTGAATTTCAAAGCATTTATTAGCGCAAAAAATCATCTGGAGAGCCGGTGAGAAATAATGCAAATTCCGTCAAAATTGAAAAGTGGAGGTAACAAAGTAAATAGTTGCATCATTTTAGCACGGGAATCTAAAGTACGGTGTGAGCGATTCCATGTGATTGATAATATCATTGATTAGTCAAGTGATAAGACAGAATATCAGCGGTTAGCGGGTTAGGTATGCATTGTAGTACGAGTATTTGGACCAGAAAATTTACAAAGTAGCCGTATTTCATTTAATTTAGCCCGTACCGTACACGGTACTGGTTGTACAACAGTATCACATTATTTGTATACTATAAGTCTATAATTAAACAGTATATTGAGTATCACTAAACACTAGTGTTGGGTAGTAAAAGTCCCTGCCAATATATTTACTATTTTTACTATCTGCTTTTGGAGATTTACTTACTTTTACTAACTAATGACAATTTTTCAGGACTTTTACTTACTTTTACTTACTATTTTAATTTTTCAAAGGACATTTACTTACTAAATTAAAGTAAATTTAATAAATTTAATTTAGCGTTAAATTTTTTAACTACATTAGTTTGGAGGTGCAACAGAACACTGCAGACGAATTTGTTATGCACCGAAAATGGTTGCATTTATCGAGTTTATTTATCATTATTTTTTATGCACTTACTGTACTATTTGCTAAACTTTTAATATTAGGCGGACTTTTACTAAGTAAATGGCCGTTATTTAATTTTATTTAGTAGCACAACACTACTAAACACGGTAAAACACCTAATAAAGTAGGAGCGCGGCACTCAGTGCACTGGCATTTTACATCAACGCCAGATCTAATGGAAAAAAACAAGATCAACAGAAACTGCACGTTATTCTTCAGAAATGGTGCATCGAATGGAAACTTCAATTTTGAACATATTGTTCACAGTCAGTAGTGGAGACATTTCGTGAAAAACATGGTACAGTATGTCCTAATGCCACGGGTACCGTGTCACGTGTGCGTTCTGTTACATATACTGCATCCATATTTTTGTAAAAAGTAAAAGCATGCCAGCCGAGTCTGCAGCCGACTAATTATAATCCCAACATTAAAACAGAATTGTTCGTACGATGTGAAATAAGTGTCGAATGATAAGTTCGTATGATGTGTATAAGTGTCGAATCGGTTACTGCTTTTAAATCGTAAAAAAAAACATTTCTCATTATTTTCATGGTGTTTGTCAGAATTTGACATACTGTATTCAGCATACTGATGGTGAGCTTACAAGTTAGCTTACGGGCAGTTGTACTAGTACCGGCTACTAGTACTGTACAACACAGATTAACAGTGCGGCGAAACTGGCTGCATTATTAATTTTCATCATTCATCCAGAATATACTGCAGTATCCTGTATCGTGTATGCACAGATAAACACTTTTCCAAGCAGTGGAAAGTGCCGAAAAAGACTAAGTACTAGTACTGTAATGAAACATGAAAATACACCTATTAAATTTTGCTTCTTGAATCACTATTACGTGTACAGTACTTTCAATTCAAGAGGCAAAATCTGAGTTAACTAGTGCGACAACGAATGCGAGTGGAAACTGGAAACCGAACAACGAATGCAAAAGAAATTTAACAAATACGAACTTCATTAACCGTAAGCCTAATTCTCGGAAGATAAACGAAAAATACGGAGACAAGCTACTGCGTGACCGATGCTTCGCGATGAATTGAAGAATAAGAAATCGAATTCGAATATTCTGATCGCAGCAATATGCTGCGATTTGCGATACGAGTACTGAGAGCTGGAGCAGAAACTACTGTACACAGTACACGCAAAGAGAAAATTAATAAAGAAAAATCAACACGCGTGACGAGAGCTGAATATAGCGCCAACACGACTTGAAAAAGTGATAAAAAATGCAGCCATTCGATACGGATCCTTCGCAGCTTGTTGCATGATGAAAAACACTCAAATTCTCTGATCGGTGCGCTGTTCTAGATACAGATAACTGAAGTACTCTTACAGTACGGCGTACAGTAAAATCTGTGAGATTGAACATCTGCGAACATTGAACACAACACGGCTTTACATTGAACGCTCGCGCCTAGGAACCGGCGCGTCTCGTAGACTACTCGTATAACATAGGGGGGCCACCGCGAATATTGAACATCTGTGTAAACTATAAAGTGAACATTGAACGCTTTACTCGGAACCGCACTAATAAAATGACGCTGTTCAGTTTGAACAAAGGCAAAAAATCCGGCTCCGGTATGTGAGAAAGACGGCAGAGAGAGAATAACTTTGAACAATACCGTTTTAAAATGCGCATTTTTCGCTTGTTTTCACACAACATTGCAGTTTGTCATCTAAACAGCTGTGAGGAGGAGTTGCCTCCCCGCACACCCGCACTGGTGCGGGTGCTAAGTTGTTTTGCTGTTTTTCGATAGTGATTTTCTCCATCTGCCAGATCTTCGGTCTGGTAGATTCTTCAGTTGCTAGCCATCGTCGTCTGAGTAACTTGCTGTTCTTTTTAGCCCCGCAGCATTCTGCTGCGGGAGCCGGGAGCATCTGTAGTGCTATGTGAATGGGATATAAAGTGTGCAGTTGATTGTCGGGTGTCTTGCGTTTCCGCATAACTCGTAGTATACAACACTGCTCACTCTGCAGGATAGATTCCGTTTCTGTCTCTGTCCGTGGATTCTTCCTAGATCCACCATCATACAGCTGACTCTGTTTCGTTGATCTACAATGTTTTCGCATCGAGATGGCGTTAAAGGTTTCAATAGTTGGGCGCAACTGGGCGCAATTGCTTTGAGATTACTGTACTTATTTACTTTGCAGTATAAGCTTATCCTTTGAAAAGACTATGCACAACAGGGGGATGTACCCCCGATAGCTGCCTTTGGGGGTCTGTCTTGCTGCCCCTGGGGGGCCCCCCAAGTTGGTTCACCCGGGGGCAGCTACTGCGAATATTGAACACTCGTCTACTTTGAACACTTTTGAAGGAACCGTAGGTGTTCAATGTACACAGATTTTACTGTATTTCGCTTTGCAGTGCGTACAGCAGCGAGTAATTCGGATAAACATGATTAGAGAACGGTTTTGAAGTCCATAAGAAAAAATAATACTGCTAAACGGTAAACTTACTTCCGACGTTCTGAGTGAGTTTATAAGAAACTGTACGGTTTTGCCACAGATAAGACTAGAAAGTAATTATAAGGATGTACTAGTAATACTTCTATCTATATAATATATGTTATTAGTTAAGTACCTGTTATTTTTAACGTTTTGTTAAAAAAAGTGCCCAAGTTACCAAGTACAATACATAACCGTCTTGTTACAAGACGGTTATGTATTGTAGTTGGTAACTTGGGCACTTTTTTTAATAAAACGTTAGAAAAATTACAGGTACTCTTATATTCTTATTTGAATAACTCAATAATGGTTACGAATCCATTTATTATATCGTAAACCTTTCCATGTAGAATATTGTACAACTGATTAATTAATTTAAAAGCGTGCGAAACCAAACTAATGAAGGTTAAAAAACATTTTACTGTTGTAATCGTCGCCAGTGGTCGAATCTGCTTAGTGCTTACTTGAGTAAGGCCTTAGGGTCCCGAAACCCGTTCCGTGTTCTAGCCTTCGCCTGCGGCTGCTTCAGTGTTCGAGCCTATGAGGAACCTCAAAATAACATATCCGTGAACCCAGAAATTTACTATTTCAGCCGATGTGATGAAATTTTTAGCGAAATCTGGCAGGTACTGTAGTTACTGTAAGGTTGTATACCTTACTACAGCTTACCAGTTACCAAGTTGTGATTTCCTGACGCAACTAGTCCAGGACAAAAAATAAAGTATAAAGGATCGCTGATGGGCCCAATCATGAAACAATAGCTCAATTCAGCAACAGTACAAGTACAGTGAAGTACGATGATAGCACGACAAAGACAACGTGTAACATTCGTAAATCTACCGAACAATAAAGACAGTCAGACAAAACAATATCAGCATAAAACTCAGAATCTCCACACGCCACACCAACTAGATCACTGGTTGAATGGCGAAAACGCGCCGAAGCGCTTTGGGGTAATACTCGCCCCAGATCCCATCGGGCATGACACACAGAGACTCCGAATTTACACCTCCACGTCCCATCCACCCATCCAGAGGGTTCGGGAGATCCACTCCACGGTCCAATGTGAGCGAAACGACAGCTTCCAGAATGAACATCCATGCGTTCCCGAAAACAGAAAACACAGAGCCCCCGAACGCTGCACCAACTAGGTCACTGGTTGAACGGCGAAAACGCGCCGAAGCGCTTTGGGTTAATACTCGCCCCAGATCACATCGAGCACAACATCCAGAAACTCCAGGCTCCCCACCCTCAGGCCGCATGAATCCGGAATGCGAAAATGACGTATGCAAGCGACGGCAGGTCTCGGAGTCAGCGCGGCTCCCGAGCGCACATCCATGGTTTCCAACCTCACCGTTCCCAAAAGCAAAAACAGCAGAATCCCCGAACGCTGCACCAACTAGGTCACTGGTTGAATGGCGAAAATGCGCCGAAGCGCCTGGGGTTAATACTCGCCCCAGATCACATCGAGCACAACGTTCAGAAATACCGAGCTTCCCGCCAACAGGGCCGACGAAGTCTTCTCCGCGGGATGAATTCAGGAACCGATTCAACTCCATGATATGAGAGACGGATGAACAAAGCGAATCAGATCCACCAGATGAGTATGGCGAAGTGAGATGTTACACGGGTGCTAGAGAGCCTCCAGTGGCGGATGCTGGCAGAACCCGACCGTGAAAGCGCTCAGGACTTGTCCCTGCCAATCTGGCGTTAACCAGAATGGCAGGGCTCAGTTTACCACACAAAAATATCCGCAAAAACAAAATGACAACACAGGAAATTCAAAACTCTAGACAAAGACTCGATAGAATATTATATTGTATAGCAGTGACTATAACTAACTCGTACAACACAGATAGCTCAATATTACAGGGAAAAACATCAATATTACAGGGAAAAACATCGTGCCACCACCAGTTTCACAACGGCATTTACGCTGTCAAACATAATTACGTCGCGTCCGGTAGGCTTACTGTACTTTGGCTTAACTGTCTGACAGCATTTTCTTTTCTCTGACCCTATGTTTAGGCCTCATCTCAATTTGTGCTGTTTCAAGATTTGAAAACACAAAGGTTAACACGGTTACGCGACCGTTTCGCTTTCGCCGTTCTGCGCAAGCACGCAGTGCAACTTAATACGTAATTGTAAACTAGTGGTGGTTGTCAACCACATTGCACCGGACGCGAGCGCCAGTGCTACTGGAAAATGGTATTACTATTGGACTTGTGGAATTGGAAAAGCGTGACAGACGGTCTTTTTCGGTTTTGGCTCTGCTGTGGAAAATGCATGCTCTGCTATGGAGCGTGCATCACTTGACGAAGGCTTATCGCAGCACATCGGGTGTATAGATAGATATTACAGCGTAACAGGCTTCGTAAAGTTTAAATTTAAATACCAGTGGTGGACCGGTGGTTAATAACCACATCGTTGCACCGAGCGCGAGCGATACTTACCGACAAAATAATGTTTGAAGTAGAATAATAAAGTTGAATTAGTGAATTGTACACAGCACATGTGTTTTTTGAACTTTTTGTTCAGATACCGCTTTCATATATTGAGAAAATCCGTCATAAATTATACACAGATATGTGTGACAGAATTTTCAGAGTTGACTGACTGTTGATACACGACACCTAAAATAGTTTTAAGTCAATTTCAAGTTAAGTCTTGACCCCGGCGGTACGACCGTAATTCATTCATTCATTCATTCATGTATCAGGAGCAGACAACCCGTTTAACAGGACTTCAATGTCTGGTCGGTGAAAAATGCATCAAAAAATTACAGAAGAGATTATTTAGACAGATCAACAGTTTTCAGAGCAAACTTGGAGAATCTAACACCGCTAACACTGAGTATCTGTGAATTAACTTTTTGAATCCGCCCAAAAACGTTCTTTAACCGCATGGCCAGCGTGCTTTCTTCGATTTTCTGTTTCGCTCTGGCTTGGATTCGTTTCGGCTTCCGGAGATTGTACTGCGATGCTCGAAGTCGATCAGTTCAACCAGGTAGGGCGGAAGTTTGTACACTTCATGGTTGTAGATCTTATACAACCAAACGGCTTCCGACTGCTGCCAACGGTCAAATACCGTATCTTGCTCGGAAAATCGAATCTTGCTCGGACACGGTCATGTCGCCAAATATAGAACTAAGCCAACCCACCTTCCGTACGAACTGAGACGCGCCTTTTCTCATCTCCAAAAGTCAGCGTGGCGGCGTGCGTAGGCTGCGGCGGGCGCAGCCCTTGCAGTTTTGTCATCTCACGAATGTTTTGATTTTCACTCCGTTCGTTATAATGCAATAAATGTACGCAGTGGTATTGACTCGTATATGAAAACATGATAACATCTTCTAAGAGTAAAAATTAAAAGTAATAAATAAAAATTCCTGGGAAAAACAAGATCTTGACGATTTAAATTTTTTTTGCATTTAGTCTAGGACTCTAGGTGTACGAGTACAGCTAGAGTGAAATGTGAATAATGGAATTTGATGGTTTGACTTTGCATCACTTTGCAGTATAAACTTTGCATGAAACAAAAATCCTCGTGAAATGGCAAACCTCAACCTGCAGGGGTTGCCCAGTACACACGCCGACTCTCGAGGAGTTCTTTTCGTTAGTATGTAGTATGTACTGTACTCCAATTCTCCAAAGTACTTTAACACTTCTACCAAGGTATAAAATAATAATAAGTATTATTAATTTTTGTACCGTTCTTTGTATTGCTCGTAAAATTACTGTAGTTAAACTTAATTTTAACATTTAGTTTAATGTTGCTGACTAACAGTTAGTCACTAACTGTTGTGGACAGTGGACTGTTTAGTGTTATTAAATTACAACACTGTTTTAACGTTCAGTGTTTGCTTATGGTTAGACCGTTAGTGTTTACCTTTGCTGGCTTTGCAGTTTGCACTACTGTATTTTTTGGACGAAGATTTTCACGGTCGACACAGGACTTAGTCGTGCAGAATTATTTGTGGAATGCATTGACAGTGTCTGTCTACCGTGGAAAAATAAAAGCATTTGAATGGGCGAACATACGATATACAGTGTTCAAAAGACGTACTTTTTCAGACAGTACGTCAGTAGCCACCTGCGGATTTGCAGTTATCAAACCTCTTTTTTTCCGATACACCTGACAGTTGTTGTGGTTTCCTCGTGAGGTGAAAAAAATTTGCAGTTTTGGCCGTTTGAGCCTCCCGAGCTCGGTAAGTCTGATTCTACGAGTACTTTCGTACTCGTAGATCCTAGATCATAATATCTGGAATTCGAACGTTGCAGAATTTAGCCTTATAAATATATAAATAACACAAATATATAAAGTATATATAAGTATCGTATTTTCGTATATAAAACTTTAGGCTTTTGCAGTTTGTGGTTGAAATTTTTAACACTTGTACAGTGAGCGCTTCTCGCTTATGCTCTTAGTTATGCGACTTATCATTTATGCCTTTATAATTTTATGTACTGGTAACATTTTGTAGGGTCGCAGCATAACGTACTTTCTCATGTTAAGTAGTGTGAAGTTGAAATTACTACTTTAATACGAGTACTCGACTACTCGTTACTTATAGAATTGAATGCTTTTCGGGGCATTTTGATTTTGTGCGAATAAAGAAATTTAAATAAGAGCTTGTGTGATCATGGCGCCCAAAGCCCCTGATTTAGGTTCCCATAAGTCATAAGTGACTGGAATGTCACCGGATGGATAGCTCACCATCCAAAGACTGATCTTTGATTTTTTTGACCGGGTTATTGATTCCACCATCGAGGTATCCGTTTTGAATGACTTTTGCTCCCCTGGTTCAGAAACAGACATTGTGAACTGCCGCTATGTTCCGATCGTGAATGCGCAGAATGCCACTGTCGTCCGAAAAATCCATCTCGGCCTACACTAGCCCGATCAGTGTGACGCGCTTCCTGAATGCTGCGCGAGAGGACCATGAAGGGCCGGGAGGAATCTCGCGGGGATCGTCGACGATGGGCCATGTGGGTTTCGCGGATCTCATGCCTGCTTGTCGAGCGCGCGTCCACAGCATGGAAGAAGTTAGTGTTACTGATTGGCATCTTTTTGTTTCATTTTTAAGTCCTTTAGCTTTGTATCGTAGTGACATGGTCTAACACCCTGACGCATCGACGGCATCGTGTATCTGATATTCGCTCCGAGATTTAAAACAAAGTGGGAAATCGAAGAATTTAAATTCCTTATTGGTGTTGCCGTTTGTAATGGTTACTTTAGTTGTAATTCAACCTTCCAGTCTGCCTAAAAAATTTGCGGCTGTTTATTCTAATCTACAGTGCCCAAAACGAACTTTACATAGCTACCCTCAACGTTTATATGACGCAATTTTTCTGCGACGAGAACTTGTGCATATCGTACTCGTATAATTTGAATTTTTTCAGTAGTTGCTTGCTTTGCTATATTCAGATTAGTTATTGTCAGAGTTCTTTTCAAAAAGTTTTATTTTCTATGCAGTTTTCCGTATTTTTTCGTGTTCAGCTTGAATGAAAATTGTTTGTTTTTGAATATTTGTTTCGCATTTCGAAGTGCTGTGCGTTTCACTGTGACACTCAGGGTCGACGGCAATATCTTGGCGTGACTAATTTAAGCGGAACTGCATACCGCACACATGTTCTTATGGCTTGCATTCTCTGTTTCGCGTTCAATACACGGAATAATTTTGGTGTGCGTTACTAATTATTCTCCTACTTGTCCCTTTTTCACAAGTCAGTATAGATAGTTTTGTTTGCTTCTATATAAATTGTGCAGTTGGGCTGATAATAGGGTAAAGCGAATTGGATTTAACCATGGAAAGAACAGTTTTATGATCTGAAAAACCTGTGTCCGTTGACTACGTAATTGTGGGCATTGAGCACAAGTACAGTTCAGTACCGCGTGTATGTGCGCGAAGCATCTCTCCCTACTGTACATACGTAGATTAAGTGGGTTGCCAATTTTTAATTGCAGTCTTTTTGCAAAAAACTGCTCATATTTCCCTTGTGGATCACTGTGAACAGCTGGCATATTCATGCAACCCACTCGTGATCCGCAATATTTATTATTAGCAAGGTAATCTTTGGGGCAAGATTGGTTGCAAGAATACGGGGGGCGCGTAAGGTACGTAAAGTAATGGACTGAATCGCATAGCCTGCCCTGCAGGAAGGTGCGTCATCGGCACAATCGATCCGGCATCCTCTGTAGTACCGGAAGTTGCCAGAGATCGTCCACCCCGTCCATCTGTCAAAGTGTACGGCCTTTGATGTAATCATTAGGCATCCATTTCCAGTGCGAATGGCGGTGGGTAAAATCGATAACTGCGAAGACTCAGCACCTTTCACCAGAGAGCACCGCTGTTTTTGCTACCGTGTAGCCATCACTGCCGCTAATCTCATGAATGAGTCATTAATTTTAAAACGCGCACCCCGTTTGGCTTGGCGAAAAGTTGAATGGCAAGATCGATGAGAGAGTGGTGTTCAGATTATACAACATATTAAGCGCAATTGCCGTGTCTTGTTTTTGCTCAACATTTTGCAACTCACACAGAATTTCGTTTTTAACACACGTTTGGCAGGTTGCTTGCGACAACGCGAGTCTGCCACTATGGAGCAGTGGCAGCACGCTAATTGTCACCTGTTTTGGTGTCCTAATTTTTATTTGGGACCTTATATGTTTTAACTTGACATATTTTTGGACCGACATGTAAAGGAGTTACTTTATTCCGGATCTAACCTGCACATCTAAACCGAATTGGTTGGGTAGGGCAACATGTCGTGTACCGCCAGGAAACAGTCGGTATGTACTGCATAGTATCAGTTTGAAAATTTAGAGTGATTTTATGATGGTTTTCTTTAGCAAAGGCATCTGTTTTACCATCTCTGACAACGTGAGCCGCGATCGAAGTTTCTAACAGTCACGATAAAACGGTCACGATGCTCATGATGCGGTGACAAGTGTTGTGTGGCAGATAGTACATAGTACTTATCGTTAGATAGTACTTTTTAAGTTACTAATTTTATTAGTAAACGGATCATGAACACAGGTGGTCATTGTTGCAAACAAGATTTGGTTGCTTTTCATGTAACCAATGCGCTGAACCCAAGGCGTACAGCCGGAAGTGATTGTTTTTATGTTCCCGACGAAGATCAAAATCCGCGTCATCACTGACTGATTGCGATTGGCTTGAATTCCTCGATATGGTTGAGAACAAGAACTATAGAACATGTTTCTCTAAAGGAAAGTGACTCGGGCGAGCTACTTGTTATGTTCCCAAAAGATTTTTAAGTTTTGGCAACATTTTTCGGGGAAATGGAAACGCCATGCAACCGCCGTTGTTTTATGCAGCATGCACGACGGTTTCGTGTCATTTTGTCTGATTTGCAACAAAATTAACAATAAGTTTCTTCTAAAACAGTTGGCAGATATAGGATACCTTTAATTTACTCTACTCGTAACAGTTCTCCGGCTTTTTGAAATCCTTTATTCTGCGGGCGGCGTGCCTATAAGTACATCTGTAGGGACTAGGGAGTGGAGTTGGACTAGGTACCTAATATGGAGGAACTCCTGTAGCTTGGTTTTCCTGGTTGACCGTTCATACCGTAGACAGATACATCTAACTGCAAACACGTTGTGCAGTTATAGTGTGGAAGGCATAGGGAAATTATTAACGATACAGTTTAAAGTTTAACGATACAATTTTGAAGTTTTGCTGACTTTAATACTGTTATGGACAGCAGGATTTAGAATTTTACTCGGTCACGTTGAAACCGGTCTACTTCTGCCTGTTTGTTTATGCGAGATCGCACTCGCTTATCTCTCTGGTTACTTTACACGAAGCGATAAAACTCTAAACGTGTCAGTTCCGTCGTCATTTTCGAAAATTTTGTAACGTGCTTATAACTTTTTGTGTGCAGCTGCATAGCTGAATGCTACTCATAATCGTCTATAGATATATTGTTCTCACAACCAGTTCAAATTCGAAATTACCTTTGTCACCTGTTGGTGATCACTGAATTCATGCTGAATTCGGTATGAATTTGAGAAAATGTTAATTAAACCTTCGTTCACCGTTTTTTTTTTTAAAAATAAACATTTTGTGTCTGCTCTGTTGGATTTTTTAGTGTTTCTGTTATACAGATAGTTATTGCGGTGTATCCAGTTTGCTGCTGTTGGTTAAGCCGTAATGGACGGAAAACAGCGGCGACGCTCAGGATGTTTTTCTGTGTACGGGCAGTTGCCACTTGAGTGGTCCAAATCGCCGATTTTTATGGATGGTATTCAGTTCATTCCTTCAAAAAATAATGTAAGAGTGCTCACTTCTATGTATATTGTGCTGTACATTTTTGCCGTACTTTTCTCGTTTTTATTTTTGCCAATATTTTGCCATGCTCCTGCAATAAGCCAGTTTTTTTCTTTGTTTATGCTTTATTAAAACGTATTTCAAATTTGTTAAAAAATATATCGGCAATAAAGTAACACGTAACTGTACTGAAACCACATAATTATTAACAATTGTCATGTCAGTGTAGTACGCAGTCAACATGGTCGTACTCGTAAATAGTACTCGTAAATATGACCGCATAAATTATATTTTATTACCCAAAAACCAAATCGAATTTTCTTTATTTTACTGTTTGATTTTAGCAAATTAAATATAGATTAAATCAGTCTATATTTGATTGTGCTAAATTCACTTACTAGTATGCTAAAGCTCGATACATTTAAAAATCCATTTATCGTCGAGGTGGTCAAGTACACGTGATGTAGAGTGTGGACTGATAGAATTCTTGCTATCAGAGATTCAGAATGATCGAAGAACTATCCCACTTGTGCACATGTAACCGTACGAGCATCTGAAATACTTAACGCAGTTTCTTCTGGCAGTAAATGCTTGATATACGATGATGATTACGATCCCAGTTTCGTTTCCAGTTGCATCGCCTCAGGTTCTTGAAAAGACAACAAGTCATTGAGTTTTCGCAAAATATTACTGGAGCAGTTTCATAGATATGTTGATGAATATGGAGTGCTGGGTGATTCTTGCTACGGTTTTGATTTACTCAGTCGCTGGCATAAATCCAACTGTCTCATTGCGAAAATTGTAAACTTGAAATCGCCAAGGATCCAGTCATAATGTCATACATACATAGTAATATCGTTTTATTATGGATTAGCTGCATCTTTCAACTGCAGAAACATATGCACGTAAGTAAAGTAATAAATTTTGACATTTTGATGATAACGTTAATACAGAATTTGGATACTAAAGTATATTGGAGACTGTTGAATCGGTTATCGATGGGGTAAAAAAGCTTGGATGTTAAGTAAGCAAACAACGGTATCTCTGAGCTGCGCACTTTACATAAACGGTTAGCATTGGCAGAGACGTAAATAATCCGTTTTGCTCGGCCGAAGCGCATCAGCTCGTGGTTCTCGTCCGGAATATTCACGATTAGCGATCGCCGGGTTCCACACTGCTCACCTTGACGTGTGGCCGGTTTAGATTTTAATGTACGCCGCCGCTGAGAACAAGAGAACAAGCTCCGCCCCCAGCTCGTATACCGTTTTCAGCGGAGGAAGTAATGTTTTTGCGATGCTTATGTCGAAGTGCTTAAGCGATGAAAATGCCATTTTATGATGACTGACAACCAGTTTGGTTAGTAAGTAATTTTTCTGTGCTTTACGGTACATATATCTGCAACAACGGGAAATATGAGTTTTTAGCTGGCCTTGAGTTTATTGGATCTGTTATTGGTTTTGGAATTCTTACTGTTGTATGCTGGGTTTAAAAAATGGGACGTTCCATTAAAGTGAGTACTTGGGTTTATTGAAATCCGCTCTTAATATTATCTGTATTTGATTTAAAAGTTTGATTTTCTTGGTACAATCGGGGAAATGAAGGCAATATGGCCTGGAACGATCGTCGCTCCATGCTGCCATGCAGTGGAACTGAAATTTATTTTGTCTGTCCCTTTGGTTGTTTAATGTAACGTGTTGCATGTAAAAACGCAGAAAACATTCGATTTGAAATTTTGAAGGGAATTTAAATTTTAGAATAAGATTTCCGTACAAAGTTTGAGATAGAGGAGGTTTTTTTTAGTTGGTGCAATCTGAATATAAGCAACATTAAAAATTTCATGATTACGAGCACTGTATCAAAGGTACTAAATCAGTTTCACAAAACTAACTCCAGTTATTTTGGCAAGTCATGCTCGTTGCAACTGTCCTTTATAACATTTGCAGTCATGATTGATTCACAATCGTTTGCCGACTCTTTTTCTCCCTGAGATGTTTATCTCTAACTTTTAAAAAAGCTTTGAAGTGGGTATACCGGTGGAACAATTGCAGTTTAATTGTTTAAACAGGCAGCGCACAACGTAATCATTAATGTCCGCTTAAAAAGCAGAACAAGTGGCTAATTTGTAACCGCGATGTTTTTGGCGTATTGGACTGTAGTACTTTGCATACAGCTCATCTCATTTGAGTAACATGTTGTGCTTATGTAGGCACTTGATTCGGAGAGGGAAAGCTTGAATAAACTAAAGAAAGCCGTCAAAGCCATCAACAACTCTGCTACCGGTATGTTTCTGGTTCTGTTTTATGGAGATTAAGTGCAGTTTAAAATTCAAGAGGCATTTGTGTAGTTATGAAAATGTATCTTTAGGGAATATTTTTAAAAAAATGGTTAATGTCTGTACAAAACTGGAGCTTTGCCTGATTTGGGATAGTAAAATATAATGAGTAATAATGTCGTTCCTTGTTTTGTGAATGACTTTTGAAACCAGTTTTGGTAGCATGTTTATGCATCGTAATATTTATTTTAGCACTGGGCACAAGCGAAGCAGAGTTCGGGCAGTGTCTTAGAAATCTCGGGGAAATGGCACTGCAAAATGAGGATTATCAGCCGGAAGCGTTGGGTAAGAGCTCGGTGATCTGGTTTGTTGCTGTTATTCTTAATAATCTACGCTATATAAGTGCACTGGGCTTACTTGTTGGTATAGTTGACAATTAATGCGGATTAACGATTTTGTCCCTAATTAAGTTCTTTATCTTTCGGTTATTTGTAGTTAGAATGTGACATACTTTATGTTTTGTGATCTCACTCATTCCGTGATTATTTCCGTGTACTGCAAGCTTGTAGGCAATAATGTTTCGGCAAGAAAGAAAAAGAACATTGGTATAGATGATGGATCTCAGTGTGATATACGCTAATAATTGCATCGCGTAGGTAAAGGCTTCATGAATTTCGCCGGCTTAATGGACGCAGTAACGAAACATTCCCGAGCTATGGTATGTGGCGTAGCCGCTAGCCAGAACGCTGTACATACATTTGTCGTTGCTTCCAACGCTTGTCAGCTAAATAACAATCTGATTTTGCAGTATCAGGCCTTTACGGATTTGTTTCTCTATCCCTTGGAAACCCTGCTCAAGAACGAGTCCATTGCCTCGAAAGGCGTACGTGGTTGGCTTGCATGTGCCATTGTGTTTTTGTGACCGGTGTTGTGGAATGTAGGACCTGAAGAAAGCCATTGACAAAGCGTGGAAGGATTATGAAATCAAATCGTAAGAAATCTCGCTGTGAAGCTGCTTGATTGTGTTCATACCGATATTTTTGCTCTGTTCTCTTCGTCTTCTGTCGAAATTTACCTATACAACTTACTTCATTCCCTTGTGTCGGGAAACTTGAATTTGCAGTGTAATTTTTGAACAACGAACGAAGATAGTATGCATGATTTTGGACAGAAAACTGCAAATCCGGCATGTACGCATAGCTTGGTCATACTTATTAACTATTATACTTATTTGCGCGTGGGACTAATGCTTAATACTTGCATGAAAATTTTAATTTTGAGCCTCATTTTTGCTTTTCTGCTTGGCTCTCCTGATAGTTTTGCTATAGTATTGTTTTCAAACGGATATAATTTGCAGAAGTAAAGTAGAAAAAGAGAAAAAACAAAGTTCCAAAGAGAGCGGTGGATCAAAGAGCGACTACGTCACTCCGGCTGAGGTCAGTCATTGCTTACCAGCGGGCTGCAATGACCGCAAAAGAATAGTTGTTACTGCAAAAAAATGCATTTCCGTTCATGTAATTTGGTATTATGTTATGGTTTAGCTGGCCGATGAATTATTGGAGGAGCGACGAATGTTTCAGTTGCAAATGTGTGAGGTACGCGGTGCATGTTGACAATGCAGTGCATCTTCATTGCAAATGGCCCACTTGCCGTGCGATGGGGAAAAAATGTCATGATAACCTAAAGAGTGACCGGTGTGTTTTGCCTGGACAGTGCCTCATCAAGGAAAACGATATTCGTTCGCGTAAAGGCGTCGATCTACTCAGTCAACTGATTCAGTACTACTATTATTTACTGGGGTACGTTTTGTATGCAAAAAAGTAAACATTGTGCTCGTTCGCGGTAGGGTGCCGGTGTTTTAGATTTGGTTTTCGTTATCAGAACTGGTTCTTCCAAATGCTTCCCAGGGTCTTTTGTTGTTCAATTTTCAACCGGTTTTTTCTTCAGTCTGAACGGCAGTCTTTTACCTCTTACTGAGTTTTCTTGACTTGTTTTTTTCGTTCTGGTAAATTTTATGGGCCCATAAAATGTGACAGCAAAACGAATATAGTTTTGCCGTAAGTTTTACTTGGCTACTGGTATTGCGTTAATTTGCTACTGCTGTTGCATTTTTGATTATCGATAATAATATGATTAACTTCAGTTTAAGGTTTAGTACTGTTTGTGATGGACTTCTTGTGTGGTTCGATTTTGACGAAGGTTTGGTATTTCCGTTAAGACGCCTAGGCGGAAGTTCTTAACGTTCATTACTTATGTTAATTGAATTCCTGATGAAGTTGTTGATTTGTAGATATTTCGAAGACGGAATGAAAACATTAAAGGACTATCAATCGTTCATTCACGATATTGCCAATAAAGCCCAAGAGGTAGATTGTGCTGGCATTGTGAAGATGATAAACGAGCCCTATTTATTCGGCGTGACCGTGCACACCGCATTGTTGATTTTGTTCATGTTTATTTATTTCGTCCTTTGCGATTAATGCAGATTAAAAGCAAGCAAGATGAAGAGAAGAAGCAATTGTTGGAGATGCGAGCGCTGTTGAAAGGCGGTTCCAACGCGCATATTTTACGCGAGAAAACGGTGAGCCATCATCTTTGCATGGTAAAGGCCAGCGATAAATGCAAGAGATCTAGTTGGTTAAAAACGTTACTGGCCTTGGAAATGAAATGTTCTTGCATCAAGCCACCGCGTTTTCATTTCATTTAATACCGTTGTCTTTTATAAAAATAGGTTCTATAAATAATTTCTTTTACACAAAACACTACAGTTACCAGTTTAAAATCATAAAACCTTGTATAAAAATCAAGTTCGTATTTTCTGACTGTGGACATTGCTGTACTTCCTACTTGCTTATTAACGTCTTATGCAATCCCTATTAAGAAACAACCGATGCTTACAGAATGTGAATTATGATGAAATAGTGTGGATTCTTCGCCAGAGAAGTAACCGAATATGGCACGCACGTTCATGAATAGTTTTTCGATTGAGACAAATCCAGATTAGTAAAATCAGAACTGCAAAATACGTATTGTTTTGCACATTTAGACGTCGTATTCAAATATCCCGAACGCGGCCGCCACTCCTGCCACCAACGGTACTTCGCACACCGGCTACAATCTCCATCAGCTGCAGGGCAACCACGTCCACGGGACGAATAAAAAGGGCGTCCTGTACAAAAAGTGCGAAAGTAAAATGCGGCGGAAACAATGGCAGAAGCGAAAGTGTGAAGTGAAAGATGGCTATTTGTCGGTGGCCCATAACGATGTAGGTCGTGTTCTGTGATTACCTCCCCGTAGCTTATAATCGTCCGCTAATTTGACCGTCTCTCGTCAATTGCTACTTGTAGGAAAGTAAATCGCCTGTCAAATTAAACCTTCTTACTTGTCAAGCCAAAGTAAGTGGAACGACTTTTTACCTGGTCTTTAATTGGCGTTTGTTACCGTTTTTAATCTGGTTCAGTGCTTCCGAAGCCAGTCGGTGTTCACGTTGGTTCTGTGTATAGGTGGTAGTCGATGACAAGCGATGTTTCGACCTGGTGTCAAGTAGGTTTACTGCCTGCTCCTTTTAAAAACATAATGAATGCTTTACTTCATAATTTTTAAGAAGTCAAAAAGTTACTCTAATTGTAATAATTTATTCTCGCGTTATGAATCTTGTTGCATGCTTTTGTGTGAGAGTGATACATCAGTTCTTATCTTCTAGAATTCCGAACGTACCACTTCCAAGCGGAAGACGAAAACGAAAAAGAAGTCTGGTTAAGCGTCATTCTGAACAGTAAAGAACAAGTACTGCAACAAGCCTTTGGTCGGGACGCCACGGACGGTGGACGACGCTTCTCGACAAACATTAGTGAAATTCGAGATACGCTGATCAAGCAGGTTCAGAAGCTGCCGGGAAATAATCGTTGTTGCGATTGTGATGCAGAGAAAGGTGTGTAAGCGGTTTTTAAGCGTGGGAAGTGATTATTGAATTTCGTGTGGTGGTGATTGTAGATCCGACGTGGCTAAGTACGAATTTCGGCGTGCTGACGTGTATTGAGTGCTCGGGTGTACATCGTGAGATGGGAGTCCATATTTCACGGATACAATCGCTGACGTTGGACAATTTGGGCACGGCGCAGCTACTTCTGGCACGCACCATGACCAATCTGCTCTTTAACCAAATTTTTGAAGGCAGCTTAAATAACGTACGCAAGCCAACGGCAGCTAGTACAATGTAAGTTCTTATTATGCGAGGAATTGAATTGATGGCCGAAATCAACAGTTTAGGGTGTTAGTGAATACATGACGACGACTTATTTACTGATCCTTATGTGATATTTAAAAGAATGTAGGATATAGAGTTTTCTCGGGTACGATGCCGTGTCAAGTTACTTTTCTTCTAAAACTAATTTTAAATTAGAATTATTAGATTATCAATCTGATCACTTTGTAATGCAGGAATTGTGAATAAATTAATTATGGTGCACATGCAGGGCTCCAACTGCGACGGGTGTCTGAATTATTTTGGAATATATGCATGTGTTTAAAGTCACTGCCGTTCACGAAGCGGCAGGTATATTAGACAGGATTCGTGTGTGATGCGAGTTATGCATGTGTCACAAGTAGTAGTTTAGCCTAAAACAGTGTTCTCAGATTTAGATTTCCGTTCGGTTACAAAATTTGTTATCATAAGTTTTCCGTTTTGTATAAAAACGGGCGGCTAAATTAGATGCGCTGTGCCTTTATAGCGTAATTAAATAAAATATTAAATTAAGTGTCTCATAGCGTTTGCGAACCATGAATGGGATTTTTTAAGCTAGATATCACATACTCATTGTGCATGCTTGACTGCAGGGACGATCGGATGCAATTTATCCGCGCCAAATATATTGACAAGCGCTTTGTTACGCCATCCTGTCAGTCGGATGAGCAGCGTCAAGAGAATTTGATGAACGCATTACACAATCGCTACCTGCATGGACTAGTCCAGTTGTTTGCCGAAGGTCAAGATTTGGCGTCCCCGCTTGCGCAGTCGGTAAGTAGTGCTTGCGATCTTTACAATATAACTTGGAATAAAAATAAATTGTCGACTTCTGTAAAAGTGCTTTTATTTGGTTGTGCTTTAGCTTTTATTTGTTTCACAAAATCTTCCAGAATTCTGTTGTATGCTAACTTGAGTTTTTATAGCTTTGCTGATTGTAGTGTACTTAAAATATTAACGTTGAGAAGTTTGAAATTACCTTTTCGAGTGATATTAAAGTAACCAGCGTTACCTATACATTGATCCTGTGATCGTAGGTTATTGATGAGACGCCTCTGCATTTTTTGATTCGCGCTGGTGACGATAGTCTGACGTTACCGTGTGCCGATTTCATAATTCAGAGCAGGTAGGTTGGCGGTTGCTGCGGCGAGTGTTTTCGATACTTCTATGAATAGTTAATATTGCATGTGCATATTACGCCGTGATTGCAGCCGAAGCATTAACCGGGTGGATAGAAACGGTAATACTCCTCTGCACATTTGTGCTGATCTCAACCGCACCGAATCCATGAAATTACTACTGAAAGCCGCCGCTGAGCTGGATGTTAGAAATCATGTCGGTGAAACCCCGCTGGATATTGCCCATCGGAAGAGACACTCTCGCTGCATCGATCTGGTGAGTGACCCTGCAAGACCTAATCCTTACTGTCCTCCTACCTGTAAATGTTCTGTAAATAATCAGTGTTGATTGCTTAATTCTTTCTCACTTGGATCGTTCATTTTGCAGTTGCAGTACGCGCAAAGCGGTAAAAAGGACAAGTTTGAGAACGTGGAAATCGATTGGTCACTCCTTGATGTAAGTTTATGTTGGGAAATCGAATTCCTGTTTTATAAAACACTGTAAGTATTTCCAGTACGCGGAGCTTTGCATAAACATACTGTACTCATGGTTTGTAATCTAGCGCAGCCACAGTAACCGCTGCAATTGGAAACATTATGGAATTTGATTGTTGTTTTAGGATGAAATGGCATTTGACAGCGGCGATTATAGCGACGATGAGGGAGAAAACGGTGACTTGTCCAGTCATGCTGCCAGCCAGCGTCGTTCCTTTCGCCTACCCCGTCCCGGCAATACCTTCACGCCACTCCCGCCCATGTCCGTCCACCCGGTCTCGCCGCTCAAACCCAATCCACCGCCCAATCTGCACAATTACTTCTCGGGTCTCTACCAGAAGCCAGTCCTCAACACCTCCCAATCCATGACCGGATCCTCCTCCAAGAACAGCTCTGTGACCTCCTTCACCACCTTTCTGCCGCCGGCCGTGCCGCCGCAGCCTCGCAAAGAGACGGCGCTGAACAGCAGCCAATCGCACTATGCTCCCGTCCCTAAACCCGTGGAGACTGGTCTCAAACTCCGCACGCAGTCGACACCCAAGGAAGACAGTGAGTACAAAGCCATGGGGCATCGCCGCTCGATGGTGCTGGATCAACGGCATTCCCGAGCGACGAGTGACCCGAAAACGGTGCAGGAAATGGTACGGGTGGGCTCCGTGTCGGAGATGCCGAATCTGCCGCCCAAAAATAAGTTTGTCGGGATGCATCCAACCAGTGCAGCGACACCACCGGCGGTTGCTCAGAAGCCGTTAGCGTTAACCGAAAGCTTTGGGAGTGCGGAGTTTCGGAATAACGGGGCCGCATCCAAACCCAAAGTGGCGCCTAGAAGGCGAAATGAGCGCGGGAAGCGGTGCAAAGCACTGTTTGACTGCGACGCGGACCATCCAGGTGAATATCTTAACTTGATTGCAGTTTTCCAGTGTGGGATATGTCTTTTCCGGAATTTGCGACATTGTGTAATCAGTAATTTATCAGATGAAAGCGTAGAAAACTTTGTGGAATGTGAACACTGGAACTGAACACAGCTGGTGGCTGGTGATTTTTTTCATTTACATACTCGCGATCTTTTTAGATGAATTAACTTTTGAAGCCGGTGAAATCATCACCATTGTTAATGACCAAACGGATGACGAGAATTGGATGGTATGCGTAAACTTTTGTGCTGGTTATAATCGAATTATATCAGAATGCGGAGTAATGCTTTTTGCTTTCCTTATGATTATAGGAAGGTATTATTGAAAGTGCGGTTCCTCCTCGACGTGGTCTGTTCCCGGTATCCTTTGTGCATATGCTCCCCGATTCCTGAAAGAGATTCTCTTGATTTGTTTTTAGCAATTCCTTAAAGAGTCAGAGATATGACCAGTGTATTTAAATTGTATCTGTCTGAGGCCGAAATGAGAAATGGATTTTTTGTTAGCCGCTTGTTGGCTGTTCTGGTTATAATCGCCAGATGACGAGTCAGATACACGATTATTTGTTCTGTTTTATGTTTTGAAACGGTTTGAAATTTTGCCGGTTTTTATGATTTTGTATATGGCTCTGCCTTTTGGTTGGTATGAGTTGAGTCACTCTTAGATCAGGAATATTGTCGGATTTGTTGATAACAGTAAAACAGTGGATCACACTTGCTTCCGTATTGATGGCGATGAGTTTTCATGTCAGTATTGCTTACAAGTCATGTCAAATACAAACCCAACGTCAGCAACACACAAGTACTAATTTCACCACGCGTAAACGTACGAGATCCCGAAAAAAGATAATATGCCATCGAATAGGCGAAGCGTGCGTTGCCATATTGGGCGCCAACACCGTAATTAAATGTGACCCCGAACCGGTTATGCCCGGCCCACTTCCGGTGGACAGCCTGACGAAGCGCCTGATCGTTGGCGTGATCGTCGAAAGCCCTATGACAAAAAAGAAGAGGTGCTGGCCGCTAATTTCCGTGCAATGATAAAAATTAATATTATGTGATTTTCTGGTTTTCTAGGTTCTAAATGGGATTAAACAAGAACTGGAGCCTTTTGATAATTACGATCCTGAAGATGGATTTGAGTTCGCAATCTCTAACTTCCCGCTCCCTGAGAAGGAATATGGAAATAATTTTTTAAACATGTTTGACCTGCTGTATTAAAGACCGTTACAGCTGCACTTCCAATCCGACCAGTGGTTGCGTGCGGGGCAGTTGCGGTGCGTTACGTTTGATAGCCTGCTACTGTTGTGCATTGTTTGCGGATCGCAATGGAGTGCTGGTTAATGGTGAAATCACAACGCCGGAAGTGTTGTTTGCACGATGCTGAAGGTGGTTGTAATTATGTTGTGGTTGTAAGGTGGTTGATTCGAGGAATGTGATAGAGAAAGGTTTTGCTTTTTGTACGCAGTTTGATGGTATTATTTTATTTTGTTATACGTGGCTCTCTCCAACATGTATAAATCGGTTTCTGACTGTAAATTATCGCTGTACACTGCATCACCATATACTCCTGCACAACGGAGACTGGGCACAGTGACACAGTCGAGGAAGTATTCAACTATAATTTACATAGTTATCGAAGTGTTACGGAATCAAAGTTCGGGAATAGCATCTGCGGTGCGTCTGATTTTAGGCTGGAACCTTCGCAGAAACAATCAATCAGTCCCAATTTATCCAACACGCAGCTGCCGTGCCGAACAGAAACCGCTCAAATCGTTTTATTTTCTGCCTTCTATTCCATATTTTTATATCGATAAAGTACATTATTCCAAACCAAAGAAAACGCGTATTAAATATATAGGAAAAAACACCAGTTCGGTAATCTCAATTTGCATTTTTACGGTTTTCTGCCGTTTTCACCTCGTGCATTACCGCGCGTTTTCACCTCCGTGTACTTTGAATTCCTTCGGATACTCGGTTTTTTCATAGCCTTTGTAAAAGCTTTTGCAGCTCTCTTTGTTTCAACATGCAGCAAAAAGGTGTGCTATGGATTTAAAAAATTAAGAACCGCTGTACCTAATACCGAAAATTATATAATAATAAAACATTCATAAAAAAATTAGAACCGAAAGTTGCAATTACTCAGTGTAGTTTCCAGAAAACATGTATAGTTTAAATCGAAATCAGCAGGGGAAATGTTTTTCAAAGCTCACTGTATACAAACTACAAAGGTCACCCAGAAAGAATAAGGTAAGCAGCAAAACATACATATTTTTATTGTTTCAGCACCAATCCAGGCACTAATACAGGCACTGCATAATAAATTAATACAAGCGCATCTTCAAAGTGAACAAATCAAGTCACCAGTAGTAATTGCATACCGAAAGTTACAGGATGAAAGATGAACTGTATGTGCTTAAGTGAAATCGGTGGTGCATGCCTTGCGAAATAACCTACACACAGCACGCTACTGTTTTGTGGTTGTGTCCTCACTCGACGGAATACGTATTTTGTCCAGTCTGTAACTGTCCGTTCACTTGCCGATGAGCAACCTCGCAAGCAAACCGGAAAGCCTTAACGCCTTCCAAACGTTCATTTTATCGCCGCATCAAGGATGTACAATGCCCAACGCCACAACAGAAAATGGAAATATGATGCTCATCTGGGCATGCCCAAACCACGTCCGGTGGAATTCTCCAAGAAGTTTGATGAAGGCAATTCTGGCCTGCATCTTAATGACTAGCCGTAATGGGAACGCATTTTCATTCCACCACGCGTTATCATACATCTATCTGCCGTTTTTGACCTCTGTTGTTATATGAATACTAAACATCTCTTGCAGACCTTCGGCTTCTCTTGAATGTAACGGGTGATCTCCGTTTCTACTCAGTCGATTTTTCTGCTTCAAATTGCACAAGAATCCCCCCAGTGTGGGGAGTGTTCTTAGACTCTTGACCTTTCGCCATCGCGATCGCGGTAGGCCCACTGGTCACTTGAAAGCTTGTTACCATGGATGCCATAGGGCTAACATGGGCTAGTCTGTTACCACGGTCACAGTACACTGTATGTACTACTCAATTAGCTCAAACATGAAACAGCTTTGGCTTCGCCTCTGCGTTTCTTGCAGTATTTCACTTGATCACTGTGACACTGTCGCACCTTGCGGCCCAGTGCACTGAGCTGTATCAACAGTTCGGTCAATCTTGCAGCCCAGTTCACTAAACAGTAATACTACGACGTTATTCTGCGACTGCTAGTAACAACAAATCCTAACTCACTTATTCACAGTACCTAGTCGTAAGCCAATATTCATCCGTGCTCAGCTTGTTAAGTATACAGCTGCATACCCAACAACGAAGGTCACCGCTGATTTCGATATATACTTGTGTGCATGAAATTAAACGGTAAGGTTAATAAGTTCATGAAGTGCGCAAAGGAGAATGTGGAACCTGGTTTTCAATGCCTTATTGGATTTCACTCGACCTGTGTGGTGCAGGATAGTTAAGTAGGTTGTTGGATTCTGTTTGTTAAATCACTTGATCCTAATTGTCGCGTGCGGTGTCAGTTGGTTTGGTTTATTTGATATCAGTAGTGACTGAGTGCTGCCAGCTACCGCTAAGCTCTGTTTCATGTTTGCAGAACTCATTAAATTTCTTGGTATGCCGAAGCCGTAGCGCAGAAAGGAGAGTTTGTGGCTGCTTCTACGAAAAGTTTTGTTACAATGCAACTGCAAGTCTGCAACCCGACGAATGATTTCAGATATGTAGCAAGAATTTTTCGTTGCCAATACGCAGTTGATGATTTCATCCTCGCATTTGCAGGATTTGCGATGAAAATCAAGTCCTGCCGGTATGAGAGTGAAACAGGAAGAGGAAGCCACTGAAAACGACGAGAATGTCACCGCCCTCACCGAACAGGTGGTGGCCGATAATTTCGGTGCGATTAGAAAAATTAATATTATTATGTACGCAATTTCCTGGTTTTTCAAGTTCTAAATGGCTTGATTAAGCAAGAATCGAACGAAATGTGAGCCGTTTCCTCTGATATCGTCAAATCCACCGCCAGCCTCATAATTATTATCATGATAATTATGAGGCTGACGATGGATTTGTGGGTGTGATGGCTATAAGCGAGCATGTTTAGGAAACCATGATCATCCCATATAATATGGGATGAGCAAGGTTTCCTAAACATGCTCGATCTGTTTATTAAAAATAAATACCGGTACAATTGCGATTCCAACCTGACCAGTGGTTGCATGCGGGCGTCGCAGATTCGCAGTCACATTGCACATCACCGAACATGTTCGATGGTTAAAAAACAAAGTGGAGTTACACTGCACATTGCACTAACAATTGCAAATTCAACAAAAAATCCCTGATGAGTGATGGCTAGGGTCTGGTTAACGTTTTCTTTTTATCTACAAAGGTACCGTATTGAAAACCTCAATGGTGCAACTGAACGATACAATTTCGATTCAGCGGGTACCGATTTACGATTAAATCGAGCGATGAATAGTATGAAACTGGTCAACTTGCAGGGCCTGCACTCAAGGGAACGCTAAGTGGAATTGCAACAGCTGTTACTATGCTGAAAACTATTAATCCAATCAAACATTCTAGAAGCGAGTCAGTTTTTTTTCGAAGAAGATCGTAATTCGAGCACGCAGCAGTGTTCGTAAGCATTACAGATGTTAAAGTGGGTCGAGGCGTCGGCAGAATAGTAGCAGACTAACAGTACCAGTACATATGTAAGCAAGCAAACAAATTCAAGAATGCAAATTTTTTTCAGCTGGGTTTTGAATTAAAGCGAAAAGAAATGACAGAGAAATTTTTTTTAAATACTTCCATCAAACAACCAATGTTCCGTCGTCACTACTTAGCGACTTCTTGTTTCACTGCTGGAGTGGATCCTGGAGCAGCCATCAGATGTGTTTTCAGCACGGCCACCGCCTCGTCAACCTGCAAACGGCGCACTCGATCAACTGGTAACAAAAGATCTGCGACAAGCCAGTAACTAATTAACAAAGCAATGTGCCTCCCATGGTCTTTCTCAATGGTCACTGTCCCATAAGGACTACAGAAAGAAACAGGAATATGGGTTGCACCAGTCCACACCGTCAGACCCTTGCGAGTCACAACGGGGACACGGTTGATCTCCGACACTCGGTAAGGAATATCCCGCACTGCTGACGGGTCCTAACGACCGATTTCTCCGCGCCACGTCAAACCTTGCGGCAACATGGCCGGAACTGATGTCGCTCGTTCTAGTAAAGGACACACTAACTGGATGCAATCTACAGTCAACGAGCAGTGTACCTTGTTCTTCAACTGGTCTGGATTGTCCAAGAGCATCAACAGCTCGGCGTTGTCAATTTCTAGTAACATTCCGGTGACTTTACCCGCCATTTCCGGATGGATTTTCTGAATAACCGGGAACAGCTTCTCGCCCAGCATTTGTTTCTGATCACTAACACTGGCCTTGGCCAAAACCGATGGATCGATCACCGTGTTGGCATTCTGCAGAGAGGAAAAAATCCATAATTTACTGTTCTTTCCCAAATTTTCAAGTCACTAATTACAATACAACTGATTACTGCGTAGACTTACCGGAGCAGCAATCTGCTGAGCAGGCCCTGGTCCACGTGCTCCCATCGGCTGGCCACCTGCGCGAACAAACGCCGGGGCTCCCGTCCGCATCTGTTGTGGCATGCCAGGTTGTTGCGGCAAACCGTTCTGTGGTCGCTGGGCTCCCTGCTGCATGACCGCGCCTACAAAAAATCCATAATTATTAGCATGACAGAACTTTGTAACTTCCATGGTCTTTCTTAGTGGTCATTGCGCCGCAAGCGAGACAAAAACAAACAGGAATATGGATTTTTCCTATCCACGCCCTAGCTACTGATTCAGCAACAAAGGGGACAAGATCGATCTTTGACGCTCAGCCAAGGAATGCACTGCACTGATTCACAGCTCCTAATGCTGATAATCCACGACGCATCAAACCTTTCGGCAACGCGGAGGATAGTCGTCATTATTCTCAAGTTACGATGTATGAAGAAACGCCCAAAAATTAGATAGTTTTTATAAACACTGTTTCTATAACAGTCTTCACAACTTCGTAGAACACCACAAACATCGAAAAGGTTCCGTCACTACGGATATTCGACGGCGAATACCTAATCTTACCTGGCACACGTTGTGGCTGTTGTTGCATACCGGCAGCTGGGCCAAGCGAACGCGGTGCCGAAGGCATACCGGGTGCAGGTCCTCGCATCCCGGCACGCGGTCGGAACTGGCCACCTTGTCCACCCTGCAGCTGTTGCCCGAAAGCCGCCTGTCCACCTTGCTGCGGACGGGGATTACTCATCCAGCGGGGCTGCGGAGGACGCTGACCCATAATGGGACCCATGGCGCCCATCTGCGCCGCTGGGAAGTAACCGCGCTGCGGAGGGATGTTCTGGTACATGAATGCCTGTGGTCCGATGCCGGGAATGCCGGCCTGGGGGAACATCTGCGGGCCGGGTGGGCGGAACTGTTGAGGAACGAACCGTGACATCATCTGGTTGGCCATAGCACTGCGACGGTCCTCCTTGCGCTGGGCCATGGCGACATACAGTGGCTTACTGCCCACTACTTTTCCGTTCATTTCCTGCACGGCCTTGTTGGCTTCATCAGGACTAGTAAAGCAAACGAAACCGAAACCCTTCGAGCGACCACCCTCTTTCATGACCTGAAACGAAAAAATTAAAGGTTATAATAACGAATCAAATCAAAGCCGTAATCAGTTTCCGCTACGACTTGTAAATAGAAACTATACCAAAGCAATGAGATGGATTAATCCATAAAAATTTCAACACAAATGGCACCGTAAAGCATGAAAATCACTGCACAAAAACTTAAACACACCGACCTTGGCGCTGCTGATGGTGCCCAAATGCGCGAATTCCTTGCGTAAACCATCATCGTCAATATTCTCATCCAGATTCTTAACATACAGATTGACGCCCTGCACATAGTTGCGTTGGCGTTCCTGACGTTTAGCCTCGAACTGTCGGCGCAGCTCCTGCTGTCGTTCGGCACGTTTCTGAGCACGACCAACATACAATGATTTGCCGCTCATTTCAGTAGCATTCAGCTCCTTGACAGCCTACAGTTAACAAATTACGTGAAAAACCAAACATAAAACTACAAAACTTTATATCCAGATTTCAGGCTGCGTTACCTGCTCGGCACTTTCAGCCGACTCGTAACTGACAAATCCGAAGCCGCGCGACTTGCCATTGTCGTCCTTCATCACGACATGACTAGTCACTTTGCCATACTTCTCAAACAGCGCCAACAGTTTGTTGTCGTCCATTTCTTCACCGAAGTTCTTTACGAACACGTTTGTGAATTTTCGCGGATGGTCGCCCAGGGCACGCTCCCGTTCAGCACGCGGTATAAATCGTCCCACAAACCTATCCAACATAAAACAGCCAATGAGAAAACATCTACATTGATATCTATGATATTTTCTCAACTTGAAGGCCCTTACACTTTTTTTCCGTTAAGCAACATGCCATTAACCTTTTCGATGGCGCTCGTGGCGGCGGCGTCGGTTTCGAAGTGTACAAAGGCATAGCCTTTACTCTGTCCCAGCTCGTCCTGGGCCACCTGAAAACGTCATATTTTTTGTAGAAAATGCTCCACACACAGTACGGTCACCGTCAAGAGATAATTAATATTACAAGTACAACAGCGATTATCAGCGTGATTACCTTGCAGGATAGGATGGCTCCAAAACCGGAGAAAGTATCGTACATGGATTTATTGTCAATGCTCTTGTCCAAATTCTTGATGAAGATATTCCCGAATCCCGATCGGCGCAACGACGGGTCACGCTGCGACCACATGATGCGAATGGGCCGGCCCTTCATCGGATCGTAGTTCATGGTGTCCATCGCGCGCTCGGCTATACACAAACACACATGTCATTCTAGCGTTGCGTAAGACAACTCGATATATAGATATACAACAAAACAAATTTGGGTCATCTCACTGAGTCTGCGCTGACAACGGCAATACAAAACACGGACTGATGAACAGAGAGTCTACACAATATGGTAACAACGGCTCATTCACAACCGCTACACTATCAGCTTAAGAGTAAGGTACTGTACCATAAAGCTTAAATGATCCGTCAATTTTACCAGTTATGTACTAGTACCACTGAAATGATTATTTTGTAAGCGATGATAATACATGCAAATATTCTTTCGTGTAAACAACCTACGACAAACACCGAAAAACATACCAGATCGCCAATCCCAGTGCTGGGTATTCAGCATGTCTACTGCTTACCATCGGCGGGCTGCTGGAAATTAACGTAGGCATAACCCAGGGAGCGGCGGGTCATCATATCACGACAGACTCGAATGGAGAGGACTGCGCCAGCTGCTGAAAATTTTTCAAACAGCATCGCTTCGGTGACATCTGGATGCAGATCCCCAACGTACAGGGAAGCCAAAGGGTAGTTCGGTCCGGAAGTATTCATTTTTTCTGCTCGCTGCTTTTTCTATTTTTTAATTTTTTTATCTGCAAATAATTCAAAGAAATTTACTTGAGCTGTCAACATATGTGATGTCATTATTATTTCCCCGTAGGTTGCAGTTGAAAACCACAACGTTTTATTTGCTCTGAATACATTACAATAGCATATCGACAGAGCAGTTAGTGCCAACAATATGAACAATGTTACAATACATTCAAAATATCACGAGAACCTCGGGAGCTCGAAATTAAGGATCTCTGCGAGAAAGAAACCGAAGAAACAACAAGATACTTTTAGTGCTTGTGCCAGTGCCCAGGTTTCCCTGTACCGGGTGTCACAAACTGACCGAGAATCTGCGGTTTAAAATTAAATAGTACATTTGAAATTTTTTCGGCAAAACGTAATTTCGAAACCTCTTTAATTTAAAAAATAACAAAAATTGTCGAAGTAAACATATTCCAACCATTAAAGACCAAAAATTCAAATCTGAATGACTCAATCTGCATCTAAGATTATGGGAGTGAAAGTAAGAAAGTTCCTAATTTGAATGGTTCTTTTCGATCGAATCATAAACTTTCAGTTTCATAACTTTATCAAAAAATGCTTCGCCAACGAAAAACTTTTGCAAAAAAACTGTTTTAGTTATCCTAAAGCTGCCATGGAAACCCTGACAGAAAGGCAGAAATTTCTCAACAGGACAGGAAATCTCTCCTGCTGTTGCAACAAGTTCCGCGTTATGACGCAACAGCACGTGCCTCTCAGACAAACTGCTGAACGAAAATCCGAACATACTGCTCACTTACTTTCGGGAATAATAGTCCTGGGATTTTAGTCTGTCATGAAGAAGCTGAGATACGCCCGACGTTCTTCTAAGAACGTCGCAAATATAAAAACAGACAAACTACTGCGACAACGAAATTACTGCTACCTATGTACTGCACCTGCTAACGCGTACTACTGCCGAAAAGAGAGAGCTGCAGCGAGCTCCTGCAACCTACGCTACCAGATGCTGCCATAACAACCATTCCTGCAGTGCAGTAAGTCAAGTAACCACTAGTTATTTCACGCGATTATTTACGACACTTACCCAAAAGATTCGAGAATGGGTCTTTTTATGGATTTTTTGAGTGAAATAAAATTTTTTTGGGATTTTTTTGTAAAAATTACGCAAATCTATGGAAAGGAAAATTTACGCCTGTACTCGAACCCGTGCCACGAGAACACTGATCGGCTGCAAAAAGATCTCTCTCACGGTCGGTCAGTGCGCCGCCTATACGCGGGCTTTGTACCGCCTACAGGTTCACGAACAGAATTTTGCCCCCTTAACAGCAATTCTCGTTGAATAGAATAAATCAAATCTTTTCTTGCCTAGCCGAACACATAAAACTTTTCCGAAATTTTTTTGCTGCAGTTATTAATATTATGCTTGCTGAAATCTTGAACAGATTTTTGTAACTTTTGATGAAGCGCTGTACTTAAACATTTTCATGAATGAGCGCGGCAGTGCGTATTATGGTGCGCAAAAAGCATGGAACTTGTATTGTATGGTATTGGTAGCAGACTAGTACTGTAATGCCGGTTACAGGTCGATTGGTATTCACCTTTGATAATACCCGGTTTCTCGGTTTACAGATTCCCGAATGTGACACGCTTATTCATATTGTTGTAAGATTTATTCTATTATGCCTGAGATGGCAAAAATTTTTAAAGCCATTTTTAAAAATTTGGAAGAGGATCGAAGCGGATTGAATGCGATTGCTAGATACCGTATAGTAACGTATATAAAACCATCAGATACTAATTACTGCGCACGAGCTCAAATGCCAGTATATTTAGCACCAGTATGCTGTTGCGCGCAGAGCGGTATGTTCCGTCGCTCTGCCATGTGCTAAACCGGAGAACCAGAAACTTAGGCTGCAAAGTGAAAATACTTAATACAGGAAAAAGAAGTTCCTGCGTTTGTTGGGTTCTTTAGTTCTGATCTGGTTCCATCGAAACCAAATCTGACTTGGGATATTTAAATACTTTTATATCTTTTCTGAAAAGGTAAGAGCAGTTCATACCGTATCAAATACTTCAGCATAACACAGTGCGATGCGTTTCAGACGACACCATGCCAGCGACTAAGGAGAAGAAAACGCAGAAGCCCCGCAATTTCCAGCTCTCCGCGGGTATTATGCGCTTCTCGAAATCAGCCATGTACAAGAAGCGCGGTATCTGGAAGAAGAAGAAGGCCGGCCAGAAGCCCAAGGAGGCCGCGCCGCGTCAGGCCAACACCGTGGAGAAGACCATCGGCGGCGACAAGAACGGAGGCAAACGCAAGGTCCTCAGCCGCAAAGCACCGCGCTTCTACCCCACCGAAGACCGTCGGGGTAAGCGTAATCAGCGCAAATCCCACCGCATTGACACCCGCGAACGCATCACCGGCCACAGCAAAAAGCTACGCAAATCCATCCAGCCGGGAAGTGTGCTGATCCTGCTGGCGGGTCGCCATAAAGGTAAGCACGTTGTGTGCCTGAAACAGCTGCAGAGCGGACTGCTCCTCATCACCGGACCCTGGAAGATCAACGGTGTTCCGCTGCGGCGTGTCAATCAGCGCTACGTCATCGCCACACGCACCCGTGTCAACATTGAGAAGGTGAAACTGGCGGAAAACCTCAACGATAATTACTTTCGGCGAGTGAAGGCCAAAGCGCCGAAAGATGCTGGCATCTTCGATCAGAAGGCCGAGGCCTACAAGCCGTCGGAGCAGCGTGTCAAAGACCAGGTGGATGTGGATAACCAAGTGCTTTCCGCCATTAAAGCCGAGAAAGATGGTAAATTGCTGCGGGATTATTTATCGTCGTTGTTCCAGTTGAAAAATAAGCAGTATCCCCATCAAATGGTTTTTTAATTGCTGTTTTTCTTTACTGGTCGGTTCGATAAATTCTGCATAAAGTTAAAAAAAAATTCATCTTGATTACTGGTTGCTCGACTTCGTTTGCGTAGCAGTAGCGGCATTGTAGTATAGTAAGGTACAATTTATGAAAATACACCTCGCTTTTGACATATTAGTTAGTTCGTGAAGCTACCTTCTTCGGATCCATGCTTCCGTATGCAAAATGAAAAAACGCATTTTGATTTGAGTGTTCGACTGTTCGTGGTTAGGCTTACGCAGAGCATCTCGAGCAGGATGAAGCTTACACCCAAAAGGAAGAGACGATCTGTGAGGGATTCGTTTTACTTTTTAGTTTGAACTTTCTTGGTTAGCGAATTTAGGGCAGTTCTTATTCAGCAAAATGCTGGATCAACAGATTCGTCAGACTAGCGACAAAACGCTAGTCTGGTGAAGTAGGCTGTGAAGGTCTTTCTGTTCAATTTTTCCAAACATTTATATTTAATGCAAAACAGTAAACAAATATGGGTATGATTTTCTTTATTTATTAGTTTTATTTATTTGCGAATTGTCGTAATAATTTTGTATAGATGTCGTCTTTTGCAAATCGGTTACTGGTTAGCTCTTGTATACTTACTTCTCTATGAGCAGCGTGTTGAGAAATTGTTGCGTAAATTAATTAAATGGTTGATAATGATACAGTTGTTTTACTGTAATTAGCTGTTACAGCCTATTGTTAGTTTTGAGCTGCCTCAATGTGGAATTCATCGTCAGTATCGTGATTCGTGAGATAAGCAGTAGTCACTAGTCGGCATTTCCGACTCTATATGTTTTCAGGCTGCAAAAATATTTTCGCTCTATTAATTTCTACACAACAATCGAAGCTGTTCTGTGCTGAAATTTGCAGTTCTAGGACTGAAGCCGACAAGACGCATAATTATGAAAGTTTCTTTGGAACTTTGCTTTGGGATTGTGAGGCAATACTAGCACGTCAACAGTGCGAAACCATTATCTGTAGTCTGTACGTCACAAACCAGGAAACGCAAACAGGAATACAAACACCAACTCCATAAAATCAAAATTAAAGGAAGACATAAATAAAAATTCTGTGTAACCGTAAAAAAAGAAAAGCAGCCGCGACTCAGGTATCGAGTGTCTGACCAGAAACTAGGATCATATCACATCTCAGTTGAATCAAAAAGGGCGCAAGGATACAGTATACTGTAAACAGGGTCACTCTTTAGCAGCATTTTTGCGACGACCATTAGGGACTTTGGCACTGTTCGACGTCTGATTTTTCTGCGTGCGGCTGGCGGGAGGGTTTTTACTGGATGTAGGCGTTTTAGGCGTTCCATTCTGTACCGGTTTCATGGGGGCTTTCCGGTTAGAAGCTGACGGAGGCTGTGAAGGCGGGAGACTGCGGCTAGGGGTAGTGATTTTTGGATGAAAGGGAATGATGTGGGCAGGACGAACAAAGACGCCGTGCTTGGGTGAACAAGTGAAATATCGCTTTCCTTCCAAACTCCCGTCGTTTTTACCTAAAATCGCAGTATAATTTGCACATCGTCGAATGATATTCTGACTTGCAACTTAAATGTGAGTAATTAGTGATTACCATGAGCTCCGTCAAGAGCCACGCCGATCCATTGCCCATCGCCTAAACTCGTTGGTCCAATGAATCGAACTACGCCCAAGTGGTTACCCCGGACCAGCGTAACTTTCTTTCCCACAATTATCCAATCCGTATCTGACGAAATTAGCGAGGGCTCATTTAGCGATTCTGGAATAAAAAAAGATGTAACATTTTCCACAACAACATATTTTACCAATATAAAAATATACAACTGGCCAGTGGCCGTTAGTATAACAAAATATACACCTATGTACTGTAGATGTACGGTATAAATTGAACGCCTACACGTCTATAAATTACTCGATCACTATCGCACAAGACACGACACCTGTACTTGTACAGGTGTGCTGGGATGCATAAACTACACGGAAGTTGGACATAAGAAACAATATCTGGGTATATATAAGAACTGCTTTGCCTACCTTTGGATGTTTCCATCTCAGCGGTATAATGCGGCAAGGATGCCTCCACATCCATTCTCTCTCCGTCATCTTGCTCAACAGAATCATCCTTAACCGCTTCTTCCAGACTTTCTTCCGGCGCCCCGTTTTCTTTTTCCCCCTGAATTTCTTCCGATTCCTCTACCTTTCCCTCCACAAAATCACTCTTCACCATTGTGTCTGCTGGCTCGCGATATCCCGAATCGATGTCTGGGGATACGTTGGAACTGCGGATGCTTCCATCGTCCGACACCGACGACTGCGTATTGGTCTGGGAGCCCACGCCGCTAGAGATACCGCTTAAACTTGAACTGTTCTGCATCGTGCTCTTGATCAGCGGTGAGTCATGTGAGGAATTGTTCCCGCCATCTATTTCCAGCGAAGTATGCGAATGTAGGCTGTGATTGCTGTCAAAGAGCTTCTCAGGAATGGTCCGAATGGGCGACATTAAGCATTCACGTTCCGGAATGTCTTCATTCTGCTGCTCTTCCACCAGCGGCATCATTTTTGAAGCGAATTTCGAAGGAGTTGGAGTGTAGATTTCATGGGGTGAAGTTGGTGCTAGATTACGAAATAGTGATTTGCAAAACAAACTTTCAAGACAAACGAAGAAATCTCCATAGACACAACGCTCAAGAAAGTAAAGGTCACACATACATAGACTGCCCACCACCGGTCGTATATTAAGGAATGTTGGACGCCCTGTCACAATTTAGCAAGTTCAGACGCACCATCAAAACCACACAAACAACTTAATCTCCCACCTCGGAAAGTTTTGCGTTCTTTTACTTCCGACTGTCCGTCGGTTATATCCGATATGCTGGCATCCAACGACGGCCGTAGCTCTCTGATACTGGATATGACGTCATGGGAGCGTGAGAACTAAGCGGGCAGGTAAAATAATAATTATGACAGGGTCGATACATTCGACGTACTGCTACTGAAAACTCAAATACTGCATAATATTATACGTAACCATGTCTTTCATAAGTACTGTAGTCACCTAATCTTCCTCACAGCAATAAACGTAATACATACTGCCAATCTGCCCGCCGTGTTATAGAGCAAAGAATTCACTGCTTGAACTCTACGTAACATAAACAATTTTGGGAACTCTTGCGTCGGCAATGAACACTCTGAACTTACATGGCCGCCGATGCTAGTGGGTACGCTGGCGGTTTTCCTCAGCGGTTTACCCATTCTCTGCAAGAGTTCTTTAATCTTGAGCTCCTGCCGATCACGCTCTCGCTTCAATAGCATCTCCACACTAAGCACATTTCGCAGGTAAAGATCAATATACGACTCTCCCTCAATTGTACCGCTTCCGGGATCGGCCGCAGCTGCCAGAAGCGCTAGTTGTTCACGGTTTTCCGATTCCTCGGATGCCTAATGTAACAAAGTGTCACTAGTATTCACTACCATCGTAAGCAGTAGACTAACAGTATGGTATAAGTTTATAACCTACCTTTGGTAAACTGGACACGATATGATACGTCACGCCAGTGAATGTTAACATTTTCCCACCGGATGCGATGGCGTTTAGCACGGATTTGGCGAACCACATCACCGAAGTGCGCTTCTTGACGATGCGGACACAGATGCGTTTGCGAAGCACTAGATCGAGAGGGGCAGGATGGGTGAGGCGTAATACCGCTCGCACAATCAGGTAGATGCAGTTAAACGGTGGGGTTTGACAATTAAGTGCCGGAGAATCGTGGCGGGAAGAATCCCAAGAAAATGTCGCTTCAGCCTGCAAATCACAGCATCGAGACAATCAGCCAGTTGCGCGCCTTTGGCAGAGGTGCCGAAATGGAAAAATCTTTGCACTGGAGACCCTACCCGAGCGCTGTCGCCCTTTACGAGATGCATTTCTAACATCGTGTCACTGTTTTCCCTTGGCAATTTCGTAAATGCTCCCACCACTAAAAACTCATCGTTCAATGGTGCGAAAGCTCGAACATCGTCCGGATGGAGATCCATGTACAAAACAGGAAAATGCATTTCCATTCCCTCAATCCCTGGGCTTAAGTCCAGATAACAAAATTTATTAATCAAAATACAAGCGGCAACTAATTACGATTTAGTAAGGCAAAATCCAGCCATATCGCAAACTTACCCTTGAGCCGTCGCTCCCGGTATACCGCTATCCGGCGATGGAACATGCATGGAGCTTAGTTCCTGAGTGTAAGTCAGAAACTGATCGTGCAGATTCTTTTCCCTTTCGACATCGCTTTCGGATTTGGCTAAATTACAGAGTACTAAAATTATCAGCAAATAAAAAAGCCCGTCACTGTTTAAATGTTCAGCATACCTCGCTTATCTGCTAACTTCTCCAACTCTTCGGTCAAATGCTGCCGGCGTTTCTGCAGCGCCACTTCCCATTTACTGCGAAGCGTTCGTAAGTCGTCTTCCTGATAGGAATCTAATCCTTTCTGTTGCCGCAGATCCCGCTCCTCCACGTTACCAATGGAAGCGCTGACAATGGAGAAGACATCCACCGGCAGAAAACCGCCCTTGAGCGCCGGTGTGACCTTTATGTGAACATGGCGCTGCTGCCCTTGACGCAGCTGGTACACGCCACCCGTCAGTACTTTCCGGCTGTCTCCGGTATCCACATCCACGGGAGAGTACACGCCCTGATCGTTTAGTTCACGGATTTCCACCAACATGTCTAGTTTGCGACTAACTTCACTCCAGCTGAAGAAAATAAAAGTCCGTTTATTAAAACATTTGCAACTTGGAGAGAATGATAATCTTGCCGAACATGACGCAAAATGTGGAAACGGCTTAAAATTTTAGTGCGTTTTATTACGATCAATCCTGTATATTAATTCTCTAAGCCTTAGCGAATTCCATTCTGTCTCCCTTTTGTGAGCGAGCCATTGAACCAATCTTGGATGTCTATATGTCATTTAATAGCGGCGAGTTTGCAGATTTGCAGAAACCAGTCAGTTTTTTGAAAGTATGTAAAATTTCAGAGAAAATCTTAAAAGAACAGAACATACAAAGTCTACGGAAAGAGTGGAGAACCCACCACTGCAAACCCGCCCACTCCACCACTGTCACGAACAGTATAGGAAACGCATCCATCTGTTGTACACTTGGTGGCATTTTGGCGTCCAAGTTATCCGACCGCCTTTAGTTCATAAGATTTTTACTAAGGGTTAATTTTTAAAAAACGTAGGCTTTGAAAGCAATACTTCTTAAAGACTGAACACGCGAAATCTCTTGGGAAGTGATGGGAGCAACTCCAAGTATCAAGTATTGTAGTTCCCGTCCGCAACGGGTTGTATTGAAACTGCTTCCACGGGGCGGTTGGCTTTGGGAATATTGTACTAGCTCATGTGAAACTTGCCAATAAACATTATTTTGTGAGAGACTGAAAGTCGATTTTTGGAAATTTTGGTGTTCGACTGGAAATGTTGTGGACTGTTTAAGCAAAACAACGAGTCCTAACTCATAGTCCGGACGCACGGATTTGAGTCTGAACACCGCCCGGAGGAAGGCGTCCGCACTTCGCACGGGAGGGGAGGTTAAGATATTTTTCCGAAAGAAAACTCAAAGGAACGTAGAAGAAACGGTTTTATGAAAATTTAAAACGCATATTCAGTTTTGAAAAATCTAAAATACAGAAGATTCAAAAAGCCAAACATATCCGCTTTCTGATTTATCTTTGTAAGTGGTCAAAAGGGTTACATAGGTGGTCGTACCGTCCGCCGTCGTATCACTGGATCATTATTGTATCGGTCACAACGGACAGACTAAAATTTAACGAAGCTCCGAATGGTATCTTAACCAGCAGAAGTAATACGGCTATGAAAATTCCAGTAATTATTGAGGTGTTTCTTATTTGTAGTTCTGGGCAACCGACCGGCATTTGCTGCTGATTGGTTTGGGAAAAGCTTGAAAAGTTTGGTTTATAACTGCAAATAAAAAGGGCATGTTTCTGGAAAATTTCTAATTTTCGGGTTTCATTTAAGGTTATTACTTAAGTCAGCGGGACGGGACAATGTTTTTTCAAAACTTTTTTTAATTAGTAAACTGGATACCGGCTAACTGTTACTAATCTGTCAGTGAACTATGGGCAAAATTAAAAGAATAGTTTACAGTAATCAACCAAATAGATATATTTTGGCAAATATGTACTATGCGTACCCGGCAGTGAAACTACAGTATATTATTATTGTTATACGTTCCACTCAATAAATCTAAATTTGTAGTCGGGTTTGTGGTTTTCTTAAATAGCATTTTATCGCCGATTTATTCCGCGCAGTTTGCGCGGGGTCTACTAGTTCATTTTAATCGCACTAAATCTAGAGTCTGCTGCTTCAACAATAAACACTTACTGATCGGCAATGCTCTTTGTCTTGAAATCAAGTTTGTTGACTTCCCACTCGGAATCATTCCCTGACTGCTTATGTCCCCATACCTGGATAGACAACGAGCCATCCTGACAGAAATCAAGGAAGTCTTCGTTCATAGAAACGGTGTGGTCCTGATAAAAATGCAACATTCAGTTAGTTTGCACCATACTCCAAAGAAAACTGTTGACAGGAGTGGCATACATAGGTAAAGTTAAACAGAAGTCGGGCGCCTTCTTTAGCTTTCGTTTGTTGTCGACGGATGCTAAGTGTAGGTACCATTACCGGATCGCGTTCACCCCAGAAGACATACTGACAGAAGACAAAGTTGGCGAACGTCGGCGGCAGTCCTGTAGCTTCGATTATGGAGATCTAATTCAGAGTTAAATAGTCAATTGGTGACACCGTACAACGGCAAACTGTGGCAAAAACAGCTGTTTCATACTCGGCAGACCACTTCATTACGACGGTAGCACCGTCGCTCATCGGATTCGGCCTCCGATTCATCGTCTTCGTCCCAGTCCTCATTTTCACTCTCCTCCTCATCCTCATCAGTTTCCTCACCGGCATCGCCCTCGCGGTCTTCCATACTCAGATCGCCACCGACGCGAGAGATTTGTACATGCAGCCGCCCCACAATCTGCGTCCAAAGGAGGTGAATTACTGCCAAGCGCATTTTAAAAATTTCCCTATCGTTCTGTTTAGTTTCTTTCTATTCGGGAAACACTTGCTGCAGATACAATTATATTGCGTTTGCAGTTAACATCTTTTCGCACCGCTGTTTTCACCAAAATACACTAAAGATATACACCAAAAAATAATAAATGACTCATGAACCTTGAAAAAGAAGTTGTTCTCACTTTGTGAACTGTATGTTTTCTGTCAATGTATGATCGTTCAAGTCAAGTTCAGTTTTTATACCTCTCCCTGCTGTGAAATGATGGGAACATGGCAGTCCAAGGTCACATTGTGAAACAACACTGTCATGAAGACATTCGCCACTCCAATCAGATTGTGATTTTCTTCATGTTCATAAAACGGATCAACATCCACGGCCGTTAACAGTTGATCATCCTGCATAAAAAGACCATTTCCCTCAAACACAATTTCCCTTCATTGTCTAGCAATCACGCCAAGTTACAGGATATCCTACGCTGGGGATTTCCGGTCCCTTCCATAAATTATACAGCTCGCGCATGTCGATCAGCTTATTCTGCAGCTTCTCCACTGACCAGATTTGATTTGGCTGGTGTTTGCGTTTAACGACAATGGCTGCCTCACTCAGGCTGGAATAGATCTATGGTCCCAATAAAAAACAGGCCGTTAAATGGTGCTTTACGACTGGGTTGGGAAATGCGATTGATCAGGCAACACATACTTTGCGATTGGGTGTCAGATTGCTGACCGGAATCTGCAGTGTCACTTGATAATCGGTTTCTTTGCCCAGTTCCTTTGCCAAGTAGCGTGCTTCTTGGACAAATGTATTGGCGCGAATCACCTCGGATTTCAACTGCGCTAAACACTTATTGAACCACTCTTCCCTAAAAATGCACAAATCATGTCAATAAAATAGTTAAAAATATCCAGTTCTTATGGAAGTCAAATGAAATCTGCACAAACGTTTAACTGCAGGGCAGTGTAAAAAAAAGCAAAAGGTCGGAAATCACAATAAAATGCGGTTACCGCTCATGATTCCACACTTCGTATCTCGGCGTCCCGGGGTAGGAAGGCGTAGTTGCGCCAGCGAAGTTCCAACTGGACCGATACAAAAGATCCCTGGATGAGCCGTATACTCCAGGAGTACTGACCGGCGTCCCGGCCATGGAAAGGTTACTCCGGTATTGTTCCTGTTGTCTCAGCTGTTTCTCATACTTTTGACTCTGAGCCAACAGTGCACCTGCAAATAAAAAAGTCGTATGTAAATTCTAATATGCACTAGCAAAGATCTCATTTCTTACGCTGTTTTTCCTCGTGATACTGTGACTCTAAAGCATGAAACAGTGAGGCGGTGGCGGGATCGCTCATTTTGTTACGGAACAGTTCCTCCCGTGCTGATTCGAAATTTACCGGTTCTTCCGGTGTCGAACCCGAATCTACAGCATTCGTAAAACTGTACACAAGAAAAACAGGATATGATAAAAAAGCTCACTTTCGGTTTTTGGACAGTTGACACGGAAGAAGTGATTATTCCCGAAAATCAAACGATCGCGATTATACAAACGTGTCTTGCAAGCAATCTCCACTCCATTAACACACGTTCTGAAGCACGAATGGATTATACAAAGACCTTAGCACAGCTAGGGAGACAACGCACTAATAACGCACTTGGCATCGTCGATGGGGATCACATGCAGTTCCTGGGCTTCGATCAAGAGGACGGCGTGGTTTGGTCGGATGCCGATGCCACTCAGCTGAATGTCAGGCTGCTCGTCCGCTTCCGGTCGGCCAACTGAATTCACGTCCTATGAAAACGTGCAACACATTTTAAAAATCTACAAGAGGATTTGGCCACAATTTGTTTTGGACAAGATTTAATTCACTATGGCACGAACCACCCAGACAGCAGACACATCCCAGGCTTACCATTTTTTACGACTGTACGTATTTGTACAAAACAAAAATCAGACTATCCATCTCGAAATAGCATTCCGTTTAAAAGGATCAAACTGGAGCTGATCAATTTATAAATAAAACCGTACACAATCACTTGCAATATTATACAAGTAAGTACCAAAAGCGAGTTAACGTAATTAAAATTATTAGCGAGAACCGCATTTACCTATGTATAAACATACTTTCTTAAAACATTTATGCAAGATTTACCGCAGTACTAGTAGTAAGGTTCGGACACATGACTTCTTCATATACTTGTACTTTGTGCTGAACATGTAGACGAAATTACTAATCAAAAATTACTCTCACACAAGCCGAAACAACTAAATAAAGACAAATGTTGACACTTTCACTTACCTTGAGGTAGTAAACCAAATTCTCATTAAGGGACGGGTCATCGTTGAGGTTGACAAGATAATAGCGGCCCTGTTCAACTTTGATACCAGACGACTGAACTGAAATGCCCATCTGCTCCAGCGCGTGCTTGCGGTCCTTTAATAAGAAAACCGACCCGAATGAGTCGACAAATCGGAAGGGAATCAACGGGATAGATACATGTACAAATAAGATGAATGAGCAAGACAATCAAATTGAATTCGCTGCGATTTGGTTGGGTAGAGATCAGAATTGATTGCTTTTTTATACACGCATTTAATGTTCTTCCGCTGACGTCGATAGCCATACAAATCCTAACTCAGCCCTCCCGGCAAAAACATCCGTAATTCAAGGACCATCAAATATTCATAATAAGCGTAATTCTACGTGGCATTTTTGAAATCGAAACCTCAGATTATTTTTAAGCTTAAAGCAATGACAAAAACAGGAGCAAAACTGACGGTCGCAGAATGTGGAAAGGCAAAAGATGTATGACTGGTCATTGTACACAATTTGACAACAGACACAAAATGATGTGACAACAGACCCATATGATCCATTTTTGTACTGTACAAAATTTATTAATTTTATTGACCAACTGCCACATCACAATTTGCAAACTTATTAGAAGGAAATAAGCAAACTTTCCGCATTCTGGATACTGCTTTGAACCAATTATTTTGGTGAAGTTGTGGGCTTACCAAAATAATTATTAATTAATTACAGAAAACATTTCATGGCTAGTGGTCAAAAGGCGATTTTGCAGGTAACGTTTTCCGAACTATAGTAAATATCGCATGTAAAGCGGTTGCAGAGGTTCAGATTTAAAGCATGAAGTGCCCGAAGAACGTTACAAAATCAAGCAAGGAAGAGCAATGTTAACACAATTTCATTCCGCTCCCCTTCCCGCTCAACGATGCATGGCCAGAAATGGGACGATAATCATCCAGTCAAAAAAGTCATTGGTTCTTTAACAAATCATCCAACAAAGTGTAAAACATTTTCCCGAAATCAAAATAGCACAGCTAATCAGTGAGAAGAGATAGCCAGCTTGTCACTTAGCGCTTCAATACACCAATCGATTTTTCAAAAAATGTATACTTAGTCAAAACTCTTTCTATAAGGACGGAATCTCTCCAAGACGCCGTTATTTTTGGGAACAGCTCCAATAGTCGCAAAAATTAACCCCAGACCTGATTTTCTCAAGTAATGAAAGAAAACGTTTTGAGATATCATCGGTAGACAAATATAGTTTAATTGCAAACTGGATAGATACAAGTACGTACAGAGTACATGCGGGCAATTTGAGCCTAAAATTTTTATATTTAAAGATACTGAATGTTAAAATTCAGTATGATTGTCGCTCTGTACAACACAAAACTTCAAGCACTAACTTAGAAAACGTTGTACTTGTACTACTGAAAGAAGAAAGATTGCAAACATGATAAATAATGATAATCCCGTCAGTTGAACATGCATGGTAAAAGCTGAATTTCAGATTACGCAAGTCGCAGCACGCAACGAGATGATCCGCTACCGCTTTCCAGTGTCAGCACCACATCTCATAATTAGCTGGTTGAACAAGAGAAGACCCTTACATAAGTTCCGTTGCTGATCATCCCGTTTCATTTTTCTCAGCGCCCATAAGCAGTATTAATGATGCATCTCTGACGACCTTTTCGTCTACCACACGGGTTGACTTACCTCATGTAGCTGCTCGGCTTCCTTCAGCTTGACCTCCCATGGTTTGTTCATGTTGTCCAGAATTGACTTGGATTCTGCGTAGCGCTCCTCGATTTCTTTGCCCTGAATTAACAACACATCACTAGCTCATGGAATTAGGTCGCATTGGCACGCACCAATGAATGTAAAGTGTTCTGAACATCCTCACAGGCACACTTATCGGCTTCGTGTTACCATCTTTATCAATAATTCTTTGGCAACAAAATTTGCATGCAAATTTTTCGAGTTTCGACCACGAGTAGGACAATGCTTGGTGCCGTCTGCCTTCCACATTTTCCGGCAAATATACACCGGTAAACCGTCACCAAATTTTCGCCTTCTCTTTTTTTTGTTAAATTTTGCAAACAGTTTTGCTTTTAATTTTGAAATTCGACTCATAAGCTACAGGGAGGTACTGGTAGCAATCAAGCCGGTAATAATTTCAACTGTTTCAATCCAAAAGTCGAAACCGTAATTTCCCCGGTGAATTCACGAGAAATCCCCACCTTAGTCAGCAGCAACTGTTTTCGCAGCATCTCTACTTCTTCCCGCAGTTCCCGAATAATCTTCGCATTGGGATCTTCGTTGATGACTGCATGGTTGACAATGCGTTTTGTCCGATCAGCATAGCGCAGTGTCGAGAGCGTCTCTTCATACTCGTCAGCAGCGGCACTTATTGTGGCAATCATCACCGTTCTACTGTTGCCACCAAGGTTATCCTAAAACAAAACCCACAAATAAATACCGCACACTATTGTATTACATTAAATTTAATTTAAATATTTTCATTAATATGCAAATGTTATTATTCATTACAAAAAACTGGTTTCAAAGTGTTGTTTAAAGGTCACAGCAGCACATTAGGGTATCATACAAAAAAATTGTATTCACGATTCAATTTCATTGACATACGAACGAGTTGTACGTACGTAATCTTACAATGCATACGTAGCAATTGGAATGATTATGAAACTGGTTGTACTAGAATTTGCAATTACTACTAAAATTTAGTACAAGGTAATAATTCAGTAATATTTATTGGTAAATTATTACTAACTGAATTTAATAATACTGATAAATTAATACGCAACCACCTCAAACTCTGGTAAAAAGACAAACTGCATATTTGTTTATGAAAGGGACCTACAAGGGCCAAAATTATAAGGAGACAAATCTCGTGCTACACCTAAACTCGTGCACTCGTGCTACACCTAAACCTGGTTATAAAAAATTCAGTTTCAGTTTTCGTTCGCCTTTAACCGGTGACTTCAAATTGGCTCACGTCATTTACATTTTTTATTACCCAGGTCAGCAGCTGTACAGAACAAACTATTGAAAAATTTAATTACTTCGTCCGTTTGAAAGGAAAATCGCAGTCAGCGAATTAATCCCTGAAAAATAATCCTCATTTTTACACCATTCCGAATTATTTCCCGAGAGTAAAATTGATCCCCGTCGTCAAAGATTATTCCTCAGAATAAAAGCTGCCATGCGCAGAAAATCACATTAGCGATGCTGCAGCAATATTATCGATACACTCTACACACACTCCCTCGAGAACGCACCAAGATACGTTTTCCCCGTAAATGCTCACTTTTCCGGTTTTGCCACATACAATAAGCAAAGCTAGAAGCCTGAGAGTCGCTCAGATACGTTAACAAGTTCCATCGTAAGAGAACATGAGTACTGAAAGCGCCAAAAACGATAATGATCCAAGAGGCACAGATCCGTCAATGTTGGATCATTGAATTAAAAATCTTATTTTCGCAAAATCGTGAATATTTTTCGCATACAGACGCAATACTGCGACCGCAGCACAATGTCTCCCATTCTCGGTTTTCTGAGCTTTTCTAGTTAAGGATCCATTTGTATCCTTTCAATACACAATTCTCAAAAAACCTAATTAAAATTATGTTCATTCTGTGGAGCTAATCGCAATCAGCAAAACTCAGCTTCACTTCACTTCTCAGAATCTACACTTCAATACTTTGCTACCCCAATTTTATTACCCCAATTTTCGCCACATTTTTATCAAACTTCCTATTTTGCGTACCAAAAAAATGATTGTACAGAAAAGCCAGATAACAAAACAAAAATATTCCCGAAGTTTCTGCGCTAGAATTCAGTACCTTTAGCAGCCATGTCAGCACGGAATCACGGTAAGGAATAAACGCATTTTTTCCTCTGTTGCTGGACTGATCGGCCAACGCAGAAATAACCAAACCAAGTGTTGACAATGACCTGCAATATCCAGTTAAAGTTCAAATTTGAACAATAAAAATAATGTTGCAGAACAGATACAGAAGAACAAATCGTTCATAATCCTTTTCTATTATTTTGATATGAACCAACTTGTTAATGTTGCTTCCTTCCTTAAGACGTTCGCCTTCTGCGCCCGTTTTCGAAGCTCTTTCGCTTCCGGCCAGATCCACCAAACTAATACGACTAACTTTTCTCCCCGCGAACCTACAATCAGGTAAAGTCTTTAATCGCATAACGTCGTACACGATTAAAAACATGATAATTTATTCTCCAGTACGTAATTTTTAATTTCTTTACGCTTTACGATAAGCTGCAAACCAGCAACACATACTCCACGTTCTGAAAGACGCAGACAAAAAAACCTTTTTGTCGAAAATAAGTTTTTAATTACAGTATATTTTAAAAATAGTTTTCATAAGATGCCGTTTCCAGTTTTAAAAATTTCTCAACCTGCTAAAAATGTTTCCTAAAAGCATACCTTCTTAAGTTAAGTTTGAACAAATTAAAAATAAGTAACGAGAACAGATAAATTAAACATTTCGAAATGAATGAAATAATCCTTCCAGTTCGTCTGAAATAGTTTTATTTCGCGGCAGTACTGGAATAAACGGATCCTTCGGAAAAGAACTATTCTTACACCAGATGCCACATCCTCCATGACCTGCGTCAGTACAATTGTGAAAACCGCGTGTGAACGGCTGCTTTCGCTGTTCATGTTCGTGGCTGCAACCGTTCGCGCCTTGTTCCCTTCTGCCATCAAAACATCGATATCCTAAAAAAGCAGATTTACGTATCAAAACCCCCGCAGTCCATACTGCAATGCTGCAGTGCACACTATAAAAGCGCTGACCTAGTAAATAAGTACTAGTAATCGAAAAATCTACTGGCAACACAAAGCAGATGTTTCCATATTTTTCAAGCCGCAATTACAAATACATTCGTTTCAAAACTCTCAGTGATGATTGTGCCATAACAGGTGACTAGTCACAAAAGCATTACGCTTCACAATTCACAGGTAAGGGTTAATCATATGGAACTACCACAAATTACATTAGTTTATCTATTGCACTTTTAGAATACCATTAATCGGCATTTCTAGCGATAATAATTCTACTGTTAACCATTTCCAACCGCTTCGTCCACGTGGCATTAATAACCATAATACACACTGCGTGATGCAAAAATTCCGAGACCCACGCCCAGCAAAAATAATTAATTTACCAACCTCAAACGATTCAACCGCTGCTATAGTCAAGCCGTCCACGTAAGGGCCCAAAATGTTGTGTTCCCTTACACGCAAACTCTGTTTGGTTCTACAAAAGTCGTACTAGATGAGTATTACAATGCATGAGGACAATAAATCCTGCATGTGGTCAAGGTAATATGAAGTAGATCTTTGCATCCACCCAAATCCTAATGTTATTTTACCCTCTCGGACTAAGCAGGTCGTAGACCTTCTCGTTGTAGATTTCGATGTACGATACTTCCACTTTGTACAGTACATTCTTCCTGACATCATCCTCCACTCGCAGAAATAAATCACTACATAACCGCGGGATTATACCCGGCTGTTCCAGTGAGCCCATCATCGTGTAAGACTTCCCGGAACCTACAAATATTCACGAAGCCGAATTTAAAACGACAGCCCTGACCATTCTCTTCTTCCCTAAATCAATTGTTACACATACCGGTTTGTCCATACGCGAAGATGCAGGCGTTGTATCCTTGAAAGGCATTCTCCAGAACACTGCTTCCCACAGCACTGTACACATCGTCCTGATCTGTAGCGTTGAAATCCAATTACGTGTATGCACCCAGAACGGTGAATTACGAAAACACGCAAAAAATTACAGCGCCAATTTTTCTCTTACCCGCATAATGGGGATCGTCGTGACGGCATGACCAAAAACAGTGATCAAAGGTGAATGGTTTCTGATGCTTCCTGCAAGAACGCATCTACGTTTACTAAACATTTTTATCTAAAGAACCAAGTGCAATTATTTTCCAGTCACAACAGCATGGAATATAATATTAGTGTACTATGCATCCTTTATTCTAGATTTATTGTCGGTTCTACTGACGTTATTTTTATATTATACCAACAGTATTGGTACCAAACTATGGTAAGAAGAGCATGAAAATGAGAATTCACGCTGCGTGCAGCTGCGATGATCTGGTTTCAATTTAATCACACAGTGTTTATTTTGCAGGCTGCAGACTTATAAATGTTGAAGAAATCAAGGCTCCAGATTAACTGTGAATACACACTAATGCCTAAACCATAAAACAAACAAGATAGATTCAAATCCCTAATAAACAGGAGAGGTCAAGTGCATCAGACGAATGCGTGAATGCTTCTAAAGCGACCATTAAAATTCGCCCACGCTCACAAAAACAGCCGCCACTGACCAACGGTAATCGGCTATTTACGGAGATGGTCTCACAGAATGGATATATTAAATATTTTGTTACGATCCATCAAATTTCATTATCCAACCCATTACGACGATGCAACTAACAGTACCGTCTACACTTATAATCATCTATCACCAATCTCCGTAGTATTTGTTCAGTATAAAGCCATTTTTCATCTTTTTCTTTATGATATGGGCCATTCCCATAAAGCTATGTCGAAACGCATTTCAATCAAACTGCCGGTCATCGAGCAATGGTCTAACTCAATCTGCAATACAATTACAACGGAAGTATCTCCCGCCGGCGTAAGTGGACGCGTCCCACATGTGACCTTGCATATTTTATGAGCGAGTGAGTGTCATATGTGTGTATGCTGCACCAGCTCCCTTTTCTCCAACGCCCCCGCTCCAGCGGCACAGGCGCATCAAATCGATTAAAATGCAATCATGTGTCCGCTGAATGATTCATGCTCGCACTCAAATTATAACTCTTCAGTTCCGCTTTGCGCTCCATAAATTTACAAAGAGGCCCCCCTCCTGGGCGAAACGGGGTTTGTTTCTTCTTCGGAGTTCTCACTGAAACTTGCTGATTCGCTCCGCACAGATAATCATGTCGACCTTAAAGCTACCATTAATTTCTTATTGTTTGGCGGGGGTGAATATGACCATAAAAAACAACGAGAACGCTCCCGCACGCTCCTCCCGGACGCGTTTCCGGTACGCCTCTCAGGGGAATTGTGTCGGTGGAGATGCGTGTCAGCATGGCGTGCGATTGTTACACAGTCAGCTTTGCATAATAGAAACATCTATTTTTTATCTACTACGCCGTCAACGATTAGTGCCGGCACGAAACGACTATCTATGAAAAATTAGGAGTAATTTGCAATGTAAACTACAAGCGAGTTTCGAGAAACACAGGTTATTCAACATCCATCAGGGAGGCTGAACGGATCACAGTCTATCGCGAAAGGTGGACGAAAATTACTGAAATTTGCACAAGAAAACTGTAAATGCGGCGAACAAACAGAATCATGATGTTTTCTTTGAATTTATGGAGATTGTCACGGCCTTTCGATGCCATACTACAGGCGCTGCAATCGAACAAGGAAAAGTGTGTTGTATTGTACACATTTCAAAAACTAATGTTGCAAATTCCCCGACATACAGTAATATGCGTTCACATCTGCCCTCTGCAATTGTGTACACCCATTTGTTGGTTTCATTTTGATTTGTGAGTACCATCACGAAAACATAATGGCAATAATCCCAGTAAAATAAAAAATGTATATTTTCAGGAAATGTACTTGGAACACAGCAAAACAGCATAAAAGAATGGCCATAGTATTTTACCACAGTAAAGTGTCTGTACAACTGCATGGACGTTTCGTTCGCTGAAAAACCACTATTTATTCATCTCAACCATTACGCTTTCGTTTCCGGGTAGTCGATCACTGGAAAGAAAATCTTTTACCAAGCTGATGATGCCATTTAATTTCTCATGAACAGCATACGCACTTTCCTGTCCTTGATATTTTCTGCCTCCTCCTCAAAGCAAGGGATGTGTAACCCGGAAAACGAAGGAAAAGTCCCTATTGCATCGATCTGTTTGATAATTTATATTGGGAAAAAACGTCCGCTCAATTCAATACTGCATAATAGCTTGAACGATACATCACCTTATTTTCCTAACCTAACATTTATTTTGCACTAACATGCCTCTGCCAAACTGCTTTTCTTGCTAAGACTCTTTTGAATAAAAGCAAACATTTGCATAAGGGTTTTTCAACCGCTTTTTTACAGCTTTCAACCGACAGCACTGTGTGCAGATGTTTCAGTGCTCACTTTTTTTGCTTAAAACAGGCACCCAATCATGGACGCTTACTTTTTCAGTAGTACCTTACGAACTTCGTCAACTTATTTAAGTTCTTTTACCTATGCAGTCATGTAGGTCACCCGCGTTAATTTGCTACTAGCATCTCGCAAAAAAACACAGTTTGTGCGCTAGAAGTACGAAAGAACTCAACTGTACATACTCGTTATCGGCACAATACGCAATGACAGCAAAGGTCACCCGACTTCTTTCAAAACTCTTTACATATTCTGTTAAACGGAAATCTGATGTTCTGTAGTGCACTTAGGAATTAAGTGGTCACTGCTCTCTGCGGTAATGATTTTGGCAAATTCATGCATTTTTACAACATGTTCTCCAGTGGATATTACTCGTTTCATTTAAAAATTTAATATTTACCCCATTCCATCCAATGGAACAAGATTTATTCAACCTTAAGTACTATGTTAGCCAACGTGTTATCCCAGCAAAATGCCCATACAATCAGTTGTTCAGCACATCGTCGAAGGGGGCGAACATGATGGAACATATGCGGCACACTCCCAGGGGAGTGCAGAGCATACTGCGCATCCCTATCCTGGTCCATAACGCAAGTGTAGCGTCGAGCGTCACAGCTATACCAAACATCGCCGTTTCGATCGCTCCAAGTAACCATAGAACTAATTCAATTTCATCCTCAATATCTTTTCCTTTCCAATTCAGTGATAGCAAATTCTTAAGCAAAATAACCGGCACTCGCTAGTCGCTACTCGCTACGACAGCAGCCCACCCCAGTAGCAGACGAACAAGTAGCCAACGCACTTCGTCACAGATTGCTGCTGACTTAATTAAAGTGCGTAGCCCCTTTACAGCAGCAGCTGTCCAGAGTTTTTTCTGTCCGACTTCAAGAGCACTTAGCATTACAGATACTACCAGAAATCAATGCCAACGTTGACGCATCCTAAAAAAATTTATTAGTTCCATTTCCCAACTAGTAATATCTTAACGTGAGTTTAATTCAAGTAGATGTCAACCTGAATCTACTGCATGTTTCAATCTGGACTTTCCGACGATTTTTCCAAAAGAAATGTTTACGAATCATTTTATACAATAAACTGAATCACGAAATCTGATAGTACTAATAAACAATTTATTATGGCACTAAAACTCATAATTACAAACAAAACGGGAACGTGTTCACAGTTCACTTGTGTTGTTGTTTAATTTAAAGGCCACACATTCCATCCAACATATCTCATTGTCAGCAACTTTTTTGAAACTTTATCACAGTTTTCAGTTAACGAGTAACAGGCATGTGGTAGCAACGATTAATCGCTTCATAATAGCAGGGTGTCATATGCGGTCATATACATACTGTATTGTGTAGAGTGTAGACCGTAGGCGCACTATTGTACTTATACGTATGTTAATGTGGGTCTTTCAGATGCTGCTGACGTCTGTCTGGTGCGGCTGTCATCGCAGCGCATCAGGAATTATTTGATCATTTCCAGTTTCCGCTAACTAGTTTCCCGTTTGGCCAGTCACGGTCAAAAATGCTCAAAGTACAGTGTCACACATTTCATAAATCCCGTCGGCGTCAGTGCCTGCCACACAGGGGGCAAGACATGCAGAGAATGTACTGTTATTATTATGTTATGCGCCAGCATCGCTTTCCTTCCGATCCCATCATTCGCCATCCTACGAGCGGGCTTCTCAATACAAATCAGTTTCAACATAAACAGACTACGACAGAATTTATCCACAGGCATTTATCATTCTCCGCTACTGAAAAGAACTGCTATCTTAATCTAAAGCAAAATCCACAGCAGAAAAACTTACGCTGATACTCCAAACATAAAGTTTCAAACTGTTACTTAATTTAAGTGGATGGGAAAAAATTCAAAAAAACTGTCAACCCACAAACACAAAAAATGCGCGAAGGCTCAAAATTACCATAACATGCCAAACGTTTTTTCAAAGGAAAACTTCAGCGTTAAGTGGCAAACACAATTACAGAACGATCTTTGTGAATTGATTGCAGCTCTTTACCATAAGGACAGACAATAATAGTAAAGTTGATATTCCTGTACTGTTGTTATAATGCAACCATTCGCTTAAAAATAAAATTAACAGCGATTTCTTTGATTCCGTACATATGCAGGTCCTACCAACTAAAATTACTGACCCAGAACAAATCTATGGAAAGTCTAAAGAAAATTGTGAAGTGATTTATCTTCATTTGTAGCCGAATGAATGCTTCCACGTCTGAGACTATTTGCTACTCTGCAAGTATTTAGCAAATCAGCAGCGCTCAAGCTGGAAAAAAGAGATAAAACTCCAAAAGGCGATGAAGCATGTTTGCATGAAGGCAAATGTAACCAAACCAAACAAAACTATCCCGCGATGGCCAACGCTACTTATTCAGATATCCAAGACGGACAGCAGCCATTAAACCAGATCGCGGTATTTGCTCCCACACGAAATTGGGAATTCCGTCTCTGTCTTGGACAGATAAATACCAGTTTAACCTCAGTCAGTTGTCCATACGGTTGAATAGAGAAAACAGCGGATTTTCTAACCGGTAACCCGATACCGAAAAGTGCAGCTCAATTTCCAGTTTGAATCTAATGTTATTCCGGCTGTATTGAGTCGCGATACTGCATATTATGGTAACGAACGATCACATATTCACCAACATCTTCAAGTCATGCATCTGATACCTATTCGTACAGCCAAAAAGTTTCCAGTCGTGCAATTGTGAAGTGAACTCTTCGACGGTTTTCATGCTCCACTTGCACTCTTATAATAAATAGCATATAGCCCATGCGATCAATTCGTTCACAATTTTATAAAATTAATGCTTTGCCGGCTTCTTAATGGGACAATAACTTGAAAAGTAAAAAACATGCAATGCACTCATTTCCGTACCAAAATGACGCACGGGTACTCTTGTGTCCTATTCCATTCATACATAAAGCCACCTGTGCAATAAGTTTGCACCGCCATGTAGCCAGACAAATTGTTTTACATAAAATATGCAAAGATTTCTCACAATGAGTTTCCACATCGGGATCATAAATATAAAATAAGCTTCAGCCGATTTGAATTAAGTAAATTTTAACAAGAAAATTTCTCTACATTAAAGTGCCTCGTCGTGTGCAGCTACGGTATGCAGGTAAATTACTCCTTATAGCTAAAAGCTAAAACAGTCAGTAACCCAACTGGAAATAATAGTACTGAAATGCAACTCCATACGAATTTGTTATTACGCTCCATTTAACGCACGAAATCTTTACAAAATATGAGTGCGAAGCTGACCGTTTTCGTGTGCGGAAACTTATGCATGCTTGATTAAACCCATTCAGCGTAATTTAACCGCAAAAAATTACCCTACATTACATTTTGGTTCGATTACACCTCGCGGCACTACAGGCTTCGATCACTACGAAATGTGCACAGCTAGTCCGGGCATGCCAGGTAATGTATGCTTAAATCCTTTTTTACAAGGATAAGCAGCGGTACGGGGGCAAACCAAAGCTTGTACGCCGCTACGGATCAGCCAGCAGCAGTCACTAAAAACAGCGCGAAATAAACTTCGACAGCCGGTGTCAAAAATAATTTCCTAGCCACTTTTTCATAGCACCAAGTTGTGAACATTCTGCTTCGATAGATACCGACTGGAACTAATAATGGAAGATTGATGCCCGCAGTATTACATTATCCAAAGGGTTGGACACGCACGCGGAATAACTACCGGGAAGGTCTGCCGTTCTCTTCCGCGATTATTACACGAATTGAACAATATACAGTATGTATGCGTATCGCGGAGATGCGGTTTTTTTAAACACAGCCAGTCATTCCCGCTAGGAGAGCGATATCCTCGCTTTCGAGAAGTTGCCTAAGTGGACGCACTTGGACCATCATGTCTCTCCCTTCCCATGAATATTATTTGTGTATCGATATTTCGCTAAGATAAAAGTGCTAGACTTATCCGTGCACTCCATTTTTCTAGTGGACGAAATATTGATTTGATGGGCGCACTCCCAGTTAGCTACACTTCTATACCAAGTATCAAAGCTGTGATTGAACCGCTTAAACAATTCCCACCGACCAAACCCATTTACTGTTGCCGTTTCCGGCATCAATTTTTGATATTTCTTATTTTAACAAAAAAAGCAAAGCAACGACTGAAGGTATAGCGGCACGTTAAAGCATCCACCAATTCCAAACTCGTTGTCAGCATTATGCTGGATGCACGGAAGCGAACTGGAAGGCACGGTGGGAGTCGGTTGAGCAAGTGGCCAGCACAGAAGCCCTTTCCAAGTGGCTGTTACATCGTATCTAGCGTATCTCGTTGTCCATGTAGCCCTGCGGCAAACTGCATCCCAGCCTGCGCATTTCCCGGTGCAATTAAAGCTGGATTAACTAGAAGCTTGGCCAGTGTTCACTCCCGGAGATACTGATCCCTGTCATCTCCTGTACCGCCACAAGCTGATTACAACCGATCGCAAATTCATATTAAATAGAGCAAAAAACTCACAAACCCCCACCAAACGTGCCAGATACAGCCTTCCATCGACAAGTCTGCAACTTTTCACATCTAAGTAGAAGCTCTTTCAGTGTGTATGTAGTTTTAAAAAATGAAAGAGCTACAGTAAATTTCCCCTGCTTAAACACGCGTGGAGGGGAACCAGGATGTTTGACTGAAAAGATGATACCAGTTAGGTAAGAAATTAAATGCATTCGTTTTTACAATTCCATTTACGAAATGCAAACCGACCAACATAGAATAAATAAAAGTTTCACCATGGTCAGACAGGCACATATTTTTAAAGGAAATGATACAAAATCGCGGCAAAGGCTTTTCAGTCCACAATAAACTACCTATGATTTTTACGAAACGAAGAGCATTTGTGTAAATTAAACACGTGGATCACGCAGACAAAGCACCTTCTAACGAAAATTCGACAAAATTAGCTCTAAATTTAATATCCTCACAAAGCGTACGAAACATTCGGCCTCCCCAAACAACAGAGACAAGGAACGTTATCCATCGATACAGACTATTGTACATATACTTCTATCAAAGAACGCGACCGAACAGGCCATGCAGCCAGTAGTGTATTGTACATAGCAGAGTACAACAACAGAAAGGGTAGCCAAAAACTTTCTGGAATGAAACAGACGCAGGAAACAATAAAGTCATCAACAAATTGACGGATATTATCCTAGCACGGGATTCCCCACTGAGCCAACCGTGAGCACACATGTAACAATCCCGGCATCGCAACAGGCGACGAGAGGCTAGAGCAACAAAATCACTGTACTACAGTAATTTGTATCAAATAGAGTATGTAGTCAGTACCAGGCATAAAATCAATATTACAATAATTAAACAAGTGCCGGTTCTCCGTTACATATGTGCAGCCCGTTAAGATCACATCCAATCGCTTTTTGTCGTGCTAACAATAATCCATATTTACATAACCACTGACAAATAATCACCGTATGTCGTTTCGACACACCATACGTGCACGCGCCACGCAGCATCCACATTATCCCTACGAGTCTGTAAAAGGCCAGCCTAGTGCCTACATAAGGATTAAGGAATAAGAAACCTTTTTTTAAAAAAATTCATTTTTACACTCTAACTGCTGAAATTATGTGAATGGCTAATAATATTAAAACTTTTTCAATTTTCAAATACAGAAACCTCCATAAAAGCGGGAAATACGTAAGAAAACGTTTTAAGATAACTGCAAAATAATTCTTTTCGGCCATAATACAGCAATGAGTAACCTCTGCAATTTTTTGCAATGTAAGAATGTCCGGTGTCGCTTGACTTGTCGATAATTGTACAGTCATGAGCTGATAGCCCGATCGACAAAGATTAGACGGAAATTAGAATTCTGCGTTAGATCGATCATCACTAATCAGGATGATGCAGTCCAATGGCATCTGCCACCGACAACACATTAACAATCTCGACCATAACGCTCTTTGCTCGAATTAAGCATTCTATCTACAAGTAGTCATACAATGCCTACGGGTAAAAGCAGCAGGTTTTTAATATCAGAAGCCAGAATCTGATCTCAGCAGTCAACTAGCTGAGACTGTATTGTCTGACGGCAAATCAACCGGTACGGTAGCGTGACCACTGACTGATTTTTTTACGAGCGCTGGTCAAGGCCTCTTGCTATCTTACCCACTTATTAACACCAGCTTTTATTGAAAATACCATATCTGCCACCGGTAAAATATAAATTTAAATTTGACTTCACACCAAAACGTGGAAGAACGCCCATAAAGCCTCAAAGACTTAATTACATCATATTAATAATTCTAATCCTAAAATACGCAAGTCAAGAATTAGTAAACAAGCCGAGAGTAGGGTAATTGTCACCCTTTGAATATTCAAGAAACAGATACGTGACTCTCGTTACTTCAGGCTAGTCCAGACATTTGTAAATCCATAACCAGTGTCCACTGTCATTCAAAACATTTCTATACAAATTTTGATATAAACTCTATACTACAAATAAGTACCTACAATCTGCCAAGCCTACTGAAATTCGCTTACAAGGCAAAACAGAAAAAAACAAGCTTGCAGAACATAATGTCAATCAAAAAACATGTAAGAAAAACTTCAAATTATGTACTCTGCCATCTATCATCCCAGAAAATCTTACGTTATGAAACCATAAACATAACGCCAAAGCGTATACGTTATTCAAATTTATTCCATATTTGAATCGTAAATGGCTAAAAGACTAGCACAAGTGCACAACAGCACAACGACGTTACCAAAACATTAAAACTGTCAAATATATTGGGGAAATATGCAATCCAAACCACTGCAATTTTTGTCCACTAAATTGGAGGAAAAGGTGCAGACTGCCCGACAATACCGTTTGTTTACCGCTATCCCAATGGGTGTTTAATAAGGTCAAAACGCTATCTATATGCATCCTTAACAAATATTGGCCGGCCACTTACTTGTGATCCTGTCCACCGGAAGTCTGGATAGAATAGCGAGGGTCGTGCAAAATGGTCTGGTCATTGCGCATCTCCACGACGCATTTTGAAGATAAGGCAATTTCTATCAAAATAAATTATCGTGGAATATGTAAGTAGCGTAAGTATTTAGAGTTTTGCAGAAAAGTGGATGTGCACTGATGAGCGTAAAGTATAATTACGGGAGCACTGGAACGGAACGATAAGCACCTGATACCGCGGCATAAGTTCATAACCGGTATCGTCGACGAGACGCATAGTTCAGTTATAAAGTAGTGTTTTTTACGTATAACTGTTTGATAATAAAAATAATCCCATTCTTTACAGATCATCAAATCAACAGAATACACTATGATATTTCACAATTCATTCCATTCATTTAATAAATTTTAACCATGCAGTTGTAGAAGAGTTGGAAAAAGTTTATTTTGGTTAAAGCCTCGAAGTCTGAAAAAGTAAAGGGTATTTTGATTTTGTTTGATTTCTTTTTCTTTTGCTTTACTATGAAAACGTATTTGGTATTGGTTAGGGTGTAACTGTTAATTGCATCGTTGGTTCGCTTTAAACCGAGACTGGAGAACATGAGTAATAAACAATTTCTATGCGAACTTTGCACCTAATTGGGAATGGTGGCTTTTTTGGAAAGCACGGCGTTTGAATGATTAATCAACAATTCAAGTGGCGTGCGCATATTGAGTGAACAACAATATCGTTTTTCCAAAACTAAACAACCTATTCATGAGAGACCACATCCGACACCGCCGAGTAAATTCATGCATAGTCAACATGTTAAACATTTGTTTTTATTAACAACACCGGTAATTTCATACAGCTGGGAAGACCATTTCATTAAGTACACAAAACAATCTTGAAAGGATAATTCTGACAACGAAAATTACACAAGATAGAGGTAACAAAATTACTTTGATAAAAATTTCAAAATAAAACATTGCACTTATGTAACTTGTTAAAAAACAAATGAACAAATGAAATGAACCAATGAAAAGTTACAAATTAAACAATTAGCTATCGAATCGAAGGTCAACTTCTATTGTGTCAGAAATTACAAACTACAGTAACTGTTTTTCGTGTCATAATTATACGAAACTTGCCACCCTGTCACCCGAAATCAATCACACTTTTAATGGGGTTTTTTAAGACCTTTTCGTGATAAAAAACTGTTCTGTGCGCGTTTTATGAATGTTCACTCACCCCGGCTGTTCAGTGGCCGAACACGCACCGCCACACGAACTTTATCTTCTGACATTTCCTATTATAATAAAATGGACAAACTGGAAGCAAAATGTGGATTTGGTGCTTCTTAGCGATTATTGACGAGATCAAATACACTCCATAAAAATGGTTGTAGGAATGCCAGTAAAACCGGTGTAACGACGCTGGCCCAACACTCGAAAGTTCATGTTTTCTCAGTTTAAATCATAGAGGAATGTACCAATTCCGCATCATACAGTCATCCGAAAATATGCAATTTATCCATCCATAAACCTATTGGGGCTATTATAATAACAGCTACATGAACAAGTCCACTTGCGACGGCGATGTATCGCCGTGATATCGGAATCTCTACACCTGTTTTCAAAGGCGCAATCATTTGGAAATGCGAGAAACAATCGCGCTATCGCTTTGCCAATACGGCTCTGATTCCAAAGCTAACTCAACTGCCCAGAAGGCCATTTAACTCGCTCCATGGGCCTGTGCAGTTATCAGTTATCACCACATCGATAAACAAACAAGAGCGCAAGACCCGAGCAGCGGGCGGTTCTCGTCAGATTCTGAATAAATTGTACGCAAATCCCCATGTATCTCTCACATATTTCGCAAATTTTATTCGCCAATAGGCTAGAGGCGTATCTTAGAATTAATCCAACCACTCAGGCATGCTTGCAGAGCTAAAGTAGTGCGCGTTCGTTGGGTGGTAGTCATGTACAATGGTCAGTGTGCTCCTTAATCCAACTTCCCATACGTGAATTCCCCGTAAAGCTTTTTCTCGACAGGAGTTTGACCGTACAGGTATCTAATGAATTCAAGTCGGATAAACCAATTTTTTCGCGCCCTAACATTCGCAACACTTCTCTGACATTCACGGTGTAAAGTGTAGAGCTGTGTAAAGTAAGTAGTTTTTTTTGAATGCTTATTAGGGACCTTCCCTAAACACCGATGAATTTTCGTGATATTATATCGGACAACCTGAGGTTGAACGAAATCCTTTAAGCATATTAATATGAGTTTTGTAGTAATGTTAAACGAGGCAAATGTTTGCAGATTCCATAGCTCGAAGTGTCAGTGATCCAGAGTTTCGCATCTTTTGATCAGCTGTTTTCTTTTCTGTACTGGAACAGTGGAACGGCTTATCAATGCCACGAGCGCAACCTACACCTTCTACGCCTTCCAGCGGAAGTAAAACGCAGTCGAAATTAACATCATTTTTCACTAAGACGCCGGAAACGACAAGCAGAAAGAAGAGCGATGTCCAAGTTTCGCTCACAAAAAGTGCCGCCACGGTCTCAACGGAATCTCCTGCACACCGCACAGCACCAGTTCCTCGTTCTCCACTGCAGCTTCCTTCGACCAATCGTTCGTTCACTGCAAACGTTGATGCGAAAGGTAAATGGGCTCGCTATCTGTGTATCGCGCTCTTTGTCTATGTATAATGTATCTCATCGGTGAAGCAAGCGCAGTTTGTAGTCTTGATATTCTGGCTGGTTAAGTTGTCAGCCGGCGCAACATTACTTAAACGGCATTTAGTATAGTATTGCTTGTAATCGAAGAAAAGCAAAACCTCAGTTTTCATGGATAAAATGTTTTTGGAATGCTATCCATGTTTGTAGCCGCTCAGTATTCTGCCGTCACTGTTTGGATTGTGCCTTTGTGAAGAGTTTCCGCAACATTCTTTTGAATATTTGGATCGTTGTGGTTATTTAATTTTCTTTCGAAACGATTTAAATAAAATGAACCGATTCTTTGTTTTATAGAGGACAGAGATGTAGAAGATGATTCGGATGGCGAACCAACAACATCTCGGCGCGCCAGGACCAAGACTGCTAGACCAGTAATCGACGACAGCGAGTCTGGTACGTTTGTAGGTATTATAAAAATATGCTGATATTCAGCAACCGACGGACTTCACGTACTTCAGCCAACGTATACGTCGCTCGTGTCTGATAATACCTGGAGATTGGAAATTTCGGGATTAGAAATTTTTCGTTGTGTGCCACAACGCATGTTTTCCGTTGATTTTGTGTGCTTTTCGGTGTTTTTAGAAGTGGAGAATGCTGTCGAAAAGGATCCTGATTTTTCCGCAGATGATTTTGATCTGCAGTCCGAAAGCAGCGCTTCCGAAGGAGAACCCGAAGAGCAGGCAGTGACAGAGTCAGAGAATGAAGACGCTTTGGGTGAAGCAAACGCTTTTAAGGTATTAGTATCAGTCTATCAGAAACTACCATTTAAGCATTAACTGAAATCTATACTTCTAGCTGCAATAAATATTTATGCTTATGCATGACTTTTCCCCTAATTTGTAATAGGGGTTTTTTGCTGTATAACAGCAAACGGAACTCAGTAAAGGTTGATATATATTTTGATGGGAAGTAAGCCTTACGATTGCTTTTAGACACCTAAGAAGCGAAAGAAAAATGATTCCAAAAAAGATGTGAAGAGACAGGCGGTACAATCTTCCCGTGGCAAAGTAGTTTCTCGGTCAAAACAAACCACAGCCATTTCTGCTAAAGCGGCAAATGGGAAAACCAAGAAACAGAAGAATGATTCCGCGATGGATATTGATGAGACTGCCAATTCAGAAGGTACAGAGCGTGTATTCAGTACGAGCGTGCCCAGGTACATTCTTATAGTTCAAGTACTGTAAATAGTGAATTGTTATAGTGCGTAACAGAGCTGGTCCGATAAGTCATCGGAGGCCTCCGCTTTGTACGATAATTCCGATGTTTTCATCGGAAAAAGCGGTAAATTTTGATTTTTCCAACGGACTTTTGAAGAAAAAAAGTGAGTCCGAAGGTGAATTTCTATGCCGGCGCCTCCCTAAAAGACGTCACGAATTTACTAAAACGCCTTTTCAGCAAAAAGTCAACAGCTTATTTTTCAAAATTGTAAATTCAGTTCCGAGGAACGCACCGGTGAATGTCGGCCAGTGCGAATTTTCACGTAAAAATTTTCGTTTTTTAATCGGTTTATCGTGTCGGAAATTTTGAGCAAAATCGTAGCGGTATCGGAATCGTATCGGACAGTTTAGTTATCGGATCGGTATCGTAGCGGAGGCGAAAAATTCATATCGGACCAGCTCTGGTGCGTAATGTGTTGTTTTTGAGTGCGATATGTTTATTGGTGGTCTTAATATGCTAATCAGAATAGTTACGGTAGTTCTGGTGACGTACTTCTGTAGTTTTTCTTTTTCTTCTTAGACAACGGGGACGATGTTCAGGACGACGGAGAAGGAGAAATAGTTACGAAGCACACTCATGAATCACTGTCATGGTTGCAGCCAAATGTCGCAAAGTAATGAAAGCCTAGTCACATGGCTTACATATAAATTTTCAGTCAGGTGTTGCTGTTACACATACTTTAGGGATAAAGAGGGAAAATTACACAGAGATCTGTTGGAAAACGGAATCGTTCCACGAACACTGTCCATTCCTCCAAATTTTCTCGCCAAAGACTGCACGCCGGTATTCCGGATTGTCCCTGTACAGTTTCGTTTTTTGGTGCATTGGTCTTGCGTTATTCTGAATTGCAGGGTCTACGACATTGGTGGGAAATCAAGTCGGACAACTTTGACTGCGTATTATTTTTTAAAGTGAGCTGCAAGTTTTCCGCATTCTTTGTAATTTATGTTGAGATTTCTGTTTTTAGATGGGAAAATTCTATGAAATGTGGCACATGGACGCTGATGTGGGTGTGAACGAGCTGCAACTCACTTATATGCGGGTGAATCAATCGGCATTGATTTTTGCCTAGTTGCCCCTTGATTACGTATTTTGGGACTCGCCTCAGAATATCACTTATTGTTGTTATTGCTAGGGTGATCATGCACATTGTGGATTTCCGGAAAGATCAATGCCTCGGTACTTAAATTTGGCTGTGTCGAAAGGGTATAAGGTAGTTAGAGTGGAGCAGATGATGACTGCACAACAGCTGAAGGAAACGAAAAGTACATCGTTCTTTGGAATTGCCCACCTGGATTGTAGTTGTCTCTTATATGAGCATCGTTCGGCATTGTAGACAAGCAAATGCCACGAGAAGTTGTTCGGATCCTGACACCCGGCACCCAAAGCGTTAACACTTTGGACTGCGAAAGCGAAAAGCAGGGAACGAATGCTTCGTGCCTGCTCGTGATAGCGGAAAAGGTTCGTTCCGCATTGCTGTTCAGTATTGTACCACGTATGTTCCGTATACTGTAGCTTTTGTTAATACTCAAATTGTTAAACGGAAAATTCATTGTAGGTCCGTGCAGACAGCAGCGGCTCACAAGAGCACGAGTACGGCATATGCGTTGTGTATCCTGGCCCGGGGAATTTTTGGGTACGGACACTCTTTTCTTCCAGCAAAATTTATCGTTCAGATTGCATTCATTATTGTTTGGGCATGAAGAATTATTTGAAGTATGAAGCATTTAGAGGGTATCAGGGTTCGATGTTACAGGTTGGACAGTTTCAGGACGACCGCTATCATTCGCGTTTGCGAACTCTTCTTGCCATCCACTCTCCGACTGAAGTATATCTGATTGTTGTTTCAGATGAAAGACTCTGAGCTAAAAGTGATGTTTATTTCCAGATTATCTTGGAACGAAACAATGTTTCACCTGCTTTGATGGAGTTACTACGTACCAACACAGAGACAGTGTGTCGAGAATATTTGGCTCCGAATAAAGAGTTTCTTTCGGTTAAAGAGGCCGTGAAATTCTTGTTGGAACGAGAATATTTTGGTCCTGTGATGAATCCCTCATGGCCGGAAGTTATACGTAGCATGTTGGACTTGGAAGGTAGTAGCTTGCCTACACCGAAAGCTTCATACGATTTAGCCATTCGATCACTTGGAAGCTGTGCTTGGTAAGCCAAAGCCGTTTTCTTATACTTCGAGGAAATGTTGTAGCTGTTTGGTTTACAGGTATCTTCACAGATGCAAAATCGATTACGATATCATTTCCTTGAAGAACTTCGAGTTATACGCGCCGGCTGATGGTAGCAGTGCCAATGTTGTGAAGAAAAATAAACAAAAGCAGATGGTATAGTCCCAGGAAATGAATTAATTATTAATCAGCTTAATGACGGTTAAACATTGGTTTAGATACTGGATGGAATGACGCTAATTAATTTGGATATTGTTCCTGGCCCCAGAAGTGATCCATCTTCTTGTCTGTTGAGGAAGATTGACAAATGTAAAACCAGATTTGGTATGATAATCATGACGTTCTTTAGTTTTCATGCATTACATTATTTGCATTGATCACAGGACTGTTTGCTTATTAGGAAGGCGCCTGTTGAAAGAATGGCTGGTTGCGCCTTTGTTTCGTGTTGAAGAAATTGAAGATCGGCAAAAGGCTATGGAAGAAATTGCGACATTCAGGCAGGATCATAACAACATTTACGCCAGTGTCAAAAAAATGTTACAGGAGTTGCCGGACTTGGAACGGTTGCTGAGCAAGTACGCTTGTTTTTTCTTAATAAATTTTCATGGTTCTCAGTTTTTTTATGCTCTTTCAATCGCAAATGTGATCGTATTTTCTCAGAATCCACATTGTTGGATCTTTGAAGCGTCATAAAGAGCATCCCGAAACACGTGCAGTGATGTTTGATGACACTCATTATGGAATTAATAAAATAAAAGGATCTGATCGCCGCCATTAAAGGATTTGATTCAGTTATGAATATCAGCAGACAGCTCAGTAAATGTTTTACAAATGCACGGTATGGAGTTATGCACGATATATTCTGAAGCTTGGTTCGAGTATTATCACCATTGCTTTCCTTTTTGCAGCTCTTTGGTTCTTCGCCAGGTGATTGGGTGTTGCACTGATAGCATTTTTCCCGAAGGTCAAATTCCAGATTTAACCAAAGTATTACGGCATTTCGATGTAAGAAATCTTCGTGTCCCTGTGTTCATTAAGTTTTGCTTTATTTGACAGAAGCTGAAAAGCAGTAACTTTTTTAGAAAGCGTTTGACAAAACGGAGGCAGCGAAAGCGGGTAAGATCGTGCCGTTACCTGGAGTGGATACACAGTTTGACGACGCTTTAAAAGAAGAGCTAGCAATAGCCGATCAACTAGAAATACATCGCATGGACGTTAGCAAGAAATTGAAATGCAGAGTAAGAATGATTAATATTCTTATTTTTATGAGCACAAGTTTTTGATTTTGACGCTTGAATTGCATTTGCTGCTTGCAGACTGCCTACTTCCATCAGGCTCGAAATCGTTTCCAGTTGGAAGTACCGGAAGATGTTAAAGTCCCTGGTAATTTTGAACGGAAATCTGGGAAGAAAGGCTTTATTAGATATTGGACAGACGAAATAAAAGAACTACTTCCCTCACTGGTGTCTGCGGAGGAGCGTAGGGAAGAGGCCGGAAAAGGATTGCACGCGGAGGGTATTCGAAAAGTTTGACCTGCAGTAAGACAGTTGCTTCTGTCCCATTTGTTTTGCAACGTATTGCATCCACCAGGTTCTAATTTTCACTCTTTTTAGTTACGCGGACTGGATGTGTGCAGTTAAATGCACGGGAAAACTGGATATCTTATTCAGCCTTGAGGAATACTCCAGTAATCTTTTGCCAAACAGCTGCATGCCAAAGTTCAGAGAAGCTGTAGCGGAGCAGCAGTCGTTCATCGCTGTTCGTGACGGTCGGCATCCATTGGTAATGACAACATTTTCCAAAGGGGAATTTATTCCTAATGATACCTACATTGGTACTGGCGAGGTAATCACGACTACACGTTTAGATGAAATTTAGAAAAAAGCCTTAAATGGGTAATAAAAGAACATTTTTAATTATGTGCAGCCAGATCAGCCATCAAGGACGGGGACTGTAGTTCTGGTAACTGGACCGAACATGGGCGGGAAAAGCACTTTGATGAGACAAGTTGGAATTATTGCTGTTTTGGCGCAGCTCGTAAGTTGGGGACTAAACATGAGCTGAACCTTTTATTTGTGTTTGTGGAAACAGAAGTGAACGACAATTAGTAAAATGTTCATCACATAACATACATAAGTTTCCATCCGGCCTAGTATAATAGGCAGCGCAAAAAGTGGATAGCTTGGTATGTGGAAATTACTGCTTACCCCTTTTTTGTTTTCGCGCAGGGTTCGAGAGTACCGGCAACTTTCTGTGAACTGACACCAGTGGATCGTATTTTCACTCGGATCGGAGCTTCTGACAACCTCCTTGCCGGTTTGTCTGTGTTCTGAGCATTTGGTCAGCTCAGTTAAGTGTTTTGTTTTCTAACTTTTCTTCTCTTAGGTGAAAGTACATTTTTTGTGGAACTGAGCGAAACTAGCAGCATCCTTCAGCATGCCACGACCAACTCCTTGGTGCTGATTGATGAGTTAGGCCGAGGTACAGCCACATTCGATGGCACCGCCATTGCGGCAGCCGTTCTCAAGGCCCTGGCTACTCGTGTGAAATGCCGAACTTTGTTTTCCACACATTGTACGTGGCTTCTTTTCACGAATCCAGTAAGTAAAATGATCCACCTAACATAAAACTACTTATTTATAGATCACTCTTTGGTGGACCGTTTCGGAAGCTGTCCGGATGTTAAACTCGGCCATATGGTAGGATGTGTTTTCCAGAAACTAGTTCTTTCCCCAAAATCAGAAAATATTTTTGCATGTGTACGTTTGTGGTTTCAGGCCTGTTTAGTTGAAAACGAAGACGAAAACAATCCTACAAAAGGAGACTGTAACGCTGCTGTACAAGTTTATGGCCGGGGACTGTCCCAAGAGTTATGGTTTTAATGCGGCCCGTTTAGCTGGCATTCCTGATGAGGTACGAGGTTGTCGTTTTTATATTTTGACCTCTCGTTCTAATCGTGCCTTGTATGCATGCTTGAAATTATTTTGTTGGAGTACGGGAGCGTTCCGTTATATCGAGCCTACATTTTAATCATCTTATAGATTGTGACACGTGCTCGTATTAAAGCCGTGGAAATGGAAAAAATTATGCAGATAGGTAAGTTACAGTAATTTCCTCTGGAAGGCGCTATGGACTTGCGAAGAATGAAGTTATGGTTTCTAGGAAAAGTAAAACTGGATGCCTGAACTTTGGGGTTGTGATATAGTGTTGGACTGCCTTTTCGTTGATACTGGTCCGTTTATCTCAGATTGAGCTGTGAAAAAACGCGCTTGATGTCGTTAGTGACCGCTGTGCAAAATTTGAACTGGTCATTAGAAAGTGTGCAGTTGATGGTACATCTTCTCCTTTGTGTGAATAGTTTCTAATTTTGAAATATCTGTACATCTTATCACTGTACATATAATTTTGAAATATCTGTACATCTTTTGAAATATCTGTACATAATTATACTGTGTTTCGTTTCGAAATCATTCATCATGAATGAAGACTGATAAATTTCGATCTTTCATAATATGCGTGCGTATACGGTCTTTTAAATCGGACGAAAAATCAGTTCCGAACGACCGATAGGGTACTTTAAGCTTAAGTACTGTAACTGTAGTCAGCGAAATGTGTTACGTATGTGAGTTTAATTAACCACTATAGACCTATGCCGCATAGCTATTGTATGTACAATATGTACGCATAGCCTATGCGTACTGTACACAGTACAGCTAGACAAAAGCTCTGTTTTCTTCACATCATGATATTTACCATTAGATCTGGTTAAACTTTTAATAATTCCTGTCCTGTAAAACGCAGATAATCATTGAACCATTTAATCATTCCATCGTCGGCGGCCACCACCTTCGGTTTGTACAGCACGTACACCAGTTTCCAGGTATCGTCTTTCATGGCGCCCCCCTTTGTGGCGGACTTCTGGGATGCTGTGTTGCCCTCGTAGACAAAGGCAAATACCGTTTCCTGTCCAATATCCATCATCTGTCGACAGATACCGGCCCCGACAAGATTATGCAGTCCGCGTCCGCGATATTCCGGTAGCATGTAGCCAGCGCCCAGCGACATATCATCGCCGGTAATGTTGAAGCCAATCAGTTTGTTATCATCCGTATATATACCGGTGGATGGGAAGTGGTGATCATACAGGTAATACAAGTATTTCAGGGTTTCCGGTGAGCGACCACCATAATCCCACAAATCATGTACCACTTTCATCTCTTCGCGAGCTAGCGGCCGAACTGTGAATCCTGGTGGCATTCTCTTCAACCTGGAAATCATGAAAATACGTAACTGGACAACATATTATATGTGTTTACAACTTCTTGATCGCAGCAAAACACGAGTACAGTACATATTATTGTAACGATGCGTTATGCGCGCAGTTCATATAGATATTCTATTCAAATATGCATTGCTGTAGTAACGTATTACTCGTGAAACATACGCTGCGACTACGTCAGCCGGTTTGGCAGTCCATCCTGTGGTGGTCAGATCCGCCCGCTGTTTCGGTCCAATGGTTTCGCCATGTCTGTCGAAAACTTCTTCTAATATTTCAAGAAGATTTGCCGGTATCTCTGAAAATATTTATTATATGAACGCCAATATAAACATATATAAACACATATCGCCGGTATAAACAACGCATACGGCTACATAGAACCTGTAAACATATTCGTAATTCGTATGCAGTGATTACCTAATACAATTATTCGTATCCGGTGATTTTGTAGCTCTACCGCGACCAGGTTTTACAGATCATTTGCATTGTTGTCGTTTAGGTTGTACGGGCTGTTCTGGATATCATTGTTTGGTCTTTATCAAGTTGGACTGCTCAGTAGCCCAGTATAATAACTGATAGTTGATACTATTATATCTATATCATCTATATGATGATCATAAAATTAGGTACGAGTATTGTACTTGTAGAACCGTATGTAGCATTAATACGGTATTCCATCAATTTAATTACGAAGTACCGAAGTCAGTTTACATTAGAGTTCTTATCAGAACTTGGTATTACGTAACATTATATTTATATACATCTCCTGTCAAGTTCGATCAAGAGATTCTAAAAGAGGTATTTATCAATATTTATGTGCACCAATAGTTATTGTGATAATTAATTGGAAAATTAATTTATCTTGTAAAGAGCATTATATACAACAAACCCTCAAAATAGCAAGCGCGATCCCAGTTAATAAATCCTGGTTCTTCTATCAGTTGTTTGAAATTATCCAGGTTCGTAGCTAAAGCATTGTAGACATAATGTTCCCACCGCGGCACGTAATCCTGAAATACAACAACCCCATGGTTGACTATCTTCATACTAGTTTGATAAACTGCTAAATATGCTCCGATGTAGTTTGTAAGCAACTAGCACAGCATTAGCAGTTAAAAGTAAAATGTGCATCCATTTCTATTTTGTGGTAGTGCTGTACATACTGGTATTGGTGCTGTACATACTGGTATTTTAATAGGAATTACAGCTACACTTTGGTAGAACTATACCGCTGCTTGGGTGACGTAATTACGTTTTGCAAAAGATTATAACGACGAACATGGTTTTATCATTATGTGAAATATGCAAGCACAATAAATACAAATTTTAAAATAATTAATTTGAGTAACCCACAAATTTTACTTACCTCTGTGTCAGGTTTCGGGCCTACTATACATGCCGTGAAATTTGGAAATCGATCTAAGAAAATCAGTCTGATTAAGCCGTACTCCAAATGAAAAACGCCGCTGATTGATGGATTTGACAATTCTTATATACTCCAGATCTAACTGTACTGATTGGTAAATGAATTACCGAAATATTCTCAATACACTGCATGGATATAGGTAACGATGTAATACAGTTATACAGTATATGGATTGAGTCCTATGACCACATATCCGTACAATGTGATTTATTGGAATGTCTGATTCCGTTTTTGGCGGTTTACAACGTTCGCATTGAAAGTAAAAAATATTGTTTCCTATAAAAGTCAGTAGATCAAAATTGCAATAAAAGCATACGAGTACGGCATAATGGGGCGTTCGACTCCAGTACTTGTATCTCTACATTTAATTTTCAGCTAACCAGAACTATGTGGTCTTACCAACAACAAACTGAATTCCGGGCCAGGCAAACGAATTTTTTAGTAAATGGTTTTCGGCAAGCTTGAAAATCTGAAATAAACTTTCTGGTACTGTACCGAAACTACTATGTATGTAAAGTTACAGTACATACCACATACAACCAGAATTTTTGAAAGGGCATATTCTTACCGGAAACGACTGCGGTTTCAGCGCATCAAGTTCTTTTACGAACTGCTCCAGCTGACCTTCTTCTATGATAATCATAGCGAAATGTTTGCAATGGTTATACAATACTAAAGGGAAAAAAGTTAAAGACCAACGTTTTCCTATTCTTAAAAGAGTTATTTAAGGAACAACATTATCAATAACTGTTGCAACCAAGGCAGAGGAGCCATGCATAGAGCGCTTGATAATAATGAGTTTTGTGTAACGTGCGCGGTTACCGCTTGATCGAATTGTCAAGGTTGCATTTCTGAGCTGATAATTTTATTATCCACAGGAAAACAATCATATCAGTAACAATTAAATACCGATACACTTACATGTGTATTTAACCCGTAAATTGCTTACACAACCCGTATATAAATTGTTACAGAACCTAAAACGCAACACCGGAACATGCGATTTCTATGACGTTTCTAACGATAAAAAATTCGAAGACATATACAGCCCTGCTCAGCCAAGTTGGGGCAGTTTTTTCAAAAAATTAGCACAGGTCAGCCGTCACAGAATACTTCCTCATTTAATTTTTTCTTAGTTGCCGTGTGTGTCCGACATCTTTATCACTTGGAGATTCTACGCTGAGACCGCTTTCCGAATAACCGTGAGGTCAAAATTAGGGTAGACCAGAGGAAAAAGCGGCTTGACCCACTCAGCGTGGTAGCAGTAGTCCTGTTTGAAATTTGCTTAAAATTTGATGACGTCATTGTTCAAAAGCACTACCTCTGAGGTGTTGGTCGTTCAATGCTCTTGCGAACGATACCATACATCAGCCGATTTCGGCTAAGCCTGGGTGACCTTTGCAGAGTGACTGCAAGCACCTTTGAATCGGGGAGTGACCTCCCTCGCACGCTTCCGGTGCAGCCACGGGATGCGACGGGTAATTATTTTCGACGAAATCGTATTTCGAAGCCTTGAGCGTCAATAAAAAGTCTTTCACTTGTACAATATGCCTGAAACACTCCATTTCGAGACACTGTAAGAGAAAGCATACGTATTTTTTGCAGCCGCTTTGCTGATTTTTTATTCTGTTCATCCGGCCACTGCATTTCTCCGCCTGGACAGTTTATGTCTGTTCAAACCTCAAAATCGTTTCAGGTGGTCCATGCTTTATTCATGGCAAATATCAAATTGAAGTTACTTTGGTCTGTGCGCTAGGCAACCGCATTCTTTGGCAGGTAGGTCTTAGCATACAATCCTATGGGAAGTGCACATTGTTTCACGGCCAGCCCGAGCACTGATCGCGCTAGATTTTTTTGCGAACCCATAACGGACAGGCTTCGGTTCGCTTACGACTTTCCAGAAAAGCTCACGTAAAAATATCTGTTGGTGTATTCTTCAGAGGGGCCGTTATAAGCATCCTAAAAATGACCACCACACCATCCCCTTAACCAGTGCTCGGCTCCCTACTGGCACACCAAGGGGTACCGGTTTTAAAACTCCTAGATTTGCCGTAAAAAGTTACACTAGATAACTGCAAATTCAAAAACGAAACAATGTATACAATTATTTTATAATTATTTAACAAAACTGCCCCAACTTGGCTGAGCAGGGCTGTACATTAATAAAGTACATACAGTATTGTTATACCGTGAACTATTCATGGTTCAGATCCTTATACTGTACTTGTAATTTGATGCTTAATCACTAAATCTAATAAAAATGCACCTACAGCCGGGCCGGTATTCAGATACTTCTACCGCCTAATTTTGGTAACAGGCGCTATAAAATGTCGAAGTCCTGCACTTGAAAGAAACTAACGGTGACGAAACCGACACAAAAATTCTATTTGCATTTGCAAGAAAGTAGCATCTGTTATTTATTTAGGCTATGTTCTTTTTCCACCTCGGGAGTGACTGGGCCAACACTGCCATAGTGTGATAAGAAGTACATAGCCGAGCAAATGCACAACTACTTTTGTGCTGGCTATTTTCCTGAAGAAAAATATTATTTTATGTTTTGTCTGAGATGATATGATTTGCTAGCCATACAAAACCAGCACTCTTTTCTGCCGTGATTCGAAAATTTAGATCCGTAGAGCTTGCGTTCCTGGTTCTAATGTGATCACGAACGTCTTGAATTCCCGCACGGTATATTTCAGAAACTGATAGTATGAGGTACCGCACCTTAAAAACGAACTGCTGCACTTTGAGAGAGCGTTACAGAAAAAAAGGTCATGGGTTATTATTTACACATGCGCAGCGTAAAAGAAACTAATTACCACAGCTAATACAGTGCTTTCATACAAGTAGCACGATTCCAAAACTTAAGATTAGTCTGAAATCCTTTTTTTAGCGCAGTATTTTGCTTTTCTTGTTCTAATTAGTAAACGCATCTTTTCCAATAAAATCGTCCTCACGGCAGGGCGCCCTGATGATATTTCCTCTGCAGCTAGTTATCTTGTCACCCAACAATGCGTCTATACTAAATTTTGTAAAAGGCGTTGACTTTTTTTCCGGTACGAATGGGTCGATTCCTGGGGAGGTAGAAGGGGGAGAACTGTCGGAGCACAGGGATATGGGGGCTTTGTGGGCGGGGCGTCCGCCGGCGGGAACACTGCTGGCACGAAGAGCAGCCGCCGCATTATGTCGGTTACGTTTCAGCTCCCTTTGGGCCTGCTTGTGCCGCTTCTTTTCCAACCGTTCGCTCACGACGCTCTCGCTCTGAATCGGTTCCCCACTGCACGTCTGTGGGTGTGCATTATGCGGGCCTATAATACAAGAAACTAATAATAAATTATAGCTGTCGGAGTATGTTACGGCTGCATTCACCTGCCCGGTCCTTTCCTCGTATTCTCTTTTTTCGCCACTTTGCCCGCCGATTCTGAAACCATACCTGCGAAAGACGAAAATTAGTTGATTTGAGAGCACGCGTTCTTCAACGCTAAAGGCGTAAGTGTCCGTTGGCGAAGCTGTTAGAACATGACCTTTATATTTTTATAAGCAGATAGGAATTAATCATTAATGAGCATAAAATCCTTCGCGCCACTTGACGAACAATACACAGCAGCTAGTGACCTTTTGCCAACGCCCCGTCTGAAACGGCCATAGCGCATTATTGTCCACTGCTACACATCGCCCGCTGATATTGCACCACATGTTTATACACGCAACACGCCGGTATTGCCCGATATGGCTTGAAGGACTGAGTATGAGTTTCCTCTGCAGGTGAGAATTGTAACGAATTCAGCGTAATGCGGTGCAACGGATTCTATGTAAAGGGTAAAAGGCGTGTGACTTCGGCTTGGTACCGTTGCGGTCGAATTCCTGGGAGGTAGAAGGGGGAGAACTGTCGGAGCACAGGGATGTGGGGGCTTTGTGGACGGGGCGTCCGCCGGCGGGAACACTGCTGGCACGAAGAGCAGCCGCCGCATTATGCCGGTTACGTTTCAGCTCCCTTTGGGCCTGCTTGTGCCGCTTCTTTTCCAACCGTTCCCGCTCACGACGCTCTCGCTCTTCGGGGGAAATCGGTTCCCCACTGCACGTCTGTGGGTGTGCATTATGTGCGGGCCTATAATACAAGAAAACTAATAATAAATTATAGCTGTCGGAGTATGTTACGGCTGCATTCACCTGCCCGGTCCTTTCCTCGTATTCTCTTTTTTTCGCCACTTTGCCCGCCGATTCTGAAACCATACCTGCAAGAAAGATCAAGCAAAATTAGTTGATTTGAGAGCATGCGTTCTCAACGCTAAAGGCGTAAGTGTCCGTGTTGGCGAAGCTGTTAGAACATGACCTTTATATTTTTATAAGCAGATAGGAATTAATCATTAATGAGCATAAAATCCTTCGCGCCACTTGACGAACAATGTGCCACACGCCACACAGCAGCTAGTGACCTTTTGCCAACGCCCCGTCTGAAACGGCCATAGCGCATTATTGTCCACTGCTACACATCGCCCGCTGATATTGCACCACATGTTTATACGCGCAACACGGGCCGGTATTCCCTACGGAAGCGGCCAACCGATATGGCTTGAAGGACACATTACAGTCTGATTAGCATAATCGGACAGTTCGGATTCTGAATGGAATCTATTCCCATTAATTACTCCTTGGTCAACATTACGACCAGGAGAAATCGATCGTTTCAATGCAAGTTAATTGCTAATTTCCTTCAATTCAAATGGTCATGTTACGTATGTATATGTAACGAATTGTATGGCGTAATGCGGTGCAGGCTTTAAACTCCGATATCGGATTGCCGACTAATTCGATCTGTGTTGGTATTGTATCCAAACTCTATGAATAGTAATTCAAGTGTTATTTGGATTAGTGTAACAAAACGTTTCAGCTCGTTGGATCGATGGAGGCTAATCGGATATTGCGCGTGGCAGTGGTGTGTGTGGGTAATGTGTATAACTGTAGTTAAACGGTGTGCTTTGTATCCTGTTCCAGTGGGACGGATAAAATGGGAAATACGAGATGATTAGCTTCTTGATTTCCAGGGATATATTGCTTCGATTAATATCAATCAAATTCCACTCCAAACCCATTCTATTGTACGGGTTTAATAGGATCATTTCAAAGTTAATTTAACTTTTTCAACAGATGACACTGCATCTACATGCGATGTAATTAGGTGTTTGTGGATTCATACACTGAGATCCTTCGCAGTCCACAAATAAATATGTGCAGTTTACCACAGCCTCCTCGTTTTGCTAAAGTATAACTGCCGTAATCGCATCTGCGAAACTTTCTGGATTGGTGTTTTTTGATTTCTTTCATACACAGTGACAACGCTGCAAATCTCGGTTACGAAACCGACAAATCTCTGTAAGGGAAACATATTGCCTTTCGGCGGGCGAAGACAATCATCATCGGCCGCAGTTTGTTGAGGCAGTAAGTACCTACTCATATTTGCTGAGGATAATAGAATTAGCGCAGCCCTAGGTGTATCGTTTACGGCCGTTTGTGACAATATTCGACTAGGTCGGTCGTGGTGATGACCTGTGATTTACAGTGCTCGCTAATTGCGCCTGCAACGGTCTCGCACACTACAACATAGAATTAATTTAATTGGCGGTATGGTGCAATTAATCAAAGCCTTCCGCTGCTGGAAGCGAGCGGCAAGTTGTGCTGCAAGTGTCGAAACCACGTTGGCGATTAACCAGTCAACAAATCAATACAAACGACAATAGAATGGATTTTTATGTAATCACAATGTGCCGGTTTCAAAAATGCTTTAACCAACTTAATAATTAAAATTCCTTGTTCTGTACCTGAACCCGACTTTCAGCCAAATCTAGCCGCAATGCTAAAGCTTCTCTCATAAAAACATCTGGATAATGGGAACCCTCAAAAGCACGCTCCAGTTCCTGCAGCTGCCAACCGGTGAAATTCGTCCTTGTCCGCCGGCGCTTAGCAGCATCTTGTCCATCTGGAGAGAACAATAATATGAGTAATAATTCAACTGGTTTAAAATTTGCATTATTTTTAGTTTATTAACTTATGTTGTTTGATGCTTTTTTACTTATTACGAGCGCCTTACTGTACTACTTATAAGCGAGCGTGTGCAATATGCGCATCGGCACGATCTCACATCTGCTACAAAACCCACCCGTAGAGCATCGCAACCTAGTCGTGACCTTTCGGAAAGTATGTTGTTGTAATGTGATATTAAGCTTATCCGAAGAGGTTTTGTTTGTAACGTTGCCCAACTTTGCTTATTCGAAAATTAGGGTAATGCAGCTTGCAAGTCGTTGGTAATGCCGTGATATTTTTAATTAAAATTACCTAGTACGACAAGGTCGATATATTATGTGCTAAAGATTCTTACCGTCATCGGCTAGTGAATCCGTGTCCATCCGACTACAACTCTTGCCCCCAACAAAATTCTCCATGTTGTCGGCGTTATGCGACGAGATCAATGAGGCGCAGTGTTGGTGATGGTCGCCGCTGGCCAGGGCGATCAATCCCGGATCACGCAGTCCAGCAAAAGGCGAACACAAAGTGGACATTGGACTAGTGATTTCCTTCCGCTGGCTAAGTGCCGCGATCCGCGTCGCCAAATTAGCCGTGTTTTGTAGATGCATCATCCACTGATTTCCCGGCTCTGCTCCCATGTTCTGAAGGCCGTACAACGATAAAAATGGAAATCCCGGTGCAAACAGAAAGTTGGGGGCAGCCATAATAATGGCGTTCAGTTACAGGTAGTATTTTAAATATAATAATCAAAATCGCCGTTTCAAAACAATTATGGAGTAGTCGTTAAGGAAATATAGATAGTAGCCGGGCAGCTGGAATGGAGCTTGTAAAGCCGCAACACATTAAATGTCACCCGCGCGGTCGTTGTGTGTGCCACCGAGTGACATTCCGATATAGCTGGGCTAATTCACGGCAAACGTGTAATTGATAAGCTGGATCCGTCGCGTTCTTCAATAAACCAACCGAGACACAACCGTCGTGGCATGCCACTATAATATGACAAAATGCCTACCGAATATGTACTTGACATTAATTTGTATTGGCCGATGATCAAGCGAGAGTATTTAGGATGTGAATTGAATTATTTGGCTGACTGTGACAGGGTAACATTAAATCTTTGAGAAATACCATTAAAATGATAATGTGGGGCGGGCGCTGATCGGCCATAGCGTCTGCGCGCATGTGTAAAGCGCGAGCGTTTGGAGGCGGCGCCTGCAACTATCAATATTTGTCAGTGGTTAATTAACTTTTCAGCTTTTGCCTATAGAGATGTTCTGTAATACGCTGTCAAACATGACTATTCCCCAAAATGTGTGCAATTTTGTTGCTCTGGTACGTTTTGCTTATTAATGTCGTTGGGTAAAACGCAAAGAAAATAATCCATTTGCGACAGTGTGTTGGTTAAAGTGTACTGTATGGTGGCTGATTACAATAATTATACAACGCATTCTTGATGCCGGTACATATACCGTACTGTTTGTGAATGGCGATGGCGCACGCTCAGCTCGTTGGCATTGTTTTCTTTTGGAGCAACAACATCCTCATAAATGCTCACCTATGACCGCTTCCTTCTGAATAACTACTGGGAACTGAGAAATCTGTAGTCATCTACCTGTTAAATCTATTTTAATTCAGAAATCTGTCAACTTAATATGTACCTTTCACATTTTATAAAATTCACCGGTATTGCGAAGAATCAATAATAAATCTAATATCTCGTGTAAATATAAGCAAGGGTATAAGTATCTTATACTATCTTATACGTGGTATAAGTATAAGAGTTATACAAGAATAAAATTATGAAGTTAGCATAAAAGGATAATTATAGTAATACCATACCTTGGTTAGGCCTAAACAAATGTTTGCAGAATGCAGAATGAACTAAATGCCGACTACATGTTACCGCTATTAATAACAATAAAAGCGGTACACGAGCAAGCAAATAGAAACACAAATACATTATTACCGATAATACCGGCTGTTCGAAGAAGGTCAGTGTACGATCGCTAAAGAAGCAATTCGAGAGAATAAAACATTATTTAATGATTGGGGGAAATGTTTCCTGTCATATACATAGCAAAAAGCATAACATGTTTTGTTGTTAATCAGATGACAGTTTAGCACACGGCGCAAAGACAGAGTCGCCGCTTGATTTCATTACGCTTCAACTTGAGCAAAGACCATAAACTGGATTAACACTGGACAATTGCAAACAGGATATCATGTTATAGCAGCAAATGTGCTATGAAAGCTATAAAATATCAGAAAATAAATGTACAAAGGGCAGCGCAAATTAGGCGTTCAATAAAGATTATGAGAGGCTAAGATTCGTGTAAAGCATGCCGCTTGGATGTTGACGCGTCTCCCGCGTAGATGTGCGCTTCGTGATTGGAAGTATGGACGTAACGATTAGCAGGAAGAATCCTACCGCATACAGAAGAATATATAAGCTTGGACGTTTTACCAGTGATTTTTAAAATAAAAACGAAGAAAGGACGAGATGAAGCATGCTCAAGGGATTTTTGTTGTTAGATTGATAATGCCGTAGCGACACCATATTAGTGAACGTGCGAATATCAATATAAACATCTGGCTTGTGCTTGTGTACAACCAAGAACTCTAAATCGGTAGGTATCTAGTGGTCTTGGTACAACGTACAACGTTACTCCGTTCAATTATTTACACTAATATTATGTGAGATTATTTTTGTAATTTTTTACCCGTATAGCTTTACAAGCGCAGTTGAGGCCTCTTAATAATATTATTATATTATATATCCTGGTAAATTGTGATAGCTAATCAATATCCGTTAACGGGACTATCTGTAATGGCAAATAAAAATGTTCCGTATGAATTTGCTCGTATAATATAACCTTGTAATTATCATCTGTTCCTGCTCGCAATCGAAATTTCGGTGCAGGAATTTGGGAGGACGAGATGAGTATGAGCGTGACCCGGAAACATATCCCAGATATAAATCAATGTTGCGCACTTATGACAGATTTTAATAATTTTGCTTGACGGTCCGTAGCGAAACTGTAATGAAGAACGGGGAGCAATATCTATCTGACTCTGATTTCGAATGCAAGCGCCATTAATTAACTGCAACAATCTGGTCACTCGTGCCAGCTGGGTTCCGCAATACGTCATTAAAATGACTGACATACCATGCTTCGTAATATCTAATTGTTTATTAATATTTAGTAATATGAATACGGATTAATGGATGAAAGCTTAAGTAAACTAAATAAATGTTCTTAATAAGTACAAAAAAGTCTTGAACGCCATGAGCTAATGTCTGCTTAACAATAATTTCTTGTGTGTGTGTGTATATATATAAATTCATATATTGTTACGAGAGTGCCTAACATGCGCACTTACATTTACACCCAGTGATAATTGGCGATTAATTGGATAGTTATTTTTTAAGTTCGTTAACAAGCATTGTATCAATTATTAAGCGTTAGATTGAAATTTTAGCAGTGTTCTTATAGAACCTTTCGCATACATTATTTCTCGCACTGTTTGTGGTAGCTAGCTCTAAATAACCATGGTTCTATACCAGGAAACAAGCAATTTTCAGTATGATTACCCGTCGAGTTCAATAATCTTGATAATTATAATTTTTTGCGATAGCAGGCTTTATAAAATTAAATCTGCTGAATTACTACCCGAGCTTAACCGACATATCAAGTAAATCAGTTTCATAAGAAATGGTTAGTCAAGCCGGTTAAACACAAGGGTACTAAAACACAAGGGTACTAACAAAATACAGATTTTATGGAAGGAAAATTATGGAAATTGTAATAATTATAACAGTACTAGTATTACAAGATCCAAAAGCGATAGACGAGCACCCGCATATATTGTAAATTTAGCGACGTGATATGCGCACAAACATGTGTAATTGTGTATAATGAGCGATAATATCTCTAAACATCTGTTGACTGAATTAATAAAAATAGCTAATCGTTATTTGAGCACCCGAAGCAAAATTTATAGCGCAAAATACTGATTAGAGGGCGATTAAATTTTCCATTTTAGTCCTCGTACATAATTCTCAGGAACTTAGCTCGATTATTAAAATTGAAAATAATCCAATAAATGACGATGACTGATCAGGAAGTTCCGGAGGCGCCGATAATATGATTTCTTGATCACGTTTTATGTACTGCAGTGACAGGTTACCATGCTAATCTGCATAATTATGGCAAATGATGTTACAGACATTTTGAGTTGGTCTCTGGGGATTCAACAAAATCCATTCATGTGTGTCCGATTAAGGATAAGCCGTAAATCATTGCGATTGAATAAAAAGTAAATTAAAAGTCGAGTCAACATGCAGAGAAAGCGCGAGTTCAGGCGGTCTATTTCTTATGATTCTGTTAATAGAACTGACTTAAAAAATTATTTGTAACAAACGGTAAATCTTTTTCTTCCTTGACTTTTTCTTTCTCTGTGATGTTCGTATTGTCCACTATCTCGGACAGAATACTGTAATTTGCAGTTTATTTTATAGAAGGTCCTGGTTCGACTGTACATGTGTTTAGCAAACCCGCTAAATATAATATAGGTACTTCGAAGTATACGAAGAGACGACATATCGTATGTCCTTTCGTGTACCGGTACTGCGGTACACGCTGCAGATCTACAACCATAGAACACAACAATACACACGTATAACTATTCGCATAACTACGAAATAATTGTTATGAAAAAAGTACAGCTACACTTTTATTCTGATCGCATTTCCTACTATACTATAGTCACGACGTATCCGCAAATTGACCGGCACCGCATACAGCAATATCCCGCAAGTGCTTTCCTCAAATTATTACAGATCAATGATAAAACTGCTTTGAACAACGAACAAGATATCGTGTTGCTTGATCATTCTTTTCTGACTGTGAGATGGGCGTGATAATTGATACCTGGGATAACCAGGTAGTCTACAAGACCATTATGATAATATGAGGTTTAGACTTTAGATGACTTGATTTTGTATGAAATAACACTATCAACTGGCGAACTATTTGATTACCCTTTAGCGTTTCTTGACTCTTGTGCATATGCAGTGTACAGCACTATACAGCATATGCTAATAAAATTATAACAAAATTTTACTCATAGCTCACAGGCCCGCTCCATGATGCACCACTGCAATACCTGTACTATGGGAAACAGACAACGGCAGTTTTCGTAAAATAATCTTAGAGTATGTAAACTTTATCAACTGGCTTCACGACCGCAATGACGAAACGTAATAACAGAGGTTTGCAAACTTATAAGAAGTCCTTAATATGAATATGTACAACATATGTACATGCACAGATTCCGACAGATCTCGAGCAGCGTATGCTCCAGAATTTTGCGCATTGGAATTTGGGTAAACATACATTACAATAGCATCTTTCTGCGAAGTGAAAATTGCAACTGTAAAGTTCAGAAAATGGTTCAAAAGATTTCCAATATCATTCTGTCCAACCGCGCTTTATTATACAGGCCAACCATTTAAACTGACCGGAAGTGATGTTGCCTCGACATAGTTAAAACCTCAAAAGCATCTGCTTATAGGTTCACTACATTATACATATATGGATGGCGCGTAGTGTAATAACACACATACAATTTGGAATAATTTTAGCACACATTTAATCGAATGCATAACGGAACCAGCTTACAGGTGTGCCATAGAAGTGCGCCTGCATACACTGCATAAGAAAACACCAGTCAAAAATACGTATTAATTAAAATTGTTATAACAGAATAGAAAAAATGTAGATTTGCTAGCGTCGACGACGACCAACCAGTTGGCCCGTAATATTCCTGGTGTCCCTGAAGCTCTGTCCCCATACATCAACAATCTGGTGTCCAGCGTTGGCCACATTACCAGTAATCTGGACGGTCTTATTGACCACCCGCCCCCCAAAATCCACTACGGGCCGCACCGCATTAGCAACACCTTCCTCGACGGCGTTCACGGCGCCGACGACGCCTTCCTTGACGTTGTGCACGGCATTCGACACCCCCGACGCAACAGTGCCCACAGTCAGCCCGATGAGACGACCTGCAATTTAATGAGAAATGTATTTTTGTATGAGAAATGTATTTTTTTTTATATATACCTGCCGAATCACGGATCGCCCCCACACCACCGACAAACTCGTCACGGATACCGGAGAATGTGTTGGGATTGCCTGCTGCATTGGGAGCCGCTGCTGGGGCGGGATTGACCGCTGCCTGTCCGTCCGATCCGCCGCTCGAATCGTCAGAACTGGTTTGCACGGCGGGTTTAGAAGCTGATCCGCTCGCAGTAGCCTATAATATAAAATAATTCATAAATGATTTAAAGTTGCAAAGTGATAATTCAAACAAAAATTAGAATAAATATGTTGAGTCATACAAATTGTAGTACATTAGTGTACTTTAACGCTTCATGAAACTACGAAATCACATCCACAAAGTTGGAAGATTAGCGAAATGCGCTAAGCTAAGCGTTATTTTAGAAATACATTTAGTCCACGAGAAGCAGATGGTACACGCTGATATGACTGTTAAACTATTATAATTATAAATTTACAATAGGTGAGCGTTGCTTACGGTATTCCAGTACAGATATGCTGTTTGTACAATATGTTATAGTTTGTCGTAACAAATTCAAATCAAATTTTAATCATTTTTTAATTCAAATTTTAGCTTACAACAGGATACAACATCAAAAGTCATCACTCTCAGGCACCACTACTTCGTACCTAGCTACTCCACTCGTAGTACAGAGGTAGATTTCTATACTCTCGCAAAGAAAATACTTAAATATAAAGTTCCAAGCTGTTTAGTACATACAGCGCGGCAAACTGGCAATGCAGCCAGTATTCTTGACACAGTTGAGTACAGCACTTCTTGTGCAAAGTGGAAATTAATATTCCTTAAGCACATCTATATTACACCGCAAATCAAAATGTGCAATATACCCTAAAAGTTATACAACTGAAGTATTATATCGGAAATTTGTGGTACACTAGTATGCGTAGTGCACCTACTAAATATGGTTACAATTTTCGATTTTTGAAACGGGTACAGATAGCGTCTTTACTATTAAAACAAGCAATTAGTAACCATTATTAAAGCAGAAACCCTAACAAGTGGATCTGGATGCAACATGCGCGGTTTGCTCATTTTGACAAGTGAGTAGCAATTTCTAAAATATTTACCTGATTAGTAGTGGCTGAACTGGGTTGCGCTGCTGCCTGGACATCCGTTCCGGATCTCACAGCATTTTGGGACTTTGAGGCAGGCGGTCCAGCACGTACCCCGTCACAATGGGCGTAGGAGATCATCACAGACAAAAACAACAGCAAAGATAGTTTTTGCATCATTTTCGGCAACTTAATATTTCCTGGCCGAACTGACAGAACGTAAAATAATCATGAATGGGATAAAAACCTCAAATCAGACGCTGACAACCCCAGAACCAGCAAATGCAACAAAATCAAGACTATACGCAACAACTATTCTCACGATTAAAAAATGAAGGCCAATCTACAAGTACACAACACTGACGCACTAGAATAAAACGTGAGGTTTAAAACAGGAAGTACTGTAAGCGGTGACGAACTCCAGCCAAAATTTATCTGAAAAATGCAAGTCTCGCCTAAGCAAATAGGAAATTAGCTGGTATACATGAAAGATTTTTTTCTAACAACCGACAAAAAAACCAGTTTAGCATGATGATTCACCATTTTCATCAGAAAAGAGTTAGGTGACTGTGGGAGCAATTGACAACGGCACAATCAGGCGTGCCGAGGGTATACGAGGCGTAGCGTGCCTAGCCATTGTCATTTCAGATGAGACAATATCGCGAGACATATAGGACTTCTGAACAACCATATGCAAAACTCCATTCCGAATCCGATCTAACAACTTGCTTCAACGCCATTTTTCTTTGAATATCTTTTTTATAACAATGGTTAATTAAATAAAGTTATAATTGACACTAACATGGTGCAAATCTGTTTGAGAGTTTATTGTTGAAGTTATGATATCTGCTCTCTGTAGTTGTGTGATGCTATGCAGAATTTGAAAGTGAATACGAGTATATTTTGTTTTTGAATTGTGCTAACGGTAAGTATTCCCCAGTAAATGGTTTTAACTTATGGAATGGTTGCATCAGCAAATGTTAATAATGACTGAGATTATCTAAAAACGCGCGCTAAATAAAAGTTTATTTTGGATCTCATAGGGCGGGCATGCGTCGATCGTCTGGGATATCTTCAGGATATACTGGATATAAATAATTCATCGTCAGATACTTTGTAATATTACAGAGTAGCAGTAGACTGCCAGTAGTTAGTGCTAGTTACTACTATTAGTTGTACTTAATAACTACTTATAATAATTTTATAATTTAAACGAAACATCATGCACCGAAATCGCTGATATTAGATTTAGATCGCGGTTTGAACATTTCACAATACGTGATAATATGAGCTGAAGTTTATACAAAATCGACAACGTTACTGTTTTGCGACACTCCAACGTTCCGCTTAAACTTGTCAACATTAATTCATTTTTGTATAAAAGTTGAAAAGTGGGTAATAAATTGTAGAAAGTGCTGATCTGTAATATATACAGTATACTTTGTAAGTCGTTGATAAAAACTTGTCAAAATCGCTTTTCACAATCGAGTAACAACTAGTAAACGACGCTCGCACTTCACAAGTTCTGTACAAGAGTAAATCAAAATCCATGCAAGTACAGAGAAGTCGCCGCCCTGGTTACGTGTATATGGCAAGAGCTATAACTTGGGACATAATTTACTTACGCATAAAACCGAGTGTGACATTTTGCTGGGATAGCTCAAATTGTTAAGATTAGTTTAGTTTTATAGTAATTTTTGTGCTGAATAACTTCTCTTTGATTGTACTTGAAAAAAACAAGTAGAAGAGTGTATACACGTTGAAATGTGGACTGCACTGGTGTTTTTCCCATAGACGCATATGCTTAACCTTGCGAAGCGTCTCATCTGAAATGACACAATAGAGCCGAAATCACACCTCATTAGCGATTGTGCCGTTGTCAATTGTCAACGAAGCGCAATGCTGAATTGCTTACGTCCGTAGGTATGTAAGTAAAGTAACCTACTGGGTAGGGTAGGTGTGCATCATACTGTATAAATATTGTAATGTTTCACGCCGTAGTCCGTACCTAACCAGTATTAAAAGTGCATTTAAATTTTATAGTTACTTGCCATGGTTAGTTTAAACTGCCCGTCCATAAACAATACATTTTACTAAATCTATATTAAGTATAACATTAAGTATTTTAGCTGCAGATTAATATATTGTATATTCTTTTGGACACTGTTAACTGTACGGAAAATGAGCTAGCGCGGAAGCAAGCACTTCGAAGCCAAGGCTTATATAGATATTTATATTCAATTGTGTTATAACTTTACAAAACATAACGATAAAAAGTTGTGTATCGTATATAAAAACCTATTCGGCTTACTCGTAGTAAGGACTGATTGCATTTAATCAATAATCATGACATCATTACAGTTAAAAATGATTTAATATTCTTTAATATTAATCATTTTCATTAATAAGCTGAAAAATTTCCGTAAGACTATTCGTGCCTAGATCGATATCTGAAAGACACACTTCAGTTTAGTAGAAGGTAGAAGTAGAACCTCGTAGAAGAATATTACATACAAGTAGTGCGTGGTACCGGTATACTATGGCCCCTTGATGTACAATACACACAGACATCAATGGACCATACATAACCACTATCTATATTCTTCCATTTGGGTACTCCGACGGCCTGAAAAACGCCATTCGTACGTACGTACCTTAAGCTTGAAGACTTGACTGGTTAGTTCATGGTAGTCCGGTACAGGCAATTCGTTTTCATTTCTTTATCAAAAGTCCTTGAACTTTTAAATTTACTTTAAAGTCGGTACAAGTAAAGCTATAACCTGCTTGACTTTTACCTGAAATGCGCCCAAGCGCCTTTAAATAAATTTCAGCATAAGTTCCAGTTTTATTTCCAATACCAAAAGGTCACAAAGCGTAGTTCAAAGCTTCACGCGCGCAAGCGATGCGGTGTAAGTGTGGAGTGCACGCTTGCTGAGCAAACTGTACAAAAACTGTGTCTATACGAGTATGTTTAGCATTTTAACCACAGAAAGTTTGAAGCTTTATATTTTATTTATATAATCTACATGTGCAGTATATAACAAGATAGAGTACAAATAACGCCATACAATTCAATTCAGCTGCCGTCTACGTTTTGTATAAATTTTATTTATCAAAATTTTGAGTGTATGTTGTATCGTACTGTGCAGTGTGCACGCTTGTGCCGCTTGTCTTACATAGATGAATGTGGTGGGAATTTTCCGTCTTCGTGTAAATTATTATGTGACTGCGAAGATGCAGTACAAAACCACTGCGGCAGGAGTGTGGCAGGCCTATAGGTAGCCGGCACTACAATCAGACTGAATCAGTAGTGTTTTGTTCTGCTAGAAGATTTGTATGTTTAACGGTTTCGATTTACATTGTATTGCGTGTCGACTAAATTATTAAATCTGTCTGTAATCTTCTAAGTGGCTTCCAGAATTACCAGTAGATACCACCGTACCGGTACGGCAAGCGCTAAACGTGAACGCAACATCTGTATAAATTGTTGTTTATTCCCACGTGAAACGTAAAACTGGAAAATATTGTAGAAAATGAATGCAGCAGTGGCATTAGCAGAGGATATTTTGGGCCACAAGCCCGTCAGCACGGGCACCGTCCAGCCAGTGACCAGTTCAACGGAGACGATGCACGCCATCGTTTGGCGCGGCGCCAAGGATATGCGCTACGAAAAGTCCCCAAACCAATGATCAGCGAAAAGCATGACGTGCTCCTGCGCGTCACTGCCACCACCATCTGCGGGAGTGATCTGCATCTGTACAGTGGAGACTTGCCTGGGATGCGGTCAGGGGACATTGTCGGACATGAATTTATGGGGGTAGTGGAGCAAAAAGGTAAGCTTCAAATTTATTATGAAAAGCTTCTGCCCTACGGGAATTATATTACAAATTGTCAAATTCTTACGCCGTATTAACTGGAAAATGTAGAACAAAATGTACGATATCAACTTTAATACTGAACTTTATGGCTTACCGGATAAATAAGAAAATTGTACCATTGAAATTTTGTTAGCTTTTTTTATTTAATACATAACAGATACACCGGACTCGGCCAAAGCCATTGATACAGCATCAAGGTGCAGCGCGGTAATACTACGTATTAAATAATATTATTGTACCAGCTGATACAATATGGATACCGTAGTAACCGTAATACACGGACATACTTCTAGTTGTAGCACGGTAATTGAAAAGCGGCAGAATTGTCGTTCTCATGTGTAATGGAGTTCGGGTAAATTCTCAGGTGAGAATGTGCAGCTGCCGATCGGCGCGCGTGTCGTTGTGGCTTTTGGCATCGCCTGTGGGAAATGTCCCTGGTGTAAGCGTGAAGAATACACCGGCTGTGCGACTACCAACCCCAGTGTGCTGACGCAGAAGCTCTACGGGCATGCACTGACTGGAGTGTTCGGATACGGCCATCTGGTTGGCGGATACTGGGGTGGTCAAGCCGAGTACGTCCGCGTGCCGTTCGCCGACATCAACTGCCTCCCCATTCCCGATGATGTGCCGGATGAGAAGGTAATGTGTTCGTTTCTGTTGTTTTGTTGCGCTCTTATATAATCGATCGCAAGGCTGGCTTTTTGTGGACGAACTGAATTTTCGTTTAGGCCCTGTATTTGTCGGATGTGATTTGTACGTCGTTCCACGCTTGCGAGATGGGAGGCGTGAAAGAGGGCGACACTGTGGGAATTTGGGGGCTGGGTCCGATTGGACTGGCGACTGCCCGTTGGTGCCAGATCCTGGGTGCAAAGCAGATTATTGGTATTGCAGGTATGCACATACCTGTAAATTCAAACCCTGTCTACGATTTGGTTAGAATTTGTTAAATTTATTTTTCTCTTCACGTTTTGAAGGAACGGAAGATCGTCTGGACATTGCCAGCAAGCTGGGCATTGGTGTGATTAACTACCACGAGAAGGACGTGGTTAAAACCATTCAAGGGATGGTTCCTGATGGCCTGGACGTGGCCATTGACTGTGCCGGCTTCCGCTTTGCTAAGGGCATCTTTCATAAAATGCAGCGTGCACTCCTGCTGGAAACCGACACTCCCGAGATTATTACCGAATGCTGCCAGTGCGTCCGTCAGTTCGGGAAGGTTTCCGTCATTGCTGACTACGGTGGATTCGCCAATCAGTTTCCCATTGGGATGATTGGCATGAAGCATCTAACTCTAAGTTCCGGACAGTCGCCGACTCAGCGTATCTGGAATATGGCCTTGGACAAGATTCGCAGTGGGGAATATGACCCATCGTTCTTTGTTACTCACCATATGCGCTTAGCGGATGTTCCGGATGCGTACAAGAAGTTTTTCAATCGTGAAGATGGGATGGTCAAGATTTTTGTGCGGCCATAGACTGCATTGTACGGATAGTCTCCTTGTAAAAACTTCTGTTGTGCCTTCTTGATTGGAACACTCATGAGTCATGACTCTTGTCGTTTTTTCCAGTACTGTAAGTGCTGTACTCAACGCGTACAATTACATATCGCAACTGAATTTCACTTGCCTAATTCCATGTCGGTGTTAATTTTTTAAATCAATTAAAATGTTTTGGTAAATGGTATCATATCATGTCTTTTAACTAGTATAGAAGGTCGTAACCGCCCTTAGTGCAAGCGAGCGAGCGTGTAAAATTTTTTTGGACAAAAAATTCGTTGGATAAAAGTATCATAAAACACCAACATCAGTTTTTTTAATTTTCTCACAAAAACCACCGAAATCTCCTGACACCACTAAGAGCAGAGTGCACACCACCACAGTCTCTGGACCTCACTATTTTTAAAAACAATTATTTATGGTTATCATGGGCGAAAATAAGAAATTTTGTACACGCTAAGCTTCGAATGATGTTATTCTTTTACACACTCTCTCAAGGTTTCTCCAGAAAAGAACTCTGCTGTGGGTCAGTTCCACTTATCACTACGAAAGCAAACGCTGCAGCAAAAGGGGCATAGTCGCTTCCGTTTTCTTGGTTTAGGACGGTATTATAGCTAACTGTGATCCGCTTTTATGGCACTAACGTCCCGTAAAGCAGCGAAGCGTCCCGTAAGCGTACCTGTGCTTACTTACTTGCATTACGTACGGTGTATAGTCAGGACTTGCCATGCGCTATATTGACGATACTACAACATTAATTTTAAGTAATATCCAACGTATTTTACGTAAAGTACTACTTCCTGCAGGCCAACAACCGACATGGCTCATATTAGTAGTCACATACACTCGTATAATTATACAACCGACCACTGTGTGTCTTTAAAACCGCGCGTATAAGGTGGAGTCCTGATACTGCTGGCAATTTTTTTACACATGGTGGTGTCGCAAAAATGGTGGCCCAAGACAAAATGTGGTTCAAACAGTGGTGTGCGGAGCCTGGAGGTGGTGAAAGGTAGTGTGCAGAGACTTTGATGGTAAAACGTGTTGTGCAGAGGTTTCTCCATAAATGAATGCAAAAGCAACTTTCCTTGCACTCTTTCGAGTCAAAGATTGTGGGATGCTACAGCTTAGGACAAAATGGTTGCGTACCCAACATCTCCACATTCAGTACGAATGCAGTGCAGTTCACTGTACGGCTAAGTTCAAAATATCCGGTTCGTGCATGTGCACTGCACCCCATGCGTACAAAATGCTGGATATGAGGCTATGCGACCATTTCGCCCTACATTGTAGAGCGACTGCAGCCAATAGTGCCCTGCAACGGAGTACAAAATTGCGTCCAGTCCGATCCGAACTTAAAAAATTTTATCCGAACCCAGTCCGACTCCGAATTCTAAAAATCGTACTCCGACCAATCCGATCCGAAAATATTTTTGGCCAATCCGAACCCACTCCGATCCAATCCGAAAAATTTTCCGAAAGAATATTGCTTAATTTTATTACACATCCCCAGATTAAAAAAAATTTAATGCCGAAGCAGTTAAAAATTTTAATGCCGAAGTACCGTAACATGGCATTCAAAAAAATTTTAGCCATGTTGTCGGTAGCCAAAAGACTTCAGAATTCACAGGTACAAGTTTCTTGGGCATAATAAAGGTTAAGCTAGAGGATTTATATATACAAGATTTTTTAGGTGAATTTAGTTCTTTAGCACTACAGTGTTGAAGCAATTGGAGAGGTTAGTTATCTATCCTCACTGTCAGATATCTGTATCAGATCTTTTTGTTGTATACGCTGCAGGCCACGGATTACCCACGTATTAGTTAGGTTCAAAAATAGGGACAGAAATTTAGAGGGAGGGATGTTTCTAAACGTCCGGAACTAAAAATAAATGGTAGTTTCGTGCATTCCTTAGTGTAAGTTTATATTATTATATATAATGTTAGTATATATAATTAGAATATATTATTATTGTTATCTTAATCTCAAGTATTAATCGAATTACAAGTGCTGCAAATAAAATTGGGAAGTCGGTGCCTAGCGAAACTGACTGAGCTGCACAACACATGTGGTCCGTTTAAACTTTAACCGTACTGTAATAGTTATACTAAAATTATTTGATAAGACAATAACAAATAACGACATCATAACAATCGTAAAACACTCAAAATAATAAAAAGTGTCAGGAGAATTAATAAAAGGAAGTGAAAGAGAATTAACAACAGTCAACTAAACAAAAGCAGGTACTTCGATGAAAATTAATTAAACGCAAATGGAAGTATTTCGCGCGAAGCTGACGAAAATTTTTGTTTTGAAGGCCGGTGAAATTTAATAAAAATTAATTAATAAAATTTATTTAATTACGGATTATTCGGAGTCTTGATTGCATCCGAACCCGATCCGATCAGGTGCATATAAACTCCGAAACCACTCCGACTCCGAATTTTCCAGATTGAAATCCGTCCAATCCGGTCCGAAAATCGGAGTGGGTTCGGAGTGGATCGGATTTCCCAGTCCGTTGCAGGGCTCTAGCAGCCAAACCTAAGTTGGTCTTGATTGTCTTGCGCGTACTGGAATACGAAAGATCCAAAACAGCAGAATTCGTTTCCGTTGATGAAGTAAAGTAAAAACCATATCCCCGTGGATTTGTTTTAAAATGGCAGTTTGCGTTTGACAGCGCATATATTGCATATTTGACATCAGTTTTTGGCGTTTAGTGGCGGGGCCATCTGGTTCCAGTTGTCGCTAAGTGTAGTACTTGGTGGCACGGGGGCTTTGCAAGCCGTAATCGATCGCCCGTCCGCAGTTGGTAAAAAACGGCTTTTGTCAGCAGTTATTTGCAGCTGGTCTGCTTCAACTTGAGACAACAGTAGTGTCCTTATGCGGCGCTTGTGAGCCGTCCCTGGATTTTAAATCATGAATTTCAAGTCATAATTACACAGGTGTTGCACTTTTCAGCGGGTGGCTTTTTGCTGCCATGTGCTGCGACCACGTTTTTCTGAGAGATATGATCTTTTTGTACAGCTCCAGTTAATAGTATCGGTCTAACTACAGGTTGCAGGGTTTAGTATTGGCTCGTGCCATTTGGCAGGGATCTGCATGCTGCGGCTTGATAGTAAAAACGATGCGGCTGCTTCCAAAAATTTGTGACTGGTCTCTCCAAGTTTTGTTCGGCCAAATCTTCTGTTTTTTGCTACGAGAAACTCCGCTTACGCGGATGCCGTAAGTGTTTGGAATTTAGTTCTCGAACACTTGGTAAGCGTAGCGTGACGTCTCATTTTACCCCGAGATCCGTATTCCTTGTAACGTTAATGGAAAAAACGGTCCCGACGGTACCGTGGCGTTAAATGCATCTACCATTTTCGTTAAAGACAAAGACCACACTGTCCTGTCGTTTTTGCAGTTCCAAATAATATGGTTGCTGTTCAGCTACCAAGATTTTGGTTGAAGTTCCCTGGTCGAGGTTAGATTCACCGCCTCCTTCATGGGATGCTAGTTAGGAAATTGCTGCGAAAGTTCTTTCGGCTAACTTAGACAACGATTCTGCGGACACCTGCAACGTTTTAGTCAAGGGTATATTATCCAGAGTTTCTAAAGCTGGTCCAGAATAGTATTGATCAAATGACCGTTCCATCACCCGTGGTCTGTGTTTGTTTAATTGCTTAACTTGCTTTAGAAAATGTTGGTTCGTAAAATAAAGAGATGTCCGGTACTTAGTACGTTGATTTGTTGCTGATTTATTGGTGGTTCAGTGGTGGCTCGTTGTGGTTAAGTTTGTTTACTGGGTATAACGAAAAGAAGCTAGAGCAGAAACAATTGGCCGGTTAAAAGGTTGGTTCAGTGGCCACAAAACTTTCACGACTGGTTTGTCAAGACTGGACCAAAATAAAGGATCGACTGCCGATCCGAACTCCGATTCTGCAGAACAGTTTGGTCTAATACTGTTTTGGCGACTCGTTGGTAAAGACGGAGTTGACCCCAACCACAAGCTCTATATAAACTGAGTTGGGGTCGATTAAGAGACTGCCTGTGCAATCGTTTACCAGGACATTGTGTTGCATTCTTTACCTTCAAGGTTTAGTAAACGGTATCCGGTGATTGCGAACACGATTCTAAGTAAGTTTCACAGCGGTGGCCACGCCACTCAAACGTTTTTGTGTAGTACGCCACTCAAAAGCGATTCTTTTGGTTCGCGACCAGGGAACTTCTCGACCAGGGTGGTTCTCTGCGTGACGGTTCTTTCAAAATACGCCACCTGGGCCGGTCAAAATTTACGGAGCTGCCATACTTTAGTACGGCGGGTTCGTCAAAAATGCCCGGGGGGTTCTCTGCGTGACGGTTCTACCAAAATACGCCACCTGGGCCGGTCAAAATTTTTGGTCCGGGTCAAAATTTACGGCCCTGCCATACATTAGTACGGCGGGTTCGTCAAAACTGCCCGGGTGGTTCTCTGCGTGACGGTTCTTCCAAAACACGCCACCTGGGCCGGTCAAAATTTTTGGTCCGGGTCAAAATTTACGGCCCTGCCACACGTTATTACGACGGGTTCGTCAATAATGCCCGGGTGGTTCTCTGCGTGACGGTTCTTCCAAAATACGCCACCTGGACCGGTCAAAATTTCCGGACCGGGTCCAAATTTACGCCCCCGCTATACATTAGTACGGCGGGTTCGTCAAAAATGTCCGGGTGGTTCTCTGCGTGACGGTTCTTCCAAAACACGCCACCTGGGCCGGTCAAAATTTTTGGTCCGGGTCAAAATTTACGGCCCTGCCATACGTTATTACGACGGGTTCGTCAATAATGCCCGGGTGGTTCTCTGCGTGACGGTTCTTCCAAAACACGCCACCTGGGCCGGTCAAAATTTCCGGACCGGGTCCAAATTTACGCCCCCGCTATACATTAGTACGACGGGTTCGTCAATAATGCCCGGGTGGTTTCCCGTGTGACGGTTCCTCCAAAACACGCCACCTGGGCCGGTCAAAATTTCCGGACCGGGTCCAAATTTACGGCCCCTCCATACTTTAGTACGACGGGTTCGTCAAAAATGCCCGGGTGGTTCTCCGTGTGACGGTTCTTCCAAAACACTCCACCTGGGCCGGTAAGTACTGATAAATTTTGTGGTACCTTCTCAATTGTTTCGAGGGGCTGCGCCCACTTAATGGGGCTCCGCCCCAAATTCTGAGCAGGGGCTTCGCCCCTGGACCCCGGGGGACCCAGCTCTTCGCGTGACGCACTACAACTTAAAAACGCTCGCTCGCTTCGCTCGCTCGCTTGATTATATGCTGTAATTTTGACGGTTAGTGTTCGTTAATCTTTCTTTCAGAGAATAAATTTTACTGGTATCACGCGAGGTTCTGCATAATATTTACCGATGCGAGTATACAGTGGTATTTGGAGACAGACTGCGGCTGCTAAAGATAAAATTTTAATTATTTACGACACACATCAAATCGCAGTAACTTTGCCGCGGCTTTGTTTCGCGCTGGAAAAATAAGTATTTATTAATTCATCTGCTCAAAAGTTTTCGATCCAGCAACGTTGATAAAGAAATCATTGATAATAATGTAGAACAAAATTTACAACAACATAATAATACAAATTAAAAGAACAGCCGAATGCGCAATGAAATACTTATAAAACAGTTAACACAGTAGATACATAAACCAGCATTAGTACAGAAAAATTAAAAAATTACGGAAGAGGAAAAAGAAAGTATAACGATTTCTAAGTAACAGTGTGTGCCGAGCCGTTCCACAGCGTGAGAAAATGTGGCACAAGGATCAACACGTAAACCCAAAACTCGCATCCCAGCCACCGTCCACGCTAACCGGTTTGTCCCCAGGATGCGCGCTTTTCACAGCGGAAAGCCCTTTAGTACGGAGTATTCACACTTCCCCTGTCCTACGTCCTTATAACGACAGTATAATAAAAAACACTGACAAGTAGGCAAACAGTGGTGGCTAGCATGCTGATTGATCCCCTCTCGGCACTACTCCTGGGTTTGCCCTGTATCCGTTTGCCGACCTTAACCTCGTTACTGGCTTCTGCATCCATCGTGGGTCCCGTGGTACCCTTTATGACCTTTACAGTATATTTCGTCGGTCCGTGCTTGGTGACGGCACGGGTGGTCTCTGTGGCCGTGGTCAATGTGGACTCTACTTCCACCGACGAACTGGCCAGTTCTTCTCCTAGATCCTCCAGAGTGGCGGTCGTGGGAACATATTGTTCAGTAGTCTCCGTGGTGCGTTCGCTTGTTGTAGACGTCGTGGAGGTAGTTGTGGTACTTGGCGTGGTTGTCGTGGTGGTAGTGGTTGTGGTCGATGGCGTCGTTGTAGTTGTCGTAGTGGTGGTAGTCGTCATCGTTGTGGTAGTGGTGGGTGTCGTCGTTATCATAACCGGCGATGTATCCGGCAAGAAGTTTCCGCTTAAAGGACTATGGAAATCCGGTGGATTGGTGTCTACTCCAGGTGTGCTCATAAACTCAGGCAGACGGTCCGGAACAGCAAACGATCCATCGCCCTGTGGCAATACGGGGCGAGGCGGCGGTTGAAAGGGAGCGGTGAAAGTATTAGGCTGTTTGGGGGCAAGTGATTTTGAAGGATCCAATCCCGGCACGAAGTTCGTACTTGGGCTAAAGTTGTTGGGCGGACGCGGTGGCGCGAAGCTGTTAGGTGGGACGAAGTTGTGCACCGTCGGAACGAACGGATTCGGCGGGACGAAAGGCGTGGATGGCGTAGTGGTGGTCGGCGGGGGCATCGCCACGGTGCTGGCAATTGGTGTAATCGGGACGCTGGGGATCCAAGGATTATTGTCAGCGGCCAGTGTCTGCTCCGTGACCTTTGTGGTCTGGACGGTTCGAACCGGTGCTGCAGTCGACGGTTGCGTCGGCGGACGAGCTGGTTGGGTAGGAACCAAGGGCAACATTGCGCCCGGATCGGGAATGGCGTTGAGTTTCTGTCCCGGGCGTCGACATCGGAGGTTGGCGTAATTATTCGGGAAATCTAGCAGTTTATTCTGATATTCGATCTCCACGGCCAGTCCGTCAAAATATTGGATGCTGTCCAGATAGGGATACTCAAAGCCTTCTTTACAGACGCATTTATAACCGCCCGCTCGAAAGCCGCGTCCGGAAACGGGAACACACTGTGCGAACACACAAGACAACCCGATACAATTTATCTGCTTAACATGGTGGCGAACAGCGTCAACTGCGTGTCCGTGTTTGCCCCGGTCAGTGCGGGCTGCTGGCCAACACCTGCTGGGTAAATAGTACTAAACACAGCCTGGTTGACATACCGTGGTCGTTTGTCGATCACAGCGATCAGTGCCACGGAACAGGGGCTCCTCCGCCGAGCTGCACTGGTTGACGTCGATCTGATCCGGATTAATGCCAACCGAAATCAGACCCCTGTACATGTCATCGGATGGACACAGTGCCCACAATCAGTTTATGGAAAACGCGATAATTTATCAACGGCTACAGAATGCTTATACCAAGCTGTCAGACATACCCGAATTGCACTCCGCCGTCCGCTCGTTTAGCGAAAAACGGCACCTCAAACCAGAAAAACTTGTCCAGATAAAAACCTGCAAGGACACATCAAATGCCATTAATCAAATCCAGCGTCCTGTATCAAATCCAGCAACGTACAGTCATAATACGGTCCGAAAGGCGTCTTCATGTCATCAAAGGTGATCTGCGAAAAAATGATTGTTTATACCGTGGTGTATAAGGACTGAACCGGCTTTTGCTGACTGCTAAATTAAACAGTGAAATTCATGGCTAAATTTCAAAAAACAGCTTAAGCGGGGCAGAGGTTAACTACATATAAAGTTTGCAAAAACCCGTAAATGAGAGTGAAAAGTGTTTGAAAATGTATTGGTGTATCGCAACCTAAATGTAGAAAAAATGCAATAACGTACCGCTTTAAAACTTTGCGTGGGGACATCGGTGAACCTGGACCCGGCTGCATCCACGCGCATCTGTAAATGCCAACAATGACACTTTTCACCGGAAACGAAGCGTCGCATGTGGCTGGCACTTGTACCTTAATGTCAACCGCAAAGTCCATCAGGCGGAGGTTAGCTGTCTTGCTCTTGACGTCGCGATACCAATCAAAGTTTGTGTAATTGTCCGGGTAATGATCTGCAACATGTATTCACGGCACGTCAGACATGACACTTTTTCACTGGAGTAGATTTTGTTTAGTGTGTGTATAGTGTGTACGCACAGAACTGAAGCTCATCGAGCATCTTGTTGTACAATGCAGTGGGCGCGAAGAAACGCCGGCCGGGAAAAATGCTGTCTTCGAATTGGATGCTAACGGCGCCGATGGCCGGCTCGGCGATGATCATCGCGGCCATTTCACCCAGGATCATGTTCTCGGTCAACTTGTTCCGGCGTTTTCCCTCCACGGCGATGCCATTTTGTAAATAGTTGCTTAGAAAGTGCGACAAACGTAATGCCGATCTCTACAAACAATCAGTACATTGTTTACACATAGAGAGAAGCTATAAATGTTAACCCAAAGTTTGACAAAAGTTCATGAATTAATAATTGTATAGAAGAAGTAATTTGTTTACTAAAGTAAAAATGTCCAGTCTAAATGTGTTTAAGTAGCACCTACATTAATTGTCGCAAAGCGTTGTGGTTCAGACCTTAATGGCTTAAATTCCCAAAAATTAACTTTTTTCCCTACCAGTTCTTATTTCTGTTGCACAATTTAAATTTGTAAACGCGTATGACTACCACAAATTTTTATCATTAGCCAATGAGTTCAGCCACTGCTGCATTCGCCAAAGGCCGACTGACAAGCACAACAAACAGAATTGCGAATACGTTACTTTCCATATCTTAAAACCTTACCGCTTGCGTGGCGAATTGTTTAGCAATTTTCCGACCGAACTCTTGCGAGAAGCCCAAATCGACCTTTTCAGCGAAACGATTAGCCGAACAGTTACGCGGCGACAGATTATCCAGCATTTGGCGAGCACGGAACATGAGATTGTTTTCCTGCGACAGTTTTTGGATGAGCTGCTGTATTATGGCAGCATTCTGAGCGTTCTGCGGCGGTACGGACAGATTGTCGGTCGGCAGGGGCTCGTTACCGGCTTGGCGCGTTCTCCGTACCGGTCCTGCCTGGTTAAACTGGGGACTGGGTGAGTCCATGGATGAGATAAACTGCGGCACAGCAAAACGTGCTTCCGGTCGCGCAGCCTGGGCGAAGGCCGGAATTTGCGGGCGTTGGGGATCATTCGCTGCTGGATCCGACAACTGTCCGAAAGATTAGCAATATAATGCGAAAAGCAGTCACGGGGGGAGTTACTCAAGTGACACCTTCTTAATGCTTTTTGAATTACGCACTTACGGGAAACAGAATAATCTTCCTATAAAACGTACGCCACCCCAACAATTCAAAATTACCCCGTCACTTAAACTTTCATATCGAAATCACAGGAATCGAAGGATAGCTCGGTGTTTTTCTCACCTGTTGCGGTGGTCCGAGATTGTCCGGTAGCTGGAACTGATGCGGGAGGAAAAACTGCTCACTTTGTGCGGCGGCAAAATTCGGTGGTCCGGTGCGGGTCGACACGTTGATGGGTTGCGGCATGAACTGGGGCACGGGTTGAGGCGACTGACCATTCGGGAAGAAACCAGCCGCATTAGGCACCGGCTGCGGCTGCGAGGGAGCGAATCCCGGGTTGCGGAAGGGACTGTTGGTCTGCGGCGGCAAGCTCTGCATGGGCGGTGTGGGTCGGGTGAGGATGGTGGTCAGTGGTTTGGGAGTGTTGGTGTCGGGGGAGAAGGGGAGAAAAGGGGGCAGTGGCTGATTGGGGACGGTGTCGGCCTGCAGAAGAGCGACTTGGCTGGGCGGCGGAGGTGGTTGTTGGAAGTTGACGGGGCGTGGAGGAGGCGGACGCTGGGGTGGGGCCTGCGGAACAGCGTTGATAGTGTTGGAGACGGCGGACTGGGCCAGTGCCGCCGGAGAGATGAGAACTTCTTGGTCTATAAGGAACAAGTAGGATAATAATCAAATACTTACGTGCAAAATACATTATTCATCGACGATTGTTAGCTTTATTGCAGCTGAGGAAAAATTTTACGTAATCAAGGAAAACCCAAAATAATAAATTGCAATGCTTCGTGTTCTTTTGCCAAAGGTTTTATTAGTTTAAGCACTGCTCTGCTACCATAGTATGTGTGTCAACCCTTTCGATAACTCTAATTTTTGAACAATTATTGGTACTATTATTACCACATGTATAACCTTTCCCGACTAAATGTTCATGAAAACGCAAGGTTTCTTGTCTGGAATGGTCACGATTAAAGCACAGTATGAATAATTTGCATTTAATTTCAATGGAGTGAAGACCGCGTAGCAGCTGTTAGAGCGGCCATCTCAAGGTCTTGTCAACACTAATGAATCAATGTCTTCTTTTGACTGAGTTATATGGTTACAATAATAAGCAGTCAGTAACTAACCTTGGATGGGAAGACATTGAAAGGCATCGGCTTTAGCGTAATCGCCGCTGCTGGCGCTCTCCACTTCGCCTCCACTGAACGGTCCGCTTCTGCCCGGCGGATACTTGAAACCCGCGCGGCACACGCACTGATATCCGCCTCGCTGCAGCCACACAACACAACCGTTACACGGACAGGCACACATGTGGTCGGTTCCACACAGTACACAGCACCAGACATACGCCGGCAGCTTTAATTAATCAACAACAGTTACACCACTAATCGGCTACACTGCAACACCCACCCGAAGTCCGTGTCCGTGAAGGGCCTCACACTGCAATGCAGAAAGACACACATGATTACATCTCACGTTACCGCAAAATATGTAACACTCAATAACCAATGCTGCTTTGCATTTAGAAAAACCACCGGTCAATGCCTTAGCACTGTACCTCTTCCCTAACAGCATTTATTAACACTTTTATATTTGATTACCGTACTTTTAACTTCGCCTTGATTGATTTAATACGATGCACTTTCGCAGTTAGCGATAAATGACCCTACGGCTCCGTCTGCGCTGAAATTCCAATTAGCTACAGCAGTGCAGTAAAAATTCTAGGCATTTGAAAAGAAAACGAGCGTCATTACAAAGTTTTAAATAGGAAAGGAGATCTCAAGGCACAGTAAACTGTAAAAGACAACTTAAATTTGGGGCTCACATATTTTTCTAAAACATATTTTCTTACTATAGTACTCTTGTATGGCTGCAAATTATTACAGTACATTATGCAAAACTCACACAACAAACGGTAATAATGCGTGCTTGGAATAAGCTAGCTGTTCTTAACATTTGCAATGCGATGGAATCTGACACTACTCAGCATAGTTTCGATACTCGTACCCATTGTGACTGCGGTTGCTCGTAACGCATTATTCAATGCCAAACACTCTCACTATCGTAACGCTTTCTTGAACAGCAATCATAAGTGCTTTTCAATAAACATATCATACAAATAAAACCATAAAATGGTCAGGATTGAACTTTTGTATTATACTGAATGAGAAACTGTACATTTTCAAATAGGCAAAACAAATTCATTTAACTAATTTTGCACCGAAGCGTCAGGTGTTCATTTGCACCATTTGCAACAAGTAACAAGTTATCCATAAAATTAAAAATCAACAGAACAACCATTTATAAAACTAGTTTAAAATGAATTTTTTAAATTTTTTTCGTAAATAAAAGTAATAAATATGCTACTGATCTGCATTTCAGCTCAAAATAATTATTACTATGGTTATGGTCAAGTAGAATAAAAAAAAGTTTTATAAAATTCGAAATTTTTAATTAGTATCCACCAGCGCAGGCTTTTGTTCTGTTAATTGGCTATTGCCCGAATAAAGATCAGTAGAATAAACTTACGTCCGAGCCACTATTCTACGCCACTGCTACGATGTATAATATAGTAACATTGTTTCCTTATGATAGTGGACATAACAGCAAATACGTGACGGACACGGAATTCTTACCACTGTGGTTTCCCGTTTGCACTTGTGCGTGCCGGCGAAGGCATTAAACTGCTGATCACCATCGCACTGATTAATGTCAATTTTCTTATAATCCATCTCCACCGAAACCGCGGCAATGTAGCTGCAAAGACACCCAAACAACAGCGTCAGACATTGATCTACGATTACGCACCGGGGATGTCATAAGTGTCAAGAGTTACTCGAACAATACGCTCAAGCCTCTTTCCCGATACACATTACACACAGCAGTGACATCACTATCAGCGACATCACACACGCAATACGCTTAAACACGCGTTCAGGCCAAATACCATCGAGTGGGTACATAATCTCTTCTTCGGCCCGAACCCTAAATCACCCCATCGCTCTTCCTGATCGGAACGCTATTCTCCCCGGTTCATCGGCAATCCCGCACAACAACGGACATTGTTGTGTGCACATGTTGCCGGGTATTAAGACAGAGAGACAGAAAGAGAGAAAGCAGGGTCGAAAGGCAAACAAGTTGGCACTGATAACCATCTTATTGTTCGTCTGTACCGGTAAATGCCGCTTTAATGTGTGCGCGATTGGGGCGCGTTTTTCTCTCGGCATGACTAATTAGGAGCGGGGTGAAGATGTTGTGACCGGAAAGAACGAACTTGATTCGACAGTGCCGTGGTTCCGTGGTTCCGGAGGGGAAGCACACACGCACACGGAAACAATATGCAGCTTCTAATCGTGACTTGAGCGGGATTATGCGAGAGCTGTCAGACTTCCGCCAGGTGAGCCGACTAGACGTGCGAGAAGGTTAAATACGCCAACCGGCAGTTTAAACCCGACGATTGCCGACTTCCACTCCGGAAGTGCATTGTCACACGCTTGTTTACGGGGATGGCAGACTATCAGCAGCGTAAATAAACAACGCTCGTATTTTTAGTACCAAATACGGAAATACGAATTCCTTAATCTGGAAAATTATAATTTTTCATGGTTCAGATTCCCCGATTGTTAAATATGGGAGTCCTTTCAAAAATTGTCAACGGTTTTTAACCAGGAAAATCCGAATTCATTTTGAAGTACTTATTGCGAACTGTCGCACTGTACCGCAAATGTGCTACATAATATTATGTTTCTAGATTAAAACAAAACCGCGAAAGCTTTTCTCGTAATTTACACAAAAATTTCAAAGTTAATTAAACACTGCGACAGTCGTAGACAAACGCATACGGTGACTTAAATTTTCAAGGTTGCCGCAAAGTCTATGGCAATGTAAATGCGTTCTTAATGATAATAAAAAATAGGTTAAGTTAATTCACTCTGGCGACGCGCTTTCAGCGGAACATTAATAGCACCTTTGCTTGAGAGAGAGAGGGAGAGAGTGAACAAGCAGCAAAATATCAACAAACAATGTTGTTGCATTGGTTGGAAACATCAGTAAGACAGTCGGTAATTGATGGACTGAATGCGTTGTATATGTCCACAAAGCGACGACCTTCTTAAAGGTTTTTTCAACTAACACTAAACACTAACACTGCTGTAATACACTTGATGTCTTCTGACGCAATCCGTTACACATCGCAGGAGACATTTCAGCCGCCACACCCTCATTCAACGCCAACTTATTACTGCGCTGACCAAACCCGCCAACTGACCAACCGTGAGAATTTATTTTCTCGTTTCGCTCCCTGCGTGTACTCATTTAGGCATACTGTAGAATATGTTGGCTAATATAATACAGTTATTGCAATTATCCAGCTTTCCAAGATTTTTCTAAAATTCTCAAAAAAGTTGGCCAAACTTTTCGCCCATTAAAGTAACCCCAATATCAAACTGAGTAAAAAATTCGGAAGTTTAGAAACCAGTTTAGAAATTCCTTATTTTGTGCGCTTACTTTGCAATAGTGGGCAGTTGTTGCTGGACAATCTGGTTGCTAACTGGAGCACCTTGCTGGACATTCACTGCATTCCCTCCATTTCCGCCCGGCACACTCGGCTGCGTCTGTCGCGCTTGAGGTCCCGGTCCCGCTTGACGTTTGGTCAGGAGTCGTGTTGCACGCTCGAGATCGGCCACCGGGGCGGTGACGGAAACTGGAGATATGGGAGATTTCAATGTACGCGCACAACATCACGGCGCGCCGTAATACACTCGCGTCAAATCATTCACAATAAAAGCCATTCTTTGCATTCTACGCATCGCAATATTATGCCGGCTAAACTGGATTACGCCGATTAATCAACAGCACAATAGCACAACACGGCTAAATCGGCTAAAGGTCATTCATCAAGTATGCTATTAAATTGATTAAAGCTGCAACAATTGTTGTTGTATTTTTGCAAAAGGGCGGGTTACCTACTGCCGCAATGCAGCTGAACTAAAGTAAGCAGTCAAACGGTATTTACTTACAGAATGCAACATTCGATCTTAATTGCCTCACGTGGCCGAAAACTAGTTGGTGTTGTTATCTGTTAGCAGAAGTAAGGTACCAATTGCTCAATGTTTTGTAGTTTTATAGACGCAAGTGTGCCATCTTCTAACTTACGCTAATTTAAAATTGCTTACTCTCAATCAAGATGCTAAGTAATATAAATTTTGGATAAAAATGCATCAAAAATTTTGAAAGACAGTTTTGATTGCAGAAAATAGCGAAACTAGGTACTGTATCATAAATCGAATATAGTTGCTCTGATTATAAGGCTACAATTGGAAACTGTGAACAACTTGTCGATAACAAAACTATCAAAATGCAGAATTGAAACAGCCATGCTGCGACTGTCTGTAGAACGGTCACGAAAAGCGCTGTAATAATGCATGCTCATAATATTGTCCTAAGTGGTTAAGCATACAAAACTGAGAAAACTTGTCCACTTGAATTGCTGACTTTCTTGCGATTTCACACAAGAGTTACGCTAATTACGCTAAGGAACCAATTCATGTTACACAAACTTGCTTCAAGACAACGGTACGCAACGATTGTCATTTCCGGGTGCACTTTCAGCTACATTTACAAACTCAAACGCATTTCCTCACATGCGCGTAGTCGGCGTAGAACTTCATCGAATGCATTGAATTTCATTATAACAACAAATACTAGAATTACTGTTTTCACTGATAGTCGATTCTAAATTCATTAATATCCCAATGTTCTAAACAGCATGAATCGGAATACTTTTTGTCAGTGTTGTTTTTAAATCGTATGGTTTTCGAGCAGCTGAGAACTTCAGTTTCCCGGATGAACGCGCACTAGTAAATAGTAACAAAATTTACAATTTGAATTATTTTCTTATTATGTTATGGGAGTAAAGTAGCACGGTAAATAACTCTAAATTTCAAAAAAAGGTTTTAAAATACCCGAAAGCACTTACGCTGCCACTTATCCGTAAATAAGCAATCAAAAAACGGCATAGTCCAGATTGCCGGCAATTCCACCGGCGGTCCAAAGAAGTTAATGGTTTCCACGCCGCTGTTGTCTTTCAGCACTTTCAGTTCCAACAATGCCGGCTGTGGCAGCTCAACCGCCGTTCGATCAGATAGCCACGCCGCATACCAGGGATTCGGCGTAATATGCTTCATCTCATCCGTGTAGGCAAAACTGGGATCGGAACCCAGATCAATGGCAAACAACATCTGGGATGTATTAAACCGCTTGAACGCGTAAGGACCGAAGAAGGGCAGCGTCTGGTTGACCCCACCGTACCAGCTGCTCATCATCATGTCTTTACTGAAGACAATCTTACTGCCCATAATGCGCTCATCCGACGATGACAAGGTGGATAATGTCGAGTAGAAATAGTATCCCATATCCGGCTCATCATCCAGTTCGGCCTGTTGCATAATGTAGGAGAAGAAGATGGCCCGGTTGACGGCGATCTTCTGTGCTTCGTACATGGAAGCCCGGAATTCCGGGATGGGGCCCTGCGGATCAAAGGGCAGCGGCAGATCGGAGATAGCGTTCCGCGGCAGGACTTTCTCATTGTTGGGCACTGCTGAACAGCGCTGCGTCGCACGCTGGGCAACGGCGTCCGCCCGGGCGCGGATGTCATCGACACTGTCCGGGATAGCGAAAGGAAGCAGGGACAACAATACAGCGATGAGCGCGCCGATGCGCCGCATCTTGCCGGTGGATTTATCTGCAGTCTTGGTGAAAAATGTCAACGATGATCAGGATAATGAGTAAATACCAAATATTGTGATAAATTCCCAGCATACAGACAGTTATGAGAATATTATTCCGCCGGTTCTGTGATGATCATCTTTTCGACTATTTTCAAGAATTCGAAACACTGTGGATGTTAACATAAGAGTCGGTGAGAAAACCTCATGAACGAGCATGTAGAGAGGTAAAAAAGCCAAACACTAGCCGCTTTAACGGACGTTGTATGACATGCTAATGGAGTTTTTAAAACTGCAGCACGCACACAACAGTTGCCGGATTCTGGTGGTTAGCTGGGCTCTTTCTCATAATACGCTCGCGATGTGATCTGTGTGCATTTCTTGTGGGTCTCCGCCTTCGAGTGCGTCCGCCGCGCATATCACTGGTCAGTTGTGCAGCGTCACTAGCTGAGCAACTGGATCCAGGTACAGTTATGTTGATATATAGTTAATCAGACAGCGGACGTTGTCGGTATTCGTCGATTGCGTTAGAGCACCGGCGTGTTTCTCTCCCTGCTGGTAACACGGCTCTGATCGACGACTGTGTCCATGTAAAAGTAAAAAAATCGTCGTTGTGTTCTGTTTCCAGTGGAGATCCCTTTGTCAACACGGCAAACCGGTTAATGGTGATTGCCGATGACGAATTGTTTAAGGCTTATAAAGAAGTGAAGGTTCACGTATGAATAAACTACCAATAACAACTTCTAGCATAACTGTGTGCTCATTAATTACGACGCGTATAATAATACTTCTATTATACACAAATCTATTCTATTATAATCTTCTATTATAATCCATTTACATAATCACTGCTAATTTGCTATTGTGGTATCGTTTCTACAGTTCTGCCACTGCGTATGTTAAATTTTTACAACCATTAGGCCTCATACATTAGATATCAATCTAAGAATGCAGCAAACAAATTACGCAAAAAATAATGAAGTAAAACGGAACAAAACCCGAAGAAATGTACCGAGGAGAAGAATTCGTGACGCATACACATTACAGGATGCTCATGCAAAAAAACTACGCAGAACATCTCAAGAATTCATCGTCGAAATTGCTCGCATTGTGAACTGTTCGTACCGGACAATCAGCAAGTAAGTCATATTGTTATAACGCTCCGAACATCTTATGGCTGGTTTACACATGTGCTCCCTAACTTGTCAAGGAATGTGCAGTTACGTTAGGTAACAAGAAAAATGCAAGCCGACCAACGGACACAACAGCGGATGTGTACCGAAGCAATCGGACAAATAAGTACATGCTAAAAAGCAGCACCTGCTTCACTAACGTTAAGATGCCTGAAATGGTAAATTTTCACAAACGTTTAAACGATTTTTAAAATCTTTAGAATGGAATAACAATAAAAACTAAAGGACCCCGCCGGTTTTGGTAGTTTACCCTTTTGTAGTTTTTAATTTTGGCCGTCGTTATTACTAACAAAAACAACAATCACAAAACCCATTTACAAACAGCGCTATCCAAAATATTTGTAAGCAGAGCGTAAGAAAAATCAACTTACATTCTAAAGCATTAACCTGAAAGTTTCACACCAAACCTGACATGATGCTGAAGATCACACCAGACTATTCAAAAATTTAGGCTCCTCTTCGCCACGAATTAACAACTTTTCCGTATCTAATGTAGGGCCTTTCCGTTCAAACGGCAACATGCCACACCACTGATAATTTTGGCTTCCGCAACTTTTACATGGACTCACTGCCGATGACACGGCCTTAAAGGTCGGCTTCCGTCTGGTACACTTTCGACATTTGACAAAGCGCTTCTTAACCTTCTGCCGGGTAAAGGGATGCCGCTCCTCTTGGCACCGTTTTGCAAGCGAATGTGCCATATAATCACACTGCAAACACACAGAAGCTGTTAAAAAACTGAATTCCCGGCAACATGAAAGAAACACCCGAAATCTAACATCTCGTATTAGTCTGTTTATTACGCCAGAACATTTAGTGCACTACAGTATACAATTACATACTGACTCAAGACTTTTCATGCCTATCCGTAGTCAAAGTACCTTTTTACATACGACCACGTCGCATTCGATATCTTTAGTATCCTCCATCTGTGTCTCAATACTTTCTTTCATGGTGGCATGACTAAAATACTTATCCATAAAATCTATTTCGTTCAGCTGACATAAGTCGTCATGCCTGGATGTCGTTTGTAAAAGCGCCTGAATCTCGGGATCATCTTGCAGGTTGCAAATTTTCATATCCGTGTTTTTTGTCTGAGCACTACTAGAAAACGGTGTACGGGATACTGTTGACGGGTTTCTTGAAAGACAGTTCGGATCCGACTTTGGGATTTTTTTTCCAGACTGTCGCAACTGGGCAATAGCGCGGACTTGCGAAATCGGCACAGGAGGCGCCTTAAGCGATGCAGTTCTGCCAGCTATAAACAGCAAAAGAAATTTAAAATTCGCCAAATCAACCATGACAGCATTTAGAAATGGTGCACCACAATTAAATCATACCCCACATCAATAACCTCAAAAATAAGAACGGTGCTTACCATCGGAAAATACAACACCTCCTCCTCCCAAGGATCCACTCAGTTTTGGGACTGTGACATTTTTGTTCATCACCCGCTTCTTGTGTTGTTCGATTAGATTTTTCATCGAAACCTCTTGACTTTTCAGCAGCTCGGACGGTGACACATACTTTCTTGGATGCTTCTTCAAATCTTCCTTGGCGATGCTTTTCACCAGATTTCTGGCTCCCGGTCCGTCATTAACCACTAGTTCATTCAGTTCTTCATTTCCAGTTGTCACACGTTCTAATGTTACTTTCTCGGCTTCGCTCAACTGTTTCCTGATCAGCTGCCGCGATTCGTCGATCAATGCTTGTGCCCCTTTGGAAATCTGCGTTTTGAAAGTCGTGGGAGGCGGTTTTTTTACTTCCGATACGGAACGCGGCGCCGTGAACAGCTTCCCGCCATAGAAATATCCATAGGCCACTTCGGCAATTTTGCTCGCACCCATTCGCGGCTGCACACCGGAGTAGTTGGTCTGTATATCCATGCGTTGGGAGCTAATTTTTTGGAATGCCGCTTTTAGGTGGTACACGCAATATTCCTGCTTGGTCTTGTTAATCAGATTTTTGCAGGATTCACCGTTTTTGGTCTGCCCTTTACAATGCCCTAAATCAGCAGCGTAGCCGAGCTCGATGATTTGGTTATAAGAGTTGACAGAGAGCGATAAACCGGATTTGTCATCCTTCTTGGGCAAAATGCTGGCATTCAAAATGACAACGACGTTGCTGGCCTGAACTCTCCAGCTATCGCTGTGAGCATCTGCAACACACACCATCATTTGTAATACTGGCATCCGATTTTCGATGACTACCAGTATCTAAAACTCCACATTCAAACAGAACAGCGATTCAGGGCAAAGTGTTGCAAACCAGTACTTTCCCAACATCACTCAACAGTGACTTTATACTGTACAATCAGTTTTGGCGCTTTAGAAACGCAAAGGTTGATTTTCATTGTCAGCCAATTTTACACTACATCTAAATATCAAACCAACATTTCATTATTACGAAATCACGTTAAGTGCACCTTTACGGAATCTGATTAGGCTACCGAATAGTTGATTGAATTACATACAAATACATACCTCCGAACAGAAAAAGCGTGACTGAATTAGCGCTATCCTCCAAATCCATCATCTTCCAGATGGAAAACTGCTTGCCACTCGCACTGGTCTTGGTCGGAAGCTTGGTGAGCAGCACGGCAAATGTTATCCAGTCCATCTTGCCAAATGGCAGTCCCGAATGCGCAATTTGCGATAATTTGCACGTCTGTTTATCACCAATTCGCGCTGCCAAATCTGCCGGAGAGATCATCGGATTGGCAATATTATACCCGGAAAACTGGCACTTCGCCGTGACGACTTTACTCGACACCGTCTCCTTCCGGGCGACTGTCTGCGACGCGGGAGACGGTGCGACCAACGGCGCGAAGGCTGTGCGTTTGATGACGAGTGCGTCGGGCGATGAATTACGCGTGTTCCGCTTGGCCGTGCGCTCATCCTCCGCTCGGGCGTCCAGTTTTCGTTTCAAGGCTCTACCTGATTTACTGAGATTGGGCGCATAATCTTCTTCATCCTCAGACGATTCGGACAATCCGATATCCTTCAGAGTCGGCGATTTGCCATCGCGCGATGTGCTAGAATGTAAATTCTGAGGCGTGTGGGGTGGTGGGGCCTTCTTCGCAAAAATGTTTGTATCTAGATCGAACAACCTAGGCACGTTAGTTTTGGACACTGGAGTTGTTTGGGTTGATGGCTGCGTTTTCGTGGAAGCGCCACGCGAAGCCAACTGCCGCTCCAGCTCTTTGACACGGTTTTCTAGGTAGGCCACCTTCTTGCCGGAGTTCTCCGCCTTGCTTTTACCACCTTGCGAACCCGAAAATGAACCTAAAGCGCGAAGATGGTAGACAAATTAAATTTGAAGACCTTTTGGACAAACGTTTTGATACGATCAATGCAGTGGTGAGTTTAAGAAACAAAAGAATTCGAGACTACGAGTTAAAACTGGAAAGTCAAACGCCAAACCTTAAAAGTTCCATACCTTGTCCCTCATCTTCCATAGCATCCAAGAGCGCATTCAGGGCCCCATCACTATCATCCATTTTTCGAAATCGTACTCGAAATGTTTGTCTCGTATATATTATATTGAAACACCTGATTAAAAAAGCAGACTACGCTCACCAAACTAAAGATAAAAAATAAAGTGCGAAGTTTGCGAACCCGTTTTCATCTTTTCCCTGCGCTATACATATGGCACAACTCAAAACTGGCGGGTAAAATGGCCTATACCGTATAAGTGTACGGCAGCCTATTTCCGGGAGGCGGAAACTAGTGCACTGGCATGTTTGAGCAATCGGCCTGCCATCACACGCTGCAGACCGGAAACACTGCAGCGCAATGAAAACTGCGAAATTTTTGGGCCGAAAACTATGGAAATTTGATCTACTTACGGTCTTACCTAATATACCTTTTTAAAATTTGCATCGTTTTTAAATCTTAATTTGCTCATTGTTCGCGCAGACAGTTTGCATATTGCATGGATTGCTTTTTCGGTATCACCGATGAGGAATAATTTCTCCTATTAATTAGTTTACCCACTGAAACGGATACTCAGACACTGTTATCGATTGTTGGAAGCACAGCGGTGTTTATGAGTATACATTTGTACGCTGATACGGCCTTATCCTTGTTCTCAAAGTGCCCGTCCAGAATCTTTGTTTAACTTCTCGGCTCTGTAACGCATTTTGAATCGTCTGCGTAATTATTTCCTTTGATCTTTCTGTCGTATTTGTTGCGACGAATCATGGCATCCTGGCACGGTAATCTCGTAATCTTGAAATTGTATAATTTTTGGTTGTGCCAGGGCAGGTCTTGGTCGTGCACCTGTTTATTTTATCGATTTTATGATTAAAAAATATAAGTCCATGCCACGAACTTGAAGATGGAATTTGTTTAGAAGCTCGTGATCGCCTGAAAAAGATTAAGGAAGAACGCCTACGCCGCAGCGAAGAGGTGGTGGAACTGTGGGAAAATGTTTTAGGAGAAAAAGCAAAGAACCTGGGAGACGAAGGTACATTCCCTTTCCTCGTGTCTTAGATAGTCCCTTTTTCGATAGTTTATTAATTATTTTATTGCTTTGCCATTGTTCAAGCTCGCTTTAATAAATTCACACATTTTATCTTTTATTCTGGACTTTTTAGTCCGCTGCCGCTGTAATATTGTTATTACTTGCTGTCACTAGCTGCATTAATATTCTCCTGGTTTTAGTATGGGCAGTGTACGAGCAGGTTTGTATCGCAGCTTTGGACTGTGATCGCTTGGACATTGCTAAAAATTGTGTCAAATCATTGAGTGCAAGATTCCCTACCAGTAATCGAGTTCGCCGTTTGCTGGCTATGACTTTGGAAGCAGATGGAAAGTAAGTGCTTTCGTTTTCCTTACTGTTATAAAATTTGGGTTCTTACTTCATTGTAAGTTACTTATACTGAAGTATGAATCCAAATATGAATCCAAATAATAATTATAATAAGTACACTGTAGTGTGGATTCGTTGGACCCTGCTGCTGATACCGGAAACATATTTTTGATTTGATGACTTTATGTTAGATTTGTTCAATTTGCATGTACTTAACTGCAAATTTATTTGCATTAATTGTGTATTTATAGTTAAGTTTGGCGAATAAGTACTATTATAAAGTAGCTGATGCATACAAGTACTGATATTTACGTGACAAGTACCCAGCTTATTGCCTGGATCTACACCAGGTTCATTTCCCATCGACTAATCACTTTGTCTTTTTGTTTGTGTTTCTGTTGTGGTTTCACTTTTACAACTGTGTTCTCCTTTTTTTAATAGGTTTGACGAGGCGGAGCACATGTACGAATCGCTGATAGAGCGGGATGAAACCGACACAGTACGAGACGGCATGAGCATAATAATAATCCGTTATCCAATATTTGTGAATGAAATACGTTATCTTCGAAATCATGCGAATTGCGAAGTATATCTTCGTTTCAGTTATCAAGAAAACGTTTAGTTGCTATCCTCAAGGCGCAGAAGTTGTATGCTGATGCTATTGTCCATTTGAACGAGTATCTGAAAACGTAAGTTAAGCGACTTGTATTTCCCGAATGATACGATTATCGCCTTAGCGTGTATTTAATTGTAAGTTTTGTAAGTAGTACCCAGTCTTACACACTACAAAGTACTTACGTATATACTCATATACAGATATACTGTATATAAATATTGGCTATTTTCTTTAGCTTAAAGAATAGGTTGTGTTTACTTGGTATGTTATAAATAATGAAAGACTACCAACTTTTATGGTCCATTTCTGGAAAGGGATCTCTAGAGTAAGCAATTTTAGATTCCAAAATGATCAAGAAGCATGGCTAGAACTGGTGGAGTTGTATTGCACCGAGCAGGATTATATTAAAGCGGCATTCTGTATGGAAGAAGTGCTTATTCATCATCCTCAGAGCCATCTTCATCATCAACGTTATGCGGAAATACGGTATGCTCTTGGAGGATTTGAGAACATCGATACAGCCCGTAGCCACTTTGCAAAAGCGGTAAAGTTGTGTCCGACTAACGTGGACGCACTTTTTGGAATGTGCATGGTAAGAACACGGGAATCACTGAAATTAATTCAGACAGTTAGGTCTGAGACATGCTTTCTCGGCGGAAAACCACTTCACCGGAATTTCTTTGTGATAGTGTGCATCGTTTTTGGCCATGTCTAACAAATCAACTGCGCTGAAGCGAAAAGACAATCAGCGCTATGCAGAATGGGCCGCCCATCAACTTCAGGAAAACTTTCCAGTACGTGTAGCTTTCAGTTTTTATCAAAAAGTGCTTTCGCCTTTCGAGACATCGAGATGGTTTCTCTGTAGAAACAGCTCTCATACTGAGGGACGTTTGATTTTTAATTTGTGACTTCTCGTAGGAAAAATTGACCGTGGATGCCAAAAGCAAACTCAAGAACATAACTATTTCCTTGGATAGTTTGCAGCTATGATTGTGTTTTGTGGTTGCATCTCTCTAGTGGGTGACTAGGAAAATTTGCTGTTACACGGTGAACGTCGGTGTGCTTGTTTTCTCAACCATTCTGTGTCCTGAAGATCGTAAAGAAGACGTGATCGATTTCTAATGTAAACCTGCTTGAATTTGTTTCATGTGTAGTATAACGGACTAACGGCTGATTGTCGCAGATTTGGGGGAAATGATGACAGCCGACAAGAACTCAAAACTTTAATCGAAATAAAAGTCATGGCATGGCCAGTACGTACATCTTTAGTGATGAGGGAGTGGCGATACAACCGATAGGCGATAACCATGTTCACTTTTGATTAAAAAAGCTGTTTTCCATGAACTGAAGAACATCAAAGGAAAAAAGAAATTTCTGAAACGCGGAAAATTTGATATCAAGTTAACATAACTGCTCCTGATTGATGTAGTAACTGGTAAGAACAGTTATAAACAAAAAAGATAAAGCACATTAAGTTCTGCTACAAAAAGAGAAATCAATTAATTAATCAGAAGCAAAAACACATTCTGAGCAGTAAATCAGAGATTTATTAGAGAACAAATCAGATTCCTGAAGAACCAATACATTCACGGGGAAAACAGGCTCAGCCCAACGCTTCACAGCATCATGCACCGTTGAAGGAGTCTTGTGTGTCGTCACACACAAGATTCCTTCAACGCCGCATGCACTTTTCTTTGATGTAGTCTTGGTAGTTTGGTGTGGCAGCCGCACGGTACTCCTCAATAAGTTCCTGTATTTTAGCCCGCGATTCCACCATATCTTCCGGCACGTCATGCGAATCTTTCTTGAACTGTTCCATATAAGCATTCTTCTTTTTCATCTTGTCGAACTGTTTCAGCATCATGTCGAAGCGTTCACTGACACCAGTATGGTTGGCCAGCATCAGTCCGCTGACTCTATGCGCCATGGGAACGAAGGGTGAGCGGCGAGCATGGGCAACGTGGATGCTGGCGGGACCCCACTGAATGAATTTGACCGCTTTCCGTTCACGCAGCCGCATCAGACTCTTCTGCACCTAAGGATGTCAAATCTCTATCACATTATCAAGATATACAAGTTCAGTGCTGCTAGAATACTGTTACCTCTCCAGGGTCGATTTCTCCTTGAATGATATTCAATATCGAGATGTAGCAGTTATCGCTTTCGTACGCTTTCCCTGTAGATACCATCATGTTATCAGGCTTCAGCAAACGCCGCATCACATCGAAAACGGTGGTTTTCTGAATCACTCCAGGATCTTGATTACGTGAAATCAAAGGCGTGTAACCTGTAAGCAATTCCAACAAATACAGTGAGGTTAACAGGCATATCACCAACCGACCTCACAGATACTAACCGGTCATCAAGAAGTGCAGATTCGGAGTGGGAACCAACGGCGCGAACAATCCGACAAAATCGTTGTGCATGTAGCTGGGATAGCGCAGTGTAGAAGTACTAGCAGACATAATGGTAGACACCATGTTGTTGATCTCCGTCATGCTAGGGGTCTCGATGCGCAGTCGATCGATGGCGATGCGGTGCAGGGCAGTGTTGTCCAGGACCACGACACAGTCAGCATGTTCGGTCAAACGGCGCAGACTCAACACAGAATTGTATGGCTGGACGACCACATCACTGGCCGCATCTTCCGCTTGATTAGGGAAAACCGAATACGCCTGCACCGAATTCTTTGGGAAGCGATCGTGCAGTTTTTCCAGGACATAAGAGCCCATCCCCGAACCGGTGCCTCCGGCAATGGAATGACAAAGGATGAACCCGTCCAAGCCATCGCTGCCTTCCGCTTCGCGATTGATGATCTCGAACACCGCTTCCTGCAAACAGAATTATATACAATCCCACTGAAACAACGCAGTCCTGAAGGTTAAAAATGCGCCCAGCAGACACGTCCCTAACCTTTTTCTACGACGCCCAACAAAAGATGAAGTGGAGTAATCTGAACGCTGCTGAACGTTTTCCGAAGCTTGTCAATGATAATTCTGAAGTTACCGAAGTTCTGAAAATTCACTTCGGCATAGTTCTTAACTCTTAACTCCGCGAACCACGCCAACCTCTCCATTTCTACTCCTATTCGTTTATTACAAATGACTGTGTTAAAATAGTGCCTCTCGTCTTGCTCGCGTTAATAGTTCCTTTCTTGCACAGGAGTCGTTGAACTAACCAGTAAGTGGGGAGTTTGTCTTCCAGACCTCAGTATGTTGGTTCAATACCACCTCTCAAGCACATTACGCAAATTCATAATATAAAAGTAAAACAAATAATAAAACCTCTATATCGTAACTCCCTGTTTCCTACAAATTCGAAACAAATCCGAAAATATGTATTATGCCATTACTTATGTTAATTAGTTAATATCATCAATTATCCTCGGTCACTGCAATATCAGTTTCAAATAGAACCTTTCTGACAACATCAAATACCAAAACACATCGAAGTCTGCCAAGACCTCCGAAGAGCCTAGGAAACGATTCTTACTTCGTGCTTGCTTCCAGCTTCATATCCAGCTGCCCAATTATTTCCCGCTCCACCACCTTCTTTGCAAATGTAAATGTTTTCCGGGTTATACAGCTTAGAGTAGTTGTTGAGGATCCCGTTGACAACACGCGGTTCCAAATCGACGAGAACAGCTCGCGGCATATAATGATCATCGTCAGCCTGCGCAAAGAACACATCCTTCCGATCATACACTCCTGCTGCTGAGGCTGGATTAAGCAGGTGACCTTCCGGGCTGATTCCGTGTTCCTGGCAAAGTTTCTGCCAGAATTCCATCCCGATTTGATTGCCACATTGTCCAAGCTGTAAGGTAATAATTTCGCGTGGCATAATTACTGTATCGCTGCCCGCGTCTGCCCAACTACTACTGTAATACAATTAAAACAATCCGACTATGAGCAAAATTTAGCGTACATAGTAGTTAAAGTAGTACGATAGATAAATAATAAATGAACGGTTCAGAACTTGAAACAAGAATTCTTAGTGCCACTGTGCCAGCTTTGCAGCGATCAAGTCAGGGCTTTTATATATCCCGAGCGAGTGCTGATACGGGTTTTTGTCGACAATGGTGAATGGAGCACAGAAACCGCCAAATATCGGGCAATCGAGCCGACACCTGTCGGCTGGCTGCTGCACAGGTACCGGGTTATGGTTTGGTCGTTAACTAATTTTTAACTAATTTTTACGTATCGTTAACACTGGCCAAAAGGCCGTAGCGGATTCGGAGGCTAGCTGCAAGTTGAAAAACGGCCTAAAATTTAAAAATGAACGTGGAAAAGTGGCCTCGTTTTTCTGTAGCGTTTCCTGATTCTTGAGACGGCTACCGGGCTACGGTGGCGTTGCCGAGCGTTGTTTTCTGTTTCTGTTGTTTTCAATTTCTCCCTCCTGGAGAGAGCCCGCACGCCACCCTCCACACCTCGCGACGGCCCTGCGGCGAAGTGATTGTTTTTCTTCCTGCCCGACGGTCTTTAATGCCGACCGAACCTGTTGTGTTAGTACGAGCTTGCGTGTATTGTACTAGTACATACTCCATACGGCCAGACATGCCTAGCTATAGGATCTGCATTTAAGACTATATTAAAAGTAAATATATTCACAGATTGCAGACCCTGATATTGCGTGATTTGCATATCCTGTTTGGGAGGTCGATAGCCTGTGGCTAACACCCTGGAATTTGAGAGATCGAGATCGGTCTTCTTGGATCCTGCGCGATTTTCGCTTGTGTGGTGAATTTGGTTTTGATATACCCAGTCTGCAACTAGGCTGACCATCAGTCGGTAACAAGAATTTTTCCGGTCTATTTTTTGAAACACCGGGATCCGTTTCCGTTTATGCGCTTTTTCCTGGATTCCCGGAACAGCGTAATTTGTCAGTGCTAGTATTATTTTGGTATGAACACAATACTCGCTCGCTACCACGTGTTCCTTATAAGTTATAACAGTAGTAATATTGTCTTAAAATCACCAACGGATTTATTGCAAGACCGGGAAAAATGTTACGCGCTTTTTGCGATCTAGTTTCTAATTGGCTGATGTATGCTGATTCCGCATCCGATCCAGTTCTAGAACCTGAACATCGTGGTTTTCGTCCTGACTGCGTACTTGATGTAAGCTACGAAAGCTACCTACGGTAGTTCGAAAGCATGTGCAAGAATGAGGCAGCGTAGGAATCGTACTTAAACTGTACAGTACAGTATTATAATTTTCTTTGGGTTATGAATTATAGAACTAGTTTACTAGTGTCAGATTCAGTAAGAGTGTGCACTGCAGGACTGGGCGGACGGCGAGCTTCGTATTTCTGATGGTATTTCCATTTCCATGTGGCACTAGTGACTATAACTCGCATTTCTGATGGTAATACAAACTTTTGTAGAGAAAGGTGCTAGGGGGCGTCCAGTCTAAGCCAGTCAAGCATAATTCCGTTTACTCCAGCAATCAAGACGACTATCGCCATAACACCAGGTTTGCGTTTACCACAACGGAGGATCACTATGCCCGCGTGGTGCAGGTTGAAGAGCGTATGAACGGAAACAGCGCACCGGAGGTTATCGTGCAGGTCGAGAAACACGGTCAGACCATACCTGTTCTGCTGCCGGAGAACTTCCTCATCGCACCACAGAAAGGTGATCACTGGTTGCTGTCGGCTGGCGGTGTTTTGCGGGAGGATAACGTCCTTGTGCCGAAAAGTGTGCAGTATGCGCGGACAAAGAATGACGCTATCCTGCGGATTATCGGCGACCACCTCACCCTCAGTAAGCAGTCGTTCATCCTCTTCGAGCAGAGTGTGTGCATGGCGGCGGAGGCCATACCGGATGGATTTTCTAAGCACCCTGGCGTCATGTATAAAATCGACGCTGTCGAAAGCCGACAACCGCGTGGATGTTCCTGGCGCGCTTGGCGTATCGAGATGGTCACCCCTGAAGAAAGGTCAGGCGGTTACACAGTTATCGAAATTTCGAAAATATGCATGCTCGTGAATGCATTTTAACTAACGCATTATTACAACACAGGCCGGTAAAATTAGTTCATGATTATTCGCCGCTTTGTAGGGCCGCTTTGCGAGATATGTTGGTGGACGAAGAAATTGATTTTGGCGAAATTGCATTTGGAACTTCCGTAACTAAGACGGTCACGATCAGGTCAGTGACTTGAATAATTGTCTTTGCAACGATCCAGTTGTACTACCTCACTCTAGCCGGTTTTCGGGAGTACAGATATTTATAATGCGTCATTTCACATTTGCAGCAACAAAGACGGTGCGGCACATCGTTTGACGAAAATAGCACTGTACGGCTGTCACATCTGTCGTGTGCATCCCATTTCCATCTCCGAGCCGTATTTCTCCGTTGGGGCGCCGCACTTTCTTTACGACGCTATCCACTTCCATCCCTTCCGCAAATTCGATTTTCTATTGCCTGTCAACGCTACGGCTCATGTGAACGTGAAGATGGCAGGGACAGAGCCAGGACAATGGAAATTCGCCTTGAAATTTTTCTTTGAGGACAGAAAGATGCGTAGCTGCTTGTTTTCCGCTAACGTGCTGCAGTCCGATGGAAGCGTGGTTGACCAGGTGCGAGCAGATCCGGAGTGGCGCCTTTCGCAAGACAGAATTCGTCGGCAGGTGGCGAAAGAGGCGGCCATTCGAGTGCGAGAGGCGGATTACGAGAAACCGAAGAAAAAGTATAATTGCAAGCAAAAAAGGTGATATATGTTTTACAAATTGTCTCCTGAAATTGTCGGCTGTTTTACAAAGACTGTTTGCAGAGACGGAGGCGCTGTCCATGACTTCCGAAATCATTACGATATTCCATGTGAGCTGATGGATTCTTTGAGCGCTTTGCCAGAAGTCGATGCCCTGCAAGAACAGTTTCCGGTTCTGAAAGAGCCGCTGAATTATGATAACTATGCCGACAAGCTGCACTTGCTTCTCCATTTGGAGGAATTTGCGGAAGAATTGGGTGTTCATGAGCGATTCGATAAAGTTTCCGTTAGTAATTCTTTGATTCTTGATGTAAAACCAGTTTCAGAGCTTCATCTGATTCCGACAAATCTATTTTTTATTTAGGATGAACTGGAGCAGGTGGATGGCACAATATTCAAATTGGGTTTACTCGACCTGTCGGAAGGACGACCTTCTTTGATGTCGGGTGACCACGTTTTCGCCAAAACCATTGATAAAATGAAACAACTTGCTCATTCCGCGGACGTATTGAAGAGGTTGACAAAACGAAACAATCAGTACTCTTTCAGTAGAATCGTTTTTAACAGCTTATTTTTTACCTGTAGGTGCAACTGGACGCAGTTTTAATTAAATTTGATGTGCCATTTTCGAACTTTTTCGAGCGTAAAAGACTTCTGGACTTCTCTTTTGGCATTAACCGCTCGGTCTACCGTCGATTGCATGTAATGCAGAATGATCTTATTTCTGGAAAAATGGATTGATTGACCTATTTGCAAAAACATCGTAGAAAACACTGGATATCTCAGGAGAGCGTCTGAGCAAGCGATTTCTCTTTCCCACCGAGTCCAACCGGGAACAATGTGCGGAGCGCATCCATGATCGCTTGCAATGTTCGCATTTCAAAGAGCTTTTCCATCCCCGTTTTAAAGTGCTTGTTTGTAAATTATTACTTGATATTGTCATCGTAGTTTCTCAGGAAATAAAGTGGATTAATCCGGACCTAAATGAGCTGCAGCGGAAGGCTGTCAATATGGTGTGCCGCGGACGTTGCGGTCCCCTGGCTCACATAATTTTTGGCCCACCGGGTAACTTGTTAGCTGGCGAAAATGTTATATTTTGACTTCAGATAAGTTTATAGTGTCGGTTGGCTTTTTATACAGAAAACAGTTGTGGGCGATGCAAACTCAAAGGTAACCTTTCAGAGACTGAGAGATATACCTGTTTTGCTTGTTTGCAGGAACCGGCAAAACACTGACCATCGTGGAGATTATTTTACAGATATACCAACGCGATCCGGATAGCATGATTTTAGCTTGTGCCCCTAGCAATTCCGGTACGGATTTAATTGGACAGCGGATCATCCAAGCAGCCATCGTGCCAGCTTCCGCTTTGCGCCGCATCTTGGCCTACCGTCGAAACGTTGATTCGGTCCCAGCCGAATTGGCTCAATGTGCGCAGAATGGTTGTACTGAACCACCCTTGACCGACGATCACCGAATCATTCTTACCACCTTGCAATCGGCTAGTTTTTTTGTGGAGTATCCTCGCAAATTTTCACACGTGATCATCGACGAAGCGGGATTTGCTACGGAGCCAGAAGTACTGAGCGCTTTATCAGCTACCCGTGTAGATCCGGCGGGAATGCAGGTTGTACTGGCTGGAGACCCGCTCCAGCTGGGTCCGGTTGTTACGTCGCCTTACGCCAAGGGTGCTGGACTAGAGGTAATCTAACGGATATTGAATTTTTAAAATTTCTTCTCTACGCTTACTAATTAGAATAATTAGCGTGTTGCATGGTTGTTTTCTTTTAAGTTCAGAAGAAAATCACTAGAATCAGTAGAACGCGAATGCTTACAGTAACCTGTTGTCGTCGAACATATTGCCCATAATCATGAGCACTTTTCTTTGAAATACCTATGTAGAAATCATTGCTTTCCCGGTTGCTGGAGTGCCCATCTTACTCACACTTCGATGGGTCAGAACACGTGTTTTGTTCGCATCTGGTGAGCAAACTGGACGTTAGCTATCGCTCTGTGGCAGCACTGCTGAAAGTTCCGTCAACGTTGTTTTATAACGCCCAACTGACTACCGTTGTTCCGGACGAAAAGTAAGTACTTTCTATTGCGCTCACACCAGAAGCACGGCAAGTGCATTTTGTTTTTTTTTTCAGCAATATTTTTGGGGAACGACTTATGATACCAGGATTAACTTTTTGGCCTGTTAAATCACGGGAGATGCGAGAAGCTCGGAGTCCGTCGGTGTATAATCCTGGCCAGGTTGCAGTGGTAATGAAACTGCTACATAAATTGAGAACTGTCAAAATGTCAGAGGAAAATATCGGAATTATTGCTCCTTATCGGCTGCAAGTAAGTTTCGCATGACAGTTATTACTGATTGCCAAATGGTAATTGTTAAGGTGGTTTAAAATTGTATTAAATTTTCGAACTGTATAGACATGATTATAATAATAGACATGATTATTATGATCTGCTTAAACGAAAATATTCTTACCGATCTCTTATTAACCTAATTAGCAGGTTGTGATAAAACGATTTATTGCAACAGGTGGAACAAATCAGACGTTCTTTAATCGAGGCGTCCTTGCCGGTTCCAAAGATCGGTACGGTCGATGAATTTCAGGGACAGGAAAAAGATGCTATCATCCTTAGTACCGTACGATCATGCCATTGCGATCCGGGCGACAGTGAGATGTCCGTTAAAGCAGCGATGGGATTTGTTGCTTGTCCGAAACGTATCAACGTGGCTCTAACTCGTGCGCGATTTATCTTGATGATCATCGGGGATCCGTACGTGTTGGCTATGGTAAGCCGGAAATTTCCAGTTCAGATTCTTGTGGAAAAGTAAACATTGTGATGTTATCGAGTGTAAATGCGGACAGTGGACAACTGGACATCGGCCAGTTAACATTTATCACATTTGACAGCTTCGGAAGTTTTTAAAAAAAAAACAGAATAACGGATTTACGCTAGGCAGTTCAGACATATTATTAAAAGTAAATCGATTTGTACTTGTAGGACGGGTATTGGCGCCGAATTTTGCGCTACTGTTTTGCCAAAAAGTGCTACCAAACCGATCTCCTTAATGACAACGAGTTCACACCACCTGCTTGCATCATGAAGTCACCCGGCAATGCTTCGCGCAAGGTCCCATCAGTGGAATCCGGTTTTGGAGAAGACAGTCCCTTTTCTGTGTTTGAGTAAAAACTTTATGTTTAGACTAAAGGAATATTTTTTAAACGTTTTTCACTTTTTTTCTATAAAATCCAGTTTTTATGTCTTTCAGTGATGTCTGCGTATAAGCATTCTGCGGTGTTGCAGTGATTGATTCTTTAGTTTACCAGTGAAAAGATTAGAAATCATATTAGAGTTTTATTGAATTTTCGTTTAGATTTCAGTTAAATATTTAATATAGTGCTGTTACTTCTTTAATGTGCTGCTTTTTCACGCGGTTCTTTCGCGGTATTCATGTTTTTGGGGTACATCGTTCAAATATCCACAGTTTGAGAATCAAATAAAGTCCAGGATGATGTGGTGCTTTGCTCGACAACACGCTAATCAGTATTTTTTTTTAAAAAAACAGTCGTTTCGTTTTCCTTTTATGTTCTGTACTACCTATTCATTTCGCCGGTTCGTAACAATCGTACCAAAGTAAAACAGCATCACAAATACTAAGTCTTCAAATGATTTTCGCGAAACAGTTTACGAATTTACCCTGCATATACTGACGTCACCACCCTCGATTGGTTGTCCAATGCTCGAAACATCTCTATCAGCAGAATGCCTTTGGCGTCCATTTATATTTCGTGTAGCCGTGAAATATCGCTCGCGAAAAGTATTCGTGTAAATATCCTTGGCAAAAGTTACCTTCTGGTCGGCATTCTAATCCCCATAACGATATAATTTAATGGCATGTCAAAACTCTCACAGTCAAAATATCTCTCGACCGTACCCAGGCTTCGATCTTTTCCATAGTGATCAATCGCCGACTAGTCATTCCCGCCAATGGTTGTTCACTGTTGCTAACCAATTCCAAGCAATCGTGGCGCGGAACGGCACTTTCGTTGTACCTAATATTGAGAGACCTTGATAATATACAGATATACAGAACTGATTGAAACTAATTTACTTGCGCTCAAACTATGTATATCAAACTACTTCAAAACTATACTACTTTCAAACTAAACTAAACTAAACTATTTCAAACTATATCATGAACAGTTTTGGTAATCACCAGTGTGACACCACTCTGGAAAGCCATCAACTATTTCCACTATCTTCAAGTATCACTGCTCAAGTACACAAAGCAAACAAGCACTGAAATACAAACTCGTTACGATTACTTACGAGTACAATGAACACGGTACTTCTATAATATCTATACTACTTACGAGTACAATGAACACGGTACTTCTTCTTCTATGTCATTCTCCCAGGAAACTGGGATGGCATAATATTATGCCATCCCAATTTCCTGGGAGAATGAACGCGCAGACAAAACAGATAAATCGGATCTTACTCATCTTTCACTGCGGGTAACCAGTACACCAGTCTGCCTCCAATTCTCAGATGTTTAGCAGCGAAATCCACAAGAACAACGATAAGATCGTTCAGGTCGCACTTTCCCAACTGCACACGTTCGTAGCCATTACTAAAACGATACAAATTAGCCGGTGCGCACAAAAAGCCTGCACGAGTACATCGATTTTCACCCAAACAACACAGCCAACATACCTCCCAAGACATTCTGGTGAGCCGCGGCTCTTCTTGGTCCGCGTGGTAGCTTCTCGGACCCCATACGGCGCTGCAATCGGAAAAAGGAAGCTACTACACAACCACAACAGTATGGGGGCGAAAAACAAGTAAACGGTGCTTGCTCACGATCGGCTATTACGGCGTCAAACTTGATATCTTCGCGTAGGACATTCTTAGTGGCATCCGATACCAGAACGTCGATGTAATGGCTTTCCAACTGATACTGCTTAAAATTGGAAAGCACACTCTCATCCCTATTCCTCCATGTATTTTTGGCTCGGGTGGACTTTCCTAAACAGCAAACACATTCTCTATGTGTGTTACGGTGCACTATACGGTACATGCAAGTTATGCAAGGAAAGCGGCTTCACAGCAACCGTGGTAAATAAACTCATCAACGAAGAGCAAAAACAAAAAGCACAAACAAGAACTACTTAAAGTACTGATAATGTACTACCTCTTCCATAGAGCAGTGTCCGATCGATATCCGATCCCATAGTGTAACCACCGAAATGCGCTGCTGCTATCAAGAGACTGCCGGTGCCGATGAAGGGATCATAAACTAAGGATCCCTCTTTTACCAGAGCCTGATTGGCCATAACCATGGCCAGAAGAGGATCCATACTCGTCGTGCCGATGAAATAGCGTTTGTCCAAACGGAAGCGTTCCACGGCCTCTCGTCCTCCCCCCGCAATCTACGAAAAGACCAATCAGACGATGGCATCTGGTACGAAATATCAAGCAGCCCCATTAGAAGTATCAACGAACCTACCCACCGACCGAAAAATACTTGTTCCGGAAACTCCCGATACGGCACGTTATCCCCTCCATAATCTTCCAGGACGTGAAAGCTGTTAACCGGGTTGACAAGATCTACTTTGCCTTGGAAAGGAAGGACAGACAAATCCTGTACCAAATGAGAGCGATACAATAGATAGCAATTAAACACCTGAAAACCCGGTAGCCTACCATGTGGTACAATATGCGAATAATACTGAGTAGTATCAAAGACTCGACCGATCTGTTTTACTATGCAGTTGTTCCAAGGAGTATTTCCACACCTCAACTCGCTCGGTAATCTTTGCCCAGGCTAATTTCTTTCCATAGCTGTGAATGCGTATCCTGAAACTACTGTCAGGTAGGGAATACGGTGCCTACAACGCAGTCAAGTCGAATTTCATTAAAGTCATAAATGTTTTGGGCAGATAGAGGCAGTCTCTTCGATGCCACTGACTAAAACTCAAAACTTACCGTAAAAGGCGCTGGAAGATGAGGAATAGTCTCAAGGAGATTTGCGAAGCTTTTCGCTTGTATCCAGCATTCAAAGGTGGAACTACAAATAACAAGTGTCGCGTTTCCTAATTATGTTTCAATAATAGACACGTAAATGATAAACATGCACAACTTCGCAATCCGTAATTTTTCAACACGAACCGAATGAGCACGGAACGCTGCGTTAAAAGGCGCGCCTGTTCGTCATTTTCGAGCGTCAGGATAAGAAAAGGACCCTACAAACAGCAGGAATAAATCAATCACGATCGTCATGACTGCATATAAACGTTTTTTATCTGAAGCCACGTACGTGACGTACCTCGTTATTTACAAGTTCGCTTTCTTGTAACGGAATAGCCAGTAGCTTGCACAGAGACCGCAGTTCCTAAAAAAAAGCGTGTGAAAATACGCTACCGTAAACGAACGCCACCTTCGTGTAAACCGTGACAAAGTCAGCTAGAAATCCGGGTAAAAGTGAAGAATAACCTAAAAGTTAATTTTGTTGTTTCTTACGGGCAAACGAAACGGGATGTGCTCCTGAGCAAAGTTTATCAGATAACGTTTGTGTCCAGCATGGATAGTCGTCATCATGGGACGAGTAAGTCGCGGTGCGATTCTCCTGCTAAAAGGAATGGTCGAAGGAACAACAAGTGCCGCAATTATCCTGGAGAGCTGGAACATTCACCATTAGTGTCCGTAATCAGTCAAGGCACTATCCGGCTGCCGGTTTGAACACCAAACAGCATTAATAAGAAACGGCGCTATACGTCAGGTTCGCAAAGCCCGAGAGCATTTTTTTGCAGCATGCAAACTGTAGAATACCTCATTTTCGATAATGCAGAAAATTTAAAAATACCGTGATTATTACCGTCCATAAATCATGAATCAAACAAAACCACCAAACCTGCATATTTGTAATTTTGTTGTCTCTGGGCGCCGGAAAGCACTCGCTGGTGGTTACTGCCGGAAATACGTCACTTTGCACTGTCTAGTGTCTAGTCGCACAGCACACTGTGTTTGAGTGTTTAGTATTTACCCTGTCCTCAGTTTCTGTCTAGCATCTATAGTAGAATTGACGCTTTTTGCATTTTTGGTTTGATTTGTTCCATTAAAAACTCCTTGAGTATTATTTTACATACATTTTCCAAACTGGTAAGATTAGATCTTGTCTAAAATGGCCCATCACGGGCGTGAACCGTCGAGCACATCAGGTGGCCTTCTGGAGTCGGATCACGGGCGCCTTCCAGGAGGACCTGGTCACATGGACGAAGGGTTCGCCCATACTAGTCAACATCATCCTTCCGGTAACACGTACGGTTTCGTGAAAGCTAAGAAGAAAAAGGAGAAGGGCTATCGCAGCGTGGGATTGGATTCGTCCGATGAGGACTACAATGACGCAGCCTGCATTATCAGTTCTTCGCAATCCACGCGACATCATCCCACTCCAACGCAGATTTCCTCTGGATCCAGTTCGACTGCCCCTTCCAGCAGGTAAACACTTTCATAAAACAATAACAAAAGTGTAATGATAGCAGTATGCTTGTTAGGACAAGCTGCAAGGTGTATTTCTGCTTACAACAGCCTCAGTGTAGGTTCTGTTAGCTACATTGACACAGATCTACACTTGCTGCTTACCGCTTACGACTTTCCGTTTTAATTGTGCATGGCATCCGGCTTTTATGGATGTTGTTTGGTAACAGTCAAATAAAGAATTACTTCGAATATGCTGCTTCAGGCTTTGTTTGAATTTCGAGAATCGTGGAACGCTAACCCCCGATTTTTCATATCAGAATGATCCTTTTCAGATTTCCGAATTCAGTAAATCACTGGGGTTTCTGTGCCATTTTAGTTTGTGTTTTTTCAGCACTGGATTCACTTCTTATCAGTTTCCAGCTGGTTCGCCATCCACCGGAACTGCCGGCCCTAAAAGCAGCAAAACGAAGCCCGCCTTCCGTTTGAAGAAGAAAAAATCCTTTAAAGGCAAAGATTTGTTGACATCAGACGAACCATTCACGGACAGTGCTGTGCTGCAGAGCAAAAAAAGCGCGAAACTAAAACATAAATCCAGCTTCAGCAGCAATACAAACCCATTTGATGACCGTCCTTTTGCCGTTACACCACTCTCGGTTAGCACGTCCTCCAAGAAAAATCTGGCTCCAATAGCGCAGATGCAGTTTCCAGGTAAGATACATTTATGTGTTCGTGATGGCATTTCGATAATATTCTTTCTGTCATATCGAAATTAAACTTTGTTCTAGTTCCAATTTGAATCAGTTACATTTTTTCCCCGGTTGACATGAAATGTTACAGTTAATACCTCGTACTTGTTGTTACCAACTGCGAAGTATGTTCTTACTTCTTAGCATTCCCGTTGTGAATTTCAAACTTAACCACTTAAACATTTTGCCTTACCGGGATTCTGCAGCTGTGTTTAGCGAAAGCGAAGCTGTGGTTTTAATCATTGTTTTTTTGTGCTTAAAGACGATTCAGATACGCAAATCTTCGGCATCCCGCTTACGAAGGCCGTACAGATCGACCGTTGTCCGGATGGACTGCAGATCCCAGCATTTTTCCGTGTATGCGTGAACTATATCGAGGACAATGGTGAGAAATTAACCGTTTTTCAAAGCGACAATATCACGCGTATGCTTTTTGTCGCAGGTTTGGATACAATTGGTATTTATCGCACATCGGGGTCACAAAGTCGCATTCAGGAACTGAAGCAGCATTTCAACCGTGGTGATCGTGTGCGCTTGAATGACTATGATGTGGCCACTGTAGCTGACGTGATGAAAATCTACATTCGGGAACTACCACAAAAACTGCTTCCAGAAGAACTGCTGCCCGACCTTGAAGACGCTCTCGGTATGTGATATGTCGTGTTTTTGCATTTAATGTTCGTGATCCAATTTAATGTCGAAAGGAATACATAGTTCTGTTTGAACTTTTCATTGAAATTTTGTTGCCGGAAGCTTTTTATGTGGTATTGCAATGGTTTTACACCGCGCCTCATGTGCTTCGGAATTGTATCTTTAATATGGTTACTTGAATGGCTGTCAAATGTTAAAGGTTTTTAGCCTCTTATTATGCACACGTATGTGTGTTGTGAAAGACTGTTTACGCATGGTTGATGTATTTTTCAGAAATCCCAGAAATGACAAGAAAACTGGAGACCACTCACAAAATCCTACAACGGCTAGAGCCTTGCCGCCGCACTTTGCTTGGTTGGGTATTCGTCCACATGGCTCACATCATGGAACACCAGGACGTCAATAAAATGAGTCTGAAAAATCTGGCACTTGTGCTGGAACCCACATTGCGCATCCAGAGCAACAAAGTTTTAAATTTTTTCCTAAGTTACCCTACGGAAATCTTCCACGATATCAGCATTACCAAGTACAGTATGGTTTCGGTCTCGCGCTTTTTGTTGCAGTTTATGGATTCTCTTGTAATGACATAAATTCTGTGTTTTCAGATTGACAGCGCCGGTAACAACCACCTCGACCAAATCTTCCGGAAAGGTCGCAGACAACGACCAGCGCTTGGTGCAACTGCGCGAGGAGCTGGCCAAGAAGGAAGTCAGCCTGAACCATATGCACCATGAAATCAAGCAAGGCAAAGCTAGTAAGCGCAAAGAGGAGCAGTTGTGGGAAATTCAGCGGCAGGTTACGCAACTGAAGCGCACGGTAAATCACACCTTACGGTATTTCCTGTATGCTATGTTTACAATTTACATTATTTATACAGATATAATGATTTTTTTGTAGATTCGCACCTTTGAAAAGATGACCACTGTTCCTTTGCAACCAGACGTGATACCCAGCAGTGGACTGCTTATTCCGACAAAAGTGAATAGTGATGGCAACAAGTCGCCAGTTGTTACAAAAATCGAAGTGCGTTTTCCACCTGTTGCTAAACCATCGGAAGTTGAGCCGGAATCTGCGAGCAAAAGTGAGAAGGAATCGCCTTTAGCGCCCGTTACTGCAGGCGATGGTCTTAATGGAGTTCTGAGTGAAGCCGAACGGAGAGCAAGTGTAGCACAGGCGTTATACTTAATCAACGTGCAGGAAGTGCTGCTTAATCATAATGCCGCTCTACGGGAGCAAGTTGCAAAGGAGAGCAATGTCGTCGTTGGACTTTATGAACAGCTGCATGATTTGCAGAAGCATGGAGCGGCTTCGCACCAGGTTATATTTGTGTCATTTCAAAATTTTTCTAATATTGTGACTGGAATTTCCGTTGTGCTGGTCTTCAGATAATGTTGCAAATTGTACCGGATCATGTTTTTATAATTTACTGTATTGTATTGTACAAACGTTCGTGTATACTATACTAGTGCTTTCCACATTGAGAAGTTAAAACTTCGCCTTTTATCAACTGCATGGACTGCATATCAGCGTCGTTGCGCAGTGGATCGTGACTCAAATTTTTTTGCAAGAAGAGTCATCATACTGTTTCGGTTTATTATTCTTTCCTTATTCTCATGTGAGTTTTTCGTTTAGGCTTGCGAAGAGGAATTAACAACCCTGGAGCCTGCATCTCAGGAGCAGCGACAAGAACTTCTCGAATTGCTCGAGAAGTTCCACAACTTGAAGGTACAGTTTAACATTTTATATAAACTCCCACGCTGAATGGCTGGAGAGTGAAGAGTGGGAAGAAGTTCAATGTTTTTAATGCGTGAATGCGTTTTTAATGAGTGAAGAGTGGTAAGAAATTCAGTATTTTTTTTAAATTCAATGTTTTTTAGCGGATGACGGGAGAGCTGAACGACGCAATCTGCAGCGAAACCAACGACTGGATGACCATTGTCGCTGAAACAAACGCCTTGCGGATGCAACGCACTACAGCGCCGGTATCCACTTGATGCGTTTCATTGCTACGATTGATTTTACTTTCTCTTTCTAAGGTTGCTGACTAATAGCTGTGCAGAATAAGTACGTTAAAACAACTTTGTTTTTGTTAAAATAATTCCTTGGCAAGAAAATCCTTGCGGACTTAAGATGCGGCCAACCTTTTAAAATGTTTCAGCGAAACCGTTTTTGTGAATCATCAATCATGGGTAAACTACGAGAATCTTAACATGAATGAACACTTACTTCCGGTGCGTTATTAATTGATGAGTTGTTATTTAGTAAGCGCAACAATCCATTCATGTGTATGAGTTGCATTTTGTAGCGTACTGTACGAGCGCACACAATATTATTACTGTTGAAAGGAATGCTGTGTAATCACTGCATTCCACTAGCACGATCGCGGAAATCTCCCACTGTTGAAAAATTGCGATCGACAACAAGATTCGCCGAATGCTCGTACAAATCCGTTTGAGTCGGTTAGCAGACCGGTACGAGGTGGCCAGCATGGCTCAACCAGGGGTGTGTCCCTTTGGGCTGTTGCCCGGTGTTGGTTAGTACGCTGATGGTGATCAACTTACTGTACTTACTTATATCATTGCTTCCGGCTAGGCAGAATCTCTGTAGTCTGTATTAGTGGTAGCAGCCTTGAAATATTGACCGCATAGCGCTGTGTAGTGAGGATTTGTGTGTGCAGTGAGATTGTTGTATTTCTGGATCACGTTTTCTCTCGAACGATTTGTGGAGGAATCCGCTGACGTTTTATATTTTTCAACACTCCAAGAGGTACCTTGTGGCATATTTGTATTTACGTAGTTATGATTAGTAAGTATAATAAAGAAGCTTGCAGCGATGTTTAAACGCAAACAAATTATCCAGTACTGAGTATAAGTATTATGAATTTTGCTAGTTTGGAATTCGCACACCAGTTTGTAAAGGTTGTCTTAGGTTGATAACTAGTGGAACGTGTAGCGCTATGAACTGTAAAACGTATATCACGAAAACGAGTAAAAACGACAGCTTTCCTGTGGCTGTCGCCGCATGATAATAATTTGATTTGTTACAGGAATAACTCTAGCAACAATGACCTTGAAAGAGATTCTTGTCGTCGTATTGGCCTTCTTCCTTCCACCCGTGGCAGGTGAGTGTTGAAGCATGTTTTTAATATTTCCCATTATTGTATATCAATGTGGTTTTGCCTAGCATACGTCATTAAGCAAGGCGTTTCTAATTTCAATTGTAATTGAGTTATCTTTAAATATTAAGGAAAATCATGAGTACATGATGATCAGCGTTATCACCTCGTTATTTCCCTTTCACTGCATACCGCGGTGTTATTCTTCTACCTTATTAGTTTTAACTTATGCTGAATTAAAAACCAGAATAAATATCAGTACCAGTTGGTTTAAATTAAATTAACTTTTGCTTGTGTTGATAGTGGCCCTTCAGCAGGATGGCATTACCAAAGATTTCTGGATCAATTTGCTGCTGACGATTTTGGCCTTTATCCCGGGTGAGTTTATTTTACGGCGTTGATAGGAGGAAGGGCTTTATGCGTGTACCTGGCTACTTGCCCGAGTTTTCTTCCATTGATCGTTTCGTCTGGTTGTGCGTTCCGTAACTTTCGTTAGTGCTTAAATATGTTACGTTGCATGGGGGTGGAAAATTTTAATGTCTAATGTGATTTTTTTTGCTTTTGAAGTGCTGTCCAGTTATTTAAAGGTATTATTTTGTGAACTGTGTCCTGACCTAGGAGTTATTCCGACAAAAACCTTGCGTATTGGCTGTGTGTTTGCGTCAGGGATGTGATTTTTTGATAGGTGTTATCCATGCCCTTTGGGTGGTTTGTAAGACAGCAGCCTGATGCAGACTACGCCACTAGGGAGCATGACCACCAGTGCATATACTACCACGAAACCGGCGCACATGGCATTTCCGTCCACGTATTAATCGACTGCCATTGATTTCGAATTTTTCCTGTTCACTATTTTTGTATAAACGTTTTGCGTTTTTATAGATTTTTTATCGTGTTTATGTTTTGTTTTCTGCTAATTTGTGGTAACAGCCGTTGGAAAGCAATGGAAGGTTCGAGCGTCGATCTGTTTCAAAAAGGTGTTTTTACGGAGTGAATAATTCAAGTGATGAAGTAATGCGCCTGAAGGAAATAAGGTGAAGGAACAGATATTCTGTAGCGGCTTGCGTTTGTCGGATCACGCTCATGGACAAATAAATATTATATACTGTACTAACAAATTTTCATCTTAATTGTAATTCCATTTCAGAGGATAAGTAAAATTGAATTTTAACAAGATACAGTAAAAAGTAAGAAGACTAAAAACGCTCAAGATGAGAGAATGCCGTTTCCGGGCTCGGCTGCTCACTTGTAATACGCAATCAATAATCTAATAATTCACATTAAACGATTAATTAACTAAATTAATTTTACAAGTTAGTTTAGATGCGAAAACTTCATCAGCAAAACCAAAACAGAATGTGGCTAACTGATCATGACCGCACTACAAAAAAAAATGGTCTGTTTGTTTATTGCAAACAGATTCCTAGTTATACTAAAATAAAAAATTAATAATACGTGGATTGTTATTATTAAATATGCGTTGTAAAAAGTAAAAACCGAATCGGGATACGAATTACAATTTACTTAACAGCATTTATGGCGGTATCCATATGCCAAATGACCGCTGTTCATTCACTCATTCAACCAAACGGCACGCCAAAGAGACCGTATGGAATGTGTCCGGAGGTGGTTTTAAAACTCACGCACACTCTAAAAGGCTAGAAATCATAAAATTGGGAACCACGGAATGAATTTCGGTTTACAGATGTTGCAGGAAATTTGTGATAAAGCCCGAAACAGCTACTATTTTACGACGACTTATTTGAGCGCTTGCTTGTTTGCTCGTATAATCCCACCTTAGCTTGTGGACATATAATTCCTTCACGTAACGGTAAGTTGAAGTAGTCTTAGTAGTGTAATGGAAATGCGACTCTTCATAAAACAGTCGGGAGTGCGCTCTGTAAGTCTGCAACTGACTGGTGAGCTTTCTGAAATGACGTGGAACTTTATTACATCAAGCTGATTCAAGCATGATTTAATTTCCCGTTTTTGTGAGTTTATTATTGGAATGTGTAAACAAGGTCTATACTCTTCAGAGTCCAGATAACGGCTCGCTATGGTTTTTTACCTTTTTTCCTGTATGATGGATTTGCAGTTTGCTCGTTTTTGGGGGTACAGTACCTGTGTGAGCTTATTGTTACTGTTAGGGGGTGGACTTGGGACCCTGCTGATTTGTTTCCAAGCAGATGAAAAATAAATTTTTTCTGCGTTGAAACAGCTGAGAGCCTGACACCACGGTATGCGTAATAATTTTTACCATTTTTGAATTTTTCGTAATTGAAGTATGTTCAAATGAAAAGAGATTGCACCGGCTTTCGAGGAGGCTAAAAATGTGCAGTCTTTTTTTTGTTTTCCGTTCTACCTTTATTCTCATTGTAAAACTGTTAAATACACGCTCACAGCTGATGCAGAACGTATTTTAGTTAAGCACGGGATGTAGTGTTATTATTACAGAATAACACAATATAGTTCCATTTTATGAATTTTCAGTACATTATCTACGTAGAACGGTAGAAGCGATATTACAAGTCAGTCGGAAACAGGAACTAATGTTTTCTTTAGAGTAGAAAGAAATACAGGACTGAAAAAGTGTCATGCACACATATGGAAGTACATACTAGTACATCAACTTCTTTGGGGTCAGACTCAGTAGTTCTACTTCTATCTAACTTGGTCTACATTTGAAATGAATGGATCATAACACAGAATGAGAATTTAATATTATTATGGTAAGTGTTCAGTTGTACCAATCGCTTCCCTGTGTATGACTGACGATATATTCTGATTTCTTCATTATTTTAATGTTTTACATTGTGTTTTACCGAAAAATCCATATCGCTGGACGCTGGGTATGATATGTGGACTGCATGCGAAAGTTCCCAAATCTTATCTTGAAATGATGCTTCCTTCGTTTCACAATTAGGCATTTGGTAAACGGGGAGTTACTTTAATCTAGATCAGATACTTTGTAATCGGTGTTTACATGTCCTAAAAGACTTGGCGGAACTGATATGCCATTGCTCACATGCAAGGGAAAACCTACAGCCAACAAAAGTTTCGCCGTAATTAGACCGAAGCAAACTAGGTTGTAACTGTCCGTCTGCTTAAGTACAGTAACTCTCTGTATGTTTTTCTGTATGGCCGTATGTTTAAGAATAAGCACTCGTAAACGGTAAATCGTAATTATGAATTTAAGTACACTTTACAACTTTAAATGTTTTTTTGCAGCTGTTGAGGCGACAATTTGCAGTCTTGGGATAAGACCATAAGGCGTGTGATCAGCCGTGGGAAAGTTTCTATGGCTACACGGCTAGTGTTGGGGTGAGTTCGATGCCTCGACGCACACGCGACTCGGAGAGTGACTTGTCCGACAGTGGCCATCCTCATCTCTTATTATCCAACGGTTTTCACGACATTCCCCTCCCCGATGTCATCATCTCCGACTCCACTCCCCTGTTGCCCATGTCGCAGCACGCGGCCATTTCCGAGCACTCCCCTCTTTTAGCGCACGACGGCTCGTCTGACCTGTACCCCCAGAATCCCCATCGCAACAAAATGGACCTGCACATTCCGCCGCGTCGCTTACACGAAAACTGCTTCCCCGATGACCCAGAATTCAGCAATATGGTCCGCGAGGTGGAGGCGGCCATTGAAAACGGCGTCCATCCCGATCGCGTGGCCCAGGGCAGTTCGGGCAGCTATTTCGTGAAGAACACCGACGGTCAGGTTCTGGGAATTTTCAAGCCTAAGAATGAAGAGCCCTATGGGAAGATGAATCCGAAATTTTTGAAGCTGGTGCAGCGGTGCTGCTGTCCGTGTTGCTTTGGTCGGGGTTGTTTGGTGCCTAATCAAGGCTATTTGTCGGAAGCGGGCGCGTCACTGGTGGATGAAAAACTCGGATTGGACCTTGTTCCCAAAACGAAAGTCGTCCACTTGGCTAGTCCGGCTTTCAATTATACCCGCGCAGAAAGAGCCAAATCCCGAGCGAAGAGAGATATTGTCGAGCACTTTCCTCGCATGGGAAAAAATTTTAAACGGTTGGGCCTCCCTTTTAAGAATGGCTCACTCCAACAGTTTGTCCGTGGCTTTAAAGACGCCGACTATTGGCTGAGAAAATTCGAAACGGAATCCATACTTCCCGAGACGGCAGCAAAGGAATTTCAGTTACAGTTTGAGCGTTTGGTTGTTCTGGACTACATTATCCGCAACACGGACCGTGGCAATGATAATTGGTTAATTTATTTCGAAAACGCCGATGTTGATTCCAGTGAAGCGAAGAAAATAACTGATGTTGATTTACTGCAGAATTCTCCTTCCGAAATCATCGAAAACAAGGAGACGGAATGGTCGATGGTAAAGCAACCCATAATTAAGATTGCGGCGATTGACAATGGTCTCGCTTTTCCATTCAAGCATCCGGATGAGTGGCGCGCATACCCATATTACTGGGCGTGGCTTCCGCAAGCTCGGACGCCCTTTAGCCAGGAAACAGTTGACTTTATCCTGCCCAAACTAACCGATCCCTCGTTCGTCGAGGACATGGTGCACAGTTTGGAGGAAATCTTTCGACAGGACCGCGGCTTCGAGCGTGTAATGTTCAGCCGGCAGATGGCGGTGATGCGGGGTCAGATATTAAATCTGCAGCAGGCTCTCAAGGATCGCAAATCGCCGGTGCAGTTGGTGCAGATGCCGCCGGTGACCATTGAGCGCAAGCGACACGGTGATCATGATTTACACCGGACGCACAGTGATTCTGGAAGCTATTTTCAGCAGAGAATTCAGGATCGAATGCCTTTTTTCAAGTGGTGTTGATGTTTGCATGGGAAACGTGGGTAAATTCGATGGGAGTTTGCGCTGTATGGCTCTTTTAATTTTATGGTGATTACCATTTTGTGACGCGTAATTGGGATTTGTAAGGGATTCGTTAGTGATTTGATGGAGCTTTTAATACAACTATTTATGAGTCTTTTTTTTTATTTTTACGTTATTGTGATTATTGTTTATGCGCATTTGCAAAGTCCGCGTTACTGCGGAACGTTTGTCTCATTTGTCTTGGGCATCACTGTTGGTGTTATTGTGCTTTAAAATGTAAGGTAGCCGTACATGGGCTTGTAGCCACCGGGAAGAAACGGACGACGGTAGTAAATTATCATTAATCAAAAAATCTGTTATCTTAATCGCTTGTTTCGTTATCGGAAACTAACCGAAGAGCCATTCTGGAGTTCACTGCATTTTCGTAACTTTAATTCCTCTGGAAGAGTGAAGATGAGTTGGTTATGAACGTTTTTATGAGCTGGAGCGCTGCTAAGCCTGCGACTGAGACTTAAGTGATTTGGCCCGGTACATGGTACCAAATTCGGACACATGCACGAAAACTTTAACTTTAGCGCACTCGCAAACACATTGTTGTTTTGTTTTATGAAATCATATAGCTACTCTAGATAATTTGTATACACAGGCGCGAAAACCGTTTGTGCGCGCAACATTCGGTTCAGGAGTTATGGTTGTTCGAAAATTCAAAAAGTTTAAATGCATTCAGGTGTACCATAAGTCTCATTATGGACCGATCTCCTTTAAATTTTGCACATAAACGCACATATCCATGGAGATCGTTTTGGTACTGAACCAGAGTTGCACCATTTTTTTCAAATTTTGAAATGAATTTCAAATATTTTATAATTCATTTTAAAATTTGAAAAAAAAGCTGGAACCGTGGTTCGGTACCAAAACGATATCCATGGATATGTTATGCAATAAAATTTAAAAGAACCTGTGCCCATAATGAACACAATACAAAACGTCATATGAACATATCTTTTAAGCGTACTTTCGCGCACTCCCAAACACATTTTTGTTTCGGTTTATGACGTTTTGTAGCCAGAAGATTTGTATACACTGGCGTGAAAGCCGCCAGCTTTTTTTTCAAATTTTAAAATGAATTATAAAATATTTGAAATATATTTGAAATATATTTGTTTTCGTGCATGTATACGAATTTGATACCATGTACCGGGCCAATTCCCTTAAGAGAGTTCATCATTTGCGGTCTGTTTTGCAAGCTGTTTCAACTTAACTAGAAAATTTGATAACCAAGACCAGACCCTACAGTAAGGTTCGTTTGATCGGCAAAAAAATTATTAAGATCATCGCGAAGACGCTGCAGGAAAATAAAAAAATGGGGCGGTGGCAGCTGTACTGTACTAACGCGTTGTAACGGTAGAGCCCCCAAACAGTATACTGTACTGCCGTATACGGCATACTGTACGGCACAACAGTACGTAACCGTAGTGAAAATTGGTACTGTAACGAAAGTGCCGTACGTAACCGTAAGCCAAAAACACGGTTTTACAATGGGCTTGCTAGAGCCCCCAAACAGTACCAAATTTTCGTACTGCTACGTACGGTCTCTGCTTGCGGCTCGTACGGTTACGGTACGGTTACGGCAAAAATTACCGAATTGACCGTACCGTATACCGTATACGGCAGTGCCGTATACGGCAATCCCATTGTAAAACCGTGTTTTTAGCTTACGGTTACGTACGGCACTTTCGTTACAGTACCAATTTTCACTACGGTTACGTACTGTTGTTGATATGCCGGTATACGGCTTACAATACTATGGCTGAACTCTATACGTATACGGTACTGCCGTATACGGTATACCGTACTGTCAATCCAGTTACTTCTGCCGTAACCGTACCGTAGCCGTACGAGGCGTAAGCGGAAACCGTACGTAGCCGTACAAAAATTTGTTACTGTTTGGGGGCTCTATGTAACGGTACTGTTGTAACACGTTGTAACTCGTACTCCCTTTCCCCCCTCAGATTGGCGGTCACTTGAATAAAAAACGGAAAACCACCGTTTGTGACTCATGAGTTTTGCTTTTTATGTTCTCAGTTGGATCGCTTCAGCTGCTCAGCAGCAAATACTGTCAGAAATAAAAATTTCAGTGTTTGTAATTTTGTTTACATTAGGAAATTCGTTAAAGTTTGAACTACCGAAACTGCGTGAGACTTCTGAGTGACTCTCATTGTTTTGTTACGTCGCGATTCAGAGAATTGACTGAGTTCGCTCAAAACAATGTCGAATCCAGCCAGATTCCAAGGTTTAGACGTGTTTTGGCAGCTGATCAAGCCCCAGATTCAGAACCGTCATGAAGCGAGCCTTGCGCTGGCCCACTGGCTACTCGTGGGAAGTGGTTACAAATGTCTCGGACACGAAACAGAGGTGAGATTTTTGTTAACTGCCGCTTATACTTAAAACTACCTCACCGTCAGATCAGTAAAATGAGTGGGAAATGACAACATTATTGATGAAGTCTGTCACTGATAACAGCTTCCTGCGGACAAAGATCCGTCAAGAGCTGCAACGGAGCTGCTTCCAACGGACTGGAATGATCGATCATCTGGGTTCTACTCGCTGCTTTACATCGGAAACAGTCAACCGTCGAAGATGATCCTGCTCAAACTTATCCCCGCTGCCAGCATTACAGATAACATCATTCTCGGACAAATTCTGGTAAGACGAAAAATTCTCTCTGAATGACGTACTTTTATAAAATAAGAGTGCAGTTTATATTTTGCAGAATTTACAGTAGATCGTCGTAGTAATGTAACTAGTTACTGAAGCACACTTAATAATATTTGTATATGACAGTGAATTACAGTGGCACAACTTTAAATTATACGACAGCCTCGTACTTGTACATATCAGTGTGAAAACCTGTGTAAGACTTGCAGATGCTCAACATTACTGTATGAAGTATGATACTTGAAGTGTCACGATATAGTATAAAATGCTGGAAATGCGGAGGTTCTCTAAATCGCGATAAAACACGGAGAAATTTTACTTCGCAATTTCTGATTATTTTCTCATAGGTGTCCGGTGGCGAGGAAGACGTGATCCCTTTTGAAGTGAATTCAGCCAGTGTTATTCCGGAGCAGTGGCAAGTCTACGCTTCACCCACGTAAGCTGACAGCTCAAAGCACGGCATATTTCATCGTCAATAACATCCCACCCGCATTACGCGGTGTTGATGTTCTGTCCAATGTAGGTCGTTTCCTCAATTCAAAACCTTCGTGGATACCATTGATAAGGATGTGATCGACAAACTGCGATCCACGAAGCGCGGCGCGGGATCGGGCACAGGAGCGGCCATGCCGCAGCCAACTGGGGTAGGCTCAGCCGACCCCACCGCGGCCCGCTTCATCCCCGTCATCCCGGCGATGCCTGCGCCGGCTGTTCCCGACCCCTTTGCTCCGTTAGCACCACCACCCTTGTCGGAATTCATTCCGCCCCGGTGCGTTTCCTTTACTATTGTTAGCGGTGTATTCTTTTCATTTAGCGATCGCGCATGTTTGATGCTGAATCTTTCACTCAGCGTGGTGTTCTCATTTGCAGCAGTGGGATTCTGCCTGGTGGCCTAGGCAGTCGTGATTTGGATCCTTTCCACGGAACTGGGGGAAACATATTCGGGCCTCGTGATATCTATCCGTAAGTTGGTCTCGGCTTGTTGGAGCAACAGTCCCTGTCGTTCACTTTTTACCCGTTACCGGAATAGTCGTCCAATTAACGCAAAAGCAAGTCAAAGTTGTGCATTTCAGTGGCGGCCTTCCCGGTTCCGGCGTTGGTTTTCCTGGTCGACCATATCGATATGACCCTCCAGGACCCCCCGAGTTTATGCCGGCACATCCTTTCGGTGATCCTTTGGGAACAGGGTCTTTTCCGAATCCACCCGGCGTATTTGGAGTTGGCCCGCGGATCCGTGGTCCTCGTCCAATGCGACCTTTCGAGTAAGTTTTGTGGTAGTAAAATGGTTGTCACACATTGAGGGGATTTTGGTGTACTTATTCCAAAATTTTTGTCAGTTTAGCTGGGTGAATTGTTTTTTGTCCTGCATTCGCAATAATAAGTGCGAAGTATGGTGCTAGTGTAATCCTTGAGCTTTGTCAAATGCTTTCCCTGTGTGACTATATCGTATTATTATTTTACTATGGCTGTACGAGTGTAATACTTACTCTTCTGTATGATACTGTTTGTAATTTTTTATAGACCGGATCCTGACCATATGCGCCCGCCACCTGGACCAGGCGATGATCCTGACAACATGTTCATGTAACTTTTTCATTCGGTGGATGCTGTTTGCAACGTACAGTACTGTTATAAGTAGAAGAAATTGCCAAGTAAAGTTTTATCCGATATTGGATTGACGTTTATGTTGCCGCGTACGGTGTGTTTTCTCATTAATTTTGTAAGTATGTCTTGTACGAAATAACTATGCACATAGGTCTTTCGGTAATATTTTATTTTTTTTACATGAATTACCGGCTTTGCTACCGTACTATCTATGTACATATGCCACGTAAATGATGAATAAAAGGTAAATGGAATATACTCTACTCTCTTTACCATGGTACTCGTACAGACTACAGCGCAAACAACAAAAACTGTGGTCGCTTTGTATGCTCAATCCCATTTTCTTGCACATTTCAAAACACCAACCAGCAGATCCAAACAACCACGTTGAACAAAGAAACGGCATGCTTTGTTTCTTCTGTTTTTGCGAAGTCTTCAGTCACTGTTCACCAACATAAAAAACACGGCCAAAAACATCTAATTAACCGACAAAAAAACACATAAACGGGTTCGTTTTTTTAGTTGATTTCCAAAAACTACACTTCTAAAAAATCGATCATCAATCAACGCAGCAGCACAAAAATATCACAACAATCGATGCACACCAAGGGCTCATCAAAAAAATCGCGTGAAAAAGGGAAAAGAGCGCCGGAAATTGGGCAGCCACAAAGAAATAGCAACTCTCGTCAAAAAAGAAAGCCATTAAATTAAAGCAGAATAAGGAAACCCTTTTTCTCTACCGTCACTTACAAAGAATCCGTCCATTTCCATCAGCTATGCCAATACTTAAGTACAATTTAACCGAAAAAAGACAGAATGCGCATAAGAAATGGTAAAGTTTCTGATGGGCCAAAGGTGCACACGCCTGGATCCGCAATGTTAATAAACGTCAGTTAATAGTTTAAAACTTCCTGCGGGGAGGTTGTTCAAGGTGGGGGGCCAAAAATGGGGGATTGAGACAACATAACCAACTAATGCATTATCACCCAGTAAAAACAGCAACAGGACAATTCACGATCGCATGTCCTTCGCTTGAATAATCGTTAAAATATTATTATAAATTACTTTTCTAGATAAAACGTCGAAAAAAACAACGCCGGGTTGCTTAGAAAATGCGAACGCTCATACAAGTCACAGACCCCCGGTTAGGGCTAAAAATTATAAGCCAGAAAAAAGAGGAGACGGATTTGTTCCACAGAGCAGAAGAGAGACGGTCAATATGTGTGGGTTGTGTGTGTGGATAGAAAACGTTCGTGACATCAGAATACATTTGCAGCCAGCCATGCAGTCACTGGACGCAACAATCATGCTTGCCATTCTTGCTAATCTTCAATCGGGACTTCGGACGGTACGAGTTCAGGTAGTCCAGTTGCTTAGCATTGATGGCACCACGCCGCTTACTGCAAAATGGTGCCCGTTCTTATTTACTTATATCATGGACAAGATGAAAATGTAAAATTAATTAATGGAATAAAGTGGCACTTAATCAAAAACCTACGGTGCGCTTATTCGAAGCTATTTAGGCCTTAGAGGTCAGTTAGAATTCTATTCCGAGGTCCCACGTTTTGATATAACGTTTATGATGTAGATATAACTTTCAAACTGCATTAAAAATTGTACGTGGATGAACGAGGTACAGTTCGTTATAAAATGCTTCAAACACTATACAGCACAATATTAATTTCCAGAACAAAACCAAAACCTTCACTCACTTGCGAATCAATTCAACAGCATCCTCACTGGGCATTCCGAGTTCAATCAAAGCAACAGCCACAAGAACTGGCGCTCTAAAAGAGACGTTATTCGTCAAATGAAAAATGCTGTACGTTGTAGACTTGCAGTACTTGCTTTGCACCCACAAAAACGCTTTCTTACCTTCCCAAACCAGCAATACAATGCACAGCAACACATGCGTCGGGATTTTCACGGAAGCGCGTCTTCAACAAATCGAACCAACGGTTGAGAATGTCCTCAACCGGATACGATCCATCGGGAAAGAACCAATCCTGCACACAATCAGACAAGTTTATTACAGTACCTCAGTCACACCAGCCGATCATGAAAATGTAAGTCAAAACCGCTTATCCACGATGAAAATCTAACGGTTTAACGACAAGCACCAATTACAGCCAATAAAGTTAGGTCATTTTCACGGAAAAAAGGGAGCGCGCTCACTTACCCACACCTGAATCCCGGCCTCCTTTAGCTGCACCGTCTCATATGATGGCTCACACACACGCACCACATCAGTCACGCCGTGCTTCTTCAGCTCCTATGCAACCCGACACAAAATCAATAACAACACAGTCAGATGACTCAAAGTACCGGGAACGACTGCCAACTATACGCGCCAGAACTTTGCGCACACAAATATCTATGCACGTCATCATCCCTTCCCTAATCAACCACATGACCATCCAGGTGACCGATTGATTTGTGGCCGACAAAAAGTCGTTACAAAGCGATGCGTACAATTAACTGAGATCTTCCATCAGAAAAATCGTTGGCCTTGTCTCGCTAAAGCAGCCCGCCCTTTCCTTTTGTTACTCAGACAGCGCAATTTACAATGAATGCTTATAATACCTATGAACTTGGAAAAATCATCAAGATTCCAATTCTTTAATGCCAAATCTAACAAGTGTTACCTGGAGGTATGTCTCCATTGTTGCATCCGATGGTCGATCCGTTATGAGAAAACGGAATCCCTTGGATGCGATTTCAGCTGGTGCCGGAGGTCGGAAGCGAGCCATTTTTGTTTTTTCTTTACAAACCAAGTAACTGCAATAACAGTTTTCTTTCGCCAACCGTCAAACACAAAACAAAGAGAAAAATAATCCTTACTTTCAATGAACTTTCGGCAGGGAATAACAATCGACGAGTCACACTACATGCACCTGAGCAAATGGACAAAGTATTCACAGAAAATGTAATCCCAACAAATCTTGCGTCTGAGTGTCCGGAACACAATCAGCCCCAATATGGAATAATACCCGCAGCGTAATCCAACAATCACCCACACGAAGATATGGGATACGTGTAAATAACGAACAAAATATCGCAGGATGTTCACAGATAAAATGTAAACGTCTGCACTTCTCTCCCGCAAACACAATTTAAACTGAGCAGGGAAGGAAGTCAGAGGTCCAACACAGATCGAGACAAAAAGGATGAGAGAAGCTCAAATCACTATATCACAAATGAAGACAATACGAAGAGAAAACTGCCAGATTTCTCCCACAGTCCCTGGATGTCGTTATGGGGGACGCAGGCGTGGTACTGCAAATGTACAGCTTTAGATTCATCTGCATTTTTGCTAACATCACGCATGCAGCTACTTATTTCGAAGACATTCTTTCAGACAGCCCTAAATAACAGCGGAAGTTCGAAATGCAGAGCGTAAAATCACTTACGTAAATTGGCAGTTCGGAAATCAGTGCAGTCCGTTCGAGGGAATACAGACTGTCCCTCAACGTAGACTGGCCCACACAATGCAATTACGGTCCAGCGTGCTGTGCCTGGCAGATGTCCTGAGACAGTCGGCTTCCAACAGGATGTTCGACTACGACTCGGCCGAATTCTCCAAAGAACTGCAACCAACAACCGTATCTTCACAACACTGAGCAAACACGATCCAATTTTCCAATCCAAACAAACTACCTGTATCACTCCCATTACGCACTCTCATGCTCCCAAGTATATCAACATCGATTTAAGCCAAAGAAAAACCAATACAACTGCCTGTACATTACACATACTTCAGAGTAAAAAATAGCTGCACCTCTCCTGCTGCTTGTGGCAGTCTTCGAATTCACTAGGTTACGATGCACAACCCAAACATCTAGATCTTGCAGGATACGTAAAGGTCATTACAATGACAACGATGATGGTAATCAGGCATGCAGACCGATCGATTGGCCAAACAATTGCAACAAGTTCAAGGTACAGCCAACACCGACTGACGAGTTCCATGCGATCGCCTTAAGGTTTTGCTGCGAACTATGTACAAACTTGGCTTGCCGACTGCTTTTATCGGAAAATTGCTTATGGCCGTACTAGTAATCGCAAGAAACAAAGATTTTCTGCATTCCAATGTTTGTTCGAATTACCAGTGTTGGTACATGTCGAAATGCATACGATATCCACTTTCACTTACTACTGAAATACGGCATAAACTGGGCTAGGCGCTAGTAAATGTCTAATTTTGCAAATGGACTGTAATTTTGTACCTAAAATTACAATTTTTGTTCTCGAAATAAAAAAAAACATTAATCTCGAATTCCTTGGTCTAACTAACTATCGAATGCCATTATGCCAGCACAGAAATGTTTACGGCTCTACAAATGTTTACATCAATAAAAAACTAATTCAGGTTACGTACCTCTGGCAAGTTCGAAATTTCAAAAAAACAGACCTAAACAGTGTGCACGTATCTATCGTACTGATTCGTACAAACAAGAAAAGGAGTTATACACGATGAAAATACCGTTAGATATTGACATATACTAACAGTTTTCACGGCCATGGTCATCTCCATCAATGTGCCAGTGAGTTGCCTCAAACTTTAAAGCTTATTACCCCAGCTGCCTAGCATCATAATTTAGTGAGGATTCTGGCGTGAGAATCCGAAATCTTCTGTGTGCGTCTATATTTATCTACTATAACAAGAATCAGAATTTACTCACAGTACAATATTGCACAGTAAAACGCATTTCGTCAACATCACGCGATCATCGGGATGCATATTAGGCGACTATTTTAGCATTTTTATGCAAGCCGGCATTTTACGATTGCCCTTCTCAACAGTTCCTCCTAACCGATTACCATGCCGTATATCTTCACACGTTCAACAGGGAGAGCTAACGAAGAAATGCAAACAAGAAGCGCAGCTTCCGGCAGCAATTTTTGAAATAATATAATAAGTAAAATTTAACGTATTTCCGATGGCGATATAAATTAAAAGCCGAGAAAACGATATTTCTGGAATAATACAGGCTCTATAATTAAACTTAGGAAGGAATACTAACCTAACCATAAGTAACAATCGAAACCGGCGGGATGATTAAATTTGAGTTACCCCTTACCGCCTTACGTCCCACAACAAGCAGTCAATTCGTAAAATTGTATTAATTAACAATAAAAAATAATTTGCGTTAACAGTAACAATGTTATAAATGTTAGAAAATGTTACCAACGTTATTATAACACTGACAACAGTTTAGAACATGTCTGTAAAAAAATTTCTTTCATCGACGATTCGGTTTCGACGCAAAATAACGAAATGACGCAATCGCTTACGCTAAACAGCAACGAGAGCCAGACATTGCATTGCAGGCTGCACTATCTTGTCGGCGACTGGAATCAAATGAGGTCACCCATTGATTGAAATTCAAAGTCGGCATCGACGGCATGTCGATACGGTATGCCAACTCCCGGAAAGATTTAAAGAACGAATAATACGGTAATTTCTTGTACCCAGATCACAGCAAAATCAAAAAAAATCGAGATGCAAACAGCATAAATACAATTTTGGGGGTTCTAAAGGTTTTCTGAAAATTCCGAATTCCCAAAGTCTACGTTTACGAGAGATTTCCTGGGGAAAGAAGGAATAAGGATAACCTATCAGTCTATCACTTACCCTAGATGTCACAACAGAAACTGGATTATACATACCATTCGCATGATTTCAACAACAAACCAGAGTTAGGTTTTAAACAATGCACACGTTGACTGTCTTAACAAAAGTACGAACAAAAAAATTAAATAACATATTCTTTCCCACTGCAAAAATGGGTATCTCCTTCTAATTCATAGTAATGGCAATAACGGATACACGAACAATGTATCGGTAAACAGTAAATGCTAAAAGCTAACAGCTTACTTGCTTTATATTTCAGGCCAAAATTGAAAATAACTAAATAAGAAAAATGACTTACCACAATACAGCTCATTGATCAGCGTGGAAAGTATGTCCCCAAGAAACGCCAGGGAGGCGAATTATCCGATCAAAAGGCAAAAATAGAAAAACGATCAAAAGTGTCCAGAATTTGTTAAATTGCTGGCAGGTAGTTCAACAAGAACTGTCTCATGAACCAAATTCTGAGAGCTCGCTACTTGCTGCAACAGCATAAAATTTAAAGGTCCGTAGACCAGCAAAATTAATACGACTGCGTAGTCGTCGCGGGAGGAACGAACTGCATTTTCCGCACGACACTTTCCACATTTTAGGGGGCGGAGTTAGCTGTCGTGTCTAAGCGAATGAAAATAGCAAAAGCGCACAAATATGAACGGGTACGGGTTGGCTTATCGTCTCGAAATCGCGGCGCGGTTTCGACGTCGCGTTGCAATACGACTCGGCTCGAGGTGACTCGAGTACATCTTGAACCGAGAGAAGCAGAAATCGCCAAAACGAAGAACGTGCGATGTGGCACCTGTTTTCCGTATTAAAGGCTAAAGCATAAGTGTATTTTTGTTGTTAATCAGTTACAGTACTTTACCGTGCTCGTACATATAATTTTTCATCCATACTTATCTTCGTTTTAGTTCGCCGAAGACTTTTGGCAGGTATTTTTGAGATATTTGCGTGAGAACATAAGGAGGAGCATACTTATTATTTTATTTCTGGGGATTTGTAAAATCATTTGTTCTCGTTTTTTTCTTCAGAATCTCTTATAAGTTTTCATGCCTGATCCGGCTGATTGCTGAATAATCATTGGGAATGGGGAGCCATTTGCGGGACGTATTAATGTCCTGCTTGATGATCCTTGCAGTAAGTGCCGCAGTCTGCTAATTTGCATTTGATAATGTGATCGACTTCAGTTTCATTGTACAGGATTCATTTTTCTGGTGTCTTGCTTTATTTTAATATTTTTGTGAATTTTTAGGGATCCACCATACCATCTATGGTCCATGCGAGTGGTGTTTCTTCCCAAGAGCACTGCCTGAGCTTGGGTTTCCACTCCAACTCGCTTCTGTGTTCATCTTGTGATAAGTTAACCGAATTCGATTTGGAAGAAGAATTAGGAGCACAATGTCGGAGTTGTTGTAAATCCGACGAAGAAGAAGAGGCTGCCGTTACGGTGATAACAGTACTCGTATACTGGTTACTGGTTTGCTTTTTATAATTTTATTCAATTAGTTTATTTTTTATTCTAATAGTTCATGCACTCAACTTTTGTATAGAAAAAACTAATCGATATGCTAGTTTTATTTTAACAGTGAAATTTATTTTAACAGAAATTTGCAAGCGCTGTGATCGAAGTCTGTGGGTGAAAATTGGGCCGCTATCCTCAAGTGCAAGGTGAAATACTACATAAATAATATTTTGCATATAATATGTACTCTGTATATATATGTATGTGTACTCTGTAAATATATATATAATTTGGTTAAATATTTTGCATGGGCCTGTTAAAATAGTGAATTGCTGTTTAGTCTGCTTGACTTTAAGTCACGTTTCTGTATGCAGCTTTCATAAAAGGCGAAAAGATGCAGAGATTCCCAACCCTGAGCGTGAAGTACGTTCGTGGTGCGGATCCCAGTGTAAAGGTAAGTAACACTAATCTTAATTCCCAGTGTAAAAGTACTTATTGTTAGTATTGGTGGTTCAGCCTGCGCATTAAATGCTGTAATTTCCTGATGCATAGTCAGTATACTACGTACTGTGCTGTTTACACTAGTACAGGCAGCTCCGGTTTTTTTTAGCTGTATAACGAGGATGGCACTGTGGCCCAAAATTTAGGAATTGAGAAGTGGAACACCGATACCATTGAGGAGTTTCTTGCTGACAAGCTTCTGTAAATCTTGCTGAGCCGATGGATAACTGCATTTATGAAGGCGGTTTTGCAAACCTGATGGGACAAATCTGCTGGATGCTGTGCAGTTCTTACCAGGCATATTTTGCATGCGTGCGTCATTTTTCATCCCGACCACCTCATCTCAGTGTCAGCTCTCTACTATGTGCGGCACCAGGAAGAGACGTTGGACAGAATACTTCTAGAATAACCAGCAGCCCGTTATACGACAAGCGATTCCAGTGCTACTTGATCTTTCTTTTTAATGTCTTCACCGTTTCGTCCAAATTTTATTTGTTGATACACGTTGCCATTTTGCAGTAATCTTTCGTTTGGTATCGCAACAGGTTGTGATCGCGTTTTACTGATACCGAAAAATGCTTACGCCTCCAGTAGCGTCGTTTGAAAATTTTCAGAGTTCGTATGTGTTGATGGGGTGGCATCAGTTCTTCCGGAATTTTGTTCTTCAGTCATTCATAGATGCATTCGATAAAACGTTTGGAAAATGCAAACCGGCTGTAGCAACCGTCTGCCAGTAATAACGCATAGTAACTTACTGTAGGTACGAGTAAAAAATTTCGGAACTCATAATTAAGTGAATCATAACAGCTTATCACAATGTTGAACATCAGCAATTTAGCTTATTGCAATTACGAATCGCCGGAATCGGAAATTTTGGATTCAATAGTCGTCCTGGAAATATGGTAGTTTTGTGCTAGCCTCCATTAAATCACAATATTCCTGCACTGCATTGTTTTCACATCACAAGAAACGGATGCTCGAGCATTTCCGCTGCCGTCCTTCTGTCCACCGGTTTGCGTTGCAGGCACGAGCGAACAAAATCGTTGGCTTCGGAGGAAATATCGGTCGGAATGTCCGGCAGCCCGCCACTTCCAACGAAAAAGACAATCTGCAGACCATGCAGCTCTACCGCTGCTCGCCCAGTTTCCCGTCTGTAGTAGCGTGGATGCGTTCCGGTTAGCAGCTGGATGACCACACAGCCCAGACTCCAAATGTCTGTTTTGCGCCCGATATTCCAGTCCGTGTTGTCTATTTCTCCCAGCATCATTTCCGGTGACATGAAGTCGTGGGTGCCCTTGCTGTGCGAAACCTCATTCGGCTTCGTCACGGCACTTTTTATCTGCTTATAGTCGCCCAAGTCGGCTATTTTGATGGTGCAGGTGGGCAAGTCGGAGCTGGACAAGAGAATGTTACCGCTTTTGATGTCCCGGTGAACGATGCGGTTTTCGTGAAGGTACTTTAATCCTTCGCAAATCTGCCGCGTCCACTTTTTTGCATACAGTTCTGGGTTGTAATCCAACCGTTTCACCGCGTTATGAAGCGTTCCTCCTGCACAACAAAGTTAAGGCTTTCCTGTGGGTTGCAACTGATGGCATGCTTTTCAAACATATTAATGCAGTTAAAATTATCGGTTAAAGTACGTAGGTATTATACAGTACCCGTTTTAAAATTTTCTATCACAGGAGCAACATCAACCAGATGTACACTGGACTACAGAAATTATTAATGGTGTTAAACAGTTAACGCACACCCACTCGTATGCATACTTTAGCGCTATAGTTGCGCGTATTAGCACCACCATTCTCCTTTACGAAGTCCACTGTATTGTACATGTAGTGTAAATATATACATATAATTCATATAAATATTATTTTACCTTGGCAATATTCCATTAGTACACAGTAACAATCAATAAGGACACCGTTATTGCTGAGGGGCAGCGATCGGGTCTGAAGTTGCAGATGAGGCACCAAATTTTCATGGTTTAAACCAAGAATAACTTTTAATTTCAAATCCAGTTCGGAAGTTTTTTCTGTTCTAGAGGACGCATCTGCCGGGAGCAAGATGAGCTTAACGGCAATGGTCTCTTCATCAGTGGGAACACGGTCAGTCCTTCTGGCTTTGTGGACTTCACACGATGGTTGTCCCCGCTCGATTAATTCAATTAATTCGAAGGGGATAAAATTCTCCACAGTATTTGCCATAACTGCAGGTGCTATACTCTTGATCTCAGATTAAGAGGCGGAAAATTAAGGACGACTTAAACGTCTTAAGTAATATTATCACTATTTCCTGTAAGTTATGTCTGATGTGGTATTTTTTTACTCGCGTTCGATGCAACCATGCGCGATATACGAAATTCTGTATTCCTACAATATGTCTTAGGTTAGATTATGATTGTGAATGCAAAATATTGTGTAGAGGACCTATACATTCAGGTAGAGGTACCGTTTTCGCGTTTTGTACTTCGTACTGATTGCACCGTGCAGTATCCTGAAGTTGCAAAATTAAGTACTGACAAAATACTAGCGTTTCGCATCTGCCACCTACTCATAGTAAAAAGCTAACGGCATGTCGAATGGGAGCCGGGGCGCGGAACGCCGCAGACAACAATTTTGTTTATCGGACGACTTCGCAGTCACCGTCAGTGAATAATTTGTTCACCAGTGCCTATCGAATTTTATGTACGAGGATAGATTTCCTGTAGAAGTACTTGTACTGTAAAACACAGCTTGTGCCTTGTATACGCACAAAAGTGTACCTACTTGTACTGTACTGCTGTTGAAAGTTCTAATGCTATAAGTTTCCGGTTTGTTGTAACAAAGTTTTGGTAAGGATAATTTGATGCGACATGGCGAGAGAGATTGCAGTGCAATATTAACATAATAACATTATTGGGCATTCTGTATTATGCGACAGTAGTAGTAAGTTATAGCTGCAGGCGGATTGATGCATTAATAATTATATTACCGTATAACAATTTTATCGCAAGCATATTTTATAAAATTTTGTAAAAAGTTTTAATGCTGCCGCAGGCGCTTAAGAAAGAAGTACCAAAGGTATTTTGGATATTTATGGCGTTTTTTGCCTTCATTGGTTTGCTTGTTGCTCTGTTTCGTGCGAGATTGAGAATCTGAGATGTTTCTTTGCTGCTGGGGAACTAGTGCGCTTACCTGGTTAGTCGAAATCATATCTACGAGAGTACGAGTATCTCTACAGTTACAGTGTTAGGACATGAATTTTCCTCCCTCCCGCCCTTTCCCATGTGCATTGTACAGATATTGCTTTTTTGCTTTTGATTGTAGTTCTTGCAGTTGTTCATTAATGTTGCTTATACAGAGTATGTTTGTTGTTTATCAAAAGCGAGCTGACGGACCTGCGCGCGTCCAGAAGCCTTCCAGTTCCGCCGGAACTATGCGGCAAAATTATGCTCATGTTTTCATGGCCGACATAAAGCACAGTCAATTAAATTTACTCTGCATTTCCGAATTACGTCTATCATTCTGCTTCACGCGGAAAAGCGTAGCTCCTTTTGCTTGTTAGTGTCGTACAACTTTTTTCTCATAATGTAGTTTCTCATAATCTATTTACACTAGCTAAATATATATTTGGTTAATTGTTTGTATTAATACAGTACAATCCTGCTAGAGCTACATCTGATATGCATACATATAAACGCCAGATACAGTATCGATAGCGCTGTGCTGCATGGCTGAAAATTACTCCACGAGTAGCTTATGGTAATTAAAATGTTGATTTTACAAAAGTGCAGGCGTTCCGGTTAACTGACGGCTTTCAAACCTTCGTAGTTTTTGTGCTCAATAAGTATAGCTTTTGCGTGCCGTATTAACGATATCGAAAAGTAAAAGAAAAGTAAAGTTAATATCAGAAAGTCAAAATCAGAACCAACTAAAACAGCTTTTTCATACTCGTACACGTGCTGTAGCTTGCGTTACCACTTTCCGTTTGGAATCTAAATGCTGTTACGTATATAAAATTTGACGCATTGTTGAATCAAAGATTGGCAATTAACAAATAAGTGATTATAACCAAGACCGATAAACAGTTTTTTCTTCACGTTTTGAATGCAGACGCTGGGTAAAGTAGTATCATCAAAACAGTTAATTAGGATATACGATTAATAACGTCGGATGTTATGAAAGTTAATGAAACGAAGGTGTGCTATATATGGGAGTATCGACAGATTGTTCTCCAATCTCCAGCACCGCGCTCATGGAGTACGAGCGATTGAATGAACTTTCGTAACGATAAAGTTAAAGAAGGAATGTTCATTCGTTCTGTAATATTTGAGTGGTGTTCTACTTCTTACCAACGTACTAGTACTTCCACTACTTTTTACGAAAGCATTCTCGTCGAATGGGCTAGAAAATAAAAAATTAGCAATTACGGTGCTGTATTACAGTATATGTGTCAGACTTCAGTCACATAGTCTGGGAGAACCGGAGAAAGACGGATTTTCATTAGAAGTACGTTTTCTGCATGTAAGCGGAAGAAAGTACGTTTTCTGCATGTAAGCGGAATATCGGTATAGTGTCACCCTAAAAGCGCTCTACAAAGTGCACATAGAATTTGAACAGAAAATTTACGATTTAATACAAAATTAATTATATATCTAGTATCAAATTTGGTAGTAAAACATACCCAGCTACATGCAGCAACTTCTTGCATGCAACCGACAAGCCATGGTCATGTCGATGTCGCGTACAACCATACAAATTTTTATTAATGACTATTCATAATTCGCGCTCTTGAAACGGTAATATCCGGTAAATAAAGTCGACAGTGGCGGTGACCTTATTGAGGCGCAACTGAATGCGCCACTGTGGAACACCGCAGACAAGTGGGTTAGCAAATGGGTGCAGTGTAGAAATGAAATTTTAATAAGTCCTCTGGGAGAATGGTAATCGCCCTTGTATCAGACGCGGGACAAAATGAATATGCAATAAAATTCCATATACACCCATTGTTCCTCCTGTCCGGTGGGCACTTATATTCGCCAGTGAAAACACCCAGAATTATCCCATAGCACACCCGGCGCATTGTACAGCCCATCCGTCAATAAGCACTTCAAACTCCATCAGCATGATTTGAATTTGTTTCACGTACACACCGTTCTGCCGTTAAGCGTTCTCCCATCTGTTACTAATGGAATTCTTAATTGTATCACTAGCACCATGTTTGCATCATATTTCTAATGGTCATATCCACACTTAACTGATCACTGGCCAATGCAACAACTCAAATTAAGTTCAATATTAGCCGGTGCACTTGATAATAATTACGATATTATATATGTCGGCTGACTGTAGCGAAATTAATATTGACAACGTCTGAAAATGTCGAAAGAACGTAAGAAATGATCATCGATGATCACGAATATTAACCTGCGACTGCACTAAACGGCATACTACAAATTGCTCTGTATTTTTGGCCACGTGTCAATAAAAATTAAATGTAACATTCAAAGTACTGTAACTTACTTAATATTTATTGGCTTTAAATTTTAGCACTGGCTTATCGGCGCTTCAACGCAGCTGGTGACCAGCGCTGAATAAAATAGAATGTGGTATTATTGTACAAATTTACAATCTATAATCCATGTAAGAACAATGTCCGCAGATGATAAAGATTACTCGTACATACTCCCCCCATGGCTTAAATTATCATCGATAGTTCCCAGCGAAGCCTGCTTCCCGCAGCCGTTTCGTCAATCCACAGTCAGTAAAGTCAATCCATAATAGCGCTACATATTGTATTACAGAGGAAAAGCATAAAACGTCTTCAAAAAAATTTGAAATTTGTGTCCTTAAAACAAAGCGTTTGCAGACGTTCATAGCCTAACATTCCGAGTGAGCCCTTTGAGTAGTTTATTGTAGCTAATAAATAATAATATTGAATACGAGTACTGTCAATATACTGACGCAGCCTGCGAAACTTCGTCTGTTGTACCGATTGTAGCCTTATAAACGCTTCCGTGCGATCGTTTTTATACATGTAATAATTAATTTTGTTATCTACAGGACCGCTTTTGTCACATATGTATATGTACAAGTTGTTTCTAAATTTACAACTGCACTCCTGCAAACTACTTTTGCCGTTTGGAACTCAATACTTGGAATATAAATTATTACGAGCCGGATGTGCAATAGTTATTACGAGCCGGATGTGCAATAGTATGGTAAGTGCATTCAAATTTGCGGTCCGGGTTGACAACTGCAACAAACGCAGTCTGCAGGTATACTGCAATTAAATTTTTTTGTTGCTCAAACCGCTGCTGAACAGCGATAAAGTATAATTTTTGTGGCTTTCTTATCCAATCGGCACATTTTTGAGCTGCTCAGTGCAGCTTAATGTAGAAACTGACTAGTTTTCTCAACACAAAACGGCCAATATTGATTTTTCTCCCCAAAAGGAAAGTGTGATCATGTAAAGAAGTCATTTATGTAAGGGAGTGAAGTCAACTAAGGGAACAATTATGACGGCCTGATACTGGACGCCACACGCTGTACATAGCCGGGAGTCTGTTATTATCCCTCAAACAAGAATAGGCAGCCAGTTTTTCTTGCCATTTCCCTCTTTTACGTATTGTTGCCCACTGAAAACATTGAGGCCAAGCTGTGGCTGGCTCAACAGTCAGAAAGCAATCAAAAGACTGTCAGAATGGGTCTACATTTTAATTTAGACTTGCAAATATCCAAGCGTTTAGAAGGGAATGGAGCCTGTTATAATATTAACGTACTTATACATAACATCTTTACATCGACATATAGACTGGCATACGTGCTACAATACTGACGCGGTTATGTATTACAGTTTACACCACTTTTTTACCATGCAAATTGTTTGAGTTCGGACTCATTACGTTTTGCGCTTGATTTAGTTGTTGTTCGGGTATAAATGGGTTTTTCTTCAGCCGGGAAAAAAAACGCTGGGGACCCTATGATTAACTGCTTCCTTATTCAATTGTCGACAATATATATGGCCATACTGCAAGTCCGGAGCAGATGTTGGCCGGATGATAAAAATTATCCCACGAGATTTCACTCTCGGCAATGCCAAACCAACTGCTCAAATACTTCCGGACACTGTCAAACAATTACAACTTTTTTACACACAACTCAAGATGTTTATGAACAGGGTATTGAAATAATGCCGATCGGCACAGCAATCCATCATTACAAACCGACCATCAAGTGAGGCTTTCTGCTTGCAATTGCGTAACCTTAGTACAGCTTCGATCTACCGCGCAGCTGCAGAACTGGCTTGCGCTTTATTTACATATTCAGCCCAGAAATGACTGACAATTAATTACGTTACGTCTATCTTTACATAACATTCAAATCTTACAGTACCTCATTATCCTTTCTTTAATTTCTGAAGCCTACAGTTTATATGTCTGTCCAGTATATATATACAGAGTAATGACTTCTGTTGTTGTGCCCGCTAATTAGACAGCGCCGTGTGATCTAGCCTTACTCCGGTATATATATTCCGGGTTATTATTCCTAGATCTGGGTTTTATAGAGGACTTCACTGGACACATCAAATTTATTACTTGACTTTCCATTGAACGATTATGCATCTGAGATTCTGAGATACTGTATGTTGCAGTACGTACGTATACGCATTGCTAAGCGCATTAATTTTTCTAGTACAGTTTGTAAGCCTTCAGAAATTTGAGTACTTTTTTGAAAATAATTAATCTGATCCAAATTAAAAGGGACATCGACGCTTTCTGGTACGATTAAGAAATGCTGGAATCTGTACAGATCTATTCCGCACAGTAATGAACAACACGCGTACTACTGCTTTCAGCTAATATTATTGCCGATAACGATCCATAAACTTGGACAAAATTAAAAGCAGATAAACTTCACATTAATTTGACTGCAACAAGTGCACTTGGTAGAATTACAAGCCGCAAAATCATAGTTAACTATGGCAAAACTTGTGAAATGTCCAGATGTAGTAAAATCACATTGTCAAAGTGTCAAAATTTGTTGTTGCACAAGCCATTTCATAGGACATTCTCAAACTTTTCCATCACAGACTTAGTTAATATGTGCTCTAAAAACGATAGCGATATACAAGGAATGTTGACACAGGATCGCTGACTTTATCTGGCGAAATTGTATTTGAAAGTACAAATCATTCGAAGGCTACATTGGCAGGCGTGTTCTGCAGTGGAGCGACGTTATAAAATTACACGCAACTTATCCTTGTCACTCTTGATTATTTAAAATAAATTAGCCTGTCTGGACGATATATGCTGGCCATCCCCCGGGACCACGCTTTACACAGGCTGGATGGTCCGGATTGGAAAATGTTATCACTCCATCAGGCTGCACCAGAATTAATCATATTTAAACTCCACAGTCTTCACCGGAAACTACAAGAAATAGGTCGCCGCTCATATGTGCAACCACATGCATCTGGGCATGCACGTGTGAACATGGGCAGCTTTCGTAGAACATGGGCATTTGTGCCTTCCATTGCCTTTACCGTTCATTTTATTTTATGCAACACCTAAAAAAGATGGTTTCATTCCGTATTCGTCAGGCAAGATTCTCTTGTGACTTTGAACTTTGAAAGTTGAACAGCACACAGCGAGGTTCTTTAAAATCAGAAACTTTTAAGAGCTACAGCGCATATGTATGTTCTTGTACCTCTGTATACTGGTATCTATTGTACAAGGTGCGACGCCGGCATTCGTATCCATGCAATACAGGATACTTCAGCTGCCTGCGCTGAGTACGAGTTCTACATTCTAACAGAATCTAATAAAAGGCAAAAGCCCATTCACCAACAGTATAATTTGCTTGTCTTTTCAAAAGCCCAAAAAATCAGATTTACCTGAGCACAGTAAAAACTGCTTGTATTGTTTTTGATACCTATTACAGAAACGTTTTTTTCGCATACCGAATTATTGATTGCCGGCACAGCCACGCCGAACATCCCCATAAGGTATTTGATCTGGATACTTTTCTTTTGCAGCTTTGCCAAATAGCCGTAGCGGCAAGTTTGCATTTCCTGGTTTTTCTGCACGTTCGCCTCGACGAACAAACACGGGATACGATGGTGGATTCAAGATAGAGTTCGTTTATTATTAAAAACAATTGCCTGGCGCGCGGTACGAAACGCGCTTGCCACACTTTGGCAAACTAGTTCGCTGACCTTTATCCCACTCCTGTCCTGCCCGACCAGGCAAACGTTTATGTTAGTGCACAATCAAAACATCACCGGCTTTTGTGGTTTGATTGAATTCTTCTTCAAACCGCGCATCGCGGCGTGGCCAAATAAATGGATTAGGCAAAAAATCAATAGAAACTGGCTAAAGAAATGTGAAGACTTTCATACATACTGTATTTATATTCGCTAACCGTTGCATATGTCCGTGATTGTAAAAATACAATAATTCTCAACATTTTTTTATAGTAGTATTGTACCATTTTTTGTTCGCAAAGGTGGAAAGAGATCGGTTGTCCAACAATTCCGTAGCACCGCCTTTCTCGGTGGGCGGTAACCAATCAGATAGCGCGCCAGGCGGAGCTCTGGGCGCCACTCGAATTAGCGGTAGCACTAGCTGTGAATAGGGAAGTGTGTGAAACTGTGAATGATGGGAAAGCTTAATTTTCATTTACTACGCCGCGAAGGATGCCTTTAATATTTCGCAACACTGGCCGGTGATTTCTCTCTTCGTTTATTACACTAAAAAACCGCAAAATGTGCGTATAATCGAAAAGCCGTGTAGTGATTTTGCGGAGACCTTAATTCATCTCTCCATCGTAAATTAATTCCGCGGCCGGATAATCTGGCTCCCTTGAGATCAGTGGACAACGCACAAATGGATTTCCTCTGCTGTTTCAACAACAGCACCAGCGGCAGCCAACTGCACGGATTATTAATTTCTCATCCATTTTCTTTTTGATCCATCTTCCACCAGCCATATTTCACCAATTGGGAAGTGAGTAGGGTTTTTTTCGCGGGGTTTATTTAGTCAACGCGGCACGGCGGCGCGGAGTGTGCGTGTGTATGCCTGTGCAGAGTGTGCGGCTTTTCCACTCAATTACGTGATCGGCCAGTTCGAACGGATGTGCCGGGGTGCGTGGGGGGTCCATGTTCATCCGTGCTGCTCGACATGACCAACTGCCAACTGGATCCCTCATTGGCCTTTTGTTGATCAGCTTCCCAGCTGGCTGCTGTGCTTGGGAGCGCGGGTTTGCATACCTGGAGCCGCTGATTAATCACACGCCGGCTAAGCAACATCTCTCCTAATTTTACATTTTCTGCACCGTAGAAAGTGGCGACTGAATTGACTGTTTTTTTAAGCATTCCGTCCGTCAGTCAGTGCAGTGTGCGAACCGGCAGCCGGGATCGGCTGTAGCGACATGATGGATGCTGCCGGGTCGGATGTGTTGACCGGAGTCATGCGACGATGCTGGATACAGATTGGCTTTCGCCACAGTTTACTTATCATTGTGTACAGTCTATTTTGGAACTGTTTGATCTCAGGTGAGTTGACCATTTCACTGCTCGAGATGTGTATTGTCCATGCAAATATTCCAGATCCTGCCAGAATATTATTTGCAGTTGTGGACAGTCATCTGCACTTTAACTTCTAAATAAATCCAAAAACTTCAAAAACTTATTCTGAATTAATGGCGTTCGTTTTTGCAGTAACTATTCGATATTGATGAGCGTGTACTGTTCATGCGGTAGTAGACATTACCATGTACTTCAGTTTAGGTAAACACGACGAAGTCTTGTGCCAGTGTGCTACTGCCCAATGTCCACGAACAATTTTTTGACGGTCTATGAAACAAGATTAAGTTTTTTCGTTGGTATAATTATTGATGTTTTGGATTTGTGATGAGTTTGTTAGTCGTCTTTTTGTCAGCCGGCTGTTGCCGGAAAAGCCGGTATGACCACACAAACACAAAAGCGCGCACCAGCTTGTGTACAATATGTACTCGTCGTTAAGGGCTAAACACTCGAAAGATCTTTTGATCGGAGCTTAATGATTGTAAAAAGTTTTAATGGCGTTTTTGGCTGTAAGTTAATCGATTTCTTCACCATACTTATGACGCTAGTTTTCTCATTCATGAGATATTAATAGTGGACATGTGTAATGTTGCCCCGGAGGGAATTTTATTGGAAAAATGGTCGGCATCGTCGGGGCCAGCCGCAGCCTACCCGACCCAATACAGCGGCGTGGGCGGCTAATTTTGTAAAATCGTCGGCTTTAATCACAATTTTTCCAACTTGACTAATACGTTAATGGATGGAGAGATGATCGGTGCAGCCTTCACAAAGCGAGCCACTGCAGCAATATCACAATATTGACAAAGAAAGTGCATACGGCAGTTTGTACCGGTATTTTGCCAAATTTATTTTTCATAAAGATATTTTCCCCTGCAGTTGCAGTAAATAAATACCTAATTATGATGTCTGTACATAGCGTTAATGGTACAGCAACAGATTCGTTGATGCATCCTCAGCTAACTGTAAAATAATTAATTTGCTTAATTGTTTCGTAGCACTGTGGTAAACTTGTTAATTTAGGTAGCGGGTAAATCGTATTAATTGTCTGCTGGAACATTATTAATACGATAGCTTTGACGGTGTTCCAACAACCGTCGGCATACGATATGCATTAAACTGGAAATATTTCTAGTTATAGTTTGGGATGAATAACCTCAGTTACAGCTGCACTGCGGAGCGTGGTATATTGACAATATGGATGGTGGTTAAGATTTTATTAGTGTTCCTTTGCTATTCTAATTCCTGGGACGCATAGACGAATAAATGTCCTCCCTGCTGTGGGCCATAGACTGTCCAGATCAATGATGTTAGTCGACGTCTCCCCCGATTTATCGCACAGCTCAATGAGGCTAGTTTCTTTTTAAACCGAATTACGGAACCTAATTTATTTAATTTAACACACATTCGCATCCGATCTACATTTTCGAACGGGCAGATAACAGTTGATCTCTTCTTGTCTGCACACATAAGAAACATGTTCATTCTCCGATTCTGAACGCCCAGTTTTTGACACAAATCGTTTGAGTTTTCAATACAAGCAGCGGATCGTTTCTCATCATCTGCATCTTGCTCTCTGTATCAATTTAATTATGCACATTTCAATGGAAGTTTTTGCGACACTGACCGGACGTCGTTGGGATTGCACAAGTGCACAATTTGGGCAATTTATTACGCTTCCGACCCGAGTTCATTATACATTTCGGTATCTTGCTAAAGTGATATATATATATGTACTCGTGTTTAGAAATTAGAACATAATTTGATCTAAGAGAATCATGCCTCAGTACCTAAAGTAAACTCAGAGAAATCAGGAAACACGTTATTCTAACAAGTAATTAGTACATTATTTAATGTAATTTTCAATTTAATATAATTTGTATCAGTTACGAACATCTTCGGGGGATTTTGTTGTTTTGAAGGGAACATGAAGGGGACATAGACTTTAGGGATTAAAAACTGCATGTGTGTTGAAGGTGTCAAATGTTGAAAGCGTCCGAAACTTGTTTAGAATGTTTTACGTCACAGCAATTAAGACCATAAAGAAATATGATCCGAGAAAGGAACATGCAGCAGTTCATTTTTCTCAGCTATCTCACAGATACTGGGAGTTGCGGTAGCCAGAGCAGAACAGGGACGGGTTATTTGATAGAAACAGATTATTTCCGGGCTAAACAGCCCCTTGCCCGTGGTTTAATGACGCCAACTGATGAAACTAAGCGCCGCTTTCCTCCGACACTTAGCACAATTTATCCCATTGTAAAGTTAAAAAATCGCTGTAACTTGCCGGGTTTAATGTCCATTTAAACATGAGCCCGTATGGTAATACGGAAATGTAGGTTAAAACTAGGCCAGCCTCTGGGCAATTATCGCGCCGAGGATCCCCAGCATCGCTGGTTGATGTAATAACAGCCAAAGAATCCCATGGTATGTGCGCAAAATGCAGCCTGCATTTATCCTGATTAAAAGAAACCTGGGGCCGCGATGTTGTGATTCCCGTACAAGGTTTTCTCTTAGCCGGAAATGCCGGGCAAAACATTAAGAAAAGGAAATGGATAAAATGGATTTTAAGCGAATCTTCCTTTTGACAGGAGATTTTTCCTGTATTAATACTCTTATTTTTTTCGTTCGTTTACCTTTCCTTGTGGACAGAACAGGTGTGCATCACAGACTGAGAAGAGAGAATCAATTATGTATGATGCGTTTGTGTGAAGAAGTGGCAAAGGTAATTCATTTCCTGTTATCCGCGCGCTACTGCATGGTCCAAAGTAGCTGATAGCCGAAGTTTAGGCAACCGGTAGCGTGGAAATATATGTATAATCCATAGTAGAGCATATTTCATGGCCAGTTGAAAGTGAGCTATTTGCATTTCTCATCAATCCACTCCCGTCCCAGCACAGAATGAAGGATCTGTGTGTTATGGAGAAATCTATGTACATTACCGTTTCGACATTCATTGAGCGTTTTAACTGACCACAGGGTGCGCTTTATTCACGTGATTGTGCATCTTTGACCACAACACCCATTTCTATTCTTTTCTTCTTTCGGTCAAGCTTTTTCCAGCCCTACTACGACCTGCGATTTCCATTGAAAGCTACAATCTGAGAAATATTTGCCGGTTGGGTGTTTGCAAGCGAAATCAATATTTTTACTTCTCATACTTAATAACACAGCTTATCATAGCCTTAAAAAAAGCGTACAAGTAGTATGCAGTACAACTCTGTATGAAAGTTTGCAGCGTGTTAAGCACATTGAATCAGCAGCTATCGTGCTAGAAAGCTTTATTATGGCATTTGATTTTTGTATAAAAGCTGGATAAAATTTGAGTTACTTATGGATGTCGGTGTGTTTGTCTTGCGTTTACGTATCATCTAGGGTTTTTTTAACCTGTAAGGATAAGTACTTTTTATTTTCGTTAGCATAAATTGGAGCTGCATATTTACATAAGAGATTTAGATGTTTGATGCTGTAGCAAGATTGGAAAGTAACAGGGCAAAATCGTAAATTCGCAACAGAAACTATTCGGCAGTATTATATGCACACACGTCCATACGGGCAGCATCTAGCCCAAATCCACATAAATGGATCATGTGGCGGTACTCTTGTTCTACATTTACTGTGGGGACAAGTGGCCAGAAGATGGCCCTTTTGATGAATTTGATGGGCCCATGATCCCTCCTCACTAAGCAGCAGCGGGTTGACCTTTCTGTGGGCTGCCAGTACGCGAACAATGGGAAGATGTACAATATGTTCATTTTCACCCATCATCCTGGCCTATCGCGCTAATGATCTCGGTGTCTGTCAGCGGGAGAAGGAATAAGATCGCTGTCAGAGCTCTGATCCGTAGTTGCGGCGGTCTTTTCTTGATGAGCGCTGTAGCGGAAGTGCACCATTGGTCATTCGATGTTAGTTCCGCACCGTGTGTGCTGTAGCGCGGCGCAGTGCGCAGCGTTCAAGTGTGAATTGAAGTTTCTGACAGTGTGCGGGATTAGGCCGATCCGATATGAGATTGCCGCGGCAGCCGTATGCATGCATATTAATCAGCTATGTCGAGGCTACTAGCCACCGTCGTACTGTGTGGGGTGATAAAGAGATAATTAGCCAAGTGCACGCGCATCTATCATCGTTTCCGTTTAAAACTCCATTAGCGGGACGGCTGGCTTTTCACTGGAAAGACGCTTTGCCGCTAACGGCCACTTCCGCTATCCAACATTAATCCTGATACAATTTCGGTTTTCATCCGACACCTATACTGAAAAATTTCCTGTACCTATAGTATTTTCGGCTAGCAATCATCCGATCTCATATTAGCTGTACTAACAAAATCTACTGAAATCCACTTCTATTTTGCCAGTAATTTGGTTAATAGTGTCTCTTGTGGTATATATTACGGATAAATCCCTGATATAGTCCGCGTAGAGGTTACGATGACCATCATTAAGTGGTTACTGGTAATTTGGTTGTTTTTCGTACTTATGATTCGGATGTTACTAACAGCGCTGGCTGGCGGGAATGTGCCGTGCACAGTCTAGCATTATGCGAAAAGGGGGCTGCTGTGCTGTGGCCTAATGACAATATCCGTTATCTCTAACTTGGCCGAACGGAAAGCTGGCTGGACAACTTTCCGCCATGCGCTGCCGCTGCGTTCTTCGCCGCGATGATCAATAACACATCAACATCCCAGCGCCGCGAACTGGTCAGCTTGTTTTGTTGGGCCAAAGGGGGCGGGACGGGCGGGGGGAGATGAGCATGTCAGATAGGCGTAGTATGTCGAAATCTGTTAAATCTTAAAAGCGAAATCCGCTTCTAATTGAGTTGACATTGATCTGGCTGGATGCTAGCCGAGAGAATGCATTAATTCCCACTGGCTAACACTAACAGGCTTGTTGACGCCGTGCTGTTTGCTTATCTGACTCCCGATGTGCCCACGTCCATATTTCCGCGGCTTTAAGCTTACATGCTGCATTAAGGTTACTTTGCCGTTCACGCTAACTTTGCTCCGTTAAAATTATCATTTGATCACAGGCGGCATCTTAAAAAATTTTGGTACTTTTTTTGCAGTATACTGCACATAATGCTCAGACTGAACCATGAATTATTTTCGAACTTAAGGAATAGGGTTATGTAAAATTCGTGCACTTTGCTTGCATATCTGTGTACACTGTTGACCATATGTGTTGCAAACTGGAAATATGTTCCCAAGAATCCAAATGAAAATCATTATAACAGCTTGGTCGAAACTTCTGTAGAAGTAATAAAATTAATTTGGTCTTTGATTGACCGTCCATCTGCTGTTGTTCCCGAAGGTGTGAGTAATTCTTAATCAGTTTGACATTTTCTTTGCATTCGATACATCAAGAATTCGAATGTTTGTTTGTTATGCATTTGTGGATGATATATGTGTGGCGATATACGCTCGTATATCCCAAATAGATACATTCCTGCTCGTGACCAGTTGGTATCGATCAAGCAGACCAAACACCGCATATAAGGAACATATCAGCTGCATTGGCTTCCTTCCGCCCGCGTTTCCTTTTCCACTGGGTTAAGCATGCAGCACAAACGCAGGCAGGCGATCCCGTCGCACACATTACCCACTATCATCACACACACATCCACGCTGAGCATTGACTGACCAGTTGGCATCTGCTCCTGTGCAAACTTAATGGAGCATTCCATGCAGTCAAATTGTTACTTGCTCTTGTTTAAACGTTTTCCAACGGCATTGTGCATACTTTGTACAAGGCATGTAGCAATCTGTTGGAAAGTAAAGATCTGACGGCACGCAACATGGGTCTGATTGTTAAAAATGCCGGGCTTGTATGTATTCAACTAGCGGGATTACATCCAAACAGTCAGCAGCAGCACAATGCCGGCTATCTGTCAAATATGCTTTATTATACAAACTGCCCGTAATTGATTACTGCCGCTCATTCTTTGCTCAGTTATGCTCCGATGATCAGATGTGGCGCTTTTTAAAATGGCCTAACAGATCGCACATTTTAGTTTCTAAAAGCACAGCCCATCCATGTGTAAGGCGACATAATTGCCTAATTATGGTTTGCTTATATAACTATCACTTTTATACGACACTCGTATAATTTAAAGGAAGTTCATTTAATACATTTGCATCGGGATTGACATATACTGACACTTCCACCTGGTCAAACTAGGATTTTGATTTCCAATGTCTTCTTAGTTTATGAATGATTCTGAAACACCAACATCTAGACTAGAAGTTGTTTTGCTGTCGACATCATTTTCAGATGCACAAATGTTGTTCGCCATACGGTACTGTGTGTGTCCCTATGCTTCCAGGTGCGCTCGTTGCGCGTGGTTCAGTTTAGTTTGCAGCACAAGAGCAGCATGTTGTTGGGTAATCACCTGGAAATGATGTCCAGCAGGATGCATAATCGCATCAAACAGAGTAATAACTCTTCTCTGTCAATGAAGCACAGCGGATAGTAAATTGTACGTCTTTTCTAACGTGTAATCTTTTGCCCCTGCTGAATTTGTGCCGGGAGGGATTTACATCTGCAACCATCACGCTCTAGCAGTAGATTCGGCATAGAAATGCCGGTTGGAGGCGTCCATACATAATTCACGCTAATTCGATATTACAGTTTTTTGGTTGAAATTACTATTTACAAAAAAGCCTTGATACGTTTAGTGAATAGTGAGTACTGTCAGTTCTTCAACGAAAACTCTTGCGAAACTAGCGTCAGCGCATGAATTAAACGTTTGCCAATCGCTATAAAGAAAACACGTCTGATCTTGAACAAGTTGAAGGAGATTGAGTTGCCAAAATACGAGAAGCGGCAATAATTGTGCTGAGTACCCAGGAATGGCCGGTACTCAAACGTCCAACGGCATGGTGACAGGAAGTGGTAACCCCCTGGGGAAATCGTGTAATCGTGGGTTATTTGGGGGCATGTTTGTTTTCTCTATCAAATTATCAGCTCACGGTATGGCGCCCTTGAGTAACTCTTTCACCGGCTCAATTACACTGCACCGTACCGTCGCCTCAATGGACCAACCAGCATGACTAATTAGTTATTGCATAAAGCACTTCATGTGTATTTCTTCTTGGCAGCAATAAATAATTATCCATGTAATTTTAACTTGAATTTGAAATTCTAGCGAACCTGAATGATCGCACACATGTAAACTGTTCTGGTCTAATTTTCGTTCCAGTTTGGGCGTTGTTCACATTCCCCTTCGGTATAGCAATGATACACTGGTACACTACTAAAAGACCGCTAAATCCCACGATTTTAATAGTATTCTTTGCATATCAATGGATTTGAGAACGAACCGTGCTTCACAGATTAACCGAACAATAACCGGCAATTTCACTGCCATTTCTTGTAAAAGATTCTTCTATTTTATGGACAAATCATAACCGACTAAGGATTTGTTACAATATAAATATTCATAAAAGGGTTCATTCAGGCGAAGTATGCAGTTAGCTTTTCGCGTTTTAACCGCGCAGCCGGCATAATGACCTTTTAGCCATTTTCTGACGGCCCAACCTGCGGCGATATTTTGTGTTTATGCATTGGCCGATAAGAATATTATGTGTAAGGACAAATTCCCAAGCTTAGTACTTCAGCAAATACGATTGGATGGATTTTGTGGGTATAAGAATAAGCTAGCAAAGAAGCCAAATGAAACCTGATCAGCTAATAGCGGGATATTGATAGGGAATATATAGCGGATAATCCGTTACTTCAAACAGCGTAGACTGCGTTGTTGAATATCCGTCTCATTGCTTATTGCATTTGCATAGTGATGCAATTAATATGTCTTGCACCATTAGTCCCGTATACAAGTGCGCGGTGCCGGCTGGATTATGAGTGCAATCACGTCGTTTAATTTGATTTATGCAAAAGAGCGCGAGCCGGTATGTGATTAATGAAACGTTTGAATCTGAGGAGAAATTTATTACCGACTGCGGCTGCATGGTCGCGCGTCGGAACGGGATGAAATGGATGTTGCATAAAAGATTACATAAATCGTTTATCTTCGCTGGCGGGTTTGGCGGTTAACACGTCTATTAAACGGGACAATGGGTGTTGACGCATTGCATTGATTACAAACAGATACGTGGTTGAAGTCCATAAACTACTCGTACCGCATTCGCGAGATTCGTTCCCATAATGTTTTAGATCAAATAAATAATGTGTGAATGTGGTACGACTACGCTTCTGGGAGCAGTGTATTAAACTTAAAGAAACCTGCCGGTTCATGACCAGTTATAATCGTAACAAAAATAAAATGTGTTAACGAAAAGAAGGTGAAAATAAACCAAGGTGCGAAAGATTGCGTTATGTAATTCGTCATCCTTTTTCGAAGTATCTATATCAACTCACCAACAAAATCTGCCCTTGCATCTACCGTTATAAATTTTTATGCCGTTTTCATGCGTTCAATATAATGAGTGTTCACAAGCATAGATATAATTTCTCTGACTCATTTATTTTGCTCAGTGCGAATGTTTTTGTAACTCCCTCTTATGGCGATTGTTTATTTTGCAGATGCAAAAGAGTATTACAGGAGGTATAACATTGGCCCAAAGTATACCAACAGCATTCTGGCGGATCTGGAAGAGAATTCCCTGACAGCCAGTTTGCCGGCTCATGATTTATCCACACCCTCCAATGTCACTATCGAGAAAGGCCAACCGGCATTTCTGCATTGTAAAATAAAAAACCAAGGCTCACATATGGTTTGTCCCTTCTCTTGTGCTTGTGGATAACCGATAATTCTAACGCGGTGGAAGTGTGTTCAGTGTGGAATATTTGTGTGACAGGTCTCCTGGGTGCGCTACACCAAGGACTTCAATATTGTGACGATTGGGGATACGGTCTTCATTCCCGACAGCCGTTTTGCCTTGGTGCGCATTCCCGGCGCTCAGGACTGGACACTGCGCATTCTGGACGTTAAACCGGCAGATGCCGGTGTCTACGAGTGCCAAATTGGGACCACACCCAAAATGGGACGGAATATTACTCTCACTGTTCTTGGTATGTTTAAAGTCACGAGTTAAGAATAGAATTTATAATAATAACGAAAGTACTGACGTCCATTACTGTATAATTATGAAAACGATTTCTGTAGTACCCATATTTTTAACGCAGTTCCGAGACGTATTCCATTGATGTACAGAGTAACTGTATGTATTTCCTCTTGTTCTGATGGGCTGCATTCGAAATATATATAATGGGTTGCATTAAGCAAACTAATACCACCACTTGCTAAGCGGTGTTAGAAGCTAAAAGTAAACGAAGAGCGAAAATAATAAGTGACTCTGAAGAGCCATTGAAATACATCTGTTACACCTGAAGTGTCCGCGTCGTCCTGCGTGCCGCTCGCTGATCATGACATGCTGATCGCTTATCCGGTGCGTTTGTGCTTGAACGCGGTTTTCGTTTTCGACAGCTAAGAACTCTCGTGTTTTTGATTGCTGCAGCATACTTAGAAATTTGTTAAGCCACAGCCCACAGGAGTTCTTTTGTACAGAGTATGAATGTTCTTTTTTCCACAGAGAGTTAATAAGCATATTTTGCTACCATAAGTGGATCATATTAAAACTTTCCAATGACTTTGCCATAAAGAAATTCTTTGTACTTGAGCATAGTATATACTATATACAGCTGTAACCTATTATATTTACTGCACCGTTTCAGTTGAACCGTTGCTTTTCTTGAGTATGATTGCAACTGCATCTGCTTTTGGCCGCCTATTTAAATTTTGTTTTCTGCAGCTTGAGTTTGCATTATTTTCGCTTTTTTTGTTTACAGACACACTACAGGCCGATTCTGAAGATACGCGACCTCGTGTGCGCACATTAGGCGACGAAGGTGAAATTGCGGTGGCTTACGGTGGCAACACTTTGCTTGCGCTTGTACCCTTTACCTTCAATTACGTACACCACATACTACCCTTTTTACCATCCTTAACTATTTGGTTGGCACTTGATTTCTTTGGTTATCCCCCTGTAAATGTCCCCGGTGTACTTTCAGTTGCTCGTGCCATAATCAAAGGGGACCCTGAGACGCAGGTGGGCCATCCGCTGAATTTGACCTGCAGCATAGTGTCCAGCTTCAGCGCCCCGGCCAACACCCTCATCAAGTGGTTCCACAATGATAGCACCTACCTCAATTACGATCCCACTGCACGCTCCGGATACCACCTTGAGATCTATCAGGCCCACAGTCCCACCGGCATGTTCAGTCGCCTGATTATTCCCTCGGTGCACAATTATCATGCCGGAAAATACACCTGTTCGGCTAATAATGCCGAATCGTCCAACATTTTTGTTCAAGTCCATCCCAGTTAGTATTCAGTTTGTACACCTGCCACACTGCTTATTTTCCCCCATTTTTTGGCGCTTGTATACGAGTACCTTCGATATCGATTGTCACAGCTGCAGGGTACAGTAAAGGTCCAATATTCGTATGCAAAATATGCTGAGTTTATAAAGTCCACGTCGTTTTAAAATATCTGTATACTTGAAGTATAGTATATGCGGTTCCAGTGTAATCCCGAATCGCGTTCCCTAATACAACCTAGAAAGAGGCACAAGGCATTGCCGCCATCCCGTAAACTGAACTGAGAATCTCTACGAAAAATTATATTAATTTTAAATCTTCAGGTAAACAACCGATTGCCCTTCGGCGACGTACCGGAAATGCTGCACCTCATCATCTCTTCGCTCCGATCATTCCATTCATAACTTGGATTGGTTTATTAATATTATTGCGGATTGGTCCATTGGCGTAGTCGAGCGGGCTGCGAAAGATGATTAGTTTTTCTCGTTGTTCAGTCTTTGTAGCTGGCGTAGCATCGCATTTCTGGTGAAAGAATTCCTGGTGTATTTCTCTCTTCTCCAGAATATTTGAATTCTCTTTGCATCTTTAGCATGCACAGCTGCGATCCGACGGATGTTTCTCTTTAAACAAAATTCCAGCAGACATCAAGAACACTTAATGCTCAAAGTTTTTATTCCGCGCCTAATGCTAAAAATGACCAACTCACTGTCGATGCTCGGAGATCGCGTTCGAAAATGTATAGCGCTGTAGTCGATTGCAGTTTCGTGTTCATTTGTGCAATAAAATCAAAACTCAATCTGCAAATATTCTGATCGCACTTTTACCATAACAATCACATCGCAAATAAAGTGTGTCGCGATAAAACAATAATTGTGTAAACTCTCAACATCCAATAATTGATGGAAAACAAGAATAATATTGAGCAGATGTCGATACAAAAAACAATACTCTGTACTCTTTTTATAAACGGAAATGACAGATATCGTATAAAAATTAAAGTCGAAAGCATACAAAACGGACAGATTCACGAAGGTCGGCTGGGGACCGGTCCCACGCCGCCCGCTAACTGGAAGACATGATATACCACTTCCTGCGCCAGTCGATCAGCATTCTCCTGTGTGTCGGCCTCCGCGTAAACCCGCACCACGTCCTCCGTTCCCGAGGGTCTGACAAACGCTCGCGCTGAATTGTACTTCTTCACTGACTGGTCAATGGCGTTCTGTAAACCAGGCGGAGAAGCGCACTTCCGCTCCGCGTCCACGGTCTGCACCACCTGCCGATCGGACACTTTCACCTTCAGCTGCCGATTGGGCAGATCGGTGTACATTGCGTCCCAGCGCTGTATGGACCAGTTCTCCAAAAACAGGACCGCCTCCACCAGTAACAAATCCGATAGCGCATCGCCCACGGTCTGATTGATCAGTCGTCCCGCCAGCCACAATTTCTCCACGGCCTTCCACGAATTACGCACATCTTCCTTAGCAATTTGCACGTCCATGTCGCAGAAGGGCATGGCAATGTCCAGACTGGGTGCTTCGAGTTTTTTTTCTTCCCCATCGTCCATATGGAGCGACTTCAACGTCTCCGACAGTTCACCACTTTTCGGGTTGGCTTTACACTCTTCCAAGAATTTCGAGATTCTCCGCTCGGCCTGCGGGCTAAACAGCACCGTCCCGTGTCCGTTGGCTTCGAAATACACTCCGATATCGTACTTCTTGGCCTCTTCATGCAGATACTTCACCCCCGTCTTCACGCACGCCATGGGAATGTTCAGCACATCCGTGATGTACTTCGTGGATGCTCCATTCGCGTACGCCGTCTGCACCACACCGATTTTCAGATCCAGGCCCGAATGCCGCACCAACTGCGCGAAGAACATGGTCAACAAGACGGCAATCTTGTCCCCGTCCAGCAGATGGAACCGGCCATCGGCGTCATGGTAGAAATACACTAACCGATCGGCATCCCCGTCGAACGACGCACATTTCGTAGTGCCCCATGTCGTCGACGGTTTCGGTGCCTGCTGCGACACTTTGACAAAATCCGCACCACATCCGTCATTCAGGACGGCTCCACTGCCCCGTCCGTCGTTGACGATGCGGACAGTCGGCAGCGTGACGTCCGCCGCCCCGGGAAACCGCGAGCGCAGTTCGGCCAGTTTCACCGCGCCGATCCCGTTGGCGCCGTCCACCATAATCACCGCTTCATACCCGTCGCCCTCGCTTCCCTGCTCGCCCTTCATTTTCAGCAGACCGATAAAATTATCAATCAGCTTACGGTAGTATCCTTCCTCGCTGCAGTCTTCGTCTTGCGCTGCCGTGTCGGAGATACTCAGATCCACCTGATCGGTCTGACGGGAAATCAGCTTGTTGTGCGCGCACACAATGTAATGCAGCTGCGGTGTTGTCAGCAGATGGAAATCGCGCACGGATCCGCCCAGCGCCTCCACGCCTTGTCGCAGTGCCGCGGCCAAGGCGTCGCTGCTGGGACGGGTGTCCTGCGCCATGTAGATCATGGCGGAGACGGCCACGTCGATGTTGAAGTGCTTGATGATGACTTCCAGGACGCGCACCACGTCCTTGTCGTCGGCGTTGATCAGATCGGTGGCGAAGCTCTCCCAGCTGATCTCCAGCATCTCGCCGTCGGGATCGATCAGTTTGATCCCGTTGTCGTCGATGTGATTGTGCGAGGCGGTGATCATGGCGCCGATGGCTTTGCCCTTCTGCTCCTTACTGCGCAGAACACCCAGCAGCCCCATGCGGAACATCACCCAATCCAGCTGGTTCCACGGACCACGGAATCCTGCCGTCCCGTACGTCATGCTGCGCTCCGTACCCTTGGGGTAGCCGCTTTTTATTCTCTCCTTTACTTTGCTGAAATTCATTTTCGTGTGCGTGGGAACTCCAACAACGTGCACGCGGTCAGCTCAAGTTCTGCGCAATAGTTAACCCAGATCAATCATCAATCATAGCGCTCAAAGTTTGGAAGGAAACAGTAAGGGTTAATTAATTTATCAAAAGGTAGTGTATGACAACACCAGTTCACCTACCAATTAATCCTGTACTGAGAGACAAGGTTACCACTTAAACCACGATCAGGAATAAAACAGCAGCAAATACACGCTGGTCTAGGGAAGTGCGATTGTTGTCAGGCTATCAACTTTCTGAAACCACTGTGCTCGCCACGCGTCATCTTATGCTGAATTGTTGTTGATGCATCGTATCAGTGGCTTAATATGAGGGCTTATGTTTATTGCACCACCAATTCACCACTGCCGTCGGCTTAAATTAGTAGAAACTTCGGTTCTAATACTTTTCTTAGTCGTGTCTAATGTAAGTCGATAAATTCATTGCAGTTCTCATTAGGTAAATTTATGGCACGATGGCGCTTCTTAATAGAAACAAAAGCCAACTCACCATAAAGGCACTTGAAGCAACCCGGTGCATTTAGATGTATCATGTACCGTAAATAATTAATCTAGAAAATACGATGTACCATGCAACAAGTCGCTATTTGGTGACCTAGCTGTTCTTGTTACTATAACTGTTAATATCCACAGGATCAAGATTAAGTTGATGGTGCACTGTCAATTTCCCCCTCTATGTGTATTTTATTATGATAGTACTAGTAATGTGACGTTATCTTTATCAGAGCCCATAGTTCTCTTAATCAATTCGAATAAGGATTAATCTTTAAGAATTTTGGTAAACTTTTAAAAATTATGATTAAAATTCGTAATGATTCATGCCTAATAAAGGCTTTAAAAACCCACAAAATTATGAGTAACGAGTAACTTCCAATAGACGCTGATAACACAGCTCAACAAGAGCAGCATGTTATCGTCATGACCTTCAGAACAAGTTTTGAGTCAAAACGACGTCCGTATTTGAAGTATGCTGTGAAGAAGATAATTCCAACGTCAAAAATAACTGTTCTCTAGAAAAGCATTTAATCAACTGCTAATATTTTGACTACAAGGGCATCACAAGGATTCAAACAAATCGTATCCAGAGCAATGCGATCACCGATCTCATAGGCACAGGAGCCAGAACATACAACCACTTCTCCCATTGATCCCTTTTTATCACTGGAAAAGTCGTAACATTCTTCTTGCTTAGCGACAGACAATCGAACATCAATTATCACAATAAAAATATCAGCACCGCACTGGCGATAGAAAGAAAATAAACTACTGGATGCAACAGCGGTTTCGAAGCGGCCCATGGCGAATGCAGTGTGCTTTCGTAATGCCACAAGTTGTTTGAAAGTATTCAGATGCGAGTGAAGTTCGGTTTCCTGAATCTGAGATATTGTGCAAATCAATGTTAAAACCTTGAATACTGAAATTAGTAATCAGTGACTGTATGCTTTACCTCAACATTGCACACGCGATAATTATCCGCCAGAGGCAGCCAAGGTGACATCTTAGAAAAACCGCCAGTTGACTCATCTGTCCACTGCATGGGAGAGCGAGCCGGATCTCTGTTCTTCAACTTCCAGAACTACAAATTAAAATACATTACTTATACATACCACACTCCGTAACACTAACCCATCAGCCATTTGAACCAAGTTGGAAAGTTATTGTTCTTTAAAAATTTAATCATAGGCTTTTATAGCTATTGGCGTGCAGCGAAGTGCCGGTCGCTTACAATAGAATCTCGTTTAGCAAAAGTATCCTTGACATCTCCGAAAAATTCAATCCGCGCACCATGCATTCCCAGTTCTTCGCCATAGTACACGTTAGCCGTTCCCGGTAGGAGCAAGTTGAGCATATTCATTCCATCGACTATTTTATCACTGCCGAAGCGGTCTGCTACGCGGTGGATGTCGTGATTCCCCACCTAATAACCAAAATGAACACCAGGTTTTAAATTGTCAACTAATTTGTTCACTTTCCGCTTTATTAATGAGCCTGGTGCAAATTATTAATTTTGTCACATCGTGAAGCACCAGATTTATTGGGCTTCTTGCCGGCGAGATACTCAATATTATAATAATCAAGAACACTACAGAATATCCCATCCAGTACAGGTCACAAATATGTAAATGTTGCTACGCGCAAGGGCGCGTAGCCACTGCACTACGTTACACCTTCACCGGAAAAATGAAGTGAAAAACTTCAGGGCAAAATATCAAAATAATCTTCTTCAACATTAAAAACCGTGCTGATTTTATCCTTCTTTCGTTCTTCACTTCTCTTTTGCTGGCAGGCTCTTTCGATATGACCTTTATTTCCGCAATGATTACAACGAGTGTTCCGGTACCAGCATTCATCCGGTGTGTGACGCCATGAACCACACCGCTTACACTTGCGCCGGGACGCGCCCTCTTCGTCGCTTTCTTCCTCTTCATCACTTCCTTTCTTTGTCTCTTTAAGGCGTTCACTTTTCTCGTCTTTCTTCTCTCTAGCGTCTCTCTTTGCAATTCTGTTCACAGATTCTTCTTCGACATTATTCTTTTTGGCTTCCTTAACGCTCGTCTCAAACTTGATGGCCAGCTGCAGGGCGGCGTCGAATGTTTTCAATTCCGACAACATCAAATACCTCCTGGTTACGTCGCTTCGTATTCCCGCTACTAGGACAGCGCACAAATTCTTTTCAAGGAGTGCTAGGGAAATCGCACAGGATGGTCTTGTCCCGCATCCGTGTCGCAAAATCGACCAGGCTTTCACTTTCACCTTGACGAAGGCTGAAGAACAGTGCCCATTCCGTGATCTGGTTGGTGTACGGCGCGTATGCCGTTTCCAGCTTCGCCAGCAATTCTCCTAACGTGAAATCCGACGGCATTTTCGGCTTGCACATGGACACGAGAAGCTGTAAGGCTTTGGTGTCCAGGCTGTTGATCAGCAAAGGGCGGTGCTTATCGGTATGAAGATCCGTCAGGGCAACGTAATTATCAAACAAGAACTTCCACGCTTTGTAATCCATCGTTTCCGGATTAAACTTCGCCAGTCGATCCGTTGAAGTCGCCATTGTCACGCTTAACTAACGCACACTCCTCTCTTCCAACTTAAAGTTCAATGAATACTACACACTTCACGCCAATTGTCACGTCATGAAGCACCAGATTTATTGGGCTTCTTGCCGGCGAGATACTCAATATAATAATTAAGAACAATACAGAATATCCCATCCAGTACAGGTCACAAATATGTAAATGTTGCTACGCGCAAGGGCGCGTAGCCACTGCAGACGTTAAAAATTTATAGAAGCGGAAAAAATAAGCGAGATCTTTTTAGTGTAATAATGTTTAATCGGTTTTTATGACTGAACCGCTGCAGTATCTACATTTTGAATACTGCGAATACTGTCAGTAAACGGAATAAGTGATAATCTGTACACCACCCAATTCTCTCACCACCCAATTCGGCCAAACTCCTTGGCCACATAACTTCAAAAAGCCACAGACGTAAAATTCCATATCAAATCCAGTCACTTCCCTATCCAAGCTCAACAAGCCGAAATTAAAGGAATAATCCGCTCCACAACGATAATATGGTATGCATTCTTCGATTTTTCCAGTAACTTCAGTGTTTAACAGCCTGCAGTACACCAGATTTTCAAGTTCAGCAAATAACTGCTTACTATTACTAAAAATAAGACATAAAGAAATCCGACGAACTAAAAGCGCTACAATTGCGACGTTTTACTCGAAATATACAAATACGGAATTAATCCAAGACGTGTTTACTTGTGACATGTGCAAGTTGATGCGGCGTATTCATCCAAAAGCGATCTCCAGTGGGACACCATTTCCAATGTTTCCGGTTGATTATGCATTTGACTTTCCTTATCAAAATTCCTCGAGCGGGGATGCTCTGGCACAGGAACCTCGTACAAATGTTTGACTGCATCCATTCGAAATCCGTCCACACCTCTTTTCAACCAAAACAGTAAAACATCATCCATTGCCTGGACAACAGCCGGACAACGGAAATTCAAGTCCGGCTGGGACGGAAGGAACTGGTGGAGATAGTACTGACTCCGCCTATCGCACCATTCCCATGCTGAACCACCAAAAACACTGTTCTAAATCAGAAGGGATACTCTCGTGATTAAAATTTCGTCAGATATCGTTCAAAAGAGCACCTACCCAAAGGGTCGGCGGAGCCGGTATGGAAATGCCGCGCCTATTCACAGACCGGGAAGTGTCGCCGCTGTGCCATACGTAGTAATCAGCGTATGGATTGATCCGATTGTCCCGACTGGCCTCAAACCACGGATGTTTGTCGCTCGTATGATTTGGCACAAAATCCACGATCACATAGATACCTAAAGTAAAGTTCAATTATACCGTCTGACGATATTTTGAGGTTTTCGCATTCCGACTGCGTGATGCACAATACGCTATATATCTTTCTGCTGCACCGGCAAACGCTATTGCGCGTCGTTTACATTAGAGACGACCACAAGTACAACGTAGTCAATTGTTTTCGAAAAATGCTTTTTCAGATAGACCAGTGCGGGAAGTTCGTGTCTCCGGCGGCCGGAATGCGAAAAACTTAGCATGCCAGCACAAATCTGTTTTATTGGCAAGCAGCATTTCAGCTGTGGTTGGACAGGTAACGTGGAAAGTTAAAATGTACCCAGTGAATGTGCTGCACTGATCAGCTGATCAAAGTCGGCAAGCTTTCCGAATATGGGATCAACCTGACAGAAGTCCGAAATATCGTAGCCAAAATCTTCCATGGGCGATTCATAAAACGGACTTATCCAAATTGACTCAATACCGAGTTCCTTCAGATAAGGCAAACGTGATGTGATACCTGCAATAAAGAACAAAATGAACTAAATTCAGCACTTCCAGCACCAGTTTGCGGATTGTTATTGAAATTGTATGCACGTAAAACAGTGTACACAGAGTAATTAAACAAAGGACATAGAAGTACTGTAAATTGTAAAACACAAGCTATAATTAACTGAGATTGCGCCAAGTTAATAACAGCTATTGACTGTACAGTCTGTACTATACTAACACTAACAGCTAGCTGATACAATTATTTCGGAGATCTCACCATCAGACGATAAAGTAGATCTGCACTCGTACAGTACTTATAACTTGCTGAAGTATTATGCGACAGAAACTTCTTACCTGCAAGATCTCCAATTCCATCTCCACTGGCGTCCTGAAAGCTTCTCGGGTAAATTTGGTAAACGATTGTGTTGTGCCACCATTCTCGGTCGAAAGTACGCTGCTCATCAGATGCTGCTGACAAATTCTTTCCCAAAGGATACAGATCGAAGCAAAACTTTTTATGTTGTCTCCGACGGCTTTTGTCGGTCTGATCAGCTGCAGATAAGTCCATGGCGGAAAAAGGAACCCACAATCTAAACAGGCGGATGTCGGACAAAAGGTAACATGAACACAACAGATTGCTGACAATGTAAGCTGATTCTCGTTTGTAAACAAACCTTACTCAGTAGCAAACCAAATCGTTTAGGTGGAGGGAAAAACTGACCTGTTCCGCCTTGGATGGTCTGCAATGCTTTTGAAAATGTAGCGAAAGGAAATGACAATTTGATAGATATAAGAATGCAACGAGTAATCAGTAATACTGCATTACTAATAGAGTAACAGTAGTGTAATTTTATTAAAGAAGTAAATGCGGAAAACGGCAACAGGTGAATTAAATCTGCTCTGTTATATCCGTTCGTGGGAACGGTAAAAAAGAAATTCGCGAAAATTTTGTGATAACATCAGCTGATATAATCTCCCAGCTTCGCCTGAGGGTGGCTGCTGCACACGTCAGGAGGTACAGGCCCTTCATTGAACATGTAAAGCGACATGAGCAAATCCAAAACAATCTGGGTAGGTCGTTCATACCATGCTCATTCTTACTGTATCATCTTTCCAGTTATTAACAGCTGGTTTGCTTTTTGAAAGGCATAACTATAAGTATAACAGTTGAATCCCCCTTTTACTCTGGATTGTTTTTCTTTATTTGGCTACCATGTCTCTCCGTGAACCAAAGTTTTCATTGGTCGAGTTGTTTGAGTATAACAACGAGACCAGTCGCAGAAATGGGACGCACTGCGGATACTGCCAGGGGAGTCGAAGTATTTCTGATGGGATTTGGGGATATCGTTTAACGGTAACGGATTATCAGAATCTGTTACAAAGAGGATGGTAAGTACGGGATTAGATTGTATCCTGCGTGTGTTTTGTATTTTAATTAGTAATACAAGATATTTTTCACCTTCTCCAAAAGTTTGCCCTACTGATCTATTTCATTTCGCAGCCTTGCTGTACTTATAAGAACACTTACAGATCAGTAACCGGGTGAATTAAATTGCAGGCGTCGGAGTGGCAAATACATCTACAAGCCCGTGATGAAGAAAACCTGCTGCCCGCAGTACGCTATCCGCTGTGAAGCACTGAAGTTTCAGCCGACTAAATCGCAGAAAAAAGTACTGCGGAGAATGTATAACTATCTGGCATGGGGCAAAGGCGAGGAGCGTATCCGCTCCACGACCGTTGCTGCGCGCATGAATGGTCAGTCGTCGGATTCCGATTTGCAGGATGCTCTGGATGACGATGACGACAGCGCGTCCACCTCGGACGAGATGGAGGTGGAAGGCGCAGGTGGCGCCGAAGAAATGCCCCACGTGGAAGAGCCGCCTTCGGACACTCATCCGGAAAATATTGTCGTTAATTCTGACAATATACCATCCATCGGGCACCTGCCTGCGCCAGTTCCAATCAGCTCCAGTTCGCTGACGCAGCCCATCGTGGTCACGCAGAGAAATCATGTTCCACCCGCGAAAGGAAAAGGCCCGGATCCTAATAAGTAGGCTGCCAAAACTGCTCGCATCAGTTTGAGAAATAGTTTTTCTTATTCGCGTAATGTTAGGCCCCTTCAGCGGAAGGCTAAAGAGGTTCGTCGCGAGAAGAAAGCTCAGAAATTGCTCAGACAAGGAGTTAACCCTACTCCACCGAAATCTAGCAAATCGACCAGCAACAGTTTGGAGACGTATTTAGAAAAGCCACTCCCAGATGAGCCTAAACATCACCTGGAATTCCGCCTGATCAGCACCAGTGATAATGATCGTGATTCGGAGTTTACGCGGACATTCGACGACGTATTCCAGGTGTACGCTAAATATGAGCTGACCATCCACAAAAAGGACGCCGATCATCCCACACCCAAACAGTTCTCGCGTTTTCTCGCCGAAAGTCCCTTACAGCGGCAGCTGGCGCCTGAGCAAGCAGATAATGACGAGGGCGTCTATGGTAGTTTCCATCTGCATTATGTGCTGGATGGAAAAATTATCGGTGAGAAGCTACGATCTGGCTGACGTGACTGAAAACAGCAGAATGCCAAACATGTGCTGTAAGTTTATGGTATGTCGTATGTGAAATCAAAATGTGTTGCAGGAGTGGATGTCGTCGATGTACTACCGGATTGTTTGACCTCGGTGTATTTTTTCTACGATCCCGATTACAGTTACTTATCACTGGGCACTTACTCCGTTCTACGCGAGATGTATATGGTGCGCCAGTTGCACACGCGCTTCCCGTCGATTCAGTTTGCTAGTTTGGGATTCTACGTGCACTCATGCGCCAAAATGCATTATAAAGCCACATTTCAGCCTTCTTTTTTATTATGTCCCGAAACATATACTTGGCATCCACTTCCCGCATGCCTTCCCAAGCTATCTGTGACAGGATATCAGCGTCTGGCTAGACCGGAAATCCCGGACGAAGAAGGAAGAGTGTGTGAATATGTCAACCAGACACTAATTTTATTCAAGCGGAATCTTATGACGTTTGAATTATATCGCATTACACTTCAGAGATCGGTACAGCCTGCGGCTGTAGTGTTACGAAAGGAAGTCGAGAGAGTGACGGGCTATGCGCTTTTGGTGGGACGCCAGTGTGCGCCCACAATGGCGCTGTACTGTGATAATGCCCCTATTCATCAGCCGTCTTCGTGAAGCCTTCTGACCATGAGCTATAATTGTGTGGTACGATTCCGCTGGTTTGACGTTTGCCAGTTGCAAGCCATGAATTCGAACTTGGGACTTTTGTTTTGTACTTGGCATTGTTTTATTAGAGTGCAAGCCTTATTATCGTGTTCCCTTCGCTTCTCGCGCTAATGGTTCTGTACTTTTGAAATGTGCACGCTACAGTGATTTCTTCCTGTGATTTCCAGACCACCTGCATTTTGTGTGTCAGCAGTCTGCAAACGGTATGCTACCGGACTTGCTCCAATTATTCGCACCGTAAAACAAAAAAAACGAATTCTTAATTCCAGAATCATATGAACGTAAACGACTCATGAATATTATTTTTGCTCACAAACGAATAAGGCAATCGATCTTGACGTTTTGCCCGTCGATTCTTATTAACCACGTTCTTGGTAAATAAGAATGGTCAACATAGCAATTCACAATAACTGCAACAAATCAAAATCAGCAACCGGAAGAACGCGAATACCGTACAAAATTTGATTTTAAACATAAGCATTATGAGATCTAAGCAAAGATAGGAGAAAAAAACAGTAGCTTTGGCAAGAAAAGTTAAATGGCTGCTGATAAATCGGCAACTGCCGCTGAACGCAACGGTAATACTAAAAGTGTAACGACTCAAGTGGACCATGAAAACCGTACAAGCAAAACACAAGTATTCCCAATTTTACCCTCCGGTCTCCATCCCAGTTTGTTTTATCATTCTCGTTCGTTGCTGAAAGCCACTCGGAAAGCCATTCTGCACTGCTTCTGCAGATCAAGATCTGCCATGCGTGCGGCTAAAACTTCCGGAGTACCTGAAAGATAACACACAGATACAGAAAGTCTCACCTCACAACCGTGCAGTCGTGTTAAAAACATGCGGTAGACTATTCTGCCGAGCAGATCTTACACGACGGATCATTAAGCTGTGCGGCAGCTAGAAACGGCTGCAGCCATTCCTGTCGCATGAACGTATCGTCAATTATGGTAGGGACAAAATCTTGCTCATCCAGCGGTAACTGCTGGTGATTCAAATATTCCTCCGGGTCACATTCGTCAGCAGCTAAAAACGAAGAACCGCTTAATAACCACTAGTTTAACCATCTATTGTGCTATCAATGCGAAGTCAACGCATCGCGTAATGCTATAATTGTTATCCCCAAAAGTGAACAATACTATACTTCAATTCGATACCTTCCGATGCTTCCGTCACGTTATCAACACTTTCCCATTCTGTCCCGGTTGATGTACCGGGCGAAGGAGCTGAGCAACCAGTTGCGGTTCTTTGCTGTCGATTTTTTTGCACAGCCGGGACTGATTTATTTTTCCCATTGTGCTTCTGCAGATAAAACTAATGAAGTAAGTTATGACACAGACGTAACGTTAATGAGCTGACCGTTCATCCAATGCCTGTGATATGGTACTGTTAAGGGATACCTGGATTTTTTGTACTGCGTCAAGGGATTCCCCAATCCGAAACACAGGTTTACTACCGAGTAAATTCCGTTCTAAGGATGATGAAAGCATTTTAGTCACACGATAAACGACGCATGTACTCGATTGCGACAGACTTCATCCGACTGCAATGAACTGACCTGATACATTACCTGCTATTCTCTTTACATTGGGCGTTCTGCTGCACTGCTCTCCATTCTTCTTCCTCTTCTGAACTTCATTATTATGCCACTGCGTGATGACCTTCTTCTCTAGTCCGGTCTCAAGACTCAATCGGGACAACAGATCACCGCGGGGCGGGCGGTTTATGTCGAAAGAAGCAAGCAAGACTCGTCGCTGTTCGGGGGTCTTGTGTGGTTTGCGCTTATATCCCGACTGCAGTGCCGTGGAATTCGACATAGTCTTGACCATAGTCTTGACTTTCCAAGCCATGCCCAGGTCCACCTTGTCAACGTTCGTCCGTGGTTCACTAGAAGTTTTTCCCGGATTCACTGTGGCGCAAGATTGACGCCTTAAAAGCACCCGAAGTTTAGATTTTTTCTTCTTCCGAATCCGTGCACCCTCCTGGGGATGATGCGATGTATCCATAGCAACAAGCTGCTCACATGGGGACGCTCTGACTGTCTCCATTACAGCGGAGACGGACATTTTTGGTAGACGTCGGACGTTACTCGACTGGGGAGGTGTACGATGCTCATTCACCGCACTGCCAGAATGGAGAATCGTGGAACTCCTCATCAAAGGGCCATAAGAATCTGCGGAAGGATCTCTTCCGGTTGTTAAAAGTCGCGCTGCTGCCTCCTGTTGCTGATGCATGCGATGTACTACGGACGGATCCTTCAGCGTAATTTTCAAGAACGATCGAGAATCTGAAATTGGCACACATGCTGAAGCACACAGATAAGCAAATTTATGGATAATCGCAAACAACCGCACGTTGAACTTTACAAGTATTGACACTCCAGTCCAACGGTGTCCATTCATTTCGAAAACCATTCATTTCATTCATTTAGGTTTCTTAGGTTTCGGAAGTCCGAAATGAATGACTTCCGAAACGAATGGTTTCCGAAATGAATGGTTTCCGAAATGATAGGGTGCCAGTCCAACACGAAGCAGCGGAATGCGTCGATTAAGGGAAACACATACCAAAACGTGTTTCATAAGAAGTACATAATTATTAAGTTTATTAATATTATTTCATACGCCGCAGGTCCCAGCAGCTACTGTACGTGCTTTTCGTAAGGCACTGAAAACCTGCTTTATTGTGCAAAACTGGGTAAAAATAACTTAATCATTATCAGCTTCTGTACTCGTACTGAAATGTGAATTATAATAATAATAATTATAATAATGTACTAAAATATAATAATTAATGACCGGACTTACGACTGCTCAAACCAGACGACGACGCAACCAACGCGTAACAGCAAATAAATGAAATCACAGAAAGGTAACAAATTATGAAATAGTTTATGAATTTTAGTTGCCAAATAATAAGTTGATAAATAACAGGAACCATCTACTCATTCCGAGCCTCTAAAACAGTATAAGCAAAATATGAACAGAGTTCTGCTGCTTTACGGCCATTAATTTTACGGTACAAACCTACCTAAGCATTTTTTACAGTAGTAATCTTCAATGAAATCCGCATCGCGTTCTTCGACATCCACACAACGCCCATGATACCACTGCTTGCAATAATCACATAATCTGTAAAAACATAAAACGATTTCGGCAAACTAAAGATGAGAATCATGAGTCAGGTTACTTAGCCGTACACTGTGATTTATTACATTGTTGGTTCAGGTTGCCCAATAATACGACAAATTCCAAACCAAAAGCATAAAATATCTATATAATGCCGAGCGCAAACTATCCTGCATTTCATAGAACATCTTTGCTACCAGTAAAGTTCCAGCCTTACATCATGAAACTGTCGAAATCACGGGAACACAGAGGACAGGCATCCAAATTTCTATCAGAAGGCTCAGGCTGAATGGCTGCCTCGAAAACGGCGCAAGCCGTTCCAGCATTATGTGTTTCCTGCGAACGTGCTGTTCCACATACAGTCTTCTGCGACTCAGCCTGACTGTCCTCCGTAGTATCAAACTGATTATCCCCACTTTCAGCCATTAGCGACAAGGGTTTTCTTTATTCGACAACGTTTGCAGTGAATGACTGTAAGTCGCCCGGTTTTCCAATGAAAACATCAACGATTCACTGGCAAAAGGTAAAACAGTAACTCATACACTTTCAAAGGCAATCCTGTCATTGAATAGCACTGGTCGCTCGCCAGATCCTAACATGTAAACTTGATTACTGGATTATTGCCACTATAATTAGAAATGTTTCCGTTCGCTTTCGATGAGTTAAGTAATAATCCTGCATAAGAGATATTTCAAAATTATATCGAACGAATTAGTAAATACACTAATTATAATAATAATAATAATTGAATTTTATGATTTTTATCAGTACGGTGACTGTAAAGTGTGAGCACACTCATCAGCCCAGGCATAAAGTGGCTGCTACGGCAGCCTAATAGAGGGATCTATTCCGAGCTTACGCTCCGCCCACCATATCGAGATGGGCGGCATCTTTCATTTTATCATGCACCGAAGGTGTTTTCGGAAGTATGGAGTCTGGACTGCATGCAGGGTGCTCGCCTTCCCTACTGTCAATTTACCAATTATTTGCTAGGAGTTGCACTGTGTGGCCTGCACAAAACAAAACAAAACGACAGGCAGTTTTAAAAATAAGGAATATAGTTCTCTGTGGTTTAATATTTTGGGCACTGGACAGAGGCCAAATTGTACCTGACGATTTGCCAAAGGGCATGCTTGACGTTGCCTATCGGGAAGTGTATTTTTACATCTGCGCATACCAAATTTTTCCAAGCAACTTCGGCAACATTCACTTGTCAAGCATCAGCCAACAGAGGCGGCCTAATCACAGAGAAAATTTGATATACACGTAAATTGCTCCTGTCGGCGCCGTCCCAAGGATAGATGCCGCATTGCCAAGTTGGACCTCGATGCTGATCCGCTGACGAAGGAATTCCGTAGCCCGTTTTTCGCCGGTTTCCTGTCGTACTCGTATCTTCTGTTCCAGTTCCGTTATCGTGCGGGCAGCTTCCGGTCACCTGCGTTAAAAATGTTACTGCTTGAACTGTGCAATTACACTACGATTGAGTATGTTTGCAATGTTTTTTGGGATTTGTATTTTACAAAAATGAAAAAATCCGCAGAAAAATTGAACCGGGTGTGACGACCGGACGGCCCGGACATATTAAGAATAAATAATATAATACTTGTATTAAGTTGCACTTTTGTAAGTACTGGATTTTTCGTAACCGAAGGCCCACTCGTAATAACCGTCCAAAACTCCTGTAACAATTAGCTGCTATTAACGGATCTGTTTTTCCGCTTCGATTATTCGCAGACCGCAGCTCAAGCTAGTGGATTTTTCTGCAGTAGCGTAAAATACGAACAGCCGCCCGTTTCCGGTGTTTGTTGGTGTTACCATTGCTATGTGATGCTTCTTTTTATTAGCACAATTTTATTTAAGAATATTTATTATTACAATTAGTAGGTATGCGATATTGGGAACAGTCTACTATTGTAAGTGATAAGAAATTAAGTACAGTACGTACTTATACTTCTAATTATGTATAGAAAATCTGAGAAGCATGATCACAAGCTGAAGTACTAACGAAAAACCGTTATTAGTCTGCAGAGTACTAGTAGTCTAGTACTGTCGTAGTAGTAGCGTAACTAGTCACTAGCGTCATTGATATACTTACGTAAATTTCAGTGAAAGTTTTCGTTTTAGCAAACCGGCTAGAAACAGCCCAAAACGAAAGTTCTATACGAATACCGCAAAAAAACACTGTCAACGATTTGGCGCTCTTGTCTAATGTGTTATCAATAATTTCCCTTCCGGTGGGTTCGGCTCGGTACGAACGATCCGGAAGTGCAATACCACACCACCACAATCGGTTATCGGCTAATCAGCTGAAGCAACAGGCGTAGAAACAGCAACAAGCAAGTTCTGCGTGTACAGAGATCGTGCACCACATCATGATTGCGCAATAAAATTCGTGACGGTGAAGATTTGACGCTGGCCCATAGACATATGCTATAACTCAAATTTTCAAAAATTCTAACTTTGTTAATTTCGCGTTAATGTTTTTTGAATATGCTTTAAAAATACAGAATAATATATACTAGTAGGCATAACAAATGTTTTTCGATTTTTATTTTAGGGTTGCTATGCTACGTAATTAGCATGGCTGTCTATGGAGAAGTCAATTTGATTTAAAAGATTTCTCGTAGGCGGCTATGTTAACCACGTATGCTCTCAGTGCCAAACCTTAAGACGAAACAGAAAAAAAATCGTTTTGCCTAATAGTGATATTATTATATTTTCTCTAACATTAACGCGAAAAATAACTGTTATAATTTTAATTCGATATTTCTCAATATGGCCAGCAATCAAATCTTACCGTCACAACAATGTACACTAATATCTCTACACACATTCTGTTGATTTCGTTGTGAATGGGTTCTGCAAGTCCCCGAGCAATTACTGTGTTTCTCTTGTATTACGTACAGTTATGCACATTTAGTCCGTAAAGCAGTATGGATCATACGGAATTATTGAGCCTTAATAATCGCACCTTTCTCAAGAAGTTCTGCATTTCCCCCTTTCGTACTGCGTATTGCGAAGGCGCTCAACGTGGGAAGTCGATGACGGCATTGGCTTCCAGTCCCGTCCTAACCGTTAGGCGCGCGGACGGGGAAAAGTTGCGCGGTATATTTAACAAATATGCGTCGGTGGAGCGGAGAGGAGAACGGTATATGACACTGGAGGATTTTGTGCGGGGCTACCTGGGTCTGTATGCCACGGAAAATTACAGCGAGGAGACAGTGCGCCTGCTGGGCAGCGTTGTGGATACCAGGTCGGGGGTCTTTAAAACCATGTGCAGTGTATTTTTACGTACTTGCTCTCGGAAGATTGTGTTCTGTTAGCAACAACTCCACATTTAGGATCATTCCTAAATGATAATACAAACTGCATTTGCATGTTTTCTGGAAAAAACATGATACATTGCAAGCTGATCTGATAACTTCAGTCTTTACGTCGTACGAGTATGGTCTACATTAATTTTGTGCTTTCGTAAAAAATATGCTGAAGAAATTAGACACCGAAATCAGTTCGATGTGATTTAGATAGCAGTTTTCCACAGGTTCTGTAGATACATTTTTGTTAACTTTTTCATTCTAGAAACTGAGAAACAGAAGTGTAAGCAGTAGGCCGTACTAGGCAGTAGGCACCTTTTCGCGTCCAGTATTTTATGTCCAACTTTTGGTATTAATTAAATTGATCACGCTGATAATGTTTTATAGACATCTTTTTTATTTTTAAGCTGACGAACACCTGTGAGTGTATCTCTTTTTAAAATAACGAGAACAAACAGATGATTCCATGTTTTATAAACAATCACTGGTTTCGATCTGGTCGGCTAACATCGGCCCTATTAAACTACGGTATGCCGCGCAGGTCGGGCGAGGAGTGCCAGCGATACATTATAACTGTTTACAGTTTACTGTACTGTATAACAATGAATTTTGGCAAATATTAGTTGGTATGCCTATTAGTTTTCTTGGCACCTTAACCGGTATCTTTATTTACTTATTCTTGCAGTAAAGATGGCTTCATTTCGTTCGCGGAATTTCAAGCCTTTGAAGCGGTGCTGTGCTTGCCGGACGCTTTGTACATGACTGCGTTCTCCCTCTTCGACACCAACGGTTCCGGTTTCATCACGCTGGATGAATTCGAGCGCGTCATTCGGTTGACTACGCTGCAGCGACATGTCCCCTTCGACTTCGCCGGCGACTTTGTGACACTGAACTTCGGCAAGGATAAGAAGCGATTAGTGTCATACGAAGAATTCACGGAAATTCTGCACGCTTTTCATGAAGCACACGCCGTGCAGGCCTTCAAACAGTTCGACAAGCAGGGTACGGGCTACATCCGCGCCATGGACTTCCACGACATCATGACGAATGTGAAATCTCACTTGCTCACGGCCTTCGTGCGCGATAATCTGGTGGCTGTGGCCGGGGGAAAAGGCAGTACGCGGGTCAGCTTCCCCTACTTCATGGCCTTCAATAATCTCCTCAACAATATGGAACTGATCAAACGCATTTTCACAACCGTGACCAGGAATAATTTGAAAACGCCACTTACGAAGGAAGAATTCCTTACTGGCTCACAAGTATGGTCCCAGGTCACCCCGCTGGAAGTTGATATTCTTTTTCATATTGCGTCGCTCCGTCATCAAACTGGAAAGTTAACGTTCGAAGATTTGGAGATGATCACACCTGAGCGAGTGACGATACCGTCGTATCATATCACGGAATTTAAAGCAGTGTCTGATCCTTCGGAGCGAGGCTTCTTTATTCAGATACTGGAAAGTGCGTACCGTTTCACCTTGGGATCCGTGGCCGGAGCGGTGGGTGCTACGGCTGTGTACCCTATTGATTTGGTCAAGACCAGAATGCAGAATCAGCGATCCCGCGCGCATCTGGAAGAGTTACTGTATAAAAACAGTATTGACTGCTTCAAAAAGGTGGTACGCTATGAAGGCATTCTGGGATTATATCGCGGGTAGGTTTTCTACTGTAAGCTGAACGACCTACGGAAGACGAAAAGTGAATACTTGCTTTTAAAATACAGCCATAAGAACTTTCTGATTCAAGTTTTGCGGCTACCTCTTTAACAAGTTGAGTTTGATTTTTTTGTTATTACAGTCATTTCAAAGGAAGCGATAAGGTGGCCTTGAGTTGTATTTGACTTGTCGTATCTAGTTGCGTTCGTCTTCTGAGATTATTGGACCCCACCACCTTTAATTATTCTTTTTATTGTGCAAACACGAGTTTTGGGTTTTCGGAATCTTCCTTGCGTTAGCAAACAGCTGTGATACATGATAATCAATGCATTTCATTATGATTTTATGCTCTGACTTACGCGATTAGTAGGAATGTAATTATTCTTGTTCTGTCAACGCCAGAATGTGGGATAAGTGTTAGAAGGAGAAGTAAACAGATATAGGACTCATAATACGAGTACGTAATGATAACTGTAGATGTGACTTACTTTAATTATGACCTCGTTGGTAGTTAAATATCTCGAATACTGAACGATGGTTTTTTAGGTTGCTGCCGCAGTTGGTGGGTGTGGCGCCGGAGAAAGCCATCAAGCTGACGATGAATGATTTTATCCGCGACAAGATCGTTGACGAAACCGGCCTCATCCCGCTATGGGGCGAGATATTGGCCGGTGGTACGGCCGGTGCATCTCAAGTGGTTTTCACCAATCCACTGGAGATTGTCAAGATCCGCTTGCAGGTTTCCGGTGAAGTAGCATCCACTCAGAAAATCCGCGCCGGTTCTGTCATGCGCGAACTAGGGTTTCGCGGTTTGTACAAAGGGGCCCGGGCATGTTTTCTCCGTGATATCCCCTTTTCAGCCATCTACTTCCCGACGTACGCCCACGCAAAAGTCTGGTTTCAGGACGAGCACGGTCACAACAGTATGCTGTCCTTGCTGGGAGCGGCGGCCTTAGCAGGTATTCCGGCCGCTTCGTTAGTGACACCGGCTGATGTTATTAAGACGCGGCTGCAAGTGGCCGCACGGAAGGGTCAGACAACCTACAGTGGACTGTTGGATTGTGCCCGGAAGATTTGGGCTGAAGAAGGCGGCCGTGCATTTTGGAAAGGAGCGGGCGCCCGTGTCCTGCGCTCATCACCGCAGTTTGGTGTGACACTTATGACATACGAAATGCTCCAGAGATTGTTTAAGGTGGATTTTGGAGGCACACGCCCGACAGGGGAAGATTTGAAGGTTCCTATGCAGTCGCAGTATGTGTACCGCTCAACCAATCCGGATCACATTGGCGGGTATAACTTGGCGTTAGCCACTTTTGCCGGTGTGGAATCCAAGTTCGGCTTGTTCTTGCCACGGTTTAGGACGGAAATTGTTCCGGTAGGAAATCCTAACTTGAAACCCGGAGTTGCACCAGCCTGATAATGTTTGGTTTGTTATCGATGTTCAGCCCTTCCTCCCCGGTTGTGGTTTTAAACTTTTAATGATTGTGCTTTTGTTAAATGTAATATTTCATGTTACGTTAAGTGTAAATGAGAAATCTGGTGGTTTTACCGCGTTTACAAGTCAAAAAAACTGATGTTTGCTCATGTCTTAATGTTTGTTTTACGCATTTACTCAGAATAACTTATTTTTCTCGCAGTTGTTGGAAATACAGCTCTATCGCACCAAGTGTGGACAGTCGCATAAAATAAATTTAAAAATAATCTGGTACATCATTTTGTTAATTGTTTTGCACTTTTCTAGTGTAGTTTTTTTATTGCGGATCCAGAAACATCAAAACCAAAGTCTTTTGATGTGCCAGTAGGGGAGACGAGCGGTATTTTATGTAACTCGTAACGGTGACATTAATCCCTTACGGTAACGTTAACAGTTAACAAAATCCTGCCATAGTATCCTGTTACGAAACTGGTTTCAATTACGGTAACTCATTAAGCTATGGATTAATTGGTAGAGCATATCAGTAATGATAACCCGTTGAATAAAAAGCAATCCGTCATTGTACAGTAATCCGTGGCAAAGGTAACGTTTTCTAGGTACGGTATTGGTGTTTACGGGATTCGAGTGATTGTTACGAAAATTTTTTACGGTAATGTTGTTGCGGTAATTTTAAAGGAAATGCAACGTCAGAACGGTGCCGCTTTACGATCACCAAATAACAAGACAGGAGGAGTAGTAAAGAAGCAATTTCCCGAACTGAATCAATCACCTACGTGACAAGCGGGGTCGTCGCCCAAATAGCCGCACTCCGGCACTTTTAATGGGGGTGTGTTGTTCGCACCCCCCATACGGTAATATATGTATCACAATCGCAATGGCCAGTATGATGCCGGAAGGAAAGGCCAGTCCCACGGCAATCGGCACGGTGTAATCGCTTTCTATTTCAACGCCTCCTTGTTCAGTGTAAAAGCATTACTCGATCCCAAGTACTGCCCCACAACCTTGTGGAATAACAAAATACGGATTATCCAATCGGTTTGGCCGTGCAGAATTCAGACGCTGTACGTGGAAATGCTTATGAAATTAAGAAATTACCGAATACGTCCCAGAATTTCGATTGGTGATGCCATACAGAGCAAAATCATCATTCCACATGACACCCGGACACATGATACCCTAGCGCTTAGGCCACCTAATATTTGGCCACATAAGAACACTATGAAACTTAAACACCACAAAGTTGCCAAAAATCTGAAACCTCAACTCTCTTCTCTTAAAGACGGCGATGGTTCATTGCGTAAGCACTGTTTTAAAATTTTCATTTAAAAGTGATTGTTTTTTTTTCGACATGAACGCGTACGTTGTGCTTTTAATTAGCAATTATTACCGCAAAGGCACTTTGCAGTAAAATTCCAGTTTTGAGTGCTCGATATACCCTAAGCATGTCAGCTGTCACGCCACCATTTTTGTATGAAATGTTTTATGGAAGTAAAAAGATAGCACATCCCAGGGTATTCAAATCTCTCAAAGCTCAGTGGTCGTCAAATTTGCTCTGAAGTCATCCAGAAACAAAGGATAACCATATCTTTAGCAGTTACTTCGCATCGACCGCTGGAAGCCGTAGCGCTACTGTTTCAAAATCTGCCGCACCGCTGTCAAAGCGGATCGGCCAAGTTTACCTTTTGCCTCCCCTTTGTCTTTGCCTTTTCCCTTTGCCTTTGCAACTTCATCTTTACCTTTTCCTTTGCCTCGGCCATTACCTTACCGTTCTAATTCACCGTTCCGAAATACCGTCCCGAATAACCTTTACCATTGACTTTAGCCGTTGCGTGAAAAAGCTGGCTTCAGACACTTTACCGTTTTTGGGAATTTATCATTTGTTTTGGGGAATGAGATCCACATATTGTACTTCCAAATGTTCAGCTACAATAATTTATGACCTCAAAATACAGAAGCAGCAATACAATACTTCTATACCTACAACGACGGCAAGGCATTACACTTCGTCTTAGAAAAGCAAGCCGTCCCGAAACATGGCAGCTTATTGTTTTTCGTTGTCCGCTGTGGTCACAAACCGTTTCCCATCGAACATCACGCTGAATCCGTCGGCTGGATTAAACCCTTTATGACGTTTAGAAATGTAAGACACTCGCATTTGATAATAACACGGTAAAGCAACTGGCGGCAGTCTGCCATGCAAAGGATAAAGCCAACGGTAAAATTATTTAGAACGTTTTTTTTTTTGGGAAGTTACTGTACTTGCAGAACGGTAAGGTAATGGTTGCGGTAAAGGTAATCTTTGCCGAACCCTGCTAAGCGGAGTTATTTAAAAAATGGTGTTTTGACCTTTGAGTCCTTTTTTACGATTTGCTATAATTTTCGTCAAAATCTTGCTTTCTGTGAGAATCCTTTCTGTGAGAATCCTTTCTGTGAGAATCCTTTCTGTGAGAATCCTTGACTGTTCAATCGCTTAAATCAGCTTGTGAATATGTTGGACGGCTTCCTACGTTTGGTTAATCTTATAATCGTAAGCATTGATCGTAAGCGACATGATCGTAAGCGTTAATATAAATGTAACGGTTCATCAATTTTTAACTATTCACGCTGCGCTGCGGTCTACCAATGCATGCAATAGCGCATTTTCCTAGTATTGACAGTTTCATACATTCAGCAGTGTTTGCGCGAATTCGATTTTAAAACAGTTGCTAAGTTTCTAGCATACCTGTGATGGATGTGTTTTTTTACAAATTTCTGCAACACTGCAGTGCAGTTGAAACGAAAATCGACACCGGCATCGTGAGCGTTGCGCAGTCCGGCAGCCAAAGCCACAATACAGTCGTGAAAGGTCACTGCGAAATGTACACAACAGGCACGCAAAAATTAAGGAAACCGCCAAGACGCCGGTTACAAAAAAAGCAAAAAACAAAGAAAAAGGATATAATTAATATCGTATTGATATGGTCACTCGAGCGAGCGTTCTTTTAGAGCAGCACGGAAGGCGTCATATGTGGGAGTATTGCTCGCGTCGCGGACCGCCCAAAAGAACGGAGACTAATAAGCTTCCATGGCGATGGTACGAGTATCATTCGAATCACCTGTGGTAAGTAAAACACACTTTCGTGCTCCCAAGTCTTAACCAAACGCATTTGATAACTATACGGGAACTGAAACTTAAAGCCTGAAGATAACATTCGAATTTATAGCGTGACAGAGTACAACGGGATAGAAATGCAGAATACAGACAAATACAGCGCTTCTATATACATATCGTAAGTATATAGACTGTATTCCATATCTATCTATACTTCTATGTGATACTTCAAGACATTCATACGATACATGGCCCATGTATCGTATGTATAATCACCCATGTAACATGGGTGATTATTATACCGTAATGAAAATGTCGCAGTCCAAATTCTTAATACAGTAGAAGAGCCCGATTAAAGCTTTTCACATACATGTACTGTGCTGCCAGCTTTCGCTGTTGTCATATTGCAATATGCTGTTGTTCGGAAAGGTATTCATCGAAAAATAGCTATAATCCCCTTTAGTCATCCCTTTGGCATGTGCAGTGATCATGAATTCGCGAATCCGCGTTGGACACAGGATAACGACAACTGCATAATCGACCTCTGATATTGAGATTTCTTACTTCTAGCTTGTTTCTGGACGGAGTCTAGTAAGGTGTTTACGTCGACGCCGGCATAGAAAGAAAACTGGGTGTACGTATAGTTGTTATTGACCGATCGGATCATTAGACTGTTCGCCCACATGACCCGAGAATTATCCGCAATTCCGCATCATAAAATACGACAGCGAAATTCGTCCAGTTGAACTATCTGGCCATGTCCAGACTCCAGCATACCTGACCATTGCGTGTACGTACAATATGCACAACGAATCACGTTGGGAAATTGCTACGAGAAACCAAATTCGCTGACCTATATGCAATAATGATTTCTGGTGGGTTCATCCTGCCATACTAATACATAGAATTAAAGAAGACCAATTAGCGCTGCGCGCAGCGGAAATAATATTCTAAAAATGTTATAAAATTTGTGAATTTCTAGGCACCTCAAGTTTATCCGTGAGCGTCGCTCCACCAGTGAGTACCATCGTCGGAAACACCGTGCTGATAACTCTCGCCTGCAGTATATCCTGCGCACAGGGTGGCCCATTGAAGACATCCAGCGGCCGCGACCGGTTGCGGACAATGACCGTCATGACGTGCGCCGAAACCAGGCCACCATCACCTGACACGTTCGGTAGATGTAATACTGTGCGTCGAAGATGACATTGTACTTATTCCTGGCTTCCTCAAAGCTCAGTTCACAGGCTGGCCAGAACTGGTCAATGTACATCTAATTCTTGAACGCCGTGACGTCTACAGGGAACAAGGGAGAACCCGTGAAGTTAACATCTTTGAAGGGCACCACCACAGCGGCGGTGACAGTAATCGGACCTGGACTGCTTGTGATCTGGGCGCCAGAAAAACTGAACAAACCGAAAATAAAAATCTCCATTTTTCTGGCTCACTCGACCCGAATCATGAGAATGATGGCATTCGCTTGAAATCTGAAACGATAGCAATGTTAGCACACGTTAAGCACGGTCACGTCACGGGTGGTCACGCTTTTTTACAAAACGTCGTGATACTGTATCACGACAGCTGAATTCACAGTTATGTATCACTGATACATAACTGTGGCTTTCAAACCTAGCAAACACAGAGACCGACAAAGAAAACTACAGAAGCAAGCGACCAGAATCCACAGGTGCCTAACCAAACAGCTCACTGGTAAGGGCCAAACGCAGGTGTACGCGTAAGCCCCCAGATTGCTTCGGGCAAACACCACTGTGTTTGCAAGGTTCGCGAATTCGTAAAATCATTGTCAGAACGACACAGAAGCAGAACAAGGAAAATGATGGCAAACAGCCTTTATTGTGTAACAATAAAGCAACCAACAAACAAACACAGAAAAACCAGTGCGGAATCACTGTGGAAAAGTAGCTGTATGCGAGCTCGTAAGAATCGTGATAATGATTCAGCGTGCTGCAGGTATGCAACAGCTGATGCCGCAAAGCATGGAATCGCTCGTAGGCGCTGGGCTACGCCCCCTAGAGTGCAGCAGTGCGCTGACTGGTCAGCGTAGACAAAGTATACGCCGAGTAAGCAGCGTAATATAGCGGCACGAAGGGCGTGGCCATGTGCGGGCGGGTGACAGAGCAAGCCACAAGATGTGTCTACCGCCTCGAGTGAGCGGTCTCTGACATGCCTCTGGGCGGGAGTGGGAACTCCTGCGAGCACCTAAAAACACAGCCGTACTTTGCTATTGCTTTATTCGGCTAGTTGTTTCGAAAACGGCTCGGTTTACATGTTCAGCAATGCATTAATCAGGTGACAGACAGAACATTCTGTGCAAAGTACGGTAATTCATTCACGCAGAGTTACAATGGAGGCTATAACACTGCCACAGACAGATCGTATGCAGCAGCTCGCAAACGCGAGCGCCAGCTTTATTTTAACGCGCATCGGCGCTAACCGGCTCGGGCAGAGCAAGACGTTCAACAGAACCAGACTAAGAGAATTCTAAACAGGTAGACAGCAAGCACATCTCTAGGGAAGGCGCCAATCCTCTGCTTCGACTGATCTCCCTGTCTACTTCCATTTGGCACGATTGGTGCTGCGGACATCACAGGCCTTTCAGTCCAAGCCGTTACTGAGTAGCCAGGGTGGTATTGTGATCCTCCATCTCCCGTGCCCGTCTCCTTGGTGGTATTGCTGCCTCAGCCAAGCACTTCGCACACAGGCCTTGCGGGCCGTGCACTCGCAGCCTGACCTCAGAGTGGTCACCCATCTAAGTCCAAACCGCGCTCGATGTAGACTATCTTTCAAAACCCGAAGGTTTATCCATCTAGCCACAACGAGTGTGCTCATCTAGCCACAACTCTGCCCCTGGCCAACCCGGTAGGGTGCCAGGATCCGATACCCGGATGCCACTTTGTCTCTCAACCCGGTAGGGTCGCTGTCTCAAGACCGGCGGTGCAGTGCACCGAACGGCCAAAATCTGGAGTGCACTCTGGGTGCAGGGGGTTCCAGTGTGGTTTTGAAGGCTTGGTTGGTCGAACAAGTAAGAAAATAAAGTTTTATAAGGCTCATTGTTAAACATCAAAGTAAAAAGATCACAATTCCAGTGAGAATTAAAGAAACGTAAGATATAGTTAGAGATCCCAAAACCAATTCTTTTGGCTAAATGGCTAAATAAAAACATCAATTCTTTGGTTAATAAAGTCTAGAAAAACCAGGTTTGGTTAAAAAACTAGACGCAAAATGGCTTATTCCGACTAGGTTTACCACAGGGCCAATCTTGTCCACACGGGTACTAGTCAACGGTCCGCTTTATCCGATAGGATTGGTCTGGTCCTGTAGATCCGGAGCGACGGTTCCCAGAGATGTCCACAGGGGTCCAGTGGAGTAATTCCAGCGGCGTCGTATATGGAAGGCACTGTTGCTTGCGCAAGGACAGTTTGTCCCCTTCCTGGTTCAGAGTGGTGGAGCAAGCCCGGTTGGGCGGTCCGTAGGGGCCAGTGAATGAAGCCTCTGGGCAGGAGTGGTGCTCCAATGACCAAAATGGTATGCTGGACCAATTCCGTTTGGATGGCCCACATGGGTCTCTAACTTGGACCGGTTTGGTCGTGCATGCCGGTTGGGTCATGCATCTCGGGCCAAAAATCTTCTAAGTCCAAGAGGGCCATAATGGACAAATTTCTAAGTCCTAGAGAGCCACAATGGAAAAATTTCTAAGCCCAAGAGGGCCACAATGGAAAAATTTTCTAAGTCCCAGGACCGAAGTGTGGTGATGGACCGAACCTGTTGGGGTGGTCCAAACTCGGTCTCTGACATGCTTTGGGCGGGATCCTAGGTTCCATTGTGACGGGGCTTGCCTCTGGCAGGTACTGGACGTGGAAGTCCGGTGTGGCCGGGTTTGGCGCTCCGATGTGGACTTAGTCATTTTTCGGCTGGCTGCGCCGTTTGGCGGGCCAAAATGGACTTAGTCATTTTCTTGAAGGGCCACGTCGTTTGGCGGGTCAAAATGGACTTAGTCGGTTTTTCGACGGTCCAGGTGGATGGCGGGCCAAAGTTGCAGGCTCGTTGAGTCTGGTCCATCTCACTGGCCGTGGGCCATGAGTTAGCTACCGTGTCAGAATGGTTTCCCTGAGACCGTGGCCACCTCAGTCCAAAAACTTCTAAGTTCGAGAGCACCCCAGTTGGGTCATGCATCTCGGGCCAAAAATCTTCTAAGTCCAAAAGGGCCATAATGGAAAAGTTTCTAAGTCCCAGGACCGAAGTGGTGTGATGGATTAAACCCGTTGCAGCGGTCCAAACTCGGTCCCTGACATGCCCTGGGCGGGATACGGGGTTCCGTTGCGACGGGGCTTGTCTCTGGCGGGTGCAGGACGTGGAAGTCCTATGTGGCCAGCTTTGGCTCTCCGTTATGGACTTGGTCGTTTTTCGATGGGCCACGTCGTTTGGCGGGCCAAAATGGACTTAGTCGTTTTTCGATGGGCCACGTCGTTTGGCGGGCCAAAATGAACTTAGTCGCTTTTTTCGACGGTCCAAGGTGTATTACGGGCCAAATTTGCAGACTCGTTGAGTCTGGTCCGTCTCACTGGCCGTGGGCCATGAGTTAACTACATGTCAGAACGGTCAGAACGGTTTCCCTGAGACCATGGCCATAACAAAAATTAAGTGGCTTCTGACGAAAACGTCAGATTAGCCTGGCCAAACTCCAAAAAATTAAGTTGTGGGCGCCGGTAGGCGTTTTCCACACAAAGGAACCGGTCTGCTGACTAGAAGAATCTTTATTTGGCCTCTGGGCGGTGGATTCTTTGGTTTTGCCTCCGGGCAGGAGTATCTTGTTGTTCTGCCTCTGGGCAGTCAGTGGTGAGGCCTTTGGCGATGCATGCAAGGTGGGTGTACCACAACTTCTATGTGGCTCCCACGACTCACTTGTCCCAGTTGCCTGGTATGGCAACTAGACTCGTGAGCCGCTTGTGGTCCGTTGGACACACAGCGGGCCTGGTCCAACTTCTTTGGGCCAGGACTTGTCCACGGCTTGTCGCAACTTCTATGCGGGCCGTCGCCGCCTTCTGGGCGCTGAATCTCTTCCATGCCGGTGAACTGGGCCTTGCGGCAAGTTCTTTCCGGTGGACTCCGTCGGATGGTCTGGGATGACCGGTTAAGGCCGCTAAGACAGAGCCAATCCGGGGGAATCCGGTTAAGATCCAGGGATTGAGGTCCAGTGAGGTAGACGATACATGGCCGTAAGCCACGTTTATTGGGCGAGGGTAACAACCGTTGGATTGTACCCATTATGGTGTTCAAGTCCGGTTCCAGCTGATGTGGTCCCACTTCTAGGGGCCAAGGCCACTTCTAGGCCAATGCCGGTCCACTTCTAGGGCCGACATGAAGGAATGGCCGTTGGCCTATCTCTGCGCATCTCCTTGGCCATCGCGTCTGTCAGCCCCTTCTGGGTGCAGTTGGGTCGACGACGCTTTCTTCCATGAGCGCCAATTCCTGCTTCGTCTCATTGTTCTGTGGTTGCCTGGAGGCGCTGGTCTGCTGGACGTCTTGGCCAGGAGGCTCAGCTTGAGTCTGGGCGTACGAGGACGATCCTGCTGAAGATCTCTGGGTGCGGAACTTCGTTGGAAGTTTCCGCACTGCCGTTCGATTAGCGAACGCCTCCGCTCCATCCTCGAAATCCGTTGGCTCTCGATAGCGGTAATTTTTGGCGCGCTTCCTGAAGACGTTCAGGGCGCTCTGAATCTTGACTCCTGCTTCGATTTCGTGGATCTGGTTTCCAAGGAGGGCCACCTGAGTCAGTAATCGAGGAATGATCTTCCCCTGCCGATAGGCAACTTCAAGTTCCCAGTGGCACCGTAGGTGGCCAAGTCTGGCGGCAAAGATGCGTATTAGCGTGCCGTTATACGTATAAGTATACGTTCCGAGTGGTGCCTCCTTGTAATCAGCCGGCTTGCATGGGATATCGGTGGCAGCTCTGGCGGCCGCGATCAGAAAACTGGCGTTCGCGTCCGGTAGGACGAACTGTGCCAGATACTTGACACAGTCAAGCTGGTCATCCTTGATGTGCAATTAGCACAAATCGTTCCAGTCCGGTCTGGTGATAGGCTGTCCGAGTAAGTTAACGTCCGTGATGCTCAATAGAGCGTTATCACGGACCATCGGGTAGCCTTCACGATTGTCAATGTGTTCCTCCATACTGAAAGTGCGGGGCCACTCCTTTCGCTGCATTTCTAATTCCAATCCGGACCGGGTAACGAAACTTTGGAGGTTCTGTGCCATGGCATTGACTTGGGCCCATCGGTCCCTGGGGTATGGGATGGCGCCCATAATGTAATTCGTCACCTCCCGATGAGGAAGTGGTCGGATATTGATGCCCTGGTCCTCAGCATACTTGTATGGGTCAAAGTCCGTGGCACTAACGCTTGCGTCTTGTCGGGCCGGTAGGTCCGATGACGGCGGTGCGGACTCAGTCTCCATTGGTACTTGGATG